CAAAGAATGAAAAAAAAATTATGAAAAAGCGCAGGCAAAAGAATGAAATGATACTGGCAAAGAATGAAAAGAAAAGAAATAAAGTTGGCAAAGAATGAAAAAGTTATGAAAAAGCACAGGCAAAAGAATGAAATGCATTTCATTGCCAAGGAGAAATGAAAAATGTGGTGGGTAGGAATGAAATAGCTGCAAAGCAAGAATGAAATAGCCTAGGCATTTCATTTCATATTTCACTTGGGGGGATTGAAAAGACTGTGCAGGCAAATGCCCAGGTTTTATCATAAAAGTGGTAGGTACCACTCAATTGGAGGGATCGGGCAAGGTCAGTAGAAGCTTTACGTGTGCTCATCACAGGTTGGCCTGGTCCTGATGCGCGTGCACTTGCATCAATGTCGATATTTGATGGGTCTGGGAAGTTGGCAACGACGCGCACAGACTTTGAGTGTATGGAGGAAATGGCTGTTGGACTGTATTGCCAAACATTCTTCGATTACTTCGGTCATGCCCCCTCCACCCCACATCGCATTGCTACTTCATAATTGCCAACCTCGTCATCTCGGATCCTTTTGTCTTGTCGGTGTTTATATCTTGCGCGTTTATTTTGGTACCTTTCTTTTTTTAATATACATGTGAACTTGTGTCCGTTTTAGGAAAGTATGGGGGTCAGATAAGAGTGCCTTGTCCATGATCGACATTCTGCTTCCTTCCCCCCTTCTCTGTGTGTCCTTCACTCAGCCAAGTCATCATGTCAATGTACAAGAAAAAACCAGCTAAGTCTTTGCCACCAGAAAATGCTGGCCTTTTTCCTGTAGACACTGCACCCAAATCCTTGAAGGCTCATAAAGCTGTTAAAGGAAATCTGTACACACCAGCTGGACATTTTGTCCAGCCCTTTAAGCCTGGGGTTTCCAAGAAAGCAGACCCTTTTCAGCCACTGGCAACAACTCTTACCTTTGAAAATGAAGGTGATACTGTCCAGCTACCAGGAAAAAAGCAGAAACAATTTCAGCGATGGGAAACCAAGGTTCTTCCCAGTCTAATGGAGCCATATGTCAAACTTCTACATGAAACGGACTCCTTGCGAGATATGGCGCAAGTGCGTTCTCGAAGGGGATGTGCTGGTTGTGGGTCAGGCAGACAATTGAATGTTGCATGCATTTTCTTTGAGTGTATGTGTTCTAGTATATTTTGAGAAGTCACTAATAATTTTGGCAGGTATTGAGATTCTTTCCCTCTGCAATTGCACTTCCCCAGCACTTCAACTCCTTGAGCTAGGGTTCTTTCCATGTGCACCAGTTAATCCATCTCTTGCAGTGGACTTGAATATGCTTGAGTTTGTAAATGAGCTGTTTGTAAATGCAGCTCCAAATACTACGGCTTGGTGTGAAACCTTGGAGACCTTTCTTGGAAACAGAAGATACAAGTTAACAACTCGGGTATGTTTTATTTGTTTTCTGTCAATGTTTTTCCTTGCTGAAAAGTTCTTTTACTTTAGAATAGTTTGTGTCATCGTTTTGGAAGTGCTATGCAGTGGTATGCTACTTTGATTGATAAGAAGAACCTTCTTGTCAACAATTATCTGGATGACATGAGAAGTTCAATCAAAGTTTCAGGTATTTCTTGCTTACGACAATGTTTCTTGGAACTAAAAACTTTTCAAACAGAAGACTATGAGATTGAGCAAGGTATTTCTTTTTCTGGCTCAGTCAAAATATATTTCTGCTGCAACTCAAACATTTTTTCACAGATGAAGAAATGGACCAAGGTTTTTTTCTTTAATCAGAAAGATTTGTGTAATTCTAACTTTTTTTGAAAAGATAAAAATGTTGGAATAGAACAAGGTTTCTGTTTTTGCTCTTGATATAAGAAATCTTTCTGCTGACAATAAAACTTTTTTTTGCAGATGAAAATGTTGAAATGGCTGATGGTATTTATTTTCTTTTAAGTGAAAACTTCTTATGCTAATTCTTTTTTTGTGTAACACAGATTATGAGTCCTTACGAGTTTACGAGTAAGACTCATTCTTTATCAACTGAGGACTTAGGCAAATTTTTCATTGATTCATTCATTCATTTACCTTTCATCACCGCGGGAACCTTTTCCCTTAAACAGAAAAGCAGCCATAAAATCAGGAAAAATGGTAAAAGAAATCAGCAAAAAATATGTAAAAATCAGAATATTGCTTAGTAAGGTGGGGAGGCTTTGTTCAGGGTTCAGGGTCAATATCTAAATATAGAAACCACCTAAAAGTTGCCAGAAAATCTGAAAAAAATACCCCAAAATTAAGAGTGATCTTCTCTGTTGCCATGGTGTTGAAGGGGCTGTGTCCAGTATTCAGGGTCCATATCCAAATATGGAAATCAAGACAACCATGTAAAAATATTGTCATATCATGCAATGTGACTATATTTTGAGACCAGCTTTCTTGCTCTTTGAGATATTGGTCAAAATTGCATGACAATTTCCAAAAAGTGTCCAATTTTTTCAGTATTTTGTGTTTTTCTCAATGAGGAATGGTCTGCATGACATTATTTATATATATCTATAAAGGTAAGGAAAGGGGCTACAATTGTTGTTTATGGAGCTAAGTGAGAGGCTGTGTTTCTGATACCGTGGGAATTTTAACCCAAAAAAGGAAATTCATCACAAATATATAGAGCATGCTATTATAGGTCACAAAATATAACTAACCATCCTCTTTCCTGAGATATATGCAAACAGGACTGTGGGAATATTTTACCATAAACAGAAAAATAGTTATAAAATTGGGAAAATTTGCTATAAAATGAAAAAAAAAAAAAAAAAAAAAGAATACCACACATTGTTGCTATGATATTGATGGCTAGGCTCAGAGCTCAGGGTCTATTTGCAAATATAGAACAAAACTCAGAAAATCATAAAGTGATTACATGACCAATTTCCTAATATTAAATTTAGAGTCCACAGAAAGGACTCATACATGCCATGCAAAGCACTGGCCCACACCCACAAGTAATATTTATCAAGGTTTTTTTTCCCTCATTTTTGGCTCAGAAAAAGTTTTATATCTAACTGTTTTCACATTTTTTTAGAAGATAATATTGAAATCGGTATGTGGTTTTTTGTCCAGTGAAAGGTATGTACTGGAGCAAATGTTTAGATGAGGATATACACATTGCTGCACCAAACTTGGAAAGACCAAGTGATTATCTGAGAGGACGGTGTCCTTTGTGCTTTGGTGGAAAAGATTGGTCAAAGCCTGATGATTTGTATGTGGAGTTTGTTGGCAACACTATTATTGTGATCTCAACTTTTTTTGTAAGGGTTGATTTCATTGTATGCTTGGATGCTTGTTTCAAGCAAAAGTCGTGCAAGGCTCAGGGTAAAGAGCCACCTGCCCCTCGTAAGCACCCGGATACAGCATTCATCTCTTCAGAAGATGTCAAGGCAATGGAGGATATAGTCAATGAAATCCGCCCAGAGCCCAAGTCTGGTTCAAAAGGTAAAAAGTCACAAGATACTCCTTTACAGCCTCAGAAGGATGAAAATCCTGATTTGTGTGAGCCTGGACTCAAAGTTCCAAACTCTGTGCTGAACATGTGTGGAGACTCTTTTACTGCTGCAGATGAAAAACGAGTTAAAGCTAGCACTCAGTTCTTTTCTGATACTGGACTTATGGCTCTTCTCTGTCGACATGATCGTGTCTTATGGCTGGTAAACATGACTTCTGCAGGAGAGAAGCAACACTATGCTCTGGTTCTTTTAGAACGTTTGTTCAACCATTTACCCTCGACTGCTAGAGTGGGTGTGCTCTATGATATTGGCTGTCAGCTTCATCGTAGTTGTATTAAATGGGGCTTTCTGAAAGACTTCCATGATAGACTCATCTGGGCTATATCAGTGTTTCATGCTTATGGCCATCAATGGGCTTGCCAGCTCATTTATCACCCAAGAAAATGTATAGGCTTTGGACTTACAGATGGTGAGGGCTGTGAGCGCTTTTGGAGCTCAATTAAACTGCTCATCCCATCACTGAGAGTTACTGGATACTATAACCGTCTCTATACCTTGGATACTCAAGTGAAGCATCTAGATAAGAAGTCACTATTGAATCTTGGAGATTGGCTCAGACGTAAATGGGTTTCCATGAATACACGCAAGTCAGAAGCTCTTGGTGTTTTAGATGAGCTGGCAGAGTTAGATATCACTGAAGATATTCTAAGAGAGGAATGGGCTGCTCAACTGGTTGCACAGACTAAGCCAATGCCCCGTCAATCCAAGAATCTGGCAGATAAACTCATTGAAGAGATTATACAATTGAAAGAGGATACAGATTCGTGCAATAAAGAGATATACAAGTTTGAGGGTATGATTCAATCTGGGCGGTATGAAGATGGGTGGGATGTCTCTGAAGTTAGAGTGACACTTGCTGAACTCAAAGAGAAATGCAACAAACTAGAGAAAGCCTACAAAAGTAAACATGGAATGCTTGGAACAGATGGCCGACTCCGGCTTGATCGGTTACTGGGAAACAAATTCTTAAAAGTCCGGATAAATGCCTTGGCCTTAAAAAAGAGGTTGAGAACCAGACTTCAGCAGCGAAAATTTGAACTCGATGGATTAGAAAGAGCTTACCGCAAAACAAATACCAATGGTAGGCTATAAATACTGATATCAGTATTATACCTCACTAATGACATAATGCAGATAAGAAGCTACAGGACCACTCAGTGTCTCAAATCAAGCGGAAGGAACCTGGTATTCAACAGCTTGCAAAAAAATACAATGAGTTATGTGGAGAGTTGGAGGCTATGATTAAGAAGAAACAAGCACCACGTGGTGCTCGTGCACCTCATCCTATTGCCAGTGATGGATTGTTCAAGCTGGATGTTGATGATGACATATGGCAAGATGTGGGCCTAGATGAGACTGATATTTCACCTGGAGGAGAAATCCCCAAATGGTTGGGTGATGAAAATGTTCGAAAGGGAATAAAATCCATGCTTGAGTGGGATAGATGTAATGAGGAAGAAAGGAGACTAGCATATGAGAGAAGTGCCATGCAAGATTGGCTCATTGAGGAGTGGAAATGTGTAACAATGGCTATGAAGAAGAATATAAGTGAAGAAGTAGTCTATCAGATGGTCTTGCGTGCAGAATTCTTAGCACGCTTATGCAACAACTGGCAAGACAAAACACGTATGATTGATCCTCACAAACCTATGCCAGATTCATGGGGACCATCATTGGAAGATCTTATGGAGGCGCGTAAGTTTGAAATGACTGCCATGGTTGCTGAGAATGAAAGAGAGATATATGATGATGACAATGAAGAGGAGGAAGATGATGAGGATGATGAGGGTGATGAAGAAGAGGGTGAAGAGACAGAGTTATTGGAGGCTGTTGAGATGGTAGCTTTATCTGATGAGTTTCGAAAAAGCTATACAGACTCATTGTTTTGACTATTGATAGGATGAAAGTGTATGTAAATAGTGATAAGTCCTGCTTTCAGATGAGTTATGCATTATAAAGTGTTGAAATATATGATTTTGGATTGTAACTCCAATAAGAAACAAAAAAAAAGCCATGTGCAAAATATTGAGAGAACTGTGCCAGAAAAACCAAGTTTTTTTTCTGAAACTGGGACCCCAGATACCCCGTGACACTGGTTGGAAATGTTCTAGCCATGTGACAAGGCCAAAAGATTTTTTAGCAGTGTGACATGCTTAAAACATATCCGAGCGATGTCACACCACTGAAACATTTCTAGTCACTCTGGCACACCTCAAACATTTCTGGCCAGTTTGACTTGGCTCAAACATTTCTTACCAGTCTGACACCCTTCAAACATTTCTTACCAGTCTGACACCCTTCAAACATTTCTTACCAGTCTGACACCCTTCAAACATTTCTGACCACTTTCACTTGACTAGGATATTTTTGAACACAATTTATCTACCCAAATATTTCTGGTCACAATATTAGAGGTCAAACATTTTCTATCAAATCCAATAATATATTTCTATCCAAAGGCCAAAAAAAAAACGGCCAGAGGATCTATTAGCCTGGATAATTTTTCAAGATTTCCTAGCTAATAGCTTGTTCAAGGTGGGTGACTGAAGTGGGTGATCACATTAGATAATGTGTTCAGGGTCCAGGATACATATCCAAATATGGTAATCTATCCAAAAATAGTTATAAAATAGCAGAAAAATCAGAAAAAATTGAGGGATGGTGATGATTATAAGTGATGATGTTGGATAACAGTTTCAGGGTCTAGAATGGACTTCCAAATATGGTTATCTACCTGCATATAACCAGAAAATGAGCAAAAAATGAGAAAAATATAGAATTGTTTCCTATTGATGAATTGGTGATGATGCTGAGAAACTCTGCTTAGAGTTCAGCATGACACTCAAATAGGGAAACTCACTAGTGTGTAATACAAATATATCCAGAAATTCAGAAAAAGCAGACATGGGTTACTATTGCCCTTGCAAAAGAGGACTCATTCCTGCCATGCTTGCAATGGCCTCTTACACAAGTCTTGGTTATAACATGTGCCTATTTTCAAAAAGTGTCCAATTTTTTTAGTATTTTGTGTTTTTCTCAATGAGGAATGGTCTGTATGACATCATTTATATATATTTGTAAAGCTAAGCAAAGAGGCTACAATTGTTGTTTATAGAGCTAAGTGAGGGGCTGTGCTTCTAGTACTGTGGGAATTTTGACCAAAAAGGAAATTAGCCACAAGTATGTTGTTACAGATGACAGAATGTAACTAGCTATCTTCTTTTCTCAGATATATGCAAATAAGATTGTGGGAACATTTTACCATAAACAGAAAAATTGTTATAAAATCAGAAAAAATTGCTAGAAAATTCAACAAAAAAAGGCTGAAAAATAAGAAGAGTGCTCATGGTTGCCATAATATTGAAGTGGGTATGCTCAGAGCTAAATTCAGAGTCCACAGGAAGGACTCATACATGCCATGCAAAGCACTGGCCCTATCCACAAGCAGTGGACGGTGGTGCCTTCTGAAAAACTTCCTGGAAATATAATCAGGAATGTGAATGTATTTACTTGGCCAAGGGCATTTTAAACCTACCAATACAGCCTTAAAATCACTTGGTGCTTTTGTTTTAGGTCATTCAGGCATTCCGAAGGATGATAAAGATATGTTGTGGAGCAAAATAACCAAGGGGTAGCAGGACATGGATCCTGAACCAAGGGTTGGGGGGGGGTCCGGCCGAAAAATAAAAGTGACCCCCATCAATTTCAAATTTTCATTGTCAGCGACATTCCATGGATTATTGATGAGATGCATCCGAAGCTGAAGCGCTGATGGCCCAAATCAATCACAAACCTGATGTGGTGACATACCGTCTACATCAAGTCTCAAGTCTCAACACACCCTAATACACTCCACATGCCACCCCAAGTGCCCAAGCCAAGATGCTCAGGCTTCTCATGCTAGTCTACTCATACAGTGTCTTTCACTGTTGTTTGCACAGCATGAATCATGTTTGCATCTGTTGTACCTGTTACCCTCAGGTTTTTTTGTCACAGCAACTTGAACATCTGCAGGTCAGCAATTTCACAAGGAGAAAGGGATTCTTCTGCATGCCAGATGATCATGTATCCAGAGACTTGAGCTGCCATGGGCAAGGGCTAGAGTGAGGTTGGATGCTGGTTCACTCAAGATCCCCAAGATCAACTCATCCATTCTGGGCCAATATATGTGACAGAAAAACCCTGAGGACAACAGAAGCAAACACGAAATTTATGATTCGTGTGTGCAAATGGCAGTGAAAGACACTGTAAGTATCCAACAGCCTTTACGCTGACCTAGTTGCAATCAGTCACACCACCTTCAACACTTTGGATTCTTACTTGGCACCATTACCCTCCCTTCCCAGCTCCCTATTACAATCCCAGCAACCATAACTGCGATGCAGCCGGCCATGGTGCAATGTACAACATAATCAGATTTGGAGTAACCACCACCATTAGGCTAAATTTACTTGTTACATGTAAATTTTCTGTGAATTTTATAAATTCAAAAAAAAAACATTCTATGGGAAAAACATACTCTATTAGGAAGGTAGGTGGTGGGGGGGTGTCAAGCAGAACTCTGAAAAAAAAATAACAAGTGTTGGTCTCTTTTCCACATTCCGCCACCCCCTTGAAAATAACATATTGACAGTTCCGGAATATCTGCCAATCTATTGATCACATTAGTGGTCAAAAAAATGGGGTTAGGTTTGTGCTGACATCTTGACATCAGGGCTTGGTTTGGAGTTCTTAAAGGTGGGCTCCATCAAAAAGTTGGGGGGGAAGAAACATATTTTCCATGTTTATTTGTAATTTCGTGTTTTTTGAACTTATGCTAAACTCTGCCCAAGACCTTCCTGTGGCTCGATTCTCTTCAGCGTAGACTTGTTTCGATACTACTAATATACTTCTGTACTTTTTAGTTCATAGGTATATGTATTGATCAAGTTGACTGTAGATATTCTAAGTTAATATAGATATAGACATGGGTGTCAATACAGCCCACCTTCGCCTCACCTACTTTCTTTTTGGCATCAATCCACATTGTCCTTGGCATAACACCCCCTCACCAACACCCAACACATGCACAACCCATCCCAGCAACTCCTCCTGTGTGCACATCCTGAGGTATGCATGGGGATCAGGGTGTGTGGAGATCCTCTAGCAGGGCGAGGAGGTGCAAGCAAGAAGTTGGGTCTAAACATGCTGTGGAGGAAAAGAAAAAGAGAATTAGTTTGTTCATTGGAAAACAGGGAGGGAATGAGGGAGGGAGGTAACAAAGGAGATGAGGAGACAAAGGAAAGATGAAAGGGAAGGAAGAATTGAAGAGGCAAAGGAGAGAGGGGTGGGAAAGGCAAGGAGCAAAGTGAACAAGAAAATGTACTGATGACGTGACAGACAAATGGAAAACAATGAAAGAGATCTCTTGAGGTGTTGAGGCAGACAGATAGGACTTCCTGTAAGTGATCAGATGAGCATTGTGCACCAGTGATGATGTAGCACCTGTGCCATCAAATGTTGCTGGTGATGCCAGCTCTTTGTCAGGCAATTATTCGTGTTTAGCCTCCATACACAAATCCACACCCCCCTGCAACACATCGAGTCTGGGAAGGCTCCAATGACACCATTGAGCTCATCGTCAAGTGGTAGTTCAAATGGTCTGTGCAAATGGGGAGGGAAGAGATAGGAGCGGAATCCATCAATGAGGGTGTGCTCAGATATGGTGCTTGTATGTGAGGAGGATGTAGCAAAGATGGTGGTTGAACATTGATGGTCCACCAGAATTGTCAATGCATAATTTAGGGTGGTTAAGGAAGAGTGTGCAGAGCTAGTCATGATGGGCAGTGGCATACCCCATTGGCTGTCGGGTATGAATTCTTTCAGCGTATCATTGTCGACCATTACTGGTGGTGGAGACCTTGATGGAGACTCTTTGGGAAATTGATTACAAGTTCACTGGAACTCCAACATCATGTGGTCATGTTAAATTCACAACATGGAAAAATTTGAACATTTTCTTTGTTCTTCCTCCCACCACCCATCCTGATTCCTCATCCTCGTCCTGCTGATATGAACTGTGCTCACCAGCCATATTCACATCACCAAACATCCTGAAGGCAACCATGGCACATCACCAGGGTCACCAGAGTTTTGGAGCCATCTCACTGTCAGTGTCGTGCTAGTTTTGCTGGGTGGTATCTTTGCCTACAGTGATATTCAGGTACACCCTCCAAATCTTACCCCATTAAATCTGCTCAACTCTAATCTTCACAGAGAGTAAGTCTCCCTGGAACAATATCTGCTCTCCTGTCTCACACTTTGAACAGAATCATACCACAAGCTGTGAGTGTGCTGTATGGGCTCTTCATTGGCACAACATGTGCTCCATTCGTATTGTTCGTGATATTTGGTCAGTCTCTAAATATTCCCCTATCTTGAAAAGTTCAATTAAATGTTCTCAAGGCCAGTATATTGCTGATGGCGATGACACAGGGAACTCAGGTTTATGTGCAACATGTTGCAGCTGTGCCCTAGAGTACTGTGGGCCTCTCTCTTCCCAGAATGGGTGTCTGGTGTCTCATTTGCAGCTGATACACCTTCCTCTCATGTCTTGTTCATGGCAGTCCCTAGGCTGTCTGGTGACACCTGCCAGATGAGGGCATTCCATAGCACATATATTCCGCCTGTGCCTGTGTTGCCAAGTGACAATGTGTCAAATGATGGGGTCAAATGATGGGTCTGGCTCTCTGTCACCTGTGTCACCTACAACATCACCATCATCTTGAATGGTGTTTTGGAACAGAACTTGAAAAACATTGAGACATTTTTCAAGGTAAGTCCTGCAGCTTTGAGGCTATATCCAATCTGACAGTTGATTTTTGGCTTAGATCACATTCTCCACGATGCTGCCATTGACACCATCTACATTCCACTTCCAATCCTCATATGCTCATCACCTCAAAATGCAGATTACAAAGTGGATACTCCCATTTCCCAGTCCAAGAAGTGGGCAACCAATGGGCCTTTGTTGGCCTTGCTTCATAAAAAAGGTTCTTCATTCTTTCTACTTGATAAGTGTAACTAACAGATCATGTGCCCTCCAGCTATCGACATACAAAGCCCAAACAGGCTCCACCCCTCTCTGCTTTCTCACTGCTTGAAGCACACCCTGGCCTTATGATCCTCTGTCATGCCTAACAACACCTTTCCACCTCCATCTCCTCAAATTGCCTCAATGACCTTGCTGATGCAGTTCCACGACCATTGTCCTTGATTGCTGTAGACCATCCATATGTGGCATTCTTGGTGTCCTATTGTTCATTCGACCAAGTGGGTTATATGCCCCCTTGAGTAGTGTCTATGGGGTTCCATCACTGTCATGCCACTTACCCCTGAAATTGCAGTTCTCTTATTCTTGCTCATTATTATGTTATGCACTAGCAATATCTATCATGTTAATCTATTGCATACCAATATATGGAGCTTTTTTGACCATCATTTCGAGTGAAATTGAAGATTTATTTTTGCAAATCATGAACTTGCTGTGAGCAGATTCACAACAGATAAGAGCGAATAAGTCATGATCAGTGAGAAATCAGCTCCAATATTTTGGACACACTAACCTTATTGGGCTGATTATTGTACTCTTATGCTACTTCACTGAATCATTGGGAATAAATACATGTAAGTAAAATTAGAGAAATGAAGTTCAGAAGATGTCAAGTTACCTGAAGAAAAAAAGAATGTTTGAAGCAACACAGGGCAGAGAATTGATTATGTGCTCACAGTTATGAACACGCAAAAGCAGTGAAAAATGCCTACTAGAGAAATACATTATTTCTGCAATATTCCAAATAAAATTCCGATTAAAACAAGCCCAAGAACAACCAAAATGGTCCAGAAACAGCTGAGTTACAGCTAATTTCGATGAATTTCACTGATCACATGCTCTCAGTTACAGGCATTTGAAAGCTGTGCAAGATGCCCACTATGGAAGTACGTCATTCTTGGGATTGTCCGATTTTTTCGAGCCCAAGAATGTTCAAAATGGTCTAGAAATGACTAAATTACAGCTAAATTTGATAAATTTAATAGATCATGTGCGCTCAGCGATGGGCATGCAAAAGCTGTGCAAAATGCCCACTAGAGAAGTACATCATCTTTGGGATTGTCCGATTTTTTTGAGCCCAAGAACGTTCAAAATGGTCCTGAAATAACTGAATTACAGCTAAATTCGATAAATTTGATAGATCACGTGCACTCAGCGACGGACATGCAAAAGCTGTGCAAGATGCCTGCTAGGGAAGTACATCATTTTCGGGAATTTCAGATTATTTTTTTTCAAGCACAAGCACATCCAAAATGGTCCAGAAATGACTGAATTACAGTTCATTTTAATAAATTTCATTAAATCAGCTATATCTCAGTCACATTTGGTGCAAAAATCATGATTCTATAGTGCATGCTTCTGGGCTTCTGTGAAGGTCACATGGTCACATGAGTTGCTGATGCAGCGTAGTTAGCTAATCACCTTGCTTGTCAAGGTCTCCCAAGGTCATAAATACCAAACAGGTACAAACAAACTACCCAGGGGCCATGGGGGTCTTTTCTTGCATATCGCACACACAAGTGGGCAAGCATGAACAAACAAACTTTCTATGGGCCATGGGGCTCTTTTCTTGCATATGGCACATGCAAGCAAGCAAACCAGTGCAAACAACTGGTCTTTTCAAAACATGATATTGTCATCTCTTTCTTAGTGCCAGCTTGGTGCCAGCTCCAATGTTTATATACATAACTATGTAGCGCTATAGCTCTTGAACACTGTTTCCTTTGTTACAAAAAAAAAGTCACATTGTATTGGTGCAAAGCAGCGTATTTGTCAGCAAGCAAGGTGCCTGCTGCCACTGCTAAGTGTCAGCCTCTAGTAAATAATTCTAATTCTAATTGGTCTTGCTGGCAGCAGCATGGATTGTTTTGTCATCCTGTAGTTACAGTCTTTTACAGGTCCTCAACAAGTCCTCAATACAGAATAGGTCCTCAATACACTTTTGACACTTGTGTAGTTTCTTCAAACCACCTCAAATCCCGGATCCGTGTACTTATATCATCTGCAGGTACATATGGCTTCTATAAAAACTCTCTGATAGTTATAATGACCAGTCAATGTTGAATACAGAGCAATGAGGCTTGTTGTTGTTGGTATCATTTCCTAAAATGGACTTATACCTCCTCAATACACTAGTATTCAACAAGATACACAGCCAGCTTTGCATGTATCTTCAAATGCTCTGGTACATAGCTTATTTAAGGTAATACAAAGGGTTCTGTCTCTTCAGATTTTGGAAAACCAAAGTCGTTCATAGATGGGAAGAGTTTTTCATTTGGGTGTATCGAGGACCTGTAAAAGACTGTACCCCCTTCATTATTATGTGTGCTTCAAATTTACTGTATGAAAACATACATGTGTGCAATTGGTCATTGTACATATTTGGGAGATCAATGATGCCATACCTAATTTCTACATAACAGAGATACCATTCAGTAAGAAGGAGACTGAGATTCTCACACATTTTGGGAATTTTATGGTGTTTCTCAATGTAAAAGATCTGGTATGTACAGAGCATGCTATGTGGCCATCAAGGATTTGAAACTCAGTCAAGGCTGTAGCGGGTGTGTCGACGGTCGGTTGTAGCAAGGTGTCGGAGTTGATTCACTAAGGAAAGTTGTCGCGTGGTGAAAAAAAGCGCAGCGTTGCGGCCGCGACGTCAACTCTGCATTCCACTACTGTTGTAATAAAGATCACGAAGGATCTGATACACAGCATCGATTTCCTTTTCCCGAGGCGGGCCTGGGAACATGCGGGCAAGAACTCGTCCCCATGCCGGCGTCATCCATCCACAATCGTGCATCCAGCAGTATTCCCAAAAATCAGGATAATAGCCGGCAGTTTCCCAGTCAACGATAGCTGTAATCTTGGAACCATCGACAAGGATGTTATGGGGGAGGAGGTCGCCGTGAGTGAAGTGGACCTGTCCGTCGGTCGGGAAGTGGCTGAATAGCTCGTCCACGTAATGGGGTCCACAGAATTCAAGGAATATACCGCGGTAGTAGTCTACTTACTCCTTGACGTTCGAAAATGCGTGCGGAGGTTGCCAAGGGTAGGGCATGTTTCGATTGCGGTAAGGACCGCCGGTGACTGCCCCGAGCGTCGTGCTCTTGTATGAGCGCATCTCATCAAGAATAACGAGCAATTGATCGGCGATGTGGTCGAGTTCGGTGGAAGACATGTTGCCGATAACGGTATCGAGAGGAACGCCTGGACATCCTCCCAATGCCAGGGCTCGACGACGGGAAGTTTGGGGAAAGGGGCATGATGCAAAACGCGTGGTGTGTGAACGGAAAGCTGACCATGGATGAACTGCAGCGCGCGGACTTCAGCGTCGTGGTCGAAGCCGAATTTGACGACAACGCCAGGAGAAAATCTGGAGACGAATTTGGTTCCAAGGGGATCCAGACGTTTCAGGGCCAAAGCTACTGGGTATCGGGCGGTGAAGGTAGCACGATGTTCGAGATACTTGGAGATCCGATACACAAGTCGGGGAATCACAAGGCATCTCACTACGTCTACGTCTATATAAAGCGAACTCTTATAGGCATATGTCATGTCGCGCACATTTCTCACCACATCCCTGTGTGGTCTCATTGCACTCGCCATTTACTACGCCCTCCCGCCATTTCAACCCCTCTTTCAATACCTTGCAGCGGGCAAAATGTCGCACGACATGGCACCTACATGGTCATCACCATACTCTGGGTGGCGTACACGGGCCGAGAAGTACCCAAACTCCCAATCCTACATCCCTCATCGCGGCAACCTGAAACTCGCTGTCGTTCGCAACGCACCTGCGGACTCTGAAGGATTCACTCTAGCACTATTTTCGAATCCCGCCGGAGCAGAGCGAGTGGCAGTCGACGCCAGCGGAGGTGTCTTTGTGCTCGCGGCGCACGACTTTGATGGGATATTGGGACTAGCGCAGCGCACCTTATCATTGCCAAAACCGAACAACTTTCGGGAGACATGGGTAGTGAAACATGAGCGAACATCGCAGCCTATTGACAGGATTCTGGTGGCACATGTTGACCTTCCAAGTCAGCCGTTGGAAGATTACCGAGAAGAGTATACAGAGACGAGTGTGCAAGGGTTCGACGAGAGGAAGAGGGAGTTGGAGAGGGCTGTTGATAAGATATCGGAGTTGCCTGTGGAGCTTTGGGAGTTGACGGGGGTTGTTTTGGAGGCGAGGGCATCAGACGGCGAAGAAGAAGATGAGGGAGTATTGAAGAGAGTACGGAGTGTTTTGGGGAATGTTTTCTGAAGTGTTTACGTAGCTTTGTAGTTATGCAGCCCTAACCCACGCCTCGTGTTCAAACGTTCTGTTGCGGCTTCAAAGTCTCGTCGTCGTCTTCCTCGTCGATACCCCGGCGGTCAATGGCTCCCACAGCCGTCGTCCTTGCCTCCCCACCGCCACCAGGATTGCAAGAGGCCACGAAATCTTCAACCTCCCAGTGGCAGGATCATCTTGAGGAGCTTTTCAAACGCGCCAAAGACCGATTTCCAGACGTTGTATGGGAGCTTACCGGCGAGGGCGGCGTTGAAGAAGTATGGGGCCACAAAGGTGCGTGATGAGCTGCCGGTACTACCGAGTTGAGGAACGATTATCCTCCTTGCAGCCATTGTATATGCTCGTGCACCTCCTTCCTTTCAAAACCGTTATTTCTCCTTCCGACCGTCAACACCCCCAGTGGACACTACTTCTGCACTCTCTCTTGATGTACCCCCGTCAATTCTTTCGCGCACCCCATCGCCAGTACAATGTCAGATCCCCCTCCGTCTGACCACGTCAATCAACCCAACGCTTTTCTCCAATGAACTCGAGTACTTGTACACAAGCCAGGGATTTGGGGAAGCGTTCGAGTTTCTTTTCGACTCATCTGATGGAGAAGAGCATGATGACCCCGAATCCATGCGAATTGATAAACTGAGAAAGGATCTCGTTTTCATGTGGCGGTCACGACTATACTCAGATGTCCGCATCGCGCTCACGGGTAACTTTTCCTCTTCACACGAAAATACTACAGCCATTTTCTCCTCCCATCGCTTTATTCTTGTTTCAAGGTCACCGTACTTCCGTAATGCTTTGCTGGATTGGCCCTCAACCCCGTCAACGACGCTTAACCTCCCATCACCCCCATTCACTCCCGCCTCACTCCACTTTACGTTAGGATTCATTTATACAGGTACTCTTATTTTCTCTCACAGATCCTACGATCTTTCTACGGCTTTCGCTATCCTCCGTTCTGCGCTCTACCTCGCTATGCCCTCTCTTCAGGACGAGATTCAGGCGCGCATTGCACAAGAAATGCTTCATGGACTCTTCCATGCTTTCCTCCCATTCTCGGAGTACGAGCGAATAACTGGAGGAAAATGGGGCACTGGTGGCTGCCGCTGTCGCCAATGCGCGAGAAGGGCTCCAAGAGTCCTCGAGTTTGCTCTAAGTGAAGACGTCAAGAATGCCCACCTCGAACGAGGAGCTCGTCGAGCACTGGTTGGGTTGTTTGGAGAGGGCTGGTGCACCTCCGAATTCGCATCCCTTACACCAAAGCTGCGCGAGTCCCTGTTGAAAGGACTGGGGAAGCGAACAACCCCGCTGAACGTTTTTCCCCTGCTCTTCGCTGCAGAACATGCTTTGGTCAAGATTGGCACCATTATTGAACCGTGGGGGGACACGGTTAGGGATATGCTTGTGGCTGCAAGAAAGGCAATCGACGAAACCATTTGCAAGGAGTCGGAAGCCTGCTTCGAGAGTGCTGAATGGATGGAGGTCATGGAAGGGGACGGAGTTCGATTTGAAGATGGGGAAAGAGTCGAATGGGTCATGAAATCCGTCATGAGAGGGGTCAAAGAAGTTTGGGCGGCTCCACTATATCAGGTATTTTACGTTTCCCTCCACTGATAAGGCTGATAAACGATGGAATGTAGACCCTCGTTTCCTCAATTCTTTTGCGGCCACACCCGACTGAAGCAAATGCGCCTCTCCTGTCCGCCACATCACATATCCGAGTTCAAGTAGAGCAGACCAGGCTCGAACTGCTCAAGTGGATTGGAAAGCGGTGGATTGCCATCAGGCAAGAACGCGGCTTTGATCCCCTCGATGGATGGGCATTAAAGGAAATCAGCGATCGTGAGTTTTTTGAAAATCTCTTTACACCACGGTTAATGAACCACGGACTTCAGACATCGAAGTACCTATTGAAGACCTGTTGAACCCTGCACCACCATCTTACTCCTCTAACACATCTTCTCCACGAAATACACCCAACTTCAGGACGAAACAGCACCTCCGCCCGATCTCTACCCACCCACACACTTCACGAGTGGACGCTGAGAGCGACGTCGCAAGCAGCATGCGTGATGCGGGTAGCAGCGTCCGGGACATTGCGAACAGTACGCGCGCGAACTTGTTTGCCAAGAATCTTCCTAGCAAGCACGGATCTTCGGCCAGCTCCGTGCGCAGTGTTTCTACTGTTGGCACTGTGGGAGGGGGCGCAAGGCGAGTCACAAACCCCACTAGCTCCGACGTGGTAACTCCCGCGAGAAGGGTAATGCTAGACGCCACTAGAGGTGTAGACCCCAAGGATGGAGATAGGCCTGATTCAAAATTAACGCCTAGGTCGCCTTCAATGATTAGCCCTCTGCCCGACTCTAGAACGCCATCGCCCACTCCACCGTCAATCGTGGAACCTGAGAACAATTATTATGAAGAGGATGAAGAAAATCATGGTGATGACTATGATGATGATGAACAAGAAGGCCCAGTTCTTGGCTCCGATGACCGGCACTTAGATGGTGACGGCGACGAGAAGAGCATCATGATCACCGCACCCACTTCACCTGTCACGCCTCTGACTACTCCTTTGAAAAAGACGCTTATTACGAAGGCGTCCCTGGCAAGTAGCCGCACAGGTTCCCGACCCAAGTCACCTGCATCTTCTGTCCGCTCGCATGCCTCTACCATTCGAAGGTCAGGCGTGAGTGGGGTCGTAACTTCTCGCACCGGAGGTTTACAAGCCGCTGCGCCTAGGCCCAACTCACGAGGAAGTACGAGGACGACAGCGACAACGAATTCGAGAACATCTACCAATACGCGGATGACAACGTCCGGAGCCGCTGCGCGCACACGCTTGGGGGCGAATACCAAAGCGAACACTCGATCTACATCTACGATATCTACAACATCTACACGACCCATGTCGAGCCTGTCAACCGCTTCAACTCACTCACGTCGAAGTCCAACATCATCTCAGTCAATGTCAAGACCAGAATCAACCCACTCCAACGCCAATTCCAGGCCCACATCAAGCGTATCGAACACAGACACCGCTACTAACGAAAGTTTCAGGACGGCTAGCTCTGGGAGTAACGTTGGGTTATCAACACCCGTTGTTAGGTCAAGAAAGATCAGTGCTTCATCGACAAGGACCAACTCTACCTCAACCATGGCTAGCGTTAAAACGGCGGGGACGTCTCCAAGACCGAAATCCACCGTTAGTGTTGCCGCTGCACCACGGGTAAGGAGGGTATCTGGATCGAGTATTACTTCCGTTGCTGGGGCGAAGGGCCCAGCAATGAAAAGGCCTCCTCCCGTGCCGGTTACCAGCCCAACAAAGTCACTTCCTGTCGGAAAGGGGGTTAAGAGAACTACGCTGATTGTCGGCGGGAAGAGTGGTGCTGCTACTCTTGCAAGGCAGGGGAAACCCATTTCAGAAGTTGCTGAGAAAGATCCAGCACCGATATCAAAAGGTGTTCAAGGTCACTCTCTGAAGGCTGCCGAAGGGCAAAACACTTTGCAGGACGATGACCTCGCAAAGAATGCTGAAGTCGAAGCTCCAATGAATTCGGACAGTGACGAGAAGGTACTAGAGGACTCTCCAATGGATACCGACTGTCATGTTTTACCTCCCTCTCCCTCAATATCGACGAGTACGATCGCCAAGGCGCCTATCAAGAAACCTGTTTCAAACCCGTTGCCTACTGCAACGACCGATATCAGCAATGAACACCACAAGAAGAGTGGCAGCTCAGCCTCTTCAGCCAGTGTGGCGACATTGAAGAGAAAAGGTTCGTCTGATACCATTACAACAAAGGTTAGGGCCTCTGGCAGTTCGATTGGTTCTGGTGCTTCGATCAAGCCTGCTGCGGCTGGTACTTCCACACAAGAAACACGGTATTCAGGCCCAAAGCAACCTATATTGTCAAATGGACACAACGAACCTGTTCCACGGGGTGCGACTCTCGAGATCGGGATTCCATGTATAATTTCCTCAAAGCGGAAGCGATTCAAGGCTTATGCACGTTACATTGGCGAAGTAGAAGGAGAGACTGGGCCATGGGTTGGAGTAGAAGTGCCAATGCCTGTTGGCGAAAGTTGGGGAGGCGACTACCACCGAGTCAATGGTGATCGTTCGGAGGACAGGCAGTGGAACGATGGCACCTGGGGCGGCATACGATATTTTGAGATTGGAGGATTGGGTGGATCGGAGTGGGACTATTCTGGAGAAGACAGGGCGGCGAGGAGGAGGCGAATCGATGCGGGAAGTGTTGGAGGGGCTGTGTGGGGCAGGGAAGTGAGCCGTGGTGTGTTGAAAAGAGACGGTGATCAGATGAGTGTTGGAGGGGAACGGAAGACGAAGAGGATGAGGAGTGTTAGTCCGGCAGTGTCGGATACGTCGGGGGTAGAGTCAAGGGGGTTATTCGTTCGACCGCAACAAGTTCTCTACGTTGTGGATGCTGTGGGTTCAGATTTGTGATATTGGTTTGGATGATACCCTTATGAACTGCGCATGGCTGTACATGGAATACGCATTTAATACAAGGCAAATAATTCTCATCAATTACATTTTCTTTTCCTCATCGATGTCTGCTCCTCCTGTTCCTCCTCGTCCGTACTATGAGTCTACACAGGGAAGAGACAATTCCCTACCGCCTCCAGTGCCCCCTTTGCCTCCCGCTGTGAGGAACGAAGCCATTCGCTATGCAACACCTAGTCCGTATGAAGAGTCTCCACCCCACTTTGAAAGGCCACTTGTTGCACCAAGGCCTCATCGCCTGGATCCTTCTATCCCTGCCAATGTAAGACCGCGTAGTTGATTTTTTGTGACTATCTGACATGTACCAGATGGCAAGGACCCTGGATGATCAGATCCGCTATGATTCGTACCAGCAGCAGCCACCTTGGAGTGGGATTCCAGGCGGTGCACCACCGGCCAATCCAATAAATGCTAATGGCAGCCTAGGAATGGCAGCAATGACACCCAATTCACTGGCTCCTGGTCAACTTACCCCTGGTGCAGTTTACCCACCGCCTCCGACCCAAGCTGAAGTTGCCCAATCTCTTGCAAACCTATCACTTACCCTAGCCCCGTTGCCCCCATCTACCTCGAACAACAGTAGCATTCCCTCACTGCCACCACCTACCTCAAACAACCCTAACGTTCCTCAACCACCACCCCCAGCTGCCTCAAACAACAGCAGCATTCCCTCATTGACCTCCCCGTTACCCACCCTTGCCCAGCTCTCGTCCGCTGCAAACATAGTCCAATCACCCACCCATGACCCCAAACTTCGAATCGCATGGTGCCGTGATGTCTTCTTCCTCATAGACAAAGCAAATGCCTTCAACATCGCAACAACCAACCCAACGACCTCCGATCTCTTCTCTACGCCCCCCTCCGATTCTCCCGTAGGCCCAATAATTATCACCGACCCAGCACTACTCTCCCTATCCCAAATTGCCGTCCCATTGGTATTGCAACTAGCTAGCTCTAGTGCAGGTATGACACCATTACCAAGCCACGTAGCTGAGGCATTGTACCTTCGTGCCAAGTTCGCTGCTACGGGTGCCTATCCAGCCCATATACCACAAAATCCTAGAGCCGCTTTCCGCGATTTCGAGGCTGCCGCAAGGGGTGGATATCCAGGCGCTTGGTTCCGTATTGGGCGAGATTATGAGAATTTTTGTGATGCAACGAGAGCAAAGGATTGTTATGAAAGAGGAATCAGAGCAGGGGTGGAGAGCTGCTTGTATGTAAGTGAATCTTTGAAATCCCATCCCACTTTTTTGCAACCCATCCCCTTGAAATTCACTTTCGGCTTTTTATCATCCCATTCTAATTCATTACAAACAGCGAATGGGAATGGCCCACCTGTTAGGTCAGCTTGGCCTCCCTGCAAATCCCCAGCCTGCCCTGCCCCTCCTCCATCGTGCGGCTCTGCTTTCATCCCTTGAAACACCACAACCAGCCTACGTCTACGCCCTCTTACTCCTATCGGAATTCACCTCTATTGCACCCCTCCCTCCCTCTCTTTTTGCTCCTTACATACCCCCGGGCTCCTCGCCAACGTTAGAGGCACGAAAACATTTGGAGCGGGCTGCATACCTGCATTTCCCTGCTGCCCAGTACAAATTGGGACATGCTTATGAGTTTGCCGAACCCCCCTTTGGATTTGATCCGCTCCTCAGCGTGCAATATTATAGTCTTGCGAGTCAAGCAGGCGAGGTGGAAGCAGATATGGCGCTCAGCAAGTGGTTCTTGTGTGGCAGTGGTGCGGGTGCGTTTCTTCTCATCAATTCTACCTTTTGTGTCCTTACATTTGAATAGCAACCGCTGGTTCTTCCGGTCACTTTGATAAAGATGAGTCACTGGCGCTCACATTTGCCTCAAAGGCTGCAAGAAGAGGACTACCTTCCGCAGAGTTTGCACTGGGCTATTATGCGGAGGTAGGAGTAGGCAGACCGAAGGATCTACTAGAAGCAAGGACGTGGTATGAAAAGGTATTTTTTTTCCTCTTCATTGTCCCCATTTCTCACCATTTACACTCCTATTAATGTAGGCCTGCGACCACGGAAACGCAGATGCCATCGCTCGCCTCCAAGCCCTATCCGCGTCGACACCCGCGCCTCTTTCGCGCGTAGAACACGACACCATCACCGAAACCAAACTCGTTCGGAAACGTACCCAAGCTCAACAGCGATCAGAGGCACAACCACTTAGTCCACCCTGGGAGGGACGTACTTTCCCTACCTTGCACGAACAGCAGCAGCAGGGCCAGGTGAGGAGGAAAGACGACGGTCGGACGGTCGTTGAAGTTATCAGAAAAAACTCGGCGATGGAGCCTCCCATGTCGAAATTGGCACAGTTAAGGGCGCAGCAGCAGCCTAAACCACAAAACACTGCTCAGGCTCCACAGGTGCAACCTTACCCAGCTGGACAAAATCGTTACCAACTCTCTGATTCATCTATTCCTCCACCCACCGTTGGCGGCAGTCCTGGCCTACGGACGGAGAGCCCAGGCCAAATCGCACCAAGTCCTGTGGGAGGAAGGCCGGGGAGAATGGCGGGGAAACTTGACAATGCACCTGGGAGGCAGTCAGCTTCACCAGCGACTGTAGCCGTTGCTGCTCCAACCCCCAAGCCTACGAGTTCGACGGGAAAGAAACCTGCTACATTCGCAGAGATGGGTTTCCATAGTGCCCAAGTGGAGGAGAAGGAGTGTATCATCATGTAAATTTGGAAAATCTCGGGTGCCACGCATAGTCAGGTGGATCTTTCTCTTATTCCCTTCTACATTAGACTTGATACCTGTCTGCACATACCACATGTATTCCCTACCATCGCGAGTTATATAGCTCCTGTTACCAAAACGAGCATGTATGGCAGGAATGAACTCTTAACGAACTTCACAACAAATAATTTTGAATTCCAACTTGAAGCCAACGAATGATGGTCGAAGCCAAAGCTATCCCCGATAACGAAACGCTCTCCAGAGCTGCGAACCTCGACGTTCTCGACTTCAAGGGCGAGAATGTGAAGTTTGGGCAGATAATTGAACGGAAAACAATTGTCGTATTCATTCGTGCGTCGTTTGAGATCGCACTCGTCAAGGGTCGCTTGACGATGCTCGCGGACAGGGCATTTCTTCTGTGGGGTATGCAGTATCTACTCAACCCATCCTCCTGCTCACGCACTTTTTTGTAGTCTTGTCAGGTCCTGAGTCTTGATCTGCATGCACATAAATGATCAGCTTCTCTGACAACGTTATGCTGCTTATGTAGGCGTATGTCGAACAGCTTGCCAAGGTATCTCAAGAAGCCCTGGACGCTGCTGACACCAGTATAGTTGTCATTGGTTGTGGAGAGTGGAACCCCATTCAATCTTATGCTGGTGAGTATATCGAGAGCTCACTCCAAATGCCAGCGATCGAACTTGACGTCAATTCAATATTTCAAGAAACGACAGGATTCAAAGGAAGAATCTTCGCCGATCCTACCCGAACTCTTTACCGTGAACTTGGGATGAACATTGAGAGTTTGGAAAGGACCCCAGCCGGCCAGGAGAGAAGAAGTTATCTCGTGTTAGGTGCTTTTGCGAATGCCACACAGAGTATTTGGGTAGGAAGCTAAGTTCCCCCTTTTATCGACTTGAAGTTTATCGTTGTACGGTGGTAGAAAGCCCTTAGACATCCATCGCATGTCGGCAAGCAGGGCAATTTTGCGCAACTGGGAGGCGAATTTATCTTTGGACCGGGTATGCATCGTTTGTAGAGATCTGAGGAGCTCATTGACTATTCTTCAGGAACTGTGTGTTCCTTTGCATCGCGCATGCAACATACCGAAGATCGTATGTCTCGTCACATTGTATATTTGACGTCGATTCATGATCATGAGCGCAGATGTCGAGGTTGCAGACCTTCTGAAGGCTGCGAGCGTAGGCCACACATAAGAACACACTGCGATAAGATACCCCCAATGGATTAAAGAAAAGTCCAAAGATACATCTATGATAGATATGTGATCAAATACAGCAAACCAATGTAGGAAGCGCAGCGGAAGATAGCAAGGAGAGCGATGAAGAACAGGATGCATTAGAAATACAGTGGATGATGATAAATGAAAACACTATTGGTCGTAGTAAAGGTCCATGCGCGAGGGAGGTCGTTTTGGGTAAAGATCCGTGAATGTGTGTTGCTGTCCAGCAGCGTCTACGTCGGGGGAAGACGTCCGCGGGAAAGGGGTGTGAGATTCGACAAAGGAGTGAGGGTATTGCTGTACTCCGTCCGAGCGATCTTCATCGAATTCGAGGTCAAGGTCAAGGTCGACAGATTCTGCAACGATTGTCAAATCGCCTTCAGCTGAATCGTCTAGATCCAATTCGTGGTCTATGCCCTCGTCGTCATCCGGATGTAGGCCTGCTTCACTGTCATGCCCCTCATTATAAGGCCTCTTTCCTGCGGTGTACCATGCGGGAAAGCCAGCAGAGTTCGATGCAGGCGTATTCTTTTCCGGGAACAGACCTTTCAAAGGCGACCTGGAACGCTTCCCGTTCCTGTGGTCCACGGAGGTCACGGAGACACGGATAGTATCTTCCCCGGAGAAAGCAGCAAGGTCTGCATTGGTGAGGACTACGAACGCCGTCGACGTCGTCGCTCGGTGCAATCTCTTCTGGGGAGCGTCAGGACGCTGAGGTTGGTGTACCTGACGCCTATGCAGGGCTGAGCTGGTCCAGCGAAGACCGTCTAGGTCGCTGAATTCGAACTTTACAGAGGCAAACGGGCGAAGGAGAGTTCGGCGTTGCTCCTATACACGATAGTCAATGTCTGCCAGTTGTGGCGTGAAAGCACAACTCACGTCAGTCATCTTGAGGGCCTCGAATTCCTCTAGACGCTGTTCGTTCTCCAACTCTAAAAGACGATGCTTCCGCTGTTCCGCGCGAGTACAGGATCTAGACATGTTAGTTGAGAGCAAGTTTAGAAAAGAAAGGAGTTGAGAAAGGCACCAGGATGTGATCCCGTGATTGAGTGTGACCATGTGACGTGACAGACGTGTTGTTTGCTGGAACGCGTTTCTCTTTTACTTCATTCTTACATACTCTCCACCATGCTCGAAGCAAAATTAGCGGAAGCTGGCACCCTCAAGAAGTTGCTCGATGGTATACATCTTTTTCTCCTTCTTGAATCTCATTTTGCTCATCGTCGCATCCAGCAATCAAAGAACTGGTAACCGATGCCAACTTTGAGTGCAATGAGGAGGGTATCAACCTTCAAGCCATGGACAACTCCCATGTTGCTCTCGTAGCAGTCCATTTGGAAGCTGCGGGGTTTAAGCGTTACCGTTGTGATCGCCCTATGCCCTTGGGCGTGAACCTGACCTCCCTCACAAAGGTTCTCAAGTGTGCCAAGGACGATGACATTACCACCCTCAAGGCTGCAGACGAGGCCGATGTGCTTAATCTTGTCTATGAGGCCAAGAGTATGTTATATTTCGCGTCGTCTGGCGTGTTTATTCATCCCCTGCTTCAGACTCCGATCGCATAGCAGAATACGATATGAAGCTAATGGATATTGACTCTGACACCCTTGGAATTCCAGACACCGAGTACGACGCGCGGGTCACCATGCCTTCAGCTGAATTTACTCGCGTTGTTCGAGATCTTTCACAGCTGGGCGAATCTGTACGAATCGAAGTGTCCAAAGAAGGCGTGAGGTTCGCTAGTGAGGGGGAAGCCGCCAATGGGAGCGTGCTGATGAAGCAAACCGACGGTGCTAGTGTAACTGGAGGGAATAAGATTGTGGCCAAAACTAAGAGGGAAGATGGTGTCGATGAGGAGGAGCAGGAGGGAGGTGAAGATGACGAGCAGGAGGAAGGGGGTAGCAAGAAGGTGAAGAAGGAAAAGGTGAAGAAGGAAAAGACCGACGGGGACGTGGATATGGTGGTTGATGATGAAGAGAAGGAGGACGGGGAGGAGGAATTCAAGCCCAACTCAGATGATGAAGAGGGCGAGGAAGAACAGGGTGATGACGATGAGAATGAAGATGGGGATGAGGATGAGGAGGGAGGAAAGAAGAGGAAGAAAAAGGTTTTTCCTCTCTTTCTGTTTAGGAACTCGACCCTTATTGATCTTCTTGTTAGGCCAATGGTTCCGCCAAACCCAAAAAGAAGGCTAAAACGAGCTCCAGCTCCTCAAAATCTAAATCGAAAAAAGGAAAGCACGAAGATGACGAGGATACACAAGCTATAACAATCGAAATGAATCAGCATGTCTCGCTCACGTTCTCCCTGAAGTATCTGGTGAACTTTTCAAAGAGCGCTAGCCTGTGTCCCAGAGTTCAATTGATGATGAGTAATGATGTACCACTGTTGGTGAGTTATTTTCTGCATTCTTTTACCAACCTGCTTCACTTTCACGCACTTAATTTTGTTCTCTACTTACTGACTTTCCGAATTCCTAGGTGGCTTATGATTTTGGACAAGGCTATATCCGGTACTACCTCGCCCCCAAGATTGGGGATGACTAGACGAAGAACGAAGAGATGCTGCGTCCTGACTGTTTTTCTGAGCCCTCAAATGTATACGTGTTATCTGTTTTGTGTTTTTCGTACTTGTGAATCGTGTGACATTCGAGCATTGCACCCGCCCCTAACCCTAAGCCACGTTTCTCTCTTTACGACCGACACGACGCGTTGACGCCGTTTGTGTCGATGACCACTGTTCATAACACGCTTATCACGACCTACAGCATCGATACAAGCGCGTCATTATCATGGCTGCTACTCTGAGCGCGAACATCAATGCTCTAATGCCCTCAGAGAATTGGGACGACGACTTCGAATTCAACCCCCATGACATGAACAAGCATAACAATAAACGACCAAACGACCATTACCACGAATTTAACCCCCAAACACCACCCTCCACGTCTCGCATGAGTATTGTCAGCTCTCAGTACACTCAGGAAGATTGGGATGCCGACTCTAGGCAGGCATCCCCGCAGCAAAGCACCAAGGTCATTTCGAGTTCAAGTAGAAAGATACCCTCTGGATCCCCGACACGTCGCTCTCACGATACCGAGAATTGGGACGACGAATCTCATACCTCCCAAGCTGCCATTCGGTTGACTGTTGGGGACCGGACTTCCCCAACTTCAATCACTCCATCTCGCAAGCAACACCAATACACACCACCGCCACCTACTGCCATTGGTGTCCTCACCGACAAGAAGAATCTGAAGACCCCTCCCCCTTTGGAAACGTGGGCTGAACCTGGCCCTTCTACACCCTCATCAAAGCGCGCTTCCATCAACTCTAACTGCTCTGGTTGCGCTGCGGTAAGGGAAACGGAGAACTGGGACGATGACTTTGATCTAGATAAACCTGATTCACCTGCCCGATTGTCAGTCAAGAAGGGTGTCAAGCCTAGAGCGACTAAGAAGGCCCAATTAGTGGAGAGCTGGGATGACGAATTTTCTTTGACGCCTTTGCGTGGAACCCCATCTAAAGGTCCCTCTGCAAAATCCCGATTATCATCTTCCCCGAGTCGGAGTCGGGTCAACGCAACTGGTCGTGCTGCCCATCTGGAGTACTCGTCATCATCCGAATCGGAGGATGAACTTCCACGACCATTGCACTACCCTTCCCCTCAACACAACCTCTACGGTGGGCAAGAGCAAGAAGATGATGACCTCGGAGAATTTGGCCACGTTCCCAAGCACCACAATTCCGACGAGGAAGAAGACCGCACTGTGACTGCGCGAACGCGACATCGCCTTGCCCGTCAGTCCATTTCCCTCGCCAACTCATCGCCACCTCCACCTATGCCCTCCCTACCCCTCTTCGCGCGCCCATTTCCACGTTCCCCCACCTCTTCTGTATTTTCCGTTCCTGCTACAACCCAAACACACTCCTCCTACAACTCTACAACACACCTCCGACCAACAATATCGCGTTCATCTTCAGGTGCCGGTCGTTTGGCAGGTCTCCCACCATCACCTCCAATACACAAGGAGAGGGAACGCAGGAGGTTAAGGAAGAAGAGCCGGCCTCACAATGTGCCCAACCCGCAAATGTACGAACTGACAGCTGTACGGCCACAGCCTTATGCAATGCCAAAGTCCTTTTCTGACGGAGAGCTGGAAATCACTGAACACGAAGAGGATGTACACCGCCCCAGAACCCCATCTCCCCCACCTCCAATCTCGATCCCCTCAACGCCCTATGGTGGAGGCAATGGACCAACGCTCCTTGCAACTCCCCAGAGCCACATCAGGGCAGGTGCATTGCTGAGCCGCATTGGGAGCGTGAAGAAGAAATGGAGTGTGGGAGGAAGAAAGAGAGGGGCAAGTGTAACACCTGCCGAAGTTGTGCAAGGTACGTGTTTTTTATCATGTCAGATTGTTTGCCCCTCGCGCTTTCCCGTTTTCCCTTATACGTTGGGCTAAAATTTTCCCAAACTCCATCTTCTCTTTTATCTCATTACGAAATTAATTAAAAATTGTTATCTTTTTTAGACTGCAGTCAAACATCGCAAGACTCTCGAGGCCAGAGCACCCACACACCTCGTCCCCAATCCTCGCTCTCCTCCTTACAAAGACACACCCCACCTCCACCCACATCAAACTTGTGGTTTTTTCGGGGTCATGGGGCTAGTGGGCGGGAAGAGGTGGCGGACAGCCGTGCAGCGGTAGGCGGAAGTCGCAGCGGGAGCATGACTGATCTCTCTCTGCGTGAATCCGAAGTGCCCTCCGGGTCCAAGTTGGGCAAAGAGCGAGAGACAGCTAAGCTGGTGAAGAGGAAGAGCTTGGGCTTCGTACATCTACGACGAGGCCACGTTCCTCCGTCCTCATCCCCAAACGAGCCTGCAGAAACAGGGAGGAAGCAGCTGGGCAAGAGGCCAATTTCAATGCAGACAAGCTCACCATCTCCGGCTTCTCACCGAGATCAACAAACTCAGCGGCATGTATCATATGCCCATGCCAAGGGTGTGCGTGATCGTGAAGCTGAAGAGATGGAGCGGGAAGCAGAGAAACGAAAAGGAGAACAGGAGAAGGAGAAGGAAGAGGGCAGTAGGAGTTTTATGGGGAGCGTTAGACGGATTAGTCTCGTTGGGGCTAGGAGACATCAAAGGACGAAGAGCGGCGTTTCGCTCAGTGGAGTCGTGGCAACAATTGGAGCAATGGGCACAACTGGCCCCAGGCGAGGGAGCTTGGATGGAAATAAGGTATTGGACGGCCAAGTGACAGGTGAAAAGGATAAAAATCAGGCCAATTCTGGCCCAAGTTCCAATGTCAACAGGAACACGAAGCATCTTTCTCCCAATGCTACCCCAACCGCAATCAAGAAGGCTTCAAGCTGCCCACCTACCGAACTCCTCCCGCCAATCGAGCTTCAGCCTCCCTCCCCTCCAAGAGTCAAGCTTTCGATTCCTAGATTGCCGTCGAATTCAACTACTTCTGCTGCGACCAAACCCCCTACGATACCAAATAGCAACTCTCTTCCAACAAGAAGCCACGTTTCTGACATCCCCACCCTCAAATCCCCTCCAACCCCAAGTTCAAGCGTACTCAAAGCACCCACTACTCCTGGGCGTCGCCCCTCCCCTTCTTCTCCTACAAACAAGTCGCCTTCATCTCCTCAGTCAGCATCTCTAGGTCGAACTGCTGCTCTTCCGAGTGGTGCTGAACCAAGCAGTTCAGGGAGTGTTATAGGTGCGGGTAGTGTTCCAAGACGCAACTCCTTGGGTGACCTAAAAATTCCTGCGAGGATCAGTCAGGCTCAGGTCGGTCTGAGGAGGGATCTAGGTATGGTTAGAGAATTTGCAGCAAATATTGAACGTAAGCCTTTTCCCCTTGCCTTTCTTTCTCCGTCATCGTTCGCTTCTAGGCTTCCTCACCTGTATGAGACGCTGATTGCAATATTCCCGCAGAACTCAAAGAGCTGCAACAAACATACCATACCCTTGTGCTTGAGGTGCAATCCATTCTCGATATGCACGCGCAACTTCACGCTACCAGCTCCACTGCTCCGCCGTTAGAAAGAGCCACATCTCCGACTCTCTTCTCATTGAAGAAGACACGGCCTCGGTCCAATACCAATCCTACTGCAAGCCCACGACCCTCACTTTCTCAGCTAGCCTACAAAGAGCTAGCATCCGCATTCTATACGATTAACTCCAAGTATCGTATTTCATGGGAGTGTGCAGAGCTTCTTATCGAGCTTGGGAGCGGCAGCGCTGGTAGCACCGGCCCTCCAAGCAGTGTTTCTGTCCCCGTCATGCATGGAGGATCAGAGAGAAACACTGTTGGAAAGGGAAGAGAGAGAGCAATTACCCTGGCTGGAGATGAGTCAAAGCCTCCAACCCCAAGACCTGGTCAACTATCTTCCACTGACCTCTCCAATCTGGGACGTGGGCCGCCCTTTGCCAGCCCACCGAGTTTGGCGTGGAGGGCATCAACGGGGAGGCATGATCTCAGTCAGAGACAATTGGTATTGCTCAGGGAAATGCTCAACAATGCTGATGCATCCATCGTTTCTGAGGACTCGCCTCATCTTTCCATCCCCGAAGAGCCGCCATCCGCTGTGTCACCCAATGATACACTCCAAGTAAACAGGGAGTGGAGGTGGGGTGGGGATGCGATGAGCAGTACCATCACACTCCCCTCCGAAGAGAGCACTCGGCCCCATCGGACTCCTGCTGTGGATGCCAACAAGAAGCGCAGAAGCAGCCGGCTCGGAATGAGTGGTATCAGGGACATGCTGAGGGCGTTGAGGAGGAACAATACTGACTCCATTCTTCCCATTGTGCCACCTCTTCCGCCTCCGCCCATGCCGGCGTCTTCTACGTCTTTGAGCACCGATTCTTCATTTGATGGCCACAGCCAGCATCGATATGCTCATCCTCGAATATTTACTCAAGGCTCTAGGAGACGGCCCAAGGGAAGTACTGGTCCAGATTCCCTCCGTTCTACACGAGACGCGAGGCCTATATCACCATATAATCCTTCGTCGTTATCTGCTAAACCATCCCCTCGCCGCCCCTCGTTGGCATCTATCTTCCGCCTAGGCACAAAAAATAGGCTACCCACTCCACCAAATGCCACCTCGACGATGGATAGGGGGGAGAGTAATAACATGATCTCATCGATGACCAGTGTAAGTACAGGGGAAGAAGACTGGGATCGTATGGACTCTGCGTCGGATTTGGACGCCGCTGCTAAGGCATTGGGGATCCCTGTAGACGGAGCCGCAACATTAAAGGGAGGCAGGAATAAACTCAAGAGCAAAGGTCGTTCACCTTACCTTCAGCACGAACCCTCAGTTACTGGGTCGTTCATCGCACAACTCACGCCAAAACGGTCTGCAAGTGGGTCTCAATCCTCCATTTGGGGTGGCGGAGGTGGAGGCGATTCCCCATCAAACCAAGCTGTCGCACAATCCCGCTCCACTCGGCTTTCTAACGTGGAGGAGCACGGGGATGATCATCGACTGGCTTGTGTTCCCCCTGTGCCTCCACTTCCTTCTTCGCACGGTGGTGATTCAAGTCCGTCGAACTCTCGACGAATGACCCGTGCAGGGCCTCCAGCTTCCGGCTCAGTTCGATCCATGCCCCAACATCCTGTCGTGCCATTGCCGGACCCCAAGCTCGCGATGACACCGGAGAACATCAAGCCTTTGCTGGAGAACGCCAAGGAAGTGCACTCACGGTTGAACGAGTGTATCACGGAGATTCGGGGGTTGATGCAAGGAGGTGCAGGGCAGGGCTTGAAGTAGAAATATCTTGTCAGATAAATATAACATAGGAACATCTAATTTCAGACGTGCGAAAGGGTGTTGAAGGCGATGGTAACAATGACGGGAGCGGTTGAGAACCAACGTCCTCCCCGTCATGCAAAGGGTGTGGTCTTCCTATCTCGACCCCTCCGCCGTCAAGCGTACTGTGCGCCCTTTTATCTGACATCTTGCTTCCCTGCTAATTATATGTACTGTTAGATCGATACCACCTCACCGTAAGTTCCTTAGTATCCAATTTCAACACACCTCACCGACCGAGCATAGGCGAACCTCTATCGCCGCCTCTGACATATCTAATGCTGAATCAACACGCCATATCCTCGATAACACCCCCAGCCTAAACCCGTACAGTGGGCGCTCCATGCCAACCACTGGTCAGAACTCGACGACGGGTCTCTCTTTAACCATTAACTATGTCCCATCCAAGTTTTCTGGGACCATTCTCAGGCGCAAAACGACTGCCAAGATGCCAAAACTTGGTGGGGGCGTCGAAGCATTCCGGAGTGGTGAATCCCGGATGCCTGGACAAACCTTTGGCAACGAAAATAGAATTTCCATGTTCGGAGGGAAATTGCAAGTAGCGAACAAGTACAGGTGGAACAAGTTCAAATGGGTGCTCTTTTTCTCCAACCTCTGTGTACGGCCTTCATTCATTATTCAAGTTTTTCTTAACTATCACTCATTCCCACATCTACTACAGCTGACTACCTATGCCCTTGTCTCCCTTGTTGCCTGTCTACTGACTTGGTTTGACGTGTGGCAACACGCCGACGTGATGCGTGTTGGTAATCGTCCTGAACTCATCGTATCCACCATTGGTGCCACCATCGGTGTTCTGACATCTATCATAGGATGGGCTGGTATCCTCCTTAACAATCGCTCGTTTCTCGCTGTTTACACCTTCATGACTTGGATTACCTTCGCATTCCTCATTACTCCGGGCTATATCACGTTCCGCCGGAGCGAATACAACCTCGAGGGTAAAATTAACTCTCAGTGGTCAAAAACACTTGGTGCCGAGGGCCGACTTAGGATTCAGAATCAGCTTGAATGCTGTGGTTATTTTAGCCCATTTGTAGAGGCCACTGTCAGCCAGACTTGTTACGCTAGGAGCTTGTTACCTGGGTGTAAATTGCGATATCTAACATTCGAACGCAATATTATGAGGAAGTGGTATCACGCTTCGCTCGGGCTGGCACCATTGCATATCCTTGTCATGATTGCGGTCCTGTTGTGCTCGAATCACGTCACATATCGCTTTGGAAAGGGCATGATGCCTGAAGCATACCGTTTGGACTTGAATAGCATGGCCGTTATCATGGAAAACTATGCAAAGTACGCCTTCCTAGTTCTCTCCACGTCGAAATACTTCCTGACTTCTCCTTTGTTCAGTCAGTTGGCGGAAGAATATGGAGCAGAAGCTGCTTCAGAGATTCTCAAGCGATCTCGATCAAACCTCAATCTCAGCGAGATACCTTCCAATCCATTTGAGAACCCTCCACCTACACCAAATCTTGACGATTCAAAATACCAATCAGCTACTAAGAAGGGGCGAGAACCCTTCTAGCGACATCCCTTTGCCCACCTCTTGTTCGTTGTTGCCACAACGTCAATCTTTCTTGGTTCCGTTTCATCTTGACACTGTTGTTTTAATGCGCCCCTTTCTATCCTCGTAATTATGTTCCCTACGCCTAGCTGTAAGTACAATGTTGCTCTCGTTGCTCGTCTGTACCGACATATTTATACCCATCCAAAATTGTATACCATTTACGTCCGACGTGCACGCAATCTCAATGGTGGATCCATGAGGCCCTAGGCCAGACTTGGTCAACTGCCCACCTCGATCACGTCAAGAACCCCCGACAAAATTTGAACCAATCACGCGATCTGACTGTAACGTTCTTTGGCTGGCAGGATGCGTTGCCTTGATAGTGTTCTGCATTTCGCTAACGGAAACGGTCAAATTCAACCAAGATAATTGAGAAATGATGGGAGACACACCAGGAGGAAACAAGTTACAGACTTTTGCATATCATTAATCGAGAGTCGATTGTTAAAATGTCCAAAATCTACACCATCGTGGACTTGCATCACGGGCTGAAATGAGCTTGAAGAATATTTATTGAGGAACTTTACTAGTTCCTCCGAAGAAGGTGAGGATCGTGACAGGTGGAAGGACCAGTGTCGCCACCACTTCAGAGTAGACAGATGTCGACGAAGAGATTCACGATGCCAAGCAGCGGCATATGGTAGGCCATCGTCCAACACCGAATCTGACATACATTTATCAATGTACCTCAACAGGAGCAATGTTATTTCGGTGTGCACTTCGCACCCGATGAAATATTTTCCAGAGCGGGAGGGGTCAGAGAAGAACTCTTCAAAAAGGTCAGGATAGCTCTCCATGCCAACTTCAAATAGCTTTCCAAGACAACCACGTAGAGGAATGAGGGACTTGGGCTCCCCACTGCTTTCAACGGGAATCTCGAATAACATGGCGAGAGCTTGAGTCATGGCATACACGGCGAGATGTGCCGACAAATCCGCTAATATCGCAATCCATTTGATGAGAAGATCAGGTGAAGGAGACTGATCCACAATGGAAATAATTTCGCGGTCAAAGAGAAAGCGATAACTGAGATAGAGTGAGGGACAAATGTCTTGGATATTCTAGGCAACGAGGTGAATGTCAGAATAGTATAGTACAGTAAATGGGAGCCTCACATGTTTCTTCAACCATAACAGCATCAGTGCTTGAACATCTGGCTTGCCCAACCAATGACGCATGTTACGCTGCGATTCATCCATTCTGTCAAGCGCGGTTTCAGCGCTTGCATATTGAGTGAAAAAATCTAAAAGTCCTAGGGTAGGTGCAGCCTCTTGAAGATGGGTATACCAAGAGTTCAAGGCATATTGGCATACTTCAGCTGTACAAATATTTTTAGAATCGATGTCAGGACTATACAGGAAAGAACTTACTTCGGCCGGTGCCTTCAACATCGGTACCAGGAGTTAGGACACGAAAACACATTTGTGTAATGTCGGCATGCACATTCTTTGTGTCCAAAAAGTAGTCTCCTGATCGTGAGCGATCCGCGATAAAGTCGATTAGCGATGCGTGGGTTATCCGAATGGGATTTCCAACATCATTCAGATCATTGGGGACGTCAACAATTGAATGGACATCGTATAGCAAAGATTCAAGCCTCCCAGGTGGGAGATTAAGGAGGTGCTGAACCAGAGGTGGAGAAGCGGACTTCTTATCTGTTATACACAATAACAGACCAATAATGCGCAAGGTACCGCCGTCCCTCTCGCTCGTTGGTTTCAGAATTTCTCGATATAGCGCATCCAGATCTGCAAAGGGTGACTGATCGCAAGCTGTGTTGATACCAAGAATGGTTTTGAGCCTGTCGGGAGGGTAATGCCGGCGGTCATCAATGAACTTTATGACTGTTGACGGATAGATGAAATGCCCTGAAGCCTTTCCCATGATAGTTTCGATGTCTTTGTCAGCTGGCCATGTTGTAGGGAGGCGACGTTCCTGGGCAATGCGTTTAAATTCAGACCGGAGATATTTGGAAACATCATTGTTAGATTCGCTATCTTCAATAAGTGGAATGTTTCGAGATAATTTGAGGAGCTTGTCGTGGTTGAAGGCATCTCGGATGTGGGGTTCGGGTCGGCTGGCTACGAGGAAGCAGAAGGGAAGCCTATGCCGGCTGACTGCTGTGCAAATAACATCTATAATGCCACATTGTTTGTCGTCACCATCACACTCGTCCAACCCGTCGATAATGATAACCTTTCTAGGATCGGATCCCTTTGAAACCTGCAATAGAGGTTCGATCACAAGCTTTGAAAACTGTGCGTTGACAGCGCGCGAGAAGATCAACGGGTCATTGTGTACAACGTTTTCAATGATTGGCTTAGTTTTTTCAATGCTTTGCGTGAGCTGGTATGAGATGGTAGCCACCAAATGTTTATCAGAGTTTCGATCAGATGTTCTCCGAGAGAAAAAGAAACTGGAGGCCAGTCTTGCGACCGCAGGCTCTCCGCACTTTTCCGCGATAGTCTGAGCTATTGCAGACTTCCCCGCTCCAGCAGGGCCGTATAGCCAGAGAATAGGAGGCGAACTACCCTTAGACGTATCGTCGGTAATCCATGACATGATATTTCGTAGGATTGCCTCCCGAGTATTGGGGTGGCATTTGGGAGGCGGAAAGCGCTCCTCTGCATCGTGAAACGCACTTGCAGCAATGGCTTTGGCAAGCAGCTCAAATCCTGTATGGATGTTGGTTAAAATACGGGTGCTCAGGTGCTTGTGGCGCACCTGATTGGCCGCCTCCATGAGAAATATGAGCATTTCCATGTACGTTGTAAAGATGACCGCCACTAATGTCCACATTGCGTGAATCATTCAACATAGCAGAGTGAAAAGGGAATTATTAGTCGGATAACGATGAATGTTGAGGAGAAAGGGCGCAAGCGCCTATCCTGAGCATCGCCTTGTGCTCGAAATAGTCTGACTGCCATGAGGTGGTACTTAGGTGAAGGGTCGAAGTTGTTATATTTTGTTGTAGCTTGTTTACTAAAGGCTTCCCACCCTTTCTGGACGCACCCTCCCTTGGGTCTTAATTCAATCTTAATTTTACTGTCGTCGTTGCCGATGAATTACGATGCTCAGGAGGCAGCCTTAGGGTTGCTAGGCCTATGCCCGAACAATTTATCTCCTCTTGTCACCACCCCCACCATCCCAGCAAAGAGGAAGCAAGGTCCCAACAGCACCATTATCATTCGGGACGACAGCAACGATAACAGCAACAACAAGAAGGACAACTCTCAAGAGGACATACGCTGCATCTGCGGTTTCACATACGACGACGGGTTTTCTATTGCATGCGACGACTGTTCGAGATGGTGCCATGCAGCTTGCTTTGACATTGTGGAAGGAGAAGTGCCAGAGGAGTGGTTCTGTTGGGAATGTTTTCCGAGGCCGGTGGACAGCGAGCGCGCAGCCAAATTTCAAAGGGAACGGCTCAAGGGGTTGCAGGTTGGTCCTGAGAAGAAGCAGCGGAGGCAGAGCGTCGCTGCCATTGACGGTGGCAAGCGGAAGCGAAGGTTGTCAATGGTACAGCAACCCCAGCAGCAGCCTGTTGTACCCAACGAGGACGAGCACATTGACATTGACGAACCTTGGACGCATTCCTACGTTCACATTACCCAAGATGTTGTTCCAGAGGATACCTGCATTAAACTTCGACGTCAAGCCCACCATTGGCGAGGTATAACTGCCATCTCAGATACTCCCCTTCAACCTGTTTGTCTCCCGCATAACTCTCCCTCTCCGCCTCCCACGATTATCAAACCAATTTCATCCCCGACCAACGTCCGTCCTCCGTCCTACGCTGTGCACACCACCTTTCCAATCCCCTCATCTCAGCTTATAACGCCATACACCTCATGTATCACGCCCTCTTCCTTATATTTATCGGATTCTCTCAACTCCTACGCTCATTTGGGCATGCCAAAACCTTTTGTGCACCTTTTAGGACCTCCTCTGGATATCGCACTGGACTCACGCATAGCAGGGGACAGGAGTCGCTTTGTTCGCAACGGCTGTAGGCCGAATGCTGTCCTCCGTCCAGTGCTGTGTGGCCAACCGCAAGAGTCAGAGACACTTACGTTCGGGGTGTTTTCGCTAAGGGACCTCAAAGCTAACGAAGAGGTGGTGCTTGGATGGGAATGGGATGACGGGAATGCGGTCCATGCATTACCTGCGCTCATTGAAACTCCCGGCATGTTCCCGTGAGTTTTCCCCCAGTTCACTATGAAGCAGGCTAGTTAATTTCTGTCAATAGCTTGCACGACGTCGATCACCTTCGAAACCAGATGTCCAACATCCTTCATGCCCTCTCGTCAACATTTACAACCTGCGCGTGCGGCGCTCGAGCAAAGGATTGCATCTTGACGCAAATGGCAGCCTTTGTCGATAACGAGGTTCCCTCCGGTCCTGAACGCGTCGATCTAGGACCATTAGTGGGCAGAAGACGTGGATTTAGGACGAGGGAGAAGATACCTTTTAGTGGTGGGATGGGTGGTGTAGAAATGGTGTCAGAAACCGAAGACGAGGAGCAAGAAGGATCACCAATATCCTTGCCAAGCTTTGTATTATCACCAGCGTCTTCGAGCTCAAAGAAGGGGAAGGGTAAAGCAACATCATTGGACGCTGAGGAGGATGTCGTTCGAGGGAGGAGTGGGGTGAATTATCACCAAAGCAATCGAAATCGCAAAGGTCGTGCTCTACTCACCCTCGTAACTGTCAAGACTCATCCACTCAATTATAGATCGTCGGTCACGTCACATTAGCCCCCATCATTCGCCCTCACATCCCCAGCTTGAACTACCAACGAAGCACCCCTCTGGACTGGCGACAGAGCTCAGGCCTCCGGATACCATGCAGGTGGACGACCAAGAGCTGACGGAAGACAAGATGCCCCCCAAGATGCGGAAGAAATGGATCCATCGCGAGTTTGAGTCACTTAAGGAGGCAAATGGGCGTGTCCATTTGCCGGAATCAATGAGCATCGACAGCTCGAAGAATCCACAGGGCGTTGGGTTGGGTATCCATATCGATAGCGAAGGCACGTATATGTATATGTATATCCTACAGACGTGATATAGCTGACAATATCTCAAGATGTTGATGTCGAAATGCCACCGCCACCAATGCCTGCTTCTCTAGACCCGACAACTATGTCATCACTGACAAAGTCATTCGCAGTGCATCGAAATCATCCGCCGCAACACCAATCAAATGCAGAATCTTCTGGTCATCTCCCGCCCTCCACGTCCCCTACAACGAGCTTTGCAAAACTCTCATTACTCTCTCCAATGGTGACCGGTTCGATTTCGCAGGCGCAAAAGTTTCAGTTCCAACAGGCTCAAGGGATTGATCACTTCGGCCCAGATGGATGTCAGAAGGATCTCGAGGATGACCGGGATGTTGAGCGAGGACAACTGTCAAATGGTCAGGTGAAGCCCTCATCACCTCCACATGAGCAACAGAAATATCTTGACCAACATCCTTCTCTACCTCGACAACAAACCCCTTCGCCTCGTCAAAGCAATCAATGTTTATCACGGTCTGGGCACCCCTCCCCTCTTCAACCCCCATCGCATGCACCAGCAGTACAACTTCTGGGTTCTCCAACCCAAAACTGGAGGCCGTTCCGGAGGCTCGCGAGCCCTGCGAGTCACGATCCATCACCGTCTTCAGTCGCCTGGCAAGCGTTAGCTCAGTGCGATTACGTAACCTCATCCCCAACATCCCCGAACACAACACTTCCACTCTCATGCATGCGACATGAAGTATCTCCTCCGCCTGCCCAACTCAGCGTACGTTTGGGTGGGACCGAACACCAGGATGAGGAAGAGGTAAGCCATCTTGAGCTAGGTGAAGATTCTTCAGAGGAGGTGGATCATGACGCGGACGACGGTGACGATAATCTTACCTTGGCGTACCCATCTGCGCCAGAGATCAACACTGAAGGTTCAATGTCTACACCATCACTAGTGCATTCTCTCGCAGAGCCAGGCCCAACTGAGCTGCTGCCAGGTTCTAAGTCTTCAGCTACTTCTAGCTGGATTCACAGACCTATCTCCTCTGCACCAGATTCCATAGCGTCCACGCCTCCTGCTGGAGTGTCTAACGGATATTCGAGGCGTGAAGGTGTCCCTCCAGCACCGCTCTCACCCGAGATCTCCGAACGGTCACTCAGGCCGCTGTCTGGGCCGGTCGTGGATACACCGTCAGTTCAGGCCTCAAATGTAGTAAGTATGTCGGAGGAGGGAGGGGGCTCCGCGAGAATTTCAAGGACCTCGGAGGATGTGCATATGGCGTCACAAGAAGAAGAATCTGCAGCTCAAGTGCAAGTCCAGAAATCTCAACCGCCTGCTTCTTGGTCACCTCTGCCCCGGCTGGCCTCACTTTCACCACCTGCTGATGCACGCGAACCGACGCCTCCTCCTACAGCGCGTTCGCCAACTCATTCACCAACGCCACAGCCGCCACCAGCGCCGAAAGTCAAAATGTCCTTGAAGGACTTTGCGCTGCGGAAGAAGAAACAGCGGGAGGAGGAGATGCTCACAAAGTGTACACAAGCGTCTCCTGTGACCGAAAATCTGAGTCTTGTGTCAGACGGTGAGGAGATTGCTGGTAAAGAGGATCCTGAGGAGGTGGGCGGAGTTGAGGAGGTAATTGCGGTGTTTGAAGATCCGTCTTCAGAAAACTGTGGCAGTAGCGAAGTGGAGAAGGATAGTGGGCCGGATGAAAAGCCAGCAGCTGAGTTAAAGGGCGTTGGGACCTTGAAAGAGGAAGAAATCCGTCCAGCAACCAACGTTGGAGGCGCCTTGCCTCTCGCCAATGGCGTGCACAGCAATCTCCCCTCACCGCCATCTTGTCTCCCCTCACCGCCATCACGTCTCCCAACGAAACCCCCAATGTCGCTCCCCTCTCGCCCTCAGCTTGCGGCCTCGCCTGGTACTCGAGAGGCAAAACAGGAGCTTATCGAGCCTCGAATCGCATCTGTCCAGCCCCATCATCCCAACGGGAGACCTTTCTCCCTCATTGACCGACTCAAGGGACCTCTTTCCTTTCAACCACTTTTCCCCCACAAGACACTACCTCGACGTCCGTCACGCGAGGATGATGAGATCGGCGAAACCTCCCCTTCTCCAGCTACACATGAGCAACCCAAGCCCGTGTATGTTCCTCGCTCAGTCTCTCCTCCAAAGCAACCACGAGCACTTATGGGATATCCGTATAATAACCGTCCGACGCCATCACCCATATCTTCGACCCCACCCGTGTTCCGCAATCCGCCGCCCACGGGACCTAGAGCGCTGAGGAACTCAATGCCTCCGCGCCAGCTCGCTGTTTCACCGCCGAATATTCCCCGGGGACCTTCAGCTGATCGCGATCGCGTTGACTGGGATCAACGACGGTCGCATTCCAGTCGGAATGGGCATAACGGTTGGTGTCGATAAGCTTGTTACTCTTCATTTTTTTCCCTTTGATGTTTTTTATTCTTCTCTTATTCCCTCTGGTATCTGGGACTCGCACTGTAGGACGTGTTAATTTTATCAGCACAGGCATTTTTATGGTAGTAAGCACAATAACTTGAAAGACGTAGAGTACAACAGAACTACACGGTGCGCTGAGGAAATCGAATATCAATAATTTAAACGTGAGTAGGACAGACTGATGGAAGGAGGGAAGGAGAACGTCTACATCGTTGTAACGATAAGCATATACGCATGAAATGCGTTAATCATCGCTGCCGCTGGCCTGAGGTTCCTCGTCATCCTCCACGGCCTCTTCCTCCTCCGACACCTTACTCGACTTGGGTGCGGTCTTCTTCGTCCTTGGTTTGGCGGGTGCTTTCTCTTTGGGAGCCTTGGGCTCCTTAGGCTTGCGGGGCTTGGACTCCTGTCCCCGGTTAGGGTTTTCTGGAGCGTCTTTCCACATGAGCGCGATCTGAAGGATTTCAATCAGCGGAGGAACGGAGATGATAGCAGAAATGAAGCATATATGCGTGGTAGACGTATGTATGCGTGCGCAGTCAATGTTGAATGTGCACGCACCTGGGTCATGGCCTCCTTCGCTCTTCCTGGATTAGCCTCATTCCACTTTTTCATGTGTTCTTTGCAAAAGATTTGGTAGGCTGTCGGCTCGCGCTTGGGTTTATCAACTATGTTACGGATGAGCGGGCGTGATGGGGGGAATTGTTCACAAGCCAACCTTTTGCGCGGGTCTTTGTGTTGGCAGCCTTTGTCGCAGCTTTGGTCTTTGTCTCTGAGGGATGGTGAGGAGGCTATAGGATGAGGAAATGGGGGACTGACCTGTAGCTGTCTTTGCCATGATGGTGGTTGAGATGAAAATGCAACGCGTCTCACACGGACGCGTTTGTTGACGCGCACGTGGTATGGTCCGTGCATATGCAACACGTGAAATGGCATTCCAGACAGCTAAATTAGTAAATACAAGACCCGCCTCGCCTCGCTTCGCTTCGGCCCATAAGGCTTGTGTATACGTATAAATGTCGCTTATGTAACAGCTTTAATGCAGCTGGCAGTATTAATGTCGTGGATTTTGTCCCAGAAAACTGTTTTCTGGAATTGTTACGCTCTACCGTCAGATGCTCTCTGTGATTCACACCAGGATCTCCTGAAAAGTCACATTTTCTGTACTGGTCTCACCAGCACGCAAACGGATCGCTGCGTGGTTTCGGTTTCGAATTCTTGACAAAGCGGTATAAAGCTGGCCATGCGAAAATACAGGCTGGGTAAGCTCGACACCGATGATGTCCAAAGTCAGGCCTTGACAGCTGTTAAATGTTGTTGCATATGCGATTGCCAGTGGAAACTGGCGGCGGAGCAATGTGTAACCAGAAGAAAGCTCGGTGGAGAATGTTATCCGTGGTATGAGAATCTCCTCGTCGCCCCCATCAATGGTATCTGAACTGTGGAGTAGCTTTACAGTGATCAGCCGGGATCCTGTGTCAGTGACGACCACTCTTATGTTCTTCACGAGTCCTCGGTCTAATGACAGGTTTCTTAGCAAGCGATAAACACCACCCTTCTTGATTGTGAGAGCATGTTTTGGGAGACCGGGGGGAGTGTTTTTTTCAACATAATCTAGCACACTATCGGGGGGTATGAGGCCTGCATCATCGACTTCCTTCAGTGAGTCGGCTGCTAAATATGTCTGTGTCTGGCCAATGAATGCCCGCAGAATAGCATCATTGTACATGTCAACTTGAGCATTTGTTGGTGCAAGAATTGCTCGCTGCAGACAGTGGTGAGGGTGGAGTAGGATATCTGATGGGTAAACAAAGTCGATGAGGTCCTGAGCTGTGTACACGATCCGTAAACCATTCAGAGGTATGTTGGGACCTGCTCCATCGCCAATTGCATTGACGAAATTTGAAAATCCAGGATCTTCTGCATTTCGGATTGGTTCTGTAAGTCGCATAATATTAAACGAAGGCCAGAGGGGGGACGATTTCAATGAAGCATCAACAACCTGAATTCTTGTTCCTCGCCGAATAACAGGGCAAGTTTGTCGAAAATCTCCCAGAAGAATGACAATCTTTCCACCGAAAAGTTCATCGTTTCCCATGACTCGACGGGAGATATCTTCGACACACGAAAACACAGCACGATTCGCCATTGGAGCCTCATCCCAGCCGATAACAACAGTGTGTTCAATAAGTTCTGCGCGGCTATCGTTGTCTTTGATTGACGATATCAACATTTCATTTCTCTCATTGACGGGCACCTAGTAGGGTAAGTGAGGCATAAACTTGAGGTTGCTAAATATGTTTACCTTAAATGTAGCATGTGTCGTTCTCCCGCCAGGATACAGTTGTGCAGCGAATGCAGATGTCGCTGTTGGTAACACAATTTTGCCCATCGATCGAATCTTATCACAGATTGCCTTCACGACAGTTGTTTTCCCTGTACCAGCTTTTCCATCAACGAAGAGGTAATCTGCACAGTCATTAGCGACAGCTGCCATGACACGGTCATAAATCGCGCGTTGGCCTTGATTGAATCTTACGACAGCTGCATCCGCTCTCTCCCCCAGCTCTTCTTGATTTCGGCCCCAGCGCTGCATTTCGTGTATGAGCTCTCGCATGTGGTGTTCTGGATTGGGGAGTCCATATGAACCTAGTGTTTTGCCATATTCCTCAAGGTGATGGTCGATTTCTTCCAAAGCCAGATTGAATCCTAATGTTTCGACTCCATTATTCTGCAGGATAAGATCCAGGGCAAGACTCTGCCTGAAGTCTTCCCACATCTGTATTGGTGCGGCGATGCAGTCGTTGACGAGCAGATGAACAAATAAAATGCGGATTTGTCGGGGGGTATGTAGGGTCTCGATAGCTTCCTGCATTGCATACTGAGCTTCGTTTTGATCAGCAAACAGCCCAAGTTGAATTGCAGCATCTTGAAAAGTTTGACACACCACACCATTGACTGTTCGGGCATCTGTAAAAGATTCGACAGGTCGGTGCCGCAAGATTGTTCGTAAGTAGAACAGTTCCCCTTGTGAAGGCCGTATTGACTGAATCCGGCTTATATGAGAATGCGATAACGACCTAAGAATGGCATGTTTTCTTGGGTACTGGAAAGGGTTTTGATGCTCGAGAAAGTAAGCTGGATGGCCAACCTTATCTGGAGAGAAAGGAGCTAATCGAAAGAGGCTATAGTATTCGGTGTAGGTTAGTTCGGCGAAGCTTCTCCACGAGGTCCCAATTTGAAAGTGGCCTTCAGGTCGAAGAAAATAGCGATGAAGTAGGGAAAGTGAGCTTTCAGAACCGGCAGTGCGTTGATATTGTCGATGATTTGTTGCGTTTTCTAGATGAATTGGAAGAGATGTAACGGCAGGTTCTTTTTTGGTCACATGGAAACCGAGAATTCTCCATGCAGCTTCACCTGCTGAAAGATAGCGTGCATTCCAGTATTCCTCAATCTCGTCGACAGCAGCACCATCCTGTTCGGGCCCAATATAATACTTTGCTTTATCGGGGCCTATGGTTGGGGATTATGAAGATATCATATATAAAGAAATAGTGCGTCATACCTTTGTGGATATACTTGAAGAGATATTGAAAAATGTGTGAAGTATTAGAAACTTCAAAGTTGATGTGACACTGAAATTTTTTCAAGAGCGGTAGACAGTATGGAACGACCCATCTATCATCATCATGTCGCCTCCGATAATGAATTCGACCCTCATTATCAATGGTTGTTGTACACTGAAGCGAATGAGGATATCCAAAGCGGCAGAATCGGTGACCGTCCTTTTCTCGCTGGCAATATTTAGAAAGTGTGTCTTCTTCGCGTGGGTGATGATGTAACATGAATTTTCTGACCAATGTAGCATCTTCTCGACAGGCGGGGACCTCAGCTGAGACGACGAGATCAATGTCGTCTGGCATCGTACAGTCGTTAGCGAACTTCACGAGGATGTGGGCATGTGGCAACCCTCTCTTCTGAAACTCAACACAGTGGATCACATAGACCTGTCGTCCAGCATTTGTAAACATGGACCGGATCGCCTGCTGTAGTAAGGTGAGTTTTCGTTTGAATACTCGCACCACGATGACAGGGATGTCTGCGAAGGACTGCCCAGGGAGCAATCGGCTTGTGATCTCTGGCCAATCTGGGTTGCAAGTCATCGTCACGAAGAATGTTGGATTGCCACATGATGCTGCAATAGCAAGGGAATCGGCAATTTGCTCGGATGCCCAGCGATTTGAACCAAGGAAGGATGAGGGTAAGTAAACATTTTCGCTGTAATTGAGATCATCAACACCCATCAAAGCAGCATCTTCTCTTCGCAGGCGGACCTGGTTCGCTCGGATATAGTTTAGTCTTGTTTCAAGATCACGGGTGAACATATCGACGATGTACTCATTTGTCAAACGACCAAAGATTTGGAACCGAGGCTCGCGTAACAGCCGAGCACGGTAGTGCCACATCTGTGTGGTTGGACAGTCAGCTGTAGGATCAGATGGTGTACATCGTGGCGAATGTCTCTTCGGCTGCCAACTATTCCCCAACCAAGAGTCGCATTTGGGAAGAGAAGAGGATATGCGAGTGGTTCCCACAATCTACTGATAGTAGGAATGGATTGGAAGGTGCCGCCTGTACGTGAAATTGTCAACCGACGACTTTTGATTTGAGACTGAGTGGTGTTATCATAGCTCATGATGGCAGCTATTTCAGCTGTTGATCCAGTATCATCGAGGATGAGGTGAGCATGGGGACATTCATGTGAATCGAGTGCACTGAGGTTGTGGAGAGCTGTGACAAAGGGATTGACACGAAGGAGCGCATCACGAAAGGCACATTTCCATACTTCGGGCAATGCAGATGCCCAATCCGAATTTTGATGTGGGGCGGTATTCATCATGAACCCATCATGTAACAGCCATCGAACAGCTGAATTTTGATGAGTAGGTCGTATTCGATGGTAAATTTTCCCTTGAATTGCGACAAAACCAGGTGGGCCGGCAATATCAGGAAATGCATGTGTCGTTTCAAGAGAGGCGAATGAAAATATCAGGTTGAGTAAACGGGATTTCTGTGAGATGTCAGGATGATTAATGAACGCATTATATTCTTCAGGAAGTGGGGGAAGGGGTTGAACTTCATTGAATTTAGATCCCCGTGGACCACAACAAAAACCTGGGGATTCGCCTGTAAGTAGGACAACATCGCAGGTCGGGCATTTGTGGACATGTCCATGGCGAATCTCTCCCCACTGCAGTCGAGGTGTGGAAATGGGACCAATCGTCCAGAGGGCTGACATTTTGTAGAAGGTGCGAGTCGTAGAACAAAATGCTAATTAGCTATGGCTCACCCGCACACCAACATATGAAATTCTTCAATATGATTACAACTGGTAATGCTACGTAGAATTTGATTGAATACATGATACAGAGTTCTTATTCAGAATTAGTCGAGATCAGTGGTATACATGAGAGGGGGGGGGATCTTGTGAAAATATCGTGAGCACGTCATTCGTCACCTGAAGGTTTTTTCACTTACATCAAAATCAAAATCATCCCATAGAACAATTGATTTCTCGTCGTTCATGCCATTAAATCTGGAGATGTTGGCATGTCAGAAAGACTTCATAAAATGTTAATTGTTTCTGACAGGAAGACAATGTCATGATCATGGTATTTCTTGACGAATAAATTAGTGAATGTTTCGTATAGTAGGAAACACCATACCTTTTCAGTATGCTCCTGCGATGATGGGAAAGAGTTAACGGTAGAGTTGACATTGAATAAATGGGCAAAAAGTGTCGAGACGAATTTGAATGCTGTTAAGAAGATTAGAGAGATAGGTTGATACCATAAGAATAATTGACGACATACCCGATGATAGGATTGTAAACATGGTTGAAGACCAGGGGCTGAAGTGAGGGAAACTTGGTGTATCGCTTGAAAGTGACACGAAAGTATCAAAATAGATATGACGAACATAAGAAAACTGAAAGGCCCGGAATACAACATCTGAGACAAATCTTGGCTGCTTATTCGACGATGAGGAAGCTTTTCCGCATGACTGATCAGAAGGTCCAAGTATGAATAGAATAATTATGGTCACCTTCAATTTATTACAACGAGATCCGAAGCAAATGCTACAAAATCAGGAGAATCAAAAGGGGAGTACAAAATATGATATTTTGGCTGGTTAAATTTGGCCTTGAGTAAGTCTTCTGCATAACTGGTTAGAAAATTGAACCATGAATAAAATAATGAAGGTCACCTTGCTCTTCCAATAAGATCCGAAACAAAATCAAGTGAGACACTTTGCCCCGGCACACTTGTGATTGGATGGAGAGAATGTGAAAACCGATGGCAGTCGGATCTTGATTCAGCACACACATGTGCCATGTTGAAAACAAAAGCGAGCCGATGGTCAAAGAAAAGGACACCATAAACAGAAGTGTGAGTGAAACAATAGGTCAGAGCGAGGAGTTGAAATCGTCGATAGTCACCCTCGCGAATGTAGATGTCCATAAACCGGAGAATGAGAAAGGCGAGGGTTAGGGAATGAAATGGGGGTAAACAATCCACGGAGAATATGACAGCGAAAGGAGAGCGGTAGAGGTGTCGTTGAAGAATAAATGGAGTTTCAACCCAAACAAAGATGGGCTGTGAAGAGGTGACATTTTGAACGGCATCATATTGAATGTCGGTCCGATGTATGGCTGTGTTGGGCTGCAGGAAAGATGAGATACGAAATAAAGTCATAAACATTGGAACACACTGTAATCAAAGCAGCCAAAGAAGCCAATGACGCGGCAATGCCAATATCCCAAACATTATTCACTGTTGAGATTATTTCGTGACGAGCAGATGGTGGTAAAACAATAATGTCAGGGGTTTGAGTATAGAGGTTGATGACTTCAAAGGGAAGATCAGAGATCGGCATGAGAAATGAAAACAATGGGAAACCTCTTCGTGGTAAGTGTAGCAAAAATAAGCAATGAATGAAAGTGCAGGAAGTCATCGAAGATGAGAAATACATCGACCACTCACAACTTTATATACAGCCATGTGGGTTGTGTTATTTAGAAAGACAATTAACGTCAATAAAGATGTAAGCAACACAAAAAGAAACAGATAAAATCGAGTTACTAAGTATACGACAGATATCTGATAGAAAAATGTGAGAGTCAGTCGAATAATAATGTAGATTGATAAGACACATACCGAACATTTTCATCAAGGTCATCGAGGACTTTACGAGATAAGAGAGGAACAACATGAGCCGAAGGTAGAAATGTGACAGGACACCCCTGATAACGTTGAACAGGGGAACCATTCGAATTGCAGTGTGCATTAACATAGGTGGCTCGGAACTTGCGATCGAAAAGGATGAGTGCATACGTCCCTTGAGGTCCGAGAACAAAGGCAAGTGAAACAACACGAAATCGAGTATGGCTCTGACTGAAGTGGCTATTGACGAAGGTCAACAGTGCCCAAGCAAAGTCGAGGGAGTGGAATGGTTCGATGCTTGGAATAAACATTGAGACAGCATAAGCTGCATTGGGAAAGGGACTGTAATCGGAGAAGACCTGTGAAATATTCTTCCAGACAAAGATCACATTGGTATGTCGCATCTGAAGAATGCCGTCAATGAAGTTGTCTGTGTGATAGACATTGGATTTGGGCTGGCAGTTGATCAAGCTGATGTCGATAAAATACCAAAAAAATACATACTGTGATTAGTTGAGCTAAAGCTGAAAGGGACGGATGGAGATTATCACTGCTGATCTCATTTAGAATACGAAGAATAGCATTGTGGGTTTGAGAGGGAGATTTGTCCGAGCACAAAGAATAGGGTGGATCTTCAATAGTATGAGTGGTGGAAGAACATGGAGAGCGTAAAAAAGCATTACCCCCAACAGCTGCATGATCAGCGAAAAAGAGGGAGAAGGTGGAGGAGCTATCCATAGATGTGTGGAACGAGCATGAAGGGGCAGATTTTGCTCTACATCGGCTCGGTGGACAGTGCAGACTCCACCTCTGTCTGGTGACCAAGATCGACGCGAAGATTCAATCGAGGGGAACCTAAACAGGGATGCGAGTTGGATGGAACCTGCCATTTGAATTCATAATCGACATTTAAAAAAAATCATGATCCGGGTATTGTCAGAACAAAAGAACCATGACGGTACGACATAAGGAGGCAATTGTTTATTTATGTCGTGCACTTGTTTTGTTTCAGCCCAAGTAACGAACCACAGAGAATTGTAAGTACTAAAACAATTTCACCATTGCTTATTTACATATCGTACAATCAAGTAAAGTACAGTTAATTGGAGATGAAGATAGATAACGAATGATCAAAATTTTGCCTTTTTCTTTCCTTTTGCCTTTGATGATTGCGAAGCAACAGGGGGAAGAGACTCGTCTGCTTCGAAATCGTCGATGGTGCTGAGGGGTGAAGGTGCAGCTCCAGAATCAGGGTGCATGTTGATATCGACGGGGGGCACAGACTGAAGGCGAACCGACATCCTGATAGGTCATGATGTGAGCTGTAATACAAATATATTTTGAAAAATAAGCTCACGACGACGAAGCACCATAATTGGGCATAGTCAATGCTCTGAGAAATATGTCAAACGTGGAATGTAACCTCAAGAGAAAAAAATGTACGATGACGAAGCAGGGTTACCGAGGGGAACCTGCATGCTGTGTGATCAGAATGTTAGCTGTAATTTGTATGTGCAAAATTACAGGTACATACAGAGGCAAAGCATCCTTATTGAGAGGAACAGAGATGCTGAGTATTTCGAATGTGAGTTGGGGTAGGAGTGATGGAAAAAGATGAACGTACAGAGTCGCCGAGGACGCATTGATTGATGGAACCGACATGCTCAAAGGTCATGTGAATTGAGGTATTGATGAACGACCAAGAAAGAACATACGATGATGAAGCACTAACAGGTGGAATGGAATTTCTATGCGAAAAATTAATCCCAAGTAATGGAAAATGGGCAAAAAACGTACATGGTAATTTTGCTGGCCGTTGATGGTGATGCAATAGCCTGGAACTTTCTTTTCCTCGTTGGAGTGGAAATCGTAGATTGATCTGGGCTTGACAGAGGCACGAGGCTGAGGATAATTGACTCCACATTGACACGGAGATGGCCATTGGGAAGGACGGAGTGACAGATGCCAAAGTATTGGACACACGCCTGAGGAAGCGGGGCGGGTGTATTGGTCCATCGAGGAGCATCGCCATCGTAGGCACAGCTTGAAGGAAAGTATATTAGTCAAGAAAAAAGGAAGAATCAAAGAACGAACATAACATAAGAATTTCTAGATGATTCACGAACATATTCGGTGTGAGAAACGGGGAAAATCTTCGTGTTGGTGTTGGTTAAGGTTTCGGATTTTGAAGGAACATGACCAACACCGAAGATCCAAGGGTAGGGACAGTCAGGAAGAGACTCCTCGTAACTCTCGCTGGAGTAGTGTTTGGAAGTCCGGTCTCGTGACTGGAAAAAGACCATAACCAGACCGGACCAAGACCGCAAAAGACCGGACCTGCGGTTACGGTCTTTTATTTTTGAAATGTAAAGACCGCAAAAAGACCGGTTAACGTGAACCGGTCTTGACCGGTTTGGACCGGTTTTTTGTAGCCCCTTAAATACCCTTTAAAACGCACCCAAGAACGTACGATTTGGTAAAAAAACGAGAGAGATATGAATTAAAATGTAAATTACTTTTGGGAATAATAGATGTACCAGACTTATTTTATAGAAGCACCAATACCTAACGGGATTTAACGTTCTTGGGCTCGTTTTGAAGCTATTAGAGATGTTAATAAATTTACCGATTCATAATTTTAAAATATTGGCCTAAAGACCGGTCATAAACCGGTTAAAACTGATGCAGACCGAAACTGGTCTATAGACCGCAAAAAACCGCGGTCTGTGGTCTTTTTGCGGTCCGGTCTGGTCTTTTGACTTCTGGGGAAAAGGCAGACCGGTTACGGTTACGGTTAACGCCCCTGGGCATCAAAAAACCGGACCGAACTGGACTTTCAAACACTACGCTGGAGGGGTCACCAGGGCAGATGGCCAAGTGTAGGACATCGAGGAAAGTGGTGTCGTTGGGAGGAATATAAGCCTTTGCGATAACAAAAGCAATGGTGTTGTCAGGATGAACGACGTCGTTGATTGGGCTGTAGATGCGAAGGTCCGCAGGAAGTATGTTGCCTGTAGAGGTCTGGATGGTGGTGGAATAGTAACAATACCAAGTTCTGGACTTAGCACCAGGCTTTGTGATCGCAAGGCGTCTGCCCGAAGCGAGCGCGAAAAAACCTATGATAAGAAGGGAAGACATGGGCGATGAATAGATGGGGAAAGCGAATAGATAGAAACTCACATGCGCACCATATAAAGTTCGAGGAAGAGAACAACAGAGGGAAGTAAGACAGTTTAGGAAAGGTAGCCACCAAACAATAGATTTAGATTCGGAACATAGAAACAGAGGAAACTTGATATAAACGAGCTACTCAGAGAGCACGAACGAAAGGAACCAAGAGAGAGCCAAGCCTGCGCTCGGCAGCTTTGGCTTCCGGACCCAGAAATGGAGGGGAGGCAAACATGTACAGACGAAAGCCGGGGATTACTTTAAAATAAGAGTAATTTGAGTGTGCTTGTATGCGCTATCAATGCGCTATGTGCGAGGTTTATATAATCGATTCCCTCTAAACCATCATTTTTGGATACTTTTTGCCGTCCCTGTCGCTTTTTTCGGGCATCGGGCACATCTACGGGCCTTTCGTTGTGAATATTCTCCTGCCTGTTGCCTTTCTGACCACAGAAAAAGTGTAGTCGACTGCACTGGTTTTGCACAGCGTGCATATATGCGTGATAGGCGCTTGGCGGATAGCTTGGCAGGTACAAGTTTGTTTTCTATTTTTATATTATTCTCACGCATCAAATGATCGACAGATATAAAAGAGTGGATGGATTGGTTGTCACGTCTCTCTTTAACATTTCTTTCGCCATTATACATACTACTATGTACTATTCAAAATCACTATCCTTTCTTGCCCTCGCGGCAGTCCACTCTTTCACATCCGCCCTCGCAGCGGAACAACCCACCATTACTCCAGCACCTACCCCTACCATAGCTAAACGTCAGGTTGCGGGTGGCTCGGGAACTCCCATTCTCTCAACATTACGCTACGATTACACTGCCCTTCCTTACCAGGTCTACCCATACGCCGTTCTAAGAGGTCCTCAGTATGGCTTCAACCAATGTAATTCCACCACCCTTGGCCCAAACTCCAACTGCCAGACTTTGGTCTTCAACGGTCCCGTGCGTTCCCATTATATTGTTTTTCGACGCGTCCTTACCTTTGTTATCAGGATGATTTCTGTCTCTGGGGATCTCCAGACTCGAACGGTCTCATTGGTAACGTTGAGGCTAAAGTCGTCGCCTACTGCACAAAGCCATACCACGGCACCCGTCTCATCCCCCCCGGCGCTATCACTGGCATCCAAGTTCGTTGCTCGCATTTTTTTTTGTTCCGCCCTCCGCGATTTAACCTTTACAAAATAAATAGTGGACAAAAACTCCCGGATACATTCAAGCCGTGGGTTACATCAAGAACCAGGGCTTAGGTCTTGACCCAACAGATCAGGGTGGAGAGCTTGACCCACACGGTGCCGATCTCCAAGGAAACCCTCTGGGCGGTGTTGTTTACTCGAACGGTACCACTGACTCGGATGGTCACACTTTGACGCAGGTGTTCAACTGGAATACGTATGTAAAACATTTTCTTTCATGATAAAATTGACGCTGACCCTTGAACAGTTTCGTTGGCGGTAACAAGTTCTGCTTCAAGGCATGCTACAACTCGAAGACTTCCCCCGACTACTGCGAGAACCGATACGATCTGATTGGCTGTGACTATAACATGCCCTCTGCTGCACAGGACGGTCAGTTCACCTCGTGCGATGGTGATGTTCAGGATGTTGCAGGTGTTTATACCAGCGCTGGACAAAGTAAGGATTTCATTTCTTGTGTCGCAATCTCCACACTAACTCTTCATGGCGCGCACAGCCCTCACCTGGCAGATGCCCGACCCATTGAACACCCCCCCTCCTTACCAACCCCGTGTCCCCGCGTCGTCCAACTGCAAGACTTACCAGTCTACGGATCTTTTCATTGCAGGAAGCGCAACTGTAATAATCCAACATCTTCATCTCTTAACTACGCTAATTTTCTCTCTCTTAGTTTGCCTCCGCCACCTCCTCTGCCACAGGATCTGTCAAGCCAACAGGCACCGCTTCTGGTTCTGGTGCCTCGGGCTCAAAGTCAGGCAGCGGCGCTGCTGCGTCAAGCACAAGCAAGTCCTCTGGTGCTATGGGCATGACCGTGTCGATGGGTGGGTTGGCTGGCGTTTTGGCACTTGGAGTCTTGGCTCTTTAAGTCTGCATAATGCTTGACTGATTGATGTTGATGATACCTTCATTGATACCACGTAGTAGGGCTGAACTTAATTATATCCCCCCCCTCCACGAGATCCTCCTTTGTAGGGCTGGTGTTTTGGACTTTTGAGAGGTGTATACTGTATTATCAGTATAACGGTATGTCAGCTAAATGCAAAACCGTAGACACCTCCCGAAAATTTCTGGTGTCCGCCTTGCTTTGTGCAAACAACCGCATTTGGCTCAAGTTTAGCTCAATTGGAGCGTGGAGCACTCCATTACATGACATATACTTGCATTGGTGGAGGACTTGCGTCATTCGTGCCCGCTTCCTTCCTCAAATGGTTGTTTGCACAAAGCGAGGCGGAGCCAAGAAATTTCTGCAAGGTGTCTAGGGTTTTGCATTCAGCTGGAACGGAAACTTCAAACACCAATGACATTTTTATGGTTGTACAAGCAGAAGATAAGTATCAAGTACACGTATAAGTAGATATACCACTAGACCATCTGCAACACAGCCATCCGTCTAAACGTTAAGAGATAAACAATTATGTGAGCGCGAAATCCAACAGACAGGAAATGTAACTGGCGTGAATCAAAGTCGAAGTTCCAAGAAATTTTTGAAAGGGGTAATAATCAGTGGACGAGGAAGGGGATACGCAACCACCGTTGCTACGAGGGGTAATAATCATCGTCCCATGATTCTAAAAAAAAAGTGGAGTCAGCGGTGAATCATTGGCAGATCAGCGGCGAATCACAAGCGACCGCAATCGAGAGCAGACCGCAGAAAAACTCAAAACTCACCTTCCGTAATACTTCTCCAAGCAAGATATAAAACACCAACGGCTGCCGTCTCGAGCAAGGTAGCAATGAACGAACCGTCAACCTTTGCTGATGATCCCTACGAACCAACACGATAAGAAAAAATAAAATAGCAGCCAACAACAGCACGCACCTTGCAAATCACCTTATTCAACAAGAACCAAGCCAGCTGGCTCAATACGAAGAGGGCGGCACTCAAGATGTAATACACCATCGGCCTTGTCTCGTTCAGCACCCGCAGAACGATGTAGGCCATCAGAATGAGATATATGACGGCACATGCGCCTGGCCATATGCTCGTCAGTACGAATAAAGGTATAGAATGGAGCGATTCCGGTGGAGAGGAAAGGCCGCCGATGGCGGTTGTTATTCCGAGGGCAACATCGAGAGAGATGTAGGTTGTCACGGCAAAGAATATGACTGTGAATATGTAGTAGGGCTGTAACGCGTCTATCAGAGCAACAATCGAATAAAAGAGATGGACCATACAATCAGACTGCTCAACGTGCCGTCTTCAACGACTTGTGTTGCGACGATGGCGTTGGCCAGCAACGCCCAGAAGAGGCCTGCAACGACGCCTGCGTGAATAGCAGTGAGAACAACCAGGGCCGTTGACCCTTGTTCAAGCAGCGATCCCGTTGTCAAGAGTTGTAAAGGGAGAGTGAGGAGGTATAGACCGAGAAATGCGCGGAGTTCGACCCGGCCTGAAGAAAGAAAGAAAAAAGGATGAGCCTTTGAGAGTTGATGAGGACGACGCAACGCACCGACGGCTGCTTTACGACGGTTGCATATGTAGATGAGGAAGGCAGTAAAGAAGACGCTGGCCCCACAGACAGCGATATTGGCGACATTGGAGATGGAACCGTTGTGCCCCAGTCTCTGTATGCCACACTGGGGATTGATTCCAACAGGGGCCGACGCGGGGTCTGACGATACACCGGTGAGCGTCGATGGTGAGCCCCGCAGCAACTAAAAATGACGGCAAGTTGAGAGAACAATGGTTCGATACAGGGGTACGGACACATACCTGGCGGTAGAAGAGGTTACACCATGGATAGCTGGGGGTATCGGCGCAAAGAGACTGGAAGTCTCCAAAGTGTATCATTTGTGTCGTGCTCTGAGATCGTTGTTGTGGTCGTCGTCGTCGTAAGCGATGGTGGGAAGCTTCAATCAATGGGTTGCAATCAAAAGCTCGGTTCCAATTTGGGATCAATTTGATCAACGGGACAACGTTGGATCAATGAGGACTCAGCATTATGATATCAACAAAACACCATGTTGCAAAAACGTGGCGTACATCTGAAGTATAATCTAAATCCCCTCCAACTCCTCCTCCGCTGCCTGGCAAAATTCAAGGAACGATCCAGTCCAACTGAATTCCCTCTTGTTTTCGCAGGATTGAGAGCATCCGATTGGAGGCGTACAGGGGCCCATAGATTCTAATGACGAGTTGCCGTATTCATCGTCTTCATACTGATCAACGTCTTTGAGAACGAGTTCCGCAGCGATACTACCTCCTAGTGGCCTGGATGTTTGTTCGAAATTGATCACCTTAGGAATAGTAGCTGCCGAAAGAGGGAGAACTGAAGTTCGTACACAGAGGGCCGCGTGAGGATCGTTCTTGTGCAGTATAAATTTGCTCTTTTGCGGGGTGCAGGAGAGATTGAGACCGACGTTTTCTTGCGATATGGTTTCCGAGAGTTGAATTTCTGAGTATGTAGATAGTTGTTGTAGTTGTTGTAGAACATAGTCTTCGGACAAGGAAGATAGTGGTGATGACAAAGGAAAGGAGAAGAAGCTTCCATCATGAAGTAGTAGGTCGCAGCCAGATCCAGGAGCCAGGGTCAAGCTCGGCTCGGAATTTGGAGGTGAAGGCTGTTGAATCAAGGCTACAGGTGGCTTAGAGGGCGTGGACGGCATGTGCTCTTGAAAATCAAGAAATAATTCGTCTCCAGAGTATATAAAAAACCCTTCTCTTGCTGGGCGAGGTCGTACCGCTGGGCGGTTAAGCAAGGAGGCCGTCATGGCATGCCCGATCTATGCCCAAAAGCTATCAGATAGCAGCCGAAACAGCAGGAATGGAACTCGCCATGAAAGATGTGCACGCGTACGAAGGGAAATATATAACCTTGGCGTCAATCATATCCAGTAGTTCGTCCACATCCATTCCGAGATCAGACTTGTCCGATTCGTCGCCAAAGATCCGTTCGAGGGTCAAGGTCTCCCGGCGTTTATGGGTTTCAGAAATAGAATCTTCGGCGAGACCAGAGCCAGAGCCAGCAAAGGAATGTGTAGTAGGAGGAAACTCATAGAGCACTATCCCGCTTAGACCGACGGACTCGATCCTAACGAACCTCCGTACGCCTAGTCCCAGCCTGGAAACATTCGCCTGCGAACGACCAGAAATATCGGATTCGACACCATACCCGCCCAAGTCAGAATAGACGCAAGAGCTCAGGAAGCGTCGCCAAATAGTCCCTTCTGGGTGGGTGAACTTGGTCGGATTCCTGCCTGGAGAAGGAGTTAGCTCATCTGGAGTTGGATAACGGCTTGTTGTTGAGACGCGAAGGGCGGCTGACAGAGTTGCTGACCAGCTAGGCATTGTGGTAGTAGAATTGTGTTATGAAAGTAATGATTAGATCAACCTGACGGTATTACACCGTGTGCATAATGCTATTGAACCTTCGATAACTCGATTTCAATTAAAGTTGCTCCCCCATTCCTCTTGCCACCACCATGGACAACGACGAGCACATTGATTTTTCTCATGCCGTCCGCTTTCAAATTCCCCAGTTTATCTACTCTGCCGCCCCATTGCTAGCTCCTGGTGGCGGAGCAGAGGTCTTGCCTGGCGGCTTGCATTCTCAAGCCTCGTGGGTCGGCAATAATCTCTTTTCAGGTCAGAAGTATATTCCCGAAGACCAGTACGTCTTTTACTTGCCAAAAAGAACCGTTACTCTAAGCACAACCTAGGCATGTCTATGCTTTCAACTCGCAAGCAAGAACGGCCCATGATCATGCGAACGGGCCGTTTTCATACCCCAATGACGAACCAACTCAGCAGAGCCAGCTAGCATCTTCAGCCCCATTTGATTTTGACGAATACACAAACGATACTACATCCGCCCTATCCTTATCTCATACCCAGCAGGCACCGACACCACCATCACACTTGAACCCTGACCTATCTGCCTTCTTTTCGACCTCTGGTGTCCTTGCTAATCCTCCTTCCGTTCTTGTTCAACAACACCCCCAGAATCAGCAACAGCAACCTCACCTCCTCTCTGCCCCCTCTCCATGTGGTCTACCAGTCTACTCTGCATCGGGCTTTGATCTCCTTTCTATTCTTGCGCGCGTCGCCACACGTCCCAATCCACACGTTGTTCTTGGGCCCGTAGACCTCACATGCTCCTTCGTCGTCGTCGATGTCCGGAGATACGACCATCCAATCGTGTATTGTTCTCCTCAATTCTGTGCTCTCACTGGATACGAGGAACACGAGGTTTTGGGACGAAATTGCCGCTTCCTTCAGGCCCCTGGTGGTCTAGTTCAGAAGGGAGAGGAGAGAAGGTTCACGGACGGTGTTGCTGTTGCACAGTTGAGGAAGAGCTTGGTCGCAAATAAGGAGTGCCAGGCTAGTATTGTCAACTACAAGAAAGATAGACAAGCCTTCATCAACATGGTGACCATTATCCCAGTCTTTGAAGGTGACGGAGACGGTCAAAGGGACGCAATATACCACGTTGGGTTCCAGGTCGATCTTACTCGCCAGCCTGGCGCGATTTTGGAGAAAGTGAGGGATGGGAGCTACGCAATGGATTTTGCTTTGCGCGGCCCCACATCCACGCTTCAGTTGACGTACCCCACCATTGATGGTCTGCGGCAAGTACAGAAGTCAGAGCACCGAAAGACAACGGCTGCCATTCCACCTCTTGTGATGTCAAAAGATCTTAAGAAACTGCTTGCTGACCCAGCTTTTGTAAGGTCGTTCCCGATAACGACTTGTACCACTGTTCCACCTCCATTGTCATCCTCCTCGTCTGCACTTTCCTTGGAGGACACCCAGCTAGGCTCTAATTCACTTCTGTCCCTTATCCTCCTCGAGGCCAGCCCAGATTTTATCCACGTCGTGTCTTTAAAAGGGACTTTTCTTTATGTTTCCCCAAGCGTCCGCAGGGTGTTGGGTTACGAGCCCTCCGAGCTTGTTGGGGGTAGTATAAGTGATCTCACACACCCTGAGGATGTGGTGCCACTCATGAGGGAATTGAAGGAGAGTAGCGCGACTGCAGTAAACGTCAACTCCACATCTGCTGGTGGTGGGATGATTGCAGATACTACTTCTGGGAGTGGTGCTGCTGCCCAAGCTACACCTCGCTCCGTTGACCTGTTATTTCGTGCGCGAACCAAGGCTGGAGTTTACGTCTGGGTTGAATGCAGGGGTCGGCTTCATGTGGAACCCGGAAAAGGGAGGAAAGCCATTATCTTGAGTGGGAGGGCCAAGGAGATGACAAAGTTGACTTGGGGCGACATGGTCAGGTGGGGTAGGGGACTGACGAAGAAATTGTCTGCGCCGTTGAACGGAGAGGTAACGAAAGAAGATGAGGTGGAGTACAGCCAAGAGTTCTGGGGGATGATGCATGGAGAGAGCTTCACTGTCCATGGCATGACATTCCTTTCTGCTGCTGTGGACGTCAAACACATCTTGGGCTATACACCAACTGAAATGGTGGGCATGAACCTTGGAGGCACATTGGCAGATGGTGATGTCGAGAGGGTTGAGCAAGAGCTTGCAGCACGAGGCATTTGTCTATCGACAATTGGTTCAAGGTATCAGCAGCAGTACAGACACCAGCACTCTGGCACGGTCAAGGCGGTCAATATACGGTGTCAGATGAAGCGCAAAGACGACGGCCTCATCCAAGTTGACCTCATCATATATCGCTCGCCGCGCGATCCCTTGGTGGATGCTTTGCCGACAACAACCACGAAGAACACAATCTCACCGTCCCCATTAGTATATCGCATCAAATTAGTTGATCCTTCTGCCTATCTTCAATCGTCGTCATCGTCCTCTGCAGCGTCCCTGTCGTCGAATAATGATCTGAATCTCGCGCACCCACTGGAAGAAAATATGTTCCAGGACCTCGAGACCTCGCGTAATTCAAGTTGGCAATACGAACTCCAGCAGCTAAGGTTTGCGAATCAGAGGCTGGAGGAGGAGATCAAGACACTGGAAGGGACAATCGCAGCTCAAGAGAAAGCCAAGGCTGGTGATAAGCCTCAGCCTCAGGCCAAGCAGAACACATCACGGAAGGTGGGAGGGACCCAACAACAGCGAAGGGACTCTCACTCCCGGACTCGTGGAAAGGAATACTACCAGCAGCCACCCGTTGAGCACCAGGAGCATCACGTACGGGATTACGCAACCATGAGACCACTACAAATTCAACCTCACATTTCGCACATTCCGCAGAGGCCCGCCACACCTGGGCCGTATGATCTATCATCTTCTCAGCCACACCCCCTTGCCATGACATATGCAAATATACAGGCACCGATCCCCTCCCTGTCCAGTGTTCCGTTGGAATGGTCATCGCCTCCAGTGCCCATGTATATACCTAATGGTGGGCAGAGCAGGCAGGGTGAGCGCACAAACCATGGATTGCGAACGACAGGAACGGGCGCGATAAAGAGGAGCTGGAACTCGTTGGCACCGTGAGTGCATCATCTTGGTACGTACAATTGACGTGCTTTTTCTTGAATGAAAAATTGACAGATACCAGTGTGTATTCTCCTGGCCCAGGTTGTAGCGTTGGCTGCCCAGCTCCAGCTGGCTTTTATCATGAGGCGTCTTATTTACGATTTTTCTTGACTCCATGTGTGTTGTACATTATTTTTTTAGATCCGCGAAAGTAGGGGTATTGTACTGTGGCCTACGTTCGCAGCCTTGAGAACATCTGCAACCTCGACATCTGTGCTCGTGAATCGACATTACGTGACGGGAACGTATGACCCCCAGTATGCTGCATGCGCGATGCGGCAAAGGAACACACAGTCCCTTGAAGAATAGTCAATGAGCTCCTCGGACTAGTAAACGATACAAACCTGGTCAGATAAATTCGCCTCTCAGTTGCGCAAAACGTCTCTGCTTGAGGGCTTTCTACCATCATGCAATGATCAATCTCAAGTCGATGAAACGGAAGATAGCCTCCTACCCAAATACTGGATCGACTGAGAGAATGTTGACGGTATCTCCCGTCACCCACTGCTCCGTTTCTCATATCGTTATACCACAACCCTATTCTGCTCTGGTGTTTCTCGTGCCAACCAACTCCCATCCAGTGTGCCCTTGCCCATCTCCCACAATGCCCAAGCCTCGCGGTCCAAGTTCTTACGCGCTACATCGCAGTCCACGGTGATGTCCTCGATTAGCGCTTTCAGCTCTGGGTAGTCTTTCTCCTCCCTGATGAACCCCGTGATGAGCAGCCGCATCTCGACGCCGTAGAAGTCAGCCTTGAACTCGTGGAGCACATGCACCTCGGCCGACTGCTCCTTGTTCTTGTAAAACCGGTTGTACCCGATCGACATCACCATGGAATATATGCTAAACCTGGAGCTTGCCTCCGGTGTTGTGGTAGTGTCTGGTGATGCCATTGGCTGGTTCGGATGTGATGACGGCAAGCGCAGGGATGCCCAGCCAAAGTACACCCAGGAAGTGATCTCGGCGATCCATGGTCTCAGGTTGTCGTCAACGGGGAGGTTGGCAGTGGGGATGCCTAGTTCCCCGGAGCCGCGCCCGAAGCCCCTGATTACTTTGCGTTCCATCTGCAGGGGGTAGGGCGCTTCGGGCCCCGTAGGAGGGCCGATGATGAGTGGGCGGGTGGCCATTGGGCTTTGGGCTTTGGAAAAGATTGGAAGCGTTTCTAAGAGGCGATGAGGGGCTGCCGTTGTCGAGGATATAGCCTGATCGATTTCTATATCAGGGAAGTTTTCGACAGCTAGAAAACCCTCAAATTTCAGTCGATAAAGTGTAGGTCGAGAAGGATGTTGAAGGGTTAAACCCCTGGGCGGCGGAGGTATGTTTTGAAGCCTGAAATTTGTTGCGCTGCGATGGTGACGCGCAAGAGCTACCTCGCGCCGCTGAGAAGACACACGTGAAAAGTCAGATACAAGAGAGTTGGCCTTGTAACTTGAGATGCCTCCGAGTGGTTACTCAGAAGACGGAGCCAAAAAGAGATTTTGTGTGCAAAGCTTCATGGTCAACTATTACATCCGCCATTCCAATGCCCGCAAGTTCCAAATCTAAAAATGGTGTACAGTGTTATTTTTTCTGATTCTTCTAGGAGTCCTCAACGTTCGACTGTCTGATTCTCTATTCTTTAGCAAGCAAAGAGCGTCCGGTCATTTCTAAACGAAACAGCCATCAACAACAGAAAAATGTTGGAAAGAGTTGAATAACACACCTTTAGGCTGCTCCAATCCCATAATAGCCAATATAGTCGGGGCAACATCGCAAAGAGCACCTCCCTCCTCTTCGTCCTCCTCCTTCTTTTCCGTCTCCGCTTTCTCCTCAGCAAATTTCAAGATATCAGGATTTCCCGTCATAATAAAAGGGACAGGGTTCGTAGTGTGGGCGGTATGTGGGTTGCCTGTCACAGGATCCTTCATCTTCTCCGCATTGCCATGGTCGGCAGTGATGAGCAGGATGTACCCAGCCTCTTCTGCAGCTTTGTAAACCGTTCCTACTGCTTTGTCCGTTTCGGTGACGGCGACTACAGCGGCATCGTACACTCCCGTGTGCCCCACCTAAGACTTGGTTGAGAACGAAGAGTAGTAAGGGAAGGACGCAAACGAACCATGTCCGGAGGTGCAAAGTTGCACATTACGAATTGGTCTTCGCCTTTCTTCAAGACCTCGGCAACTTTCTCAGCCACACTGTGCACGCTCATCTTGGGTTCCTTATCGTACGTGGCCACCTTGGGGGAAGGAATCATGTGCCGTTCCTCGTGAGCGAACTGCTTCTCCACTCCGCCGTTGAAGAAAAAAGTGACGTGCGCGTATTTCTCAGTTTCTATTTGGAGAGTTGTTTCAGAAAAGAGGAAGCCATAACCAAGAAACGGAGGGCGTACCAGCAATGTGAGCTTGCTTTATCCCCTCTTTTGCAAGCCACTCCGCGAGGACGTTGGTCATCGGCTGAGGAGGAAAGGCTACGGGGAAGGGGAACTCGGAGTTGTAGGTCGACATTGTGGTAATTCCCTGAATAGTGTGTCAGTATGAAAGATAAAAGAACTTGCGAGCTTACCAAGTCCTTGGGAATGTCGACCTCCATTGGTTTATTGGGGAGTCCGAATACCGAGACGATTTCTCTCATCCTATCCGAACGATAGTTAAAGAAGAACAGGGTATCACCATCTGCCATCTCCCCCTTAGCGTTTGAATCACAACATGAACAAAAAAAACCACCTTTGATTCTTCCCTCATCTCCATTGACAATGATGGGCTTCAAAAACTCGTCCGTTACATCTTTCGCATAGTTTGCCTCGATTGTCTTGATGACATCTTCTTCCACTTTTTCGCCAACGCCACCCACGAGTCCATCAATAGCAACCTTGACCCTTTCCCATCGCTTATCACGATCCATGGCATAATACCGACCTACAACGGTCGCCAATTCACCGTAGTTTTCCTTCTTCGTAAAGTCAAGTAACTGCTGTGCGTACTTGTTTGAGGAACGAGGTGCGGTGTCGCGACCATCGGCGAGGAAATGAACATAGGTATGCGGGACGCCCTGCTCTTTAGCGGTTTCCAGGAGGGCAAAAAGGTGGTTTATATGGGAGTGAACCCCACCGTCCGATACCTACCCAAGAGAGACTTAGCGGCCCCGTAACAATGTGAGAGGGATACATACCAGGCCAAGGAGGTGGAGCCTACCAGTTCCCTCCACAGCGCGCTTGCAGCTATCCAGGATTTGAGGATTCTTGTGGAATTGCCGTTTCTTGATGGAAACGTCAATGCGGACAATATCTTGCCATACGATGCGGCCTGCGCCGATGTTTAAATGTCTAAAAAGAGTGACATGTTATGTCCAAAAGAATGAGAAGATAGTAGAGAAAAAACCTACCCGACCTCGGAATTGCCCATCAAACCCTCACTCAAACCCACAGCTGTTCCATGAGCTTTGAGTGTGCGATATGAATGTTTCTCAGCAATGCTATCCATATTCGTGGTATCAGCGGCCTCTATCGCGTTTCCAGGTGTGCCCTTCTCTGGTGCAATGCCCCAGCCATCGTGGACGCTGACACTCGAGGTCAGAAGCATAAAGGCTGGTGAGGAGAACTAGACGGACATAAGGCATACTTTGTTCTTCACTGTTACTGCCATCGTCGTTGACGGGAAGGGGTCGCAGAGGACTGAGGTAGTTAGTTATCAGGAAAGATTCGGACTATCGGACTTGCGATATCATTATCATGATTATGTCATATGACATCACACCTCATCAAAATCTGTCTTAAGATTTCTTCAAACTGTTTAGCATCCAATTAGCATCTTTTCATGAGTCTACCCACCAGGATCCAATCGAGACGATTTGTGACTTCCTCGTCCGCCTTGTTACCTCGACTCCTCAACATCGGAATCAACAGAGGGCGAAATTCAACATCATGTCTTGGACCTGTCGAAAGACCACGACTTTAGTCGACCGACGACTTCACCTACGAACATAGCACATTATGACCCAACAGAGAACAAGTCTCATCTTGACGGGCCTGCCGACTTTCAGTTACCTCGCAAAGCAAGCCAGATCTCTCGCAACTATATTCAGCAGCTAGCAGATATCGTTAAGCAGGATTGTGACGCACCACCCAAGGACCGCATCGACTTGGTTCGATTCTTCTTCAGCGGCGAGGTGGATTCACATCCGTTACCCAGCACCGAAACTTGTCGCGTACTTGATGGTCTATGCCCTCGACATCTCGAGGTCGTTCCCAGAATAGATTTTCGTCGTTTGCTTAACGGGATGCAGACCCCTTGGCCTCTCGAGACTGTACTGATCAACGGAGAGGATGCATCTAAGGGGAACCAGAGTATCCCACGTGCATTCAGTGGCCTTCGGGACCTCACCCTTTACGAATGTCCTCTGTTGAGACTGATAGCGCCGACCAGTGGAGGAGGGTTGGTTAACTTGAAAAATCTTCGAATCTCAGGAAGCAATGTTATGGACTCGCTCGTCCACATCTCACGCGCGAACAAGGCGCTCTTCCATTCAGTCGAGAGACTGGTGTTGTTGAGCTACTGTACGGAGATGGATATGCATCCCCATGTAGGCAATTTGCAGGACTTCTGTGAAACATTACAACAGTACACCCGGCTCAAGACGCTGGAATTTCACATATGCACCGAGGACATCGAGAGTGGCTATCAACCTACCTCAAAGCAGTCCATCCCTCTCCCATCGTCCCTGCCACCATCTCTCAAACATCTCTGGCTCACACTACCTGTAACCGAAGGAATGATTACAGAGATGGACGCCTGGAAACATTTTGCAGAAGATGTGTCATGGTTACCTGAGCTTACTGACTTGTCGTTCACACTCAACACAGATTATCTGTGGTGCTTAGATGATTCGTGGTGTATCAGTGATCAATGGTGTACTGATGATCTGACTAAAAGGCCTAAACAGAATCTGGTTGAAATATTGGCACCGAAAGGGGAGGAGTTTGTGAAGATCTTTCTTGCCTCGCATCCAAATGTGAAAGTCGAATCCTCATTCGAATAGGTTTAGATGACGGCAATTGATAGGGGGTATCACTATACAATGAAATTTAAATATTGCCTGCAGCAAGTGCAAGCGAGGCAATGCCAGCCAAAATGCTCGCCCCATTATACAGGGCACCACTTGCTTTGGCGGTTGTTGAGGCTGCTGGTGCCGCCGACCCAGTGCTAGTTACAGCTGGGGACGTAGCTGCTGCAGAACCAGCCCCAGAAACGGTAGCAAGCCCAGAGGGAACGGCCAACGTAACACCCTGCAGAAATGGCTTAGTTGCTGAAAGGACGATCAGGACAACTGGACCTACAGCAGCAAGGCAGAGGGCTTGAGCAGCAGATACCGCTGCCTGCAATTGGGCTCCCGCACACTGTTTCTGAATGCACGCCGTGGTGGCCGTTACAAACGCTTCGTTAGAGCACAGGCATGCATCGTCCGTCTCTTTGCAGCTCCCTCTGGGACCGTTGGTAAGGCAAAGTGCGGCGCAAGCTATTTAACTCGTGGGTTAGGTCATTGAGCGACAAGATGAAAGCAAGACATACTGGGAAGACCTTCCTGACGACTGGACAGAGAGAAAGCGCAAGACGAGGCTACGACGCTTGACAGGAGGGTGAAAGAAATGAGCGAGAAACGCATCTTTGTATTTCTTCTCGAGTAGTGACAGTCAAATTGGAGAGAAACGCCTGGCTTTCCCTTGCGTAGGCTTTTCCTTTTATCTATCCTAGAAGCCAGACTGTGCCTGGAAAGATCGTCAAGAACAACACATGGCAAAGTGAATGTGTAATTGCTCGATACTTAAGCGATGGTAATTAATCCATAGGTAGATCGTTGATATTATGTTGGAGAACCTGATTGTAACGGTGTTATACCCTTTATCAAGACAAAACGTTAATATCGGTCGAGAACTGAAGAAGAGAGGACAACTTACTTGATTTTGAAGAAATCATACAGCGATTCAATGTGAAGCGCAATCTCGAGTACACTGCACATAAGATTGCCTCACATCAAGACAAGTTGATGGGTTGATCAGTGATGAGCAAATCGGTGGCGCTTGGTTACCACCACTGTCCAGCAGTCGCCCATCCACTCCTATCCATCATGTACTCACCAGCTGCTGCGTTTCGTCTGCCCTTCTTTGAAATTGCTACTTGCCAAGTAGTGCTTGAGATTTGGGTAACTTGGGTTTGCCACTTGGTTCCTTGATGTTGAATTTATCACAATGATCATCGGTGGTTGGTACTTGTGACCAGATCTACGACTTGCAGCGCTCTTGAAGCGTCAAGCTCAAGCGCTAGCTTAGTAGGGGGCGGCGGTGTCGTAGCCTGTAAAAGCAAGAATATCAAAGGGCTTGCCTGGATGGACGACTTTTGCCCTCAAAGAGGGGCTGCAGAAGGAACTATATGGCTCCTTCTGCAGCCCCTCATCAACACGACACAAGTCTTTATCCGTTATATTCCAGTGCAGCATACATTGTGTCCTGTAACTTTGTCCCATCCGAAAGGAAAAAAATAACTGTCTCACCAATCCTGCGTGTCTTGCGCTTTCATCACAAAGCCTGCACTTTCTTCTTTTTCTTCTTTGGTTTCTTCTTCGGCACATATTTGGTATTACCGTCACGAAGCTTGAAGGTGAGAATCGCCTTCTCCGCTGCGGCGAATTTGACCTCGTCTTGGCTTGCAGTTCCTCGATACACTGCTGTTTCACGAATTTCCTCCTTTCCATTCACGAGGATAATGCACGAAACATTACCCTTACTCTTCTCGAATTTGTATTCGATTTCTTTGTCGTTCTTTGAAGCCCAGTCTGACAATCGCGATACGGGGTGCAAGATGTCGACATCGTCGCGGACTATCCTCTCAAGGATCTGTATGATACCCGTCTTGCGAAGGACCCCTTTGACGCAATCCATGTCCCCGTTTGAGTCAAGAAAGATCGCTCCAATGAGACTCTCCACCATGTCACTCAGGAACTTGGGCGCCTGGAGGCGAGTCAAAGCCGCCCATGGGAATATAATGCCTTTCTCCAGAGCTTTTTCAATAACTGCTTTGCATTTTCGGAATCGGATAAAGGTGTTGGACTGGTCATCCAGAACTCGAGGGCTGGAGTGAAGAAGACACTGCCACAAGTAGATTTCCTGGCTATCTGGAGCGAGTTCAATCTTAACAGGGCCTTGGTCTCCCTGGGAGTCTGGCGATGGGCGGGGCATACTAGCGTCGAAGTGCAAGCAGGTCCGGAGGCAAATAAAGGCGAGGAAATGGGCGTTGACCACCGCTGATTTCCGTAGATGCATATGACCTGGGCTATATTCCTTTCCTGGCGCACGATAAAGATAATCAGTCACTATCATATCAAGAATAGAATCGCCCAAAAATTCCATTCGTTCGTATGATGATGATGTATACTGGTCTTGTTGATAACTAGCGTGGGTTAATGCTTCGATTAGAAGAAGTTTGTGGTTAAAGGTGTATCCCAGCATCGATTCAACATCGACTAGTTGATGAGGGTAAGGCGTTTCTTCTGAATCTCGAGCCCGGCTTAGCAACTGTTCGATACGCGTGGGGAGTGGTTGCCATTTGAGACCTAGATCGAAGAATTTGATGCATTCGTATCCCAAATCGAAACCACCGTGAAGGTACGCAGCGCCAATGATTGATTCAACGACGTCTGCCAAAACTGAAAATCGAGAGTTCGAGTGAGGTAAGGAAACCAGGTGGCCAGAAAGACTGACCTTTTGTTGATAACGATTGGCTCTTGCCTTTCTTCTTCTTCTTCTTGGTGTTAACTTCTTCGACGGTCATTTTATCGGGTTCTGGAGTGGTCTCTGCGTCTTTCTTCGAGAGGTAGTGAGGTTTCCATTTCTTTCCCAGGAGCATGTCTGAGAAAAGATAAATCTCACGACCAACCTACTCATCCCTCAAGTACTCACCTCGTATAATCCATCGATAGAGTTCTCGAGCAACGTTTTCCTTGGCTAGGCGAACATTCGACACTGCATGATCCTTCTTTCTTGTGAGATACCCCTCATGCCACAGCGGATACTCGGAAAGGAGTTGTATTCCACATACAAACTTTAGGACGGTGTCCCCAAGCGTCTCTAGACGCTGGTAATTCTTCCTTTCGTTTGATGATGGGGCAGTGATTGCGACCATAAGGAGTTGCATCGGAATAGAACTAATGGGAGAGGCTGGTGTGAACACTGCTTTTTGTAAGGAGTGTGTGGTAGTGAGCATTCCAATTGAGCGAAGGAGAGCCGGAAGGAGGAAGGCGTAATCGGCGTCAACTGGCGAAAGGAGAACGATGCTGGATAGACGAGGGATAAGATTGATATATTTCAGCTCGGAAGAAGGTTCTTTTGTTGTTGGAGTTAGTGGTATCAAAAAATTAGTTCGTGGAGGGTATGCTTGGACAACCAACAGTGGATAAGTCACTTCCAACTCTGAGAGTTTCTCGCCATATAATTCCCTTAGCTCAAGTTCCTCGTCTTGCGAAAGCGGGTCAAATCTCCATCTCACAAACTTGTAAGGCTTTCCAAATTGGGGATACCTTCGAACTATAGCCAGATCTTCAGGAAACGAGAATTGTTTGCCAAATGACTCCCCGTCGGCGATAAATTCCAGTTCATGTGAATCAAAAAGCGGTCGAGTGGTTGAAAGCCATGACCGACGAATATCCCAAGTGTCTTCTTCATGCCCGTCGAGAGGCAAGAACAAATAGGAAAAATCGAGTTGATCCCAATCCATTCGGACACCGTTCAAGCACCAGAAGAGTCTCCTGGTATACTCACGAGCTTTGTCTAGAAGGACGACGTCTTCTTCATTCATTCGGCGCATAAGACGAAGGCTCGCTTTGATTGCCCCACGCCCAGGGTAATATAGTACGGGAGCGTTTTCTCCCGCAAGGTTCACCATCTCTGACTGAGTGAACAGTAACAATGGAGGCAAGGCCCCCAAAACCAGTTCCGACATCCACAAATACCCTTGGTGGACTTCATCTTCAGATTTCCAAGGATCCATCTGAATCGAGACTTTGGCAAACCCACTGCGACGCTCTACGTCTGCGAGCATTGCTTTCACCTCCTCCTCCAGCTCTGGCTCAATAATGCTAGTTATTGGAAGTAAATTGTCATTCAACAAACCTGCTTCGTACAGCGAGAAATAAGCGCGAAAGGCTGCATGACGATGCGCAGATATTTTGGTGTCGTACATGCGTTCCACGAAAAATTCGCGAGTGGGGAGCGGCAGGGCCCGCGGAAGGGTCACCTTTGACCCGTATGGTCCGGTATAGGGAATTATTGCACGCGCATGGGGCTCCAAGGCATGCCAGCCTTCTATGAAATCAGGTGGATCGATATCATATAATGGGCGGTTATCAACGTGAGCTGAATTTGGGATGACGGCACAGAAGTGGGATAGGTGAGAGACGGCGGAGTGGAGAGTCAGCAGAGCACCGGTGGATGGGTGTCGAAATACCCAGTCGTCGTCTTCCTCCTCCTCCATTTCATCCGAATCCTGTTCGTCCAAAATGAACTCTAGATCTCGCGTTGGGTCGTTGTACAATGCCACCATTTGTCGTTCCAGATTTTCCCACTTAGCGACGTCCTTCTGATTTTTACTTCCATCTTCGAACATCACCGTAAAAGTACTCCTTTGACGACGTGCCCTGCCTCTACTTTGTGCCCAGCTGGCCATATTAGGCGGAGGGTCCCACCGTATGACACTTCCACAAGCCTGAATGTCAATGCCTTCTTCAGCAACGGAGGTAGAGACAATTAGATTTTTCTCTCCTATTTTGAAGTCAGCGATGGTATCCTCTTGCGATTCTCGGATGAGATTGCGCGTTATGTCCATTACAGCGTGCCGGTATGAGCTTTCAGACGTCCCAATAAGTAGCCCCACCCGAAATTGGTCCTTTGTCTGAGGATGATTTGAGAGCAGCTCAGCTAGCGCTAGAACTGCATCTCGACGTTGGACAAAGATAATCCCGCTATAAGCTTCATCATGTGCCTCTGCTTCTGCCTTCTCGGCCAGAAGACATTCAACAAGAACACGAACTTTGTCGGAAGAATCATCTGTTATATCGTCAGGATAGTACGAAACAGGAGAAACAACAATCTGGTTGAGAATGCCCAGGAGATAGGCTTTCTCTGAATTCTTCCAGCTGGACATGAAATTGTTGTGTGGATTCGCGGCTAGTTTTGCTTTCGCCAACACCTTCTCAACAAACCAATCTGCAGCCCACGGCCCTATGTCTTGGCAGATGCTGGATGTAGCGTTAGAGAAGTCTTTGAGACCCTTGTGCGTAAAAGAATTTCGTTTGCTGATGACCGTTGACAATTTCTGATCCAACCGATGGAATTCCGCTGAGCCTGGAATGGTCTTTTTGATTTGTTTGCGCAAAGAGACAACGTAGGGGTCTTTCTCGATCTCAAGTGTATCGATAACTGAACATAGAGCCGCGTAATTCGTCGAGAACGGAAGGCAAAGTGGGTCGGGGGGCTGATAAAGAACGTGCTTGAACTTAGGTTTGTAAACGAACTGGGCCAATTCAGCACGATGACGGCGAGGTGCACGGATGGTGCTGTCCAGATTAGCCTCAATGGTCCTAGCGTAAGGTTGGTCAAGGGGTAGCGAAACTAAAGGGTGGAAACCTACTGGAATGCCTTGACTACATTACCTCCATAGATGGGACTGGCAGTCAGCCCCAAGACAGCTGGCCGAACGAAATCGGAGCCTTGGATAGGAAGATCAAAGTAGAATTCTTGCATGATCCTATTATATGGATGGTTATCCACAGCATGATGAGCTTCATCGAATACTAAAAGGCAGATGTCCCTTCCAAGGACTAAGTAACCATGACGGAGGGCGTCAAGGAAAACCTGCGGGGTCGAAACCATCACACGATGGGTTCGGATGACCTTCTCCCATAAAGCGGCATTCCTCCATTGGTCTGGCTCAAGTGAGCCTGAGATCAGACCGACAGATACTGGGAGATAAGTTTGAATGACGGATTTCTGCTGCTCGCAGAGCGCCACCGTTGGGGCAAAGAACCAGCAAACCTGAAGCAACGTGAGCGCATTGATTATGGGGGGGACTGTAATATATACCTTGGTTGGCTCACGGTGGATCTCATGTTTCAATCGGAGAACGGCGATAAGAGTTTTGCCTGACCCAGTGTCAAGGGCAATAATGATATTTTTGCGGAGACTCTCTTCAAGCATCTCCTGCTGGTAGCCTCGAGTAGCAGGCGTGGAGGGTGAAAGATCTAGTCCATCCATAGTGGACGTACGCGCGCAGTCAGTGGAAAGTTGGACCACCGAGTTATATATCTCGATTCCTGAGCGCCTACTGACTTCATTATGGGAAGGCGTAATCGAAACCTTACGTAAGTATCATCTTCCACGTTTCACGAAGCAAGCCGTCAATATTTCTGAATCCCTGGGTGTTGTGGCATCTGGGCTCTATGGAGGTGTCGACCATGCCAAGTTCCACTAGCAATACACTTTGGTTAAAGTTTACTGTAAATCAAAAAAAAAAACCATAATAACTACACTAACACTTGTAAGTATACTCTCTGTCTGGGAGTCGAACCCAGCTTTCGCGCGCACCTAGATCCATGACAGGCGCGTGTACTAACCGATATACTAACAAAGATCTTACTACTGATCCAAGTAACACAAGTTTGAAGTCTCGAGCGAAATTCAAAGCTACCAGGTCCTACCCAAACACCTATCCATGACAATCTGATTGCCCATTGCCGAATTTAGATTCAATCCAAGTACTCGAACGGTATACCCTGGAAGTTTGCAAATGGCCCTCTGAACTAGTTTCACCAGCTCCTTGGGTTCGAGGAAATGAACGAGGGACTCGTCGTTGAGGGAACGACGTAGTCGTTCAAGACTGGCCTGAAGATTGTATTGACGCAATGCTGCTCAAAGCTTGGTGACCAGAGAAAGGTTGTGGATAACGTGCTCTCTTTATCACTCTGGTCAGTAACTCAATTGAGAGGAAGCAAGGTAGAAAACCAACTACGTGGAAGTGGCCATGATCCTGACTCTTTGGAGCCAGGTGCATGAATATTGCACCTCTAGGAAACCACTCGCATCGTTCCCAATGGCATCCAGAAATCTCCGCCTGACGCCCGCATAGTCAATCCGCTCCAGATGCTCTTCGAAATGCAGCCTGTCGCAAATAACACGATATAACACGAGGTTTATTTCGGGTTCATTTTCCTGTTATCCTCGCGATAACGAAGGCAAACCTCAAAATAGAACGATCGCTGATACACTCGATCTTGGTCGTCTCCGCGATCTTTATTCCTATCTTGCTACCATTCCTCTTGCTTTGTCTTCAGAGATGCCGGCCTTCTTTCTGCTGAGATTCTACAGGAGGTGTACCGCTAGTACAACACTCGTTTTGGCTGTATCTGCACACGAGCGCTCAATGGGATAGGAGCACGTCGTCATCTCCACTTTCTTGCGGCCGTAATCAGACGACCCGTGGCGCTCGACCGAAAAACACAAGTCTACGCTACATACGAGTTTGGCATTCAATCCCAGGATCGACTCCTTCCTGCGTCTTTGAGGATGGAAGTTGTCACATCTTCAAATCTCAGTCCTACTCTCTAATTCGTAACCTTATCTGCCCCCCGAAAGACCAACACCTCAGCATCCCAAAAGGAGGAGTGGGTGGATTATCTATGCCGTCTTTCCAGGACCGCTCTGTGGCCCGAAGACATCGGAAGGTTCTGCGGGATAAACAAGGACACAACCCAGCTTCGATCGCGTGCATAAAGAATTCGGAAGTCCGGGGTCACCTGAGCCAAATCTGAGCCGCTACCAATACAAGGAACGGAGCTAAACCTTTCTAGTTGTTTTGACTGACCATGGTGGTCGGGGCGGCTTTTGACTCTGACGAAAGTTGAGGAAGGGTGGTTCTTGGCTCGGGTGTTGGAGTTGGGAACTTTATAGGGACAATTTCTACGGAGTAGCCAGTGCAAGAGGCTGCATCTTAATAATTAAATTGAAAGATACTTCAGGTACCAGGGACAATCGAAAATTGATATTATTAGCTAAGTATAGCGACATCACGTGAGAAACTCGTTTTGGGTTCACAACGGTGCTACACGGCCTCAAGAGAACTACAACTGGATTACAACTGGACTACGACGAGCGCTGCTACCCACTGCCCTCCCTTTCTCCACAACCACCACCATGCGACTATCGAATTTCTTTTCAAAGTGCATCAACGCCTGCTTCGTTCTTACCTTCCTTGCAAACCCCACGTCATGTCAGCCCCAATCACAATTCTCATCCTCAGCTGCCTGCTAACAATTATCTATAGCATATTTCATTATCACGGAGCCGGCGGCGGGAAGACAGTGGGTGAACGGTGCTACCAACCTTGTTACTTGGGAGAAGGGTGTGCTGGATGGCGTCTACGGGTTTGATGTCGAGATGGCACGCATGAGCCAGGACGGGCTCATGAAACTTGCCCGCAACGGTTCGTACTGCCCCCTTTTTGGCTCGTGCACCAATATCAATCTCTTCTTTACACAGTTCCTTCGGCCTCCAACGCCATAAATCTTCAATTACAAGACGTACCTGCGGGTGACGACTACTTCCTCATCTTCATCAACTCAACGATTGGTGTCCTATACGCTACTTCCTCACGTTTTACAATCCTTGCCGCATCGAGTACGCCTACCTCCCAAGCGCCGTCACCGGATGCCAAGGTATCGACTGTGGCTGTGAGCGGAGGCCCAAATCCAACAGCTCAGTTTGCTACCACATTCCCGGCGATCGCTAGCGCCGCCGTTGTCAGGTGGGAGGTGGGGATGGAGCATTTAGCGGGCCTGCTCAGTGTCACGATAGGTGTCGTCTTTGGGGCTAGTTGGACTTTGCTTTGGTGATATGGGCTGGGTGCTGCAGGGTGTGGGAATGGCCTTGCACCCGACCACCTTTGGTGTGGCATTTATCGTGCCAATGTCGCATTCAACGTAGGCTGCCGTCCAGAAATCTATTTTCTTTGTCCCGCCCGCCACCTATGCCTACCCCCGTGGTCGCGCTTCTGCTCCCGAAGGATTCTGAGCACCTAAAAGATACACAACTATTTTGCAAGCCCGCCGCTCATACGGCTTCCTGTCCTTTCCCACAACTACCTATACCCCGTGGACATATAGCAGTATCACTCGTCATTTCACTCTTTTAAATATACTAAATACTTTACATTATATGCTTCGAGGTCCTTTTGTATGTCACATAGAAGCAAATTCGAATCCATGCATACCCATTGCAGCTGACATCCAATAGCGGAATAGAGAATACATTGAACGTGTCTAGGCAGCAAGAAAAAAACATCCATCCTCCACGTATCAAAATCCTCAAATTTGAGGTCGCCATCAGATTTGTAGCAGCCCGTCCCTTTTTAATAACAAGGTAAGGTGGTGCCGAACGGGCGATGTCAACGCCGCAACAGAATGGAGGCCACTCCGGCGAGCTCAACACTTTGCACCTGAATGTATCGTCACAGGCGATATTGATTGTGGAAAGATCAAAGTAAAAAGGTCAGAAGTTTCGCTTTCTTATATGGGCGGAGTTTTCGGAGTTAGAACTCAGGAGCACGGACCAATCCGAGCCTCATTCTTTCAAGAACATTGAATCAATCAAGCGACAACGTCTGTCTGGAAAAGTATGCTCAGGACAGCATGGGGTAGGCAAACGTCGGGCGAACTATGGATGTAAGAGAGTTGTAAGTGCCCAGTCACGTTTGTTGGTGTTTCATACTTTTATTACCTGAAACGACGTCATGATCAGACATCACCCTCTTGCCCACCTCAATACTGAAATCTGAAATGGCAGAGAAAAAAGAGGTCAAAAGGGAGCTTAAAACTCCAAAGGGCTTCGCTGGTTTGACCGTATTTTTCTCGTATGTGTTTTATTTCAAACAGCTGATCACTTCTAGTCGATTTTCTTATGGGTGGGGTGTCTGCCGCAAGTCTTCTTGGCTCAGTCGCCTTTTCCGATTCTCATTCGGACGCTTTGCTAGGCCGTAGCGAAGACAAGCGCTGCACCCATCGAGCGTATTAAGCTCATGGTTCAGAACCAGGATGAAATGGTATGGCTAGTTACCGCTTTGCTTCACCTCACGTTCTGCCGATTAGATAAAACAAGGACGGCTTACGAGCCCTTACAAAGGAGTTGTCGATGCGTTCACGCGCACGTATCGAACTGAAGGTCTTGTTTCGTTGTGGAGAGGGAATACCGCGAACGTGATTCGTTACTTCCCTACACAAGCATTGAATTTCGCCTTTCGTAAGTTTCAACGGGCCCACATTAATGGTCATAAATAACGTCCATATGTAGGGGACTACTTTAAATCACTCTTTGGGTTTCAGAGGAGTGCAGGTTACTGGACATGGTTTGCGGGGAACGTAGCATCTGGCGGTGCTGCTGGTGCTTCTTCCCTCGTTTTCGTGTATTCCTTGGACTACGCTCGAACTCGCCTCGCTAATGATGCCAAGACGGCGAAGGTTGGAAGTGTACGTCAATTCAATGGATTAATAGACGTGTACAAGAAAACTTTCGCAACCGACGGCATCCTTGGTCTTTATCGCGGGTTTGTCCCCTCTGTAGTTGGGATCATCGTTTATCGCGGGTTATACTTCGGTGGATACGATTCCTTGAGTGAGTATCGTTTGCAAACAGTCAACATTCGCTAACTTTCATTGTGTGAACTATAGAACCCTTCGTTCTCGTTGGTTCACTAGAGGGTTCATTGCTGGCGTCATTTATGTTGGGTTGGGGGGTAACGATTGGAGCGGGATTCGCTTCATACCCATTGGATACAATTCGGTACGTACGTACTTTCCTTTCAAGAATCCCATTCTTATTATCCATTAGTCGGCGCATGATGATGACATCTGGTTCTGGTGTCAATTATAAATCAATGTTCGACGCCGGGTCTCAGGTAAATCATTGCTACTCTTGTATTTATTTATTTTCCAGACTTGGTATCTGTAGATTATTGCGAAAGAGGGGATCAAGTCGCTATTCAAAGGCGCTGGAGCCAATATTCTCAGGGGAGTGGCTGGTGCTGGTGTCCTTGCTCTGTACGACAAGTTGCAAGAAATTTTGTTTGGAAAAGTTTACCGTGGAGGTAAATACTCTCCACCAGTCTTGATCTGGATATGTCACTTATTCGCGATACTTATCCTTCGTAGGGTCAGGTTGAGGGTAAGTTACGGCCCAATTAAAAGGGAGCGTTGGGTTAGATCCAGGTTGAATACGGTTCAAGTAATCACTACTCATGGTTATTAATATTACTTTACAAGTACGGTCGTGGAATTTTCGAATTCGCCATTGTGAACCAAAGCACCCTCGAGAAACCTGAGTCACCCTAGCGGTTTGTCGTGCCCATTTAGTTGTCTGTTTTTTTTTGTGCGGTGCAAAGCGACCGTGGGGACGCTGGATGATTGATGTTGGCTGGAATATCCAGGGAAAGGGATAATAAGACCGTTGAGGTGTGGCGAGTCAAGCCCGCCGTCCCTCATTGGACGAAAATAGAGCGGAGGCGCTCCTGTCCGCCTGCTCGCCTTCGAACCACTCTTCACGGAATAAATGCCCGTGTCCGGGGAATGGTACCTTGACCCTAGGATTGCACAGGTACACACTTGTCTTACCACACGCATGAGGTACAAGTCTTCACTCCTCCTACATCTTGATCATCAAGTGGGGACTCCTACGGAATCTCAGTGCGCCAATGATTAAGGCGGCGGTAGCGGCGATGCCACCAGCATAGAACATGGCAGGTCGGTAGGCCGAGATGCCATGGCCAGTGCCACCAAAAGCCGTCAAGATGTAACCCGCAATAGGTGCGCCGGCGAGATATCCTCCAACCCAACCGGTTACGATCATGCCAAAAGCCACAGCCATAAGTTGTGTGCCCATGACGCTACCGACGACGGTGGGCATGATGGCAAAGAACCCGCCGCTAGCTGCGCCGTTGATGAGAGCGAATACGAGCACGGGTCCGAAGGAGGTGGAGGTCGGCCAGATAACGAGTAGTGATAAGGCGATGAGGGAGAGGATAAGGAAGAGTGTGTTAAGCGGGCCAAACACACGATCAGAGCAGATGCCTGTGAAGACGCGACCGACTGCGGAAGAAAAGTTCCACACGCAGACAAGGACGGCACCAAGGGTTGCGCTCAAGTGGAGCGACTGGGCATACAGGGGCAGGAAGAAGGGAGGAACAATGAGAGGGAACGTTCCCAGTGCTCCTGCGACAAACAAGAAAAGGAAATCCGAGTTTTTAAAGAGCGACCAGTCAATAAATTGCTTGCGCATGACGGTGAATCGTTCTTTGACGAACCAAGCAGCCGGCAACCCTGTAGCAAGCATAAGTAAACCGACGATGCGGAACGTCCATTCGACGCCGAGTTTGCGTACGCCTGCTTCGAGGGACAAGCTAATGACCCCACCACCAAGCCCACCGCCTGCGTAGACGATACCGACCGCAGTGCCGCGCTTGGTGGAAAAGTACTGTACAGGTGTAATTGACACGACCATGAAACACTGGCTGACGCCAATGCCCATCATGACGCCGGCAGTCATGAAGAGCCCCGCTACGTTATGCGTGGCAAAGCCGGCCAGTATCTGCCCAAGACCCATGAACAGGACCCCGATGATGCCCATTTTGCGTGCGCCTATGACACCCAGGGCGCGCGAATTGATCATTGCCAAGACGGCAAGAAGGCAAATCGAGATGGAGCCAATAAAAGAGAGTGTCGAGGCTGGAGCGAGGCCGCGATCGACGAGAGCCGCTTGTAGCACTCCCCACGAGTAGGACGTGCCGACAAACCAGAAACATAAGATAGAACAACATACAATCATCAGCCATGATTTACCGCCGCCGTCGGGTATCACGTCTGCGAGATTGGGTTCAGTGGGAGGTTCTAATGCTGAGTTAGCGGCAGTGCTCTGTTCAGCCACATTGTTATTCGTGAGGTTGGAAGAGGTGGAGGCGAGCGTTGCCAACTCTACAATGTCGATTTCGCTTTGAGGGCTCTCCTGGATTCCTCGGGATTGAGTTGAGGGCCTGATTGCTGCCATGGAGGGAGCTGAGCTGAGCAGGGCTTTGGTATTTTTAGACACCGGACAACTGGGCCGACACCCGGGGACTGCCGTTGCTTTCATTTGGCTTCGTTGCAAGTTTGCAACCTTGCTTGCAGCCTGCAGGGCCAACTCTTGTGTGAAATGGAACCAGCAACGAGCCAAATCAAGGTCGAATGGCTCCAACTGCTTAAATTTCGGGTTGACTTCGGCCAACTTAAAGTCTTGGAGTCACTTGGAGTAATTCCAGCTCGACATGGCCTCAGTAATTTTGGACGACTCATCTAGCGCGTTCACTTATGGCGGAGGAGCTTGGACAGTGAGCAATCTTATACAGTGGTACAATGGATCGTCGACCTACGCTGCCTTCGCCTTCACTGCCGGAGCGGGTACTCTTTCCGTGTCATTTCAAGGTCAGTATACATTCGTCATGGGCTCTACCCAATTATTCACAGACGCACAGGAACTTCAATCGCGTTTTTTGGAAACACACCTCCTGTTTTCAACGACTCACAAACTCTCATCGTGTCTATCGATGGCGGGACCCCATATAACACCACCTACGCAGATCCGAATCCTCAGTCATACCGCCAGTGGTATCAAACCCCAACTTTGATAGATGGCAAGCACACCGTTCTGTTATCCCACGTCTTGGGCACAGCTTTGGACTATGCTGTGGTAACTGTTGGGGAGGACACGCCATTGGGAACTAATCGAATTATCGTCGATAACGAGGACCTGTCAATCACCTACAAAGGGTCATGGAGCCGCAGCATAGCAGAGTTTGATGCTGGGTCCCTTCCAGACGGCTTCCCTTATCATAACAGCACTCAGCGCAGTTCAACACCGGGTGATATATTCACGTTTCAATTTTCAGGTATGCTCTTCGTCAGAGACGTAGTCTACGACTGAACTGGGATCTAAAGGTACATCTGCGACAATTTACGGAATCATGGACTGGAACAGTACTGGCACACTTTCAGCCGCGTATACCCTCGATAATGTCACTACTCCCCAGATATATACCATCTCAAAGTCATCACCAGAATACCTGAACAATGACGGCCAACAATCAAATTTTTTGTTTTACAGCTTTGACAGCATCCCTGCCGGGAATCACACTCTCGTCGTGAACATCACCGCATGCGTAAACCAAACTTTTATCTTCGACTATCTCACATATACCCCATCGTTCTCATCGCTTGGTACCATGCCGAATCTTACAACACAAACTTCTTCCGCGTCTTCCACCACTTCATCACCATCAACACCTTTGCCAATCGGGGGCATTGTAGGCGGCGTTCTCGGCGGTTTGGCCTTGCTCTTTGCCATTGCTGCCATCATCCTCTTAATGCGAAGAAAGAGATCGAGAAAACAAAAAAATGATGGCGTGCCAGCCCATGCCAGTAAGTGATTTTGGATGGACCTATCAATAATGGGGTCCAGTTGCCCCCTCCGCGTACCGGACTGACCATTTCGTCCCGCCAGCCGTAGAAAGCATCGGACCCTCGCAGTCATCCCCCCCAACCAGCGAAACAATCTCGCCGTTCCTCAGTGCCAGCATGTCTGAATCACAAGTGGGTTTGGGGCTTCCCCCCGTCCTCAAGGGTCAAATCTTAGCAGCTGGCTCCCCTCGAGACCACAGGATGGAATTCTCATCAAATGCGTCTGTCAGTGGCGGTGATAGTCGATCGCTACAGAGAGATGGGTCAGAGGTGGCAGCGTCTATCGCGCCCCCTGCTTATGAGGAGTTGTGAAACTGTTCACCCAAGTACTGTACATCTGCGGCCCAATCAATAACAGACGATAGTATGTACGCTTCGTGGACCGACTTCTCAAGGCTAATACTCCCGTCACGTTTAATCTCTCCTAAACTTCGGACAAGCGTCATCACGCCGCCACACACCCTGGCCGACTGTGACCGACGCCACCAATCGAGGCGCTATCGCGATGCCAGTGATGGTGAGCTTCCAGATTGTCTTCAAAGCTTCTCACCCTGTTGATAGCGTCAAATACACATTGCATCATTTGAACGTTAGCGCTTGTCTCATCTTCACCGAATCTTGGTTGGGAGTTGTAACTGGACCATTTTATGCAGGAAGTATGTCCATCGAAATGATTCGCAACGTGCTCTACAAATAGCATCGGCCACGCTCAATCCTTCATGGAGGCTCAGCGCTCAACGACAAAACGTTCCGACGTGTGATCACACAGAATGGTTACTGATCAAGTCTTCGAGGTAGAATCAATAGTTGAAACGATTGATGGCTGGAGAGTGTTGTTTGACGGTGGCAGACCGAGTGGAGCTATGGTCAACCATCTGGTAGAATCTGACCTATCTATAGCTTGACCCTCTGTCGCAATGCATGAATAAATTCTCATGTTCCCTTGAGTATCCAAGAACAAAAACTCGACAGAAGAGCTACACACGTGTCATTCAGCTCTCTCCTTGCCAGTTTTACTTCCGGGTCGTCCTTCCAACAGCGCCAACAAGCGCTCAATACTTCTGCCTTGCACCTCCATCTGTTCCCGCAGGTCCCCAATTTGCATACTCAGTTCCGTCTGGTTCTGCGCAAGCTTCAAATTTGAAAGATCTCCCCGATGCTTGAAATGCGATGCGGAGGCAGAATGCATGTCCGATAAGTTGTGAGAGGTTCGCAACGGCTGGCGCAGAATATCGATAGGTGAGTTGGGGTTTTCTTGGTCGTTCTCCCGCTGCCAGGAAAAACCAAAGTGAGGTGATGCCGCGGTTCGCATGAAGGGAAAGACATACGCGATCCCGTGTCATCTTCTCCCATACGAGACTGAACTCCCTGCCTAGTACAAAACTTGGGAGCGTGATCAAGAGTAATCCAAACACCAGGATGGGGAGCGTAACGAGGCGACCGAGAAAGGAGCGTGGCGTAATTTCACCGTAGCCTACGGTGGTAATGGTGACGAGGACGAACCATGCCGCAGCAGGGATCGACTGGTGAATTGACAATGAGCAACTCTCTACAGTCCATAAAGAAAGGGCGTACGGAAAATTGAGTTGGATCTCCATCAGAGTTAATGAACGTTTGGAGAACTTCGTCCCACGTGCCGCGTTCAGCAAAGTATCTGAGCCCCAAAAATCGTGTTAGTGGTATCAAGGAGAGTGGCGGAGAAGGGGGACGCGCAATAGTGTGCTAAATACGGTTAATATCATGACGACGAAAAATCCTATTGCCAAAAGTGCGTGCTGAGATCGTCGTACGGAGAGATACATGACTTCAATCGTCCTATTGGTGAATTGAGATGTCAATGGAGTGAAAGACGGTGTGAAAGCGCACAAGAGAATGGTGTGATTATATCGGAATGGTCTGAACACGCGCAATAGGCGAAACATGCGCAAGATGGAGAAGCGAAAAAATACAGACTTCAGAGCGCGATTAGAGGTAGGAACTGTGGAGAAAGATGTCGCAGGAGTACCGTATCTTGTTGCAGGAGTACTTCAATGTAGTAAGGCAGCACCGAAAGCAGGTCAATGACCCCGTAAAAAGCTGGAACTTGCATTGGCTTAAGAACAATCTAAGAGTATAAAATTGCGCACAAAAAATCCATCCCAGTAGCCCCATCCATGTTGAACTCCACGCCACACATCTAGCAATGTACTCCACAGTAAAGAGTGCCACCAACATGGTCTCAACACCGAACCATATTCGTGTAGAAATGGAGTGAAAAGCAGGAACAGTTTCTAGAACTGTTACAACGGCAGAAACGACGATAAGGCTGGTCGTGACCATATGTACCAGGAAGGCGGATGGCGACGACGTGGGCTGCTCGAGAAGCTCATACAGGGCACGCTTCCACGAGGGCTGCATTGTGAGTTCGGGGTTGTCATCGTATGAGGTTGAAAGGGGGAAGATGTCGTGGACATCCTCAGGCGATGGCGGACGATATTCTTCAGTGAAACGATTGGAGTTGAGAGGTGGGGGACGAATGCGGGTCAGTTCGAATGACGCAGCCATCAGACAAGGTAACCAATTTCGATAATATCTATTATTATACTCGATATCATAGGGTTAGGTCTAGTCACAACTATACAGTTGCATCTCATATACGTGACTCCTCAAAACTTTGCCTCTATCACTCCCGACCAATAATCCAGAAGAAGCATGAGGTGAGCTCACAATATTCGATGACGAGAGCAGCCACTGATATTGCGCCGCAGTGCCAGCAAACTCTCAGTGTCAAGCGTGCGGGGCTCGATAAAGGAGCTGCTCGCCGACGCCAATGGCGAGAAGAAGCGCAACTTTGTAGAGACCATTGAATTGCAGATCGGTCTCAAGAATTACGATCCCCAGAGGGACAAGCGTTTCTCCGGAACCGTCAAGTGCGTTACAATACGCGTTTTTCCTTCTGGTTACTGACCATGACCACAGGCTCCCCAATGTTCCTCGCCCCCGCATGTCACTCTGCATTCTTGCCGATGCTGCTGACATCGATCGTGCCAAACAAATCGAGCTCGAATACATGTCTGTTGACGATCTCAAGAAGTAATTCTTTCCTCGTTCAAGGAGTTCCATGACTGATAGCAAGAAAGGCTGAACAAAAACAAGAAGCTTGTCAAGAAGCTCGCCAAGAAATACGACGCTTTCCTCGCGTCTGAGACCCTCATCAAGCAAATACCCCGTCTACTCGGTCCCGGTCTCTCAAAGGGTACTTTCTCTTCTCCATCTGTTTTCATGTGTGCTGACCATAGCTTCGCAGCTGGAAAATTCCCTACCCCCGTCTCCAACGCCGAAGATCTTAGCAACAAGATCACGGAGGTTCGCTCTACCATTAAGTTCCAGCTCAAGAAAGTTTTGTGCTTGGGTGTCGCCGTAGGCCATGTTCAGATGACGGACGACCAAGTCCTCGGCAACGTCATGCTGAGTATGTATCGTTTTCCTTCACTTGGTTATATACTCACCACACTACTAGGCATCAACTTCCTCGTCTCATTGCTGAAGAAGAACTGGCAGAACATCAAGTCGCTGCACATCAAGACGACGATGGGCAAGCCCGTTCGCCTCTATTAATTGATCGGTTTTTGGCATTGGTGTTGGAGAGATGTTCCGAATGATGGTCAGACTGAAAGGCGATCGTAATGCATAACATGAAGCCCCGCACGCTTATACCAACGGTTTCACGGGAGGGAACTGATTGGGAGCTGATATGGTTTGCCTTTGGGGTTTTGTCCAAACTTCGACATCTTTTTACTCATATTACGCCAAATAAAAAAAGATTTTATAAGACAGATGAAGAAACTTGAGAAAACCGACTCTAGCAAGCTTTGCCCACTTCCGTTTTTCATTGCGAATCAAGCAACTGCCTGTTGTTTTTAGGTCACGTGTGCAGAGCAAAATTTATGCTGTACTTTACGACTAGCTTTTTCACCACTCGAAAAAGCATCAAAATCGTTGTCAGTACCAAGTGCACAACTTCCCAACAACTGACCACCAACCTCCAAAAGTCTGCCAAGCAACTCGGATGTTGCCCGCAGGAGGCGGTTACACGCCAATCGCGTCACTACCAGCGGAGTTACTCCTGATTATCCTCAAGACCGTCTACATCGACACAAGGCGCTGTGTGACGATCTTCGATCCGCACACCTTGTGCAGGGGCTCTTGCGATTGCAAGATTGACTTGAACGACGGGGGCACCCTCACAGAATGGAACGATCACGACGATTTAACATCTCCTTCTGTCTTCCCCTACGCACTCGCATCCGTTTGCAAGCAATGGTACGACCTCATGCTCCTCGTCCCTGAGTTTTGGACGCGCCTCGTTGTATTTGTGGATTCCCAGCCTACCTCTACCACAGATTTGCGTGCCCAGCTTTCTGCTTCGCGCGACCGCGTTTTTGAGGCTCACTAGAGACGAAGAGGCTGGCGCTGTGCAAAATATCCCACTTGTCTTCCATCGACGTCCCTGATCTCACCTTTTTCAACTTTCTCTCTGTTCTGGGAAGGTTCAAAAGCAGCATGATCAGCCTCGAATTGAACCATGTCGACCTCCCTACCCTTCCAGATGAGGATTTACCTAACGATTGGGATTTCCGATTCGACTTCAGTAGCCTCCACCTCGAGGGTCTGAAAAAGGAAACATTTCAAGAATTCGGCCACTTCACAAGCACTTCGCCGTACTTGGAGTCACAAACGATCCGAGCCTGTGAGCTCACAGATTACGGCATTGGCCATTCATACTACCTCGACGTGCAAGATATCAACAACACCGAAGAGTTACTGTCTGTCGTCCCCACACTCTCTGGCCGCTGCGTCAGTTTCGTATCCTGCGGAGGCCTCAACGACGCTGTTTTGGAGCGTCTTTCAGTGCCAGACCCTGACACGGGCGAGTGGGGCCTTGAAAATTTGAAAGATCTCAGTATTTTGAATAGTCCCGAGATTTCTGTTCAGGGGCTGAAGCGCTTGGTAAAGAGCCGAATTGTTGAAGCGTCAGCGCGTGGATACGGAAAGGATCCAGACTACGACGTCTTTGACCAAATGGCGCCTATAGCCTCCCTGTACATCTCCCGCTGCGTTGATTTCTCCGCGGTAGACGTTCGATGGTTCAAGTCGAAAGTGAAAGACTTTTCACTTCAATCATAATATATGTAGGTGAAGTTCGCATTCTCTATCATGATTGAAACTACTCTTATATCCATTACAGGTCTTTAACATGTAATTACATGGTTACAGATTTACAAGTAGCCTGAGTGTTAGATTTGTCGAGGAGAAGATAAAAAATTCATGGTCAGCAGTCGTGTGAGGATAGGGTGGCGAAGAGGCAGGGAACATAGAGACAATACCCCCAGCTGTCACCCTAACGATCGTCCATTCCAACGAACCAAGTATCCAGGTATCGTCAAAATCGGACGGCGCTCGGTCATCACTGTATGCTAGTGAACAAAAATACGAAGTACGTTCCCCAGGTCTCTTTACCCACCACGGTGCCGCCTATCGTTGTTCATCGGGGCCAGGATCACCCTAAACCACCATATCATTCATCGCTCGCCCAGATCTATTCCGAATGTACAACTTGTACGACGGGAAAAGTGAATCGCTCAAAACTCCTCTGGACACGCATGTCAAAACCCGAAAAAGTCTAATGGGAGCCGCTGGTCAGCAGATATCCGAAGAATAGAAACAGCGTACTATCTAGGGACCTCCCGCGCTCTTGGCGAGCTTTTGGCGCTGTCGGGCAGCTAACGGCGGTGTGGCTGATGTAAAGTCGAACGTTGATGACTCTGACTCAATGCCCTTGATGGGTCTCGTCCGCGAGAACATTTAACAAGAAGTTTAGGTTCGGGACATGGCTCAGAGGTGAGTATCATCGTTCTCTCAGACGTGGCGCTCTTTCCAGGCTCTAGTGCCACTCGCTCTTGTTGACAGGCTGCTGACATTCCCTTCAGATCCCAAGAAATGGGGATCCATACTTATCAGGAACCTGCCGAGGGTGAGGGGCCATTTGATAAGGTCAACAATGTCCGCTGGATGCCACAAATATTTCATGTTTTTACTGACCCCTTTGTCAGGATTCCCCAGGAAGCCATGCCCCAACTTCCTGCCTTTAATGAGCTTCCGGTCACGAAAGGAGGACTAGATTGAATCACAAATGCTTTTGTTGGAGACTGCCTTCCCGCCTCGGTCTTCTCACCACTACAAAGTGCATGCTCCTGCTATCCCATTACTTTGTGCAATACAAGAAATTCTTCAGAAGCCTTGCTTGTTTGTTGCCCCTGATAGAGCTTCTCTTCACGCATCTCGATAAGATCGGTAAAATGACATTGCCATCATAACGGTGCAATACGCCACCAACCTTTCTCGTTAACCTGTTAAAGGAGCTCTGAAAGAACTGTTGTCATTCACTTTGAATCCGAAGCTGCATCCCCTGAGTTGTCCCAGATACCTGTCATATGCGAAGTGTTGGGCCCTCAATATCTTTTACACCGCATTCCGCGTCTGCCACAATACCGCTCAACCTTTCATCGGGACGTCATGTTTAGCTTGGACTATTTCCCTGAAGTCAATTTGTCGAAAAATTGAACCTGAGCGTTCCCTCTTCATGCCGAAGGTCAATCCAGGCTTGCCCTTGCACCGAGCTCCTGGCACTGACATCCGTGCCCGTCCTCGCCCGGAAGGTTGTTGTTCTCCTGCCCAATTTCAAATACGATCCCTGGGTGCACCCAGCGCTCACGATAATAATGTATTGGATTGATCGCTGCTAGTGGCAAAATGAAGAATCTCCGGCTTGTGCAAGTTGCGAGATTGTGTCTGGTTAAGCCTGGTTGCGCCTACACTTGATGCTGTGGCGTGACGGGCAGGCCCGTGTAAATTGCTACTCCCTGCAAGCAAATTTAACAACGTGTTCAAACCTACGAACGCTCCGCTGCAAAGCTACACAATCGGTGACTCAAGATTGGATAGCTACAAGGGGAACCAGAATGGAACACGAAATGGAGTCATCATTCACAATTGAAATGTGGACGGGTCTCCCTACCAAGTCTCAACTAAGCGACGACGGCTACTTTTTTCGACTCCGTTATCAGATGTTATCCCCTTCCACATTCTGGAGATCTCCTCGATTTGTCGTATTCTTTTACTAATAAAGCCGTTGGGCCTTGGGGTAAAGTTTTGATGCCGTATAACTCGCGTTCAACACCTATGCTCGTCGCCAGTTGTTACATGTTACAAGGGACAATGTTATTATATTCATGAAGCTATTCAGAGTGGTTGACATTACAGTAAGTAGTAGGTGTAAGTATATGACGTTGAGCCGCAAATAACAATCACCGACAGGGGTGTCGCGATCGAAAGGTCTTCTTGGTAAACCACGTGCACTCATTCAATATCCTTCCGCGACACTAGCTTTCAGTCACCAGTGCTCACCAACACCGAGAAAGCAGCCACTCAGCTGGCCATATGTATCAGAATGGACATACATATCTCAAAGCTGCTGATATCGCAGAATGATATCTTCTCAGGATGATCTGTTCGATCTGAATTCAACACATGGTTGCTGCCAGGAGGCGAGTCGGCGACCTTGGCTATGTCCATAAACATCTGGCCATACTTACATGGCAAGTGTGTCCCCTGGATCGGATGACCGCACCTCCGTTGAGGTGACATAGCTTAATTGGCCCTCAAGGCTTACAGTACCGCCTACTCTCCAGGTTCCGTTGGCGCACGCACTCGTTACTCGGTCGGGACTCAGTGCGATCTAAAAAATGCCTCCAATTTGGTTTTGAAAATACTTAGGTCCGAGGCAGTGGTCGCTATGCAAGAAAAGTCTTGAGCTGTGATATCCTGTGGTGCCTTTCCCCATCTCCCGATCCCAACTACGATCAGACTCGGTCAGACTCGCGCGGAGTCCCAGGGAGTCCCCTACTTTCCATGATGCCCACGCAAAAATAGCGACATATCGATCACCTTGTTCTTCATATTTTCCCCTCATTCACATAATACATATAAATTTCAGTCTTTTTTTTGTTCCCCCCCGAAGACCTCTGTGCTTCCCGGTCGCTCCTTCTTTCCCACTCCTTGATCGTGATGGCCCCAACACCGCCAACTAGCTTGACGGATGCGACACTCGACAATACTTTGGGTTCCCTTCTCCTTGGAGTTGTCGCTGCTGCGTTGTGAGCGTTGGGCCGTTCCATTCTTCTTGAACAGGTTCATAACAGAGGCTTGCAGCTTTTACGGTATCACCACTTTGCAAACATACTTGTACTACCATGCATACCCTTATGACTCTTTGCTTCATAAATTTTCGGTGAGTCTTTACCCGTCTGATCCCAATAAAAATGTTTACCTTTCATCAGGTCGCTATCTTATGGTGCATATGAGCTTTTGCATCTCAAAGGGGTATCTAATCTTCAAGAATAGGATACTGGACGGCTTTCATCTTGCCTTGACGATCCACTGTGTTTACATTTATTCTGTTACGGGGTTTGGGATTATTTTGGGATTAACTCATATTGTCTGGTCTATAAAGGTATGTGTTCCAGCGGGGCTCTTGCGTACAGTCCTGAAATTGTGGCTGTCAGCTGCAAGTTGCACTGAATGTAAGTCTTTTATGGTATCCTGCGCATTTGTTGCTTAAGATTTTTTTTTTTTTCGGAAAAAGGTCTTTATTCTTCTAATGGTTCATAGGTATACCTACCATTCCCTCGCCGCCCAGAAGGCCACTTATCTCCATTTTTAACAGCTTGTACGCAATGCGCGTCTGGAAACGTCAGCTGGCTCCCATTATGTTTTTCATTGAAGATCTCTGACTCCCCTTTGCATCGAATCAGTCGGTGGATATCACCGCGGAATTTTGGGCTACATCGTGGTTAGTTTCCACATTTTTATACATTTCTCAAGACCATCACTTACATGTGTTTTAGGCCTCTGTTGTCACTGGGGGATGTGGTAGGACTTTTCTCGTATTTCTTTTGTAAATTGCTCATCAAAGTTCGGGAATCTCAGTCATAGGTCTCGGTACGTCTGAATGTGACCGTCCTGTCGGTTTATTAATGGTCGGCTTACAGTGCTTACGTATCAATTGTATGGGAGATTGCTCTTTTGTTGCAAGTTTCTCACCCAATATCTGGTAAAAGATACATTGTCAACAGCTACGCTGCGCTCGCAAACATTTCAGTATGTTCCATGTGCGTCCCGACTTACGAGACTTCTAAATTGTCTATAGTGGATCATCAACGCCGCGCTTGGGACATCCACAGCCATCGACTTCGTGATATCTGGAGCTATGTGCTATTACCTTCGAATGAGTCAAGGGAAAGCATCGCAGTATGTTCTTCTCTCCCTTGCGTATTCTCTCCTAATTCCGGAAATAGCCTCGACTCAAGAATATCAGCTTTGATGCAATATACTTTGAGCTCAGGCCTATTCACGAGGTAAATCACTTTATCGATCACAATATACAGTTTTCTCAAAGCCGTCGATCTAGCGCCTGTTCTCTCTCTGCTATGTTTTCAGTGTGTTCTTTTATTGTCATTGTGAAGAAAGCGGTCTTTGATTATCTCAATGCGTGTAGTACATCCTCCTGCCCAATACCTTCGTTTTTCTAGGGATAACATTCTTGTTGACAAAACGTAGGTTCTGTTATTTTGGAGGAACTATGCTGATAACAAATGGAATAGTTTATGTCGGTTCTTTCCTTGCTATGCTCAATGCAAGAGAGCGAAAAGCACCCCAAGTTGCCACAGAAGACGAAGCGGTTCATACCCAACAGAAGAGGATTAACTGCAGAGTCACATCAAGTTTCTGGAGCCCCGCACCACTATCGCCAATATCGCCAGGTAGCTCAACAACTCTGGGACAGGTATGTTTGCCCACCCGCATGCCGCGGTATCTTATATGCCTGACTTTGCCATAGACGAAACCGTGGTAGCTGTTCTCATCCCTTCAAGTATTCTGGCTGCGGGAGCTTGACTTTGGCAACCTACGGCATATCTATATCTTTCCGTGAGTCCTGGTTTTCAGACCAAGACGTGGCAACTTTTCTATTCAAGCTGGTCAGCCAGCCTCACCATCTTCATACACCTACCTGTATTACTATTTTCTAGCACCTGAACTGTATACCTTTCGAAATTTACTGTACCAGTAGATTCTTATTTACCCTGCCAAAATTTGAGTACACTAGCACTCGTCCTCGCGTTTCTTCCCTCCAGCTTGCAAATCCCGATATCTAGGCTTTTTATCATGGCCAGCACGCACAGTATCGTCGGATTGGAGGGCGGGTATTGGAAGATGAACTTTCTAGTTATCCGAAAGGCACAAAGAGACCTGGCGGATGCTTGAGCCTTGCATTGAAAATCTTGAAGACATCCATGAGGAACAAAGTTCGTAATCGTGAGTGCGGGGTTTCCAAGACGGCAGGATTGGTTCCACTGGCAACTGTTCATCGTCAAGCTCCTTTTTCCAAACCAATAATCTAGTCCTCTCAAAGCCATAGAGCCCCAGAAATGGTGCGGGGGAGTCCAGGCCATGACCCGACTCATTCAAACGTTTTCTTGCGACACCAGATAGAGATAGAGCGCGTCGAAAACGAAAGAAAAATGTAAGCTCGCGATTGACATTACATCAAGAACCAAGAGACTCCCAAGGAGAGTCATTGACAGTCGAACTGTTCTTTCACGTGACGAGTAGACATTTCTACTTGCCAATGCATGCCCCCAGTTCGCTTTCAGTCGGGCGACTGAAATCCCATAACTTGATAGATGAATCGAAAGTAACCGGCTGAGAGTGTTTCTTTCGCCCATTTGGTTCAGGAGAAGTGGGCGCATTCCTTTGAAGTAAGAGGTCATCGACTTCGTCGTCCTCTTCGTTTGAAGAGTCCGTTTCCACAACATCTTTGAAGTGACGTGCGCCAGACACAGATAGAGCGACTGGGCGCAGGGGGTTGAATGTGACTGACCCAACTGCATCTGACAGAAGGGTATCAAAGAAATTCTGGACCAGGCAAAGAACTGATACTAACCTTCATGTGCGATAAATTCGAGTACGGGTCGGTTTATCTGCGTGTCACATTCCAAAAACGAGTGCTGACCCTCGACAACAGTATCGTCAATCGTCTTTTCACTGGAGCCAAGGTCGAATACTGATACGTTCCCTTTCTAATCGGAAAAGCTTTCAGCATGAATCTACGACTTAAGATCACCACCAACCGGATCTCCGACACCAAGATAACGACCCAATACATCGACATCAAACCGCATCTTTTGATTGTTCACCTTCCTCTCCGAGGCGTCTAGGGCAGCAGCGGAATTCTGGCAAAATACCTCCACTGGAGAGCCGAGATTGGCGCGCAAGTCCCAGCTATAGATAGATCCGGAACCGCGACCACGGTACGCAGCGTATAGAATGTGGGGCCTTGAAGGGTTGAACTGCACCTAAGATGAGAGATGAGCCAGACTTTCTTAGTAAAGGTGAGACGTATTACTTGTGTGACGCCAGCACGAGGTCCACCTCCAAGAAACATGATGGGAGTTTCACTCTGAGAATCACTGAACAAGGCAATATTGCTTGGCGTCGGAGAAAAGCTCCCAGCTGCGTAAAATGACTCGGCCTCAGAGTATGAGGGCGAGAATGCCAATGCTGAAATTATCCCTACAATCACTTCGAGTCAGACAAGTAATTCATATAAAAATGATAATCTACCTTTGAGGCCGTCTTTGCTTTTCTTTGAAGGTGTCGTATGTAAGCGTTTGCCTTCTCCCGGTCTGGAAACGTCGAAAACCTCAATAGCGTCTTCAAAACCGCAATATAATCTAGCGGGAGGTTGGGAAATTTGCACATAGACAAGCGTGCAACCGAACCTTTCACCCGTCAGGTTAAATGCGAGGCTGTGGGGGGCGATCTGCCGTTCTCGATGATCAACGATTCTATATGATGCACGGAGCTACTTGAGCGCTGTTGAGATAGAGTTAAGAACTGAAACGGGCTGGACTAACTCTACCATCGGATGCATCTAGTAATTTTACCGGGCACTCTCGAACGGATGCGACGAAGCAGAAAGAGGCAGGGTTCTGAGGACTTGCAGTCGGATACCAGACGAAATCGAGGATGGGCGCTGGTTGGTTAAATATGCGAGCATTTGTTGACAATGCAGCAGACGGTTCCGTAAGACTGTGAGGATCGGTAGTAGACATCTCTCCAGAAGATTCTCTGTGGTGTTTAATCCTATCAGCGTGACGTTCAACTCGAGGCATTGAATAAACGAACGGGTCAAAAATTTGGAGAGTTCTGTTTTCGCATTGCGCGAGAGCTAGTGATCCATCTGGGGACCTATTTTGTAAATTGAACAAATTAAAAAGATCGTTCTAAAAAACGCGAAATTGAACTGCTCTATGTAATAGAATCACATACCATTTTACGAGCCGTACGAAGTTTTCGGGAAATAAAGGGTCGGGAGAAAGGTTCAGACTTCTCGTCAATTGGGGTTTTTTACCGGTATAGTACACAGGGGGCGACCAGACATATTCTGACGTTGCCTCCATTCAAAGTTCATGAGTGGAAGAGTTGAGCAAGATGATAAGCAACAAGGCAAAACAAAGATCTTGCCAGTGAACATGTAACAAAATCCGCTGCGGCATCTGCGCAAATCTCGAATTATGGGCCAGAGTGCCAGAAAAAAAAGAAATAAGCAGAAGGAAGCACGGTGGTTTGTCTGTTTTTACTCCTTGTCAATCAACGACCTTCTCTTCGTCATCCATCTCCCTTCCTCTTCAGCGGCTTGCGCTTCCTTCTTGATGACAGCGACCCAGTTGAAACAGGTATCGCAGTCGACTGCCTGGTGTTTTTCACATTGGTATGATTCCTCCGTCATCAGCGCTGCGACAGCCCCGTGAGCGTAGGCGTTTATTGGATGACGCGCCTGAAGAATCAAGACACAAGATGCTTGTCAGTCCAATTCACTTGCACCTTCCTAAACGCACCTCCATCTCCGACTCGAATTCGAAGAACTCCGACATCTCCTCTTCGATTCGGACATTGTTTCCCATTCGGTAGTCACAGCAGCAGATGTGGCAGTATTCATCTCCATGAGTTGCACAGAACATGAAACCGTTGACGACAATCGATTCTGTAGCCATGTTGGTGAACGAAATACCGTCCGGCGTCGAATACACGTTCAAAGACAAGTGTATGGTGCTGACTGCCAACTGGAGAGCGACTGGGACCCTGAACGTATCTCCCTATTTATGGGTATCTGAAATTTGAGGAAATAATGGGCTTCCCACCCTTGGCTCAAACGCTTGACACGTGCCTGTACCTCTTTGAAGTGCAAACGAGTGTTGTTGATGCTGGCATGACTATTCGACGAACGAGCAGTATGACAAGGCAAGAAGGATCAATAATTCACAAGTCCGAAGAGTTTTTACATAGATACACGAGGAATACAACAGAACCAAGAAAGGGTCGGGGAGCAAGAAGAGTATCAGAATTCCAGCCGAGTTGGATCAAAATTCCAACAGTTGAGTCTGATCAACGTTGACCCAGCTCGACCGTTTTTCCCTATAAATTCAAACAGCAGAAAGGTGAGCTAGAGAAAAAAAACACACAACCAGAACGTTGGACTAACACTCTTTTATGAGGTAAAGGCGGCAGCGTACCAAGCACGAGCTTGACCGTCTTGACTTCAAAGCCCCGGAAACTGAGAGCCAAGTGGCCACCATACCCATCTAAACCATCAGAACGCGTGACATTCAACTCCTCCTCCTCATCTTCCAGGAGATTCGTGGTGAAGGCTTTGACGACAGGTAGATGGTCAGAGAATTTAACGAGGGTCTGTGCATGACCGCCAAACGCTTCGTAAAGGCGGAGAATAACCGTTGTGGTGGTAGACTTGTCGTCAAAGTTAACGGGATCTTCGAAGGAATCATATTCTCCGCGTTTGACTGTTTCCAGGAAGACGTTACGAGCTCCCTCAACAGTAAAGGGAGCTTTGAACGTCGATAAAAGCTCCTCAGTGCCAGCCGGGATGCATCGTACTGAAAAATCTCATCTCAGAAGCGGCAACGGTTGATGTGTGAAAGCATACCTCTCAGCGGAGAGTTGTACAAATACGCAGCCTGTGGCACATCGGACTCGAGGAAGTGTCCTTGGTGAGGCATGACAGCCCAAGAGAATCGGTGTTCTCCTGATGTGGAATCAGCGGAATGTGCAGGACTAGCTAGCACGCAAGGCATACCTTGGTCTTGTTCAGCATCTGGAGCAGTTGCTGCACGGAGAAGAGAAATACGCAGGACGTTGCCTTGGCATGCAAACCCGTACTTGGACTCGGACAATATCGCTACACCATATCCAAATTCACTCAAATCCGCATACTTGATCATGAATGTTAGCCAAAAGAAAAGATCAAAATCGTTAGTGAAAACCTTGTGACCGCAGACTTCAAACTACGCAGAGGATGAACTCATCATTCGTCAATGAATGGAAGGAACATACCTTGGCGATATCCCACGTAGTGTTTTTATGGGTGGGGCGTTGGATGTGGCCGAACTGGGTCTCGTAGGTGGCATTCACGTTGTGTATGTTGAGAGGAAGCTCGACTGACAACACATCAGAGTCAAAACAAGATGTGGAAACGATGGGATAAACGTTACATTTGAGGAACTCGTGACGCTGGTGCCAATCAACGATAGCATCAAAATTAAAGAGGGATCGAGAGTTTTCCTTGACAGTAGCTAGAACGAAATTGAAATGAAATGCTGTAAGGCCCAAAAGTGGACGGTCGCACCAGTGGTCGCATCCAGCGAGATCTATGAGAACATCTTAAAACAAAACCCATGTATTAGGACAACAAAACTCACAGTGACGCTAATGGTACTCTGACCATACCTCACCTCTGCCCTGACAGAAGCGCGCAGAGGACCTTGAGAGACCACAGAGATATTCGAAAACTCCAAAGGTTTGGCCGTCTCCAAATGATGAATCTCGACATCTTGAGAGAAAAGTCAGTAAGCAAGACCGGGTGTACGGTAGCGGCATATGAACCCCAAGCGTCCCAGTAGTTAGGTCTATCCTGGAAAATGACGAGACCACCGGTGGTACCTTCGGGAATAAGCTCACGGCTACACACAGAACAATCAATATGGAGTGAAACCTAAGGAGGCAAAACGACTTACTTGAGCTTAACATCCAACAAACTGCTAATCCTTCCCTTTGAAATGGTCATCTGAACACTCGCATTTCGTAACACAAAGTGATCCGATCCATTAGTATAAACTGATTGGAAAAAAAATTCGTAAGCCAGAATCCAACGCCTAACAAGGCGTACAAACCTGACACGGGCATAAGATGAGCATGCAAAGCATTCGTTGGACTCCTCAGCGCTCCAGGACTTCCGCCATCAGGACAACACATAATTGCATACCCCTCCTTCCCATTCTCCGACGCCTGCAGAACCTGCGCTTTCAACGCCGGACCCGCTTTCACCAATGGGATCTTGATGATGTCCCACCGAGGCAAGAAAGTGGTGTTGAACGCTACGATTTTGCCTCCTAAAGACTTGGTTCTGGAGGAGGGTGTGAGCGGGACAGAGTGGGGGAAGAGGATCGAGAAGGCTTCTTCGAGAAGAGCTTCGCCGTCTTTTTTCACTTCTGCGTAGAGCTTTTCTGCGTCGTCGTATACCATCCCGCTAAAAGAAGATGAGCACTAAGACGCAAAATGCAATCTGATAAACTTACATGGAAGAACCAGGGAGCACTTGTCACAAACTAACGTAAGTATATACCCGAGAGATAGGTCTCAAAGCTCACCATCATGGACTGCAGGCGGGCAAATATCAACGCACACATTCCAAAAAAAGAGGAAAGCCACGTACATTGATTCAAAAGCACCTTTTCCCAACTATCATCAATCGCCTGTTTAGGGTAAACGTAGTCGTTCTTATGATACTTGTACAGCGAAGCCAACGTCGTAGCTTGCTATAACACTCGCTTGTCAGTGATGACGAATCCAAAAAAAAAAAAAAAAAAAAAAAGTCGCTGCGTACCTCGACGTCTCTCAAAAGTATCTCCGAATGCCGATTCCCTTTCTTGATCGATCCATGCGAAGTGTACGTCCCACGATGGAACTATCAACCCCAGATATAAACAGCCAACCACGCAACAACAATACGAGCCAAACCTCAAGATACAACTCTCCGTTCCTGCTCAGATCATATCAGTAATTTGAACGAGCCTCCACTAAAGGAAGGAGACTGACCAATTGGGCAGGCTCTTCCCCTCTTCACTAGTCTTTTCCACATCCTCAAAGAACTCATCGACGGAACGTCCCATGCTGACGGGGGGCAGCTCCCGATGGGTGTTAGTCACTGCTCGAATCCTACGAAGCTGAAAGGCTGTTAGTGTGACCAATATGGAAGGAGGTGAAAGCCTCACATTTTCCAACATCTTTGCCAAGGGCCCTCCGCCCCCATCTCCATTTCCAAATACTAGAAGCGCAGTGTCGGACGACTCCAGGTTCTGAGTAAATGAAAAAATGAGTAAGATTTGACAGAGAGTGTGTAGGGAAGGAAATCCCACCTTATGGTTAGTTAACCCCTTGTTAACGTCTCCCACTGTAGCTTGCGCAGTGTATGTATCCACTGCATACAAAGTGTGAGTGAGGGTAAACAACAATACCTAGAAAGCAAACCTGGCGTCATATGGCACAAAACCTGGGTCCCATCGAGTCCCACCCAGTTAAAGGTAGAATGTGGAAAAACGTTACTGTGCATAATCAACAACTCCGTAAGAAGGAGAGGACCGAAAAGACATACATATTATTCCTGTACGGAAGAGACGGTAAATCAAAACTCAAAACTGAAAAAGCAGGCTCATACCAAGACAATTTTTGGGTGAAGAAATACTTCATCCCTAATTCCTAATCAAACGTGTTCAAAAAAGAAGAAAGAAATCGCCCACCAGCCCCTCTGATCAACTGAGGCAACGCCCCCGTCAACCCAAACGAATCGGGCAACCAAGCGGTCTCACACCGCTTCCCAAAGCGCGTCTCAAAAAACCGCTGTCCAAACAAAAACTGCCGAACCAGCGCTTCACCCGAAGGCATGTTCGAGTCGTTTTCAACCCATGACCCGCCAATGGGGTGAAATTTGCCTTCGAGGACTTTTTCTTTCACGCGGGCAAAGAGGGGTGGGTATAACTTGCGGTGGTGTTAACAATGGAATGTAAAAGAAAAAAAAGGGCAGAAAAAGCACCTGTTCAAGCCATTTGTATTGTTGTGCTGAGCTGCATGTGAATCGATGTTCTGGGTATCGTTCCATGAGGTCTACCTGCGTGGACCATGACCGCGCAACTTTCTGCTGGGTAACACGGTATGGCCAGAGCCATGCGGTATCGATATGGCAGCTGTTTTGGAATAGTCAGCATACAGAACTTGAAAATTGGGAAAAAACTGACTGTCCAATACCCCAAACATTTGACTTTTTGGAGCCTTCATTATATATCTCGGCGCCTTTGGCTTCCCATCCTTCTCCAAACACCTCTTCAGCCAGTTTACGTGCTTCTCTGACTGAGGTCGGATCGCCTTTATCAAAGACGTTCATGATCTCATTAGCCACCTTTAACGCTTTATTTTGGAGTCTGCACAGAAAAATATTAACATACAATTCTCGTTCCCAAAGAGAAACTCACGGTGTGTTCCCAGGAAGGGTATCAATCAGCTCTCTGAGCGTCTGGAAATCCCAAAGTAACCCCCAAGCATCTTGATTCGGAACGACGAGGTCAGCAGAGTCCAAGGTGAAGTATCTGTTCATGTCCGGCGGGGCAATGGTGTCCCCGTTCCATGGAACACCAAACATCCCATTACAGCTGGACTCGATGACAAACTCGTGAACACCCTTTTCGCGCTCTTCAAGAGGGATGATATATTCGACCCTTCGGTCGCCTCCATATCCACCAGTGATACCTGGACACTATGAGGTCCGTTTATTTGGTTAATGACTACCACACACCTTGTAGAGGAGTTCCTTCTGTGCTGTATATCATTGCCTCGCATCCTGGGTCGAACTCGACTGGGAAAGGTTACCCTGAGATTTAACGTACGTAATGGAAGCACGTACATTGCACGCGGTCATATTGCTGCCAGTACCCTGGTATGACTACGGTGACTTTCCACCAGTGGTTTGTCTGTAGACATTGTTAGACATGAAGGTTTCTAATAGCGACACAGACTTACCCCTGGAAATAAAACTTAGATATTTGTTGGTAGGCAGATACAACGAACTCACATGAAGGCCCAAAAGAGTCACCCTGTTAGAGCGACAGTGAGTAGACTGCTTTGAATGAGTATTTATTTAACGGACCTTTTTAGCAGACCTAAACTTGTGCTGCATGGCCTCTTCAAAAGTAGGTTTTGTGTTTCCTGGTGCGCTCCATCTTATGGGAGATGAAGGTGATATTGGGAACTATGTCTGAGTGTACTCACACTTTCAGCTTTACATACTCTGGAGTATCAAGACGATGGAGAAATAGAATAGAGGACAAGTTGACGTCCGAGTAGTGACCGCCATGGAACGTGGATAGCCTATCCTTTGTAAGGTTCTTTATCCACTTTTGGCCTGGATTATAGTTGAGTTGTGGATACGCCATTGAGTACTACTCAAGTAGTATTGTAGTAACGAGAGTGCGTAAGTGTTGTAACCGCAGTGTAACCGGCAAATGCCGAGAACGCGTCGCGTCGGTTGAATTTGACTCCAACTTCAAGTTGTTCTTCTATTGAAATGCTCTTCTGCTCATGTCAGGTCTAAAAAACTCGCCCTTTGGGAAGCGTCTGCGTGCATCTCACAAAGACGAAGAAGAACCAACAAAGAAAAAGCTCATCAATCCCATCTTTGGCCTACCATCTTCAACTCCCTCCTTGGACTCGAGACCCAACACAACAGACAGCAGCGCTGCTCCAGAGTCTCCAACCGATGTTAAAAGGATAGCGAGGGGAAGGGATTATACGCCGAGAGACTATGGCGACCGCTTCGTCCCATCGAGAGACGCTGGAGATATGCGCACCTCCTTTCATTTGTTGGACGAAGGTGGCCCATCCACACCCTCAAAGAACAGGATAATTCCCTCGGAATCAGATGCTCTCAAAGGTCACTTTTATCTTCAATCTCAACCAAAACCTTTATTGACTCTTTGCAGAACAAGCCAACGCCATTTTCAACTCGATACTCCACACCGAAGTCACCCCTCCATCTCCCCGACGTCCCATCTCCCCCACCCGCCCCATTGCCATTGCCATAGCCTCCGGTTCCGCACCCGTTCCACCATCAACACCAACCCGCCGCCGTCTGTTCAACTACCATTCTCCCACCACATCCAACCCCGCCACACCCACCCGCAGACTCGACACAACCACAGATGAAGCCTACTCCATGAGCCCAGTTCGCGCAGAGAGCCGCCAGCTTCTCGAATCCCCACGACGTCAGCTCCGAAGCGTCTGTAAAACGCCTTATCGGGTGCTGGATGCTCCAGAATTGGCGGACGACTTTTATCTCAACCTCGTCGATTGGTCGAGCACAAATGTCTTAGGGGTGGGGTTGGGCTCCTGTGTCTACCTATGGACAGCACACAACGCAGCGGTGTCCAAGCTGTGCGACCTAGCCGAAACGAACGACACAATTAGTTCTGTTTCATGGGTCCAACGGGTACGATCGCTCATTCCCAATCTTCCTAACTCAGCTAAAATTTTCTTTCCATAGGGAACAACGTTAGCCGTAGGAACACTCGCAGGCCGAATGCACATCTACGACGCCAACACCCTCCAACTCCAACGAACCTACCAACAAGCGCACACACAACGCATTGGCGCCTTGGCCTGGAACGCACACATTCTCTCCTCTGGCTCACGCGACCGCATGGTCCACCATCGAGACGTCCGCGAAGCCACCACGCGGCCTTTCAAGCGGTGTACCGGCCACCGACAAGAAGTATGCGGCCTCAAATGGAGCGGGGACGGCGGGCCCTCATCAGCTAACCTCGCGAGCGGCGGAAACGACAATAAAGTGTGTATATGGGATTTGAGGGGATCGCGAAGGGGCGCGAGCACGAGCGCTGCTGCAATAGCGGGGGAGGAGGGACCAGGGGATGCACCGCTATGGAAGTTTCATGAGCATACGGCGGCGGTCAAGGCGTTGGCTTGGGACCCGCATGTGTCAGGTGTGCTGGCTACGGGAGGGGGAACGCAGGATAAGCATATACGGTTCTGGAACGTGATCAATGGGTCGATGCTCAGTGAGCTAGACACTGGTAGTCAAGTACGCCCTTCTTTCTCACTTTTTTTTTTCATCCCTCTTGACCTATGTTGCTTCAAGGTATGCAACCTGATCTGGTCACTTACCTCACACGAACTCGTCTCCACACACGGGTTCTCATCCACCACCGCGCAGAACCAAATCTGTATCTGGAAGTATCCTACTCTGAACATGGTCGCCTCTTTAACAGGCCACACCAATCGGGTGCTCTACCTCGCCATGAGCCCAGACGGGGAAACGATCGTCACGGGCGCTGGCGACGAGACTCTCCGGTTCTGGAACGCTTTTCCGAAAAAGGAGAAAAACGAAAGGGAGAAGGAGAGTCGGCTTGACTATGGAAGGCTGATTCGATGAAAGATTCCCTCCCAATCGTTCCTAACCAACATCTGTACTCCGTCGGACCTCTTTCAACTATTGCTCCATCTACCATATCGGTCGGCATCACATCGACCTCACAATCCTTTCTCTCTCTCTGTCTGCATCAGCTAAACCTTCAACCCATCACGGACAACAACAACAACAGCACCAACTACATAATAATCCACTACCTACCAAACCAACCTAAATCCCATCGTGTATTGAAGATAGCATCTACCCACCCAAGCATCATCATCATCATCGTCACATCACCCTTCCCTTTCCTGTTCAAACCTCCATTCTGTTCTCTCTCATTTCTATCGCCCTTGTCCTGCCCTCTGCTCTCTTTGTCTTTGTTCTTCCAACCCACTCTAATCCTTCCAGTCTACCAAATGTACATGGACTGACGTCTTTTCTTCCTGCTTTTCGGTATATAGTTTTTGTCGGTTTTTACAAGTTTTTTCTCTCTCTCTCTCGTACCATGTCGCATTCTTTTTGAATTTGTAATCTCCTCTCTCTCTTTCCTCGTTTTAGCTCTCTCTTGATTGGAATAAAATACTCTCGTCATCTGTCTGAATCCTTGGTTCTTGACAGCTAGCCCGATGATATCGAGGACCATATGACTGACCTCGTTGCAACTAACCCGATTGACAGCCCAAATGTTACAGCATAGTCAAACGCCAGCAGGTCAACTACAGTTGGTATACTTAATTATATCATTACACATTAAATACTTTAAAAAAAGCAATATAAAAAGTAGTTACGGTATAAAGCAGATAGGGATATAGCGTCTAGGATTCCTATATAGCACAGCACAAGGTCCCGAGTCCGTTATCGTTATCTGTATTCAGCGAGGGGGAGCGGAGGCCGTCCATCGTCCGATCGTGTAATCTCTTCGTATATGAGCACTACGATAGAACAGTGTCAGTAGGGGCGAGCAAAGCGGAAGGAAGCAAACCTTTGAGCTGCTCCTTTGGCAACGGATCACCAAAGTCAAAGTCAAAGAACGCTGGATCTAGGGGTTGGGCAGTGGGTTCATCTTCGGGATCGTGGTAGGGCTAAATGAAGCGATTAATAAACGAGATGAATGGAGGAGAATCAGCCTTACCTGTAGGTAAGGATGTTGCAGGGCTTCCGAAACTTGCAGACGTCGTTTTGGGCTGAAAGTCAAGCATTTTTCCATTAGGTCAATAGCCTAAGAACGATCAAAATCAGAAAAGTAGGGCAGATTGAGATAGAGAGCAACGCACAAGTGGATTTGCGTTTGGGAACATTTGCGCAAAGCTCTTTTTCTTTTTAAAAGGTAGTGCCCGAATATATTCTCGTGACCTTGAGGAGTTGATCGCGTAAAAGTCGTCTATCGAAGGGGTCCCGAGGGTTTCGAGAATTAATGAAAGCTGGTGATGATCTGGAGAACGACCCAAAAGATGTTACGATCTGCAACGGCGAATATAGAAAAGCTTTTACAATCCCGGCCCGGAAAGAGAGGTCTTCCGCTCAACATCTCAGCCAAAACACATCCGACACTCCACATATCGATGGCGCGAGTGTATTCTTTAAAGGTAAGCATAACTTCTGGTGCACGGTACCACCTGACAGAGGTAATAAATGAATCAGTATAATCATCAGGAAGTTTGAGAAGGAGAGAATTCGTGGGAAGTCCGAAACTCCGGACTGTCACCAAAGGACAAGCGCTAGCAGGGGTGCGTGGGCAAAGTGATCCGTACCGGGTAGCGACGTATTCGGTCATGAATGTACTCGTGTCGTCAATGTCGGGTGGCGGACGAGCAGAGCGAGCCAGGCCAAAGTCACAGATCTTAATACGGTTCCGGTTTAGACGTCCAAAAAGATACGAAGCGGGAGCGGTACCTTGAGATCACAATTGGAATTGAGCAAAAGATTCGACGGTTTTAAATCCCGGTGGAGGACGTCCGCGGAATGAAGCGCTTTCAAAGCGCGCAAGGTCTGAACCGACATAATCAGAGTGACACCATACGACCGCGAAACAAGGGCGGCGCACTTGGTATATGAAGTACTGGCAGTGGTCGTCGCTGAGTTCCTGTGTCCGGATGACACGATGCAGATCGGTCTCCATCAACTCCTGCACAAGATACACCTCATTGAAATCATAAACACTTGGGGGGTAAAGGATGTCAAGTATGCGAATGATGTTTTCGTGACGAAAGTGGCGCAGAAGCTTGATCTCGCGAAGGGTTCTCAGACAGAACATGGAATGCTCAAAGGGTGCGATGCGTTTGATTGCAACTTTACGCTGAGTTGGCAGGTGTATTGCTGAGCTACAAGGAGAATGAGATGATGCTTGGTATTGCACGCGTCAGAGACTGACCAAACGATGCCGTACGCGCCTTCGCCGATGACATCGAGGGGGCTGTAGGTATTTCCGGTGATGAAGTTTTCCATGCGTTCATCCATGGTCGTTGTAAGAAAGGAAGTAGATTCAAGGTAACTCAAGGTCATAATTCAAATCCCGACGTTTCTCGGATTACTCGCTTCAATACTAAGGGTTCCTGGAAAACTCTAGGAGGGCCCAATCTTGGCAGGGGTTGTAGCATCTCATCGCACCAATATAATATCCTTCAAGGTCTTAAAGAAGAAGTTGATCTGTGCATACATCAATTTCAAGTTGTGGTCAACCAACAGGATGTTTAAGGAGCTTTCACAACGCTATCATGCTACAGTCTTTGAAAAGCCAATAGAATATTGTCCACACTGTTTCTCCAACATTTCTCTCCCTCCGATCCAAACCGAGTGCTGGGCAGTATCAAATCAATATTACTAGGGTTGTCCCTAAGGAGAGGCGGACATCCGAGCTTCTACCTGGGCCCGTGTTGGTATACTTTCAATCGTTCCCATTTTCTCAACACACATCCCCGCAGCCTCCAGAATACGATTAGTCACCGTGCCAGTTGTGGATAAAGATAATTGACACTCACATAAACACTCATTTTCAGAATCCTAGCGATTTCTTGTTCACGAATAGTTTTCCCCACCTTTGCGTACGGACCAAACTCCATCAGACCTTGCACGAAATAACCTGTAAAGCAATCCCCTGCCCCAGTCGTATCTCGGATTTCTCCTTGCAGTTTAGCCGCTTGGAGATGCATGAAGGACGGCGCCTCGTGAGCAGTCTTCGGACGATGAAAGGTAGGAATAAAAGCAAGGACACCATCCCCACCAAGGGTGCAAATGATGTTGGTGGTTGCAAACGAGGGATGAGCCGACAGTAGGAAGACAAGTTCGCGCGTCGACATGTTTGCTGTTGTGTTTGCCCTCGATCTGTTCAGAGATCGACATATACCTGCAGCCTCCGCCTCGTTTACAATTAACCAGTCGATTTTATTCCAGGGAAAGCGGCTGAGCTCCTGATCAGAAGGTAGGGGAGAAGGGTTGTAAATAATGGTCGCGTTCCTTGCATTGTCAAGCGCATACGCCATCGATCGGGGATGTATTTCGTTTTGAAGGAGGAGATGGCTCGTCTCTGGGAAATAACCTGGAGATTCTTGCATAAACTGTTTTTCATGGAGTTCACTGTGGTTTGCACCAGGAAATAAAACTAACAGACGCATCAGCTGCAGAGAAACACCAAAATTCGATAGAACCAATGAACACACCGATACTATTTTCTCCGTCTGCGGCAACTTGGATAATGGCACGGCCCGTAGGATCCTATGTAGCGAACATTGAATGAGATCCAGACTCTGTAGGCGATGAGTTACGTACGTCTGAAACGATGATTCCTCCGACATCTATCCCATAGTGCTTCATTTTATCCGTTACCCAAGTTCCATCTCTGCCGACCGTTCCATAGAAGTAAGCAATTCCTCCAGCTCTGACGATGGCTACGGCCTGGTTTGCTCCCTTCCCGCCCACCTGGCTTTCGTGCGTCTTTGAAGATATCGTCTCTCCAGGTCTTACGATCCTTTCAACTACAGGAGACAAGGTGAGAAAGACTCTATAGAAAAAGAAAAGATCCAAGAAGCACCATGAAAGTACTCGTCGTGGTCTAAAAAGGAATGTCAGGCTCAATCAACGACTCCAGAGACAAATCTTACTGATTGAACCTCGCACAGTGCATTTACAGCCTCGCTGCTCCATGCTGGTACGAGAGAAGAAGACTCAAAGGACAAAAATGAGAGCTTGAAGGACAAAGCTGATAGGACATGTGTGCGACTTGCAAGTTATAAGTGAACCTCACAGCATCCGGAAGTCGAGGCAAATTCGATCACTCACACACACCGATCACCGATCGATCATATAGTGAAATGAAAAGGCTACGAGAAAGAGAAGGACACCTTTTGGGCACTTTCATTTGAAGTGGTATATCCTACAAAATACAAGAACATGCTATAGATATATATGTGTATGTGCTCATCACCCCATCCACGGAACAACGGATGAGGATCACATCAAAAAGTGTCTGGCAAAATGATCATGAGTGCACCAAGTCGCCGTGAATTGTGATCAGCACTCACCATTTTGGCAGTAGGCAAGGTCTGAAAACAACAGGAATAGAAGAGTGAGAAAATGAAATGTTAGTAGGTACATAAAGGTACTATTTATTACTTTGCTTTTGGGGTGATAGTCTGTGTGTGTGGGAACAGCGCATTGGAAAAGAGGGTAGAAAGTGAATGACGAAAGCAACTGGGAACCAAAACGCAATCGTCAAGAGCCTGAGAGTCCTTGACGCCATCGCCAAACCGAACCTATCATCCATCCATGCTGAACAGATCGTCATCGTCATCCCGCGTCACCACAGGCCCATTCAGCGGGCTCAATGGACCGCCATGTTGTTGTTGTTGTGTGGGATAACGTCCTCCACTAACTTGCCTGGATAAACCAGGAGGAGGACCAGGAACACCACCGCGAGATGCAGCAGCAGAGTAGGATAACCTTGAGAACATCGAATCCAAACCAGAACCTGAGCCAGTCACGTTTCCAGAAGTACCTGCGTTGACGCCTGTTTGAGAAGGAGGCGACGCGGCACCCGTCCACTCTCCGTATGGGCCACTGCTTGGAACTCCAGCTCCGGCTCCCGGCGATGTACCCGAATTGAAAGAGCCAGATACCCCTGGGGAAATGATGTTGGTGAGTGGGGGCAAGGCATGGATCCTCGAATAGCCTGCAGCCAGTCCCTGAGGTAGACTTTGTCCGGGTGCATGTGTTCGCAGAGCACGGGTGTTTGGGGAAACAAGATGGGTCGCCAGCAAAGGATCATCCCCTACGACTTTATCATGTGTAGAGGGTATCGGACGTGCGGTCTGTGAGTGTTGTTGATGCAAAGTCTGAGTGAGGTCAAAGGGTGAGGAAGGAGTCCGGTAGGTAGTTTTCTGGTTTCCATGAATGTGAGTGTGTATGCCCGATGTACCAGATGTGGATGAAGGAAGACCCAATCCTCCCGAAGGTTGCTGAAGGTAGTTGTTCGCAATAGAGTTGTTAGACGTCCCAGTTCCGTTGCTTGACCCGAAGAGGGGGTTGCTAGATCCTCTCAGTCCCCTCGCCAGTCCCCCGCCCAAGCCTAGTTGCGCTTGTTGCTGAGACTGGGCCCTCTGCGCCTGTGAGTTGAGATAATGTTGGTGTAAGCCAGGCAGGAAGGCAGCACTCGCATTACTGGGGCTCATATTGTAAGATGAGGGAGCACCCATACTGCTCATGCTTACGCTAACATCGTCAGCTCCATGAATCCCACCTCCAATATTGATTGAATCGAACCTTGAGGATATGGACGCTGAAGGTATACCACGATGAGTTGCTTGCGCAGGTGGTGAAGCGGGAATAGGGAGTGCGGAAGTGTCAGCCCAGATAGATTTGATGTCTCCCAACAGGGACGGAGCAGGAACAGAGCGAGAATAGCGATGTCCAAGACCCCCTGTCGTTGTAGTCGTCTCGCCAGACATCCCCTCCAAAGGAGGCGGTGATCGCAACGCAGCCACAGGTATGGGAGCTTGACCCGAATTGCTTCGCGACAATCTTCGGCTACGTTCCTCGGGAGTTAGGAGATCGGTCAGAGAGCCAGGGATAAGGTCCTCCAAATCCTCATCCTCGACAGCAATTTCATCAGCGCTATGTCCAGCATTCCTGTAGTTATCGTAATCGTGGAAAACACCCTTCAAACCACGCCCATGTGGTTGTTGAACAGACGAGGACAGAGGGGTGGCACTTTCAGCTACATCGCCCCAACCTTTGCTCATTATGAGCCCACTCCCCAGGCTCGCTGCCATGCCACCAAACCCTCCCCCAGTGGTGTAAGAGGACGACAGAAACACGCTCTGGGCGCCTGGAGCCGAAAAGGGGGAGGAAGATAACAAGCCAAGGTTGGAATTTCCAGTTGGCGAAGCTCTCACTCCATTGATATAAGATTGGCCTCGTGGCGAGGTGCCAGGAGAGAAGGTTGCACCATTCCCGTTTAGACGGGATGGAGATGTTTGCTGCCCAATTTGCGAACGGTAGTTGGGAGGAGATCCAATGGGACCAAAATCATTGGTGTTGTTATTGGAGATCGTGCGAGGCGCACGTGAAGGGAGAGTAACAAAAGCGGACGACTGGTGGGTTTGTGGGGTGGTGATCGAATCGTCACTGGCAGATGCATCAACATCCTTGGTGTTCTTTGATGGTTCCTCCTGACCAGATGACTTGCCCTGTGCAGGAGCCGAGGGTAACTTAACATCTTCCATCCCATCTAGCGCTGCAAATGAGGCGAAATCTGTGTCCTTCAACGGTGGTGCAGGAGCCGATGGGGAAATGGTGGCTTTTAATGGCATGCTCATAGGGGGACGACCAGTAGACGATGATCCGGGGACGCCGCCATGGAGAATGCGAGTAGGAGCAGTCGAGCCGCCGGCTAATAAAGGGTTCCGGGCACCACCACCACCACCCGAAGGTTGTCCAAGCGCCTCGCGTTTACCTCCCCTGCCCTTGAGCTCCCTCCCACTCCTTTCAGAGCCACCGCCCATGGCAGCAGCCTGAGCAGCCTTCTTGTTCTTCCTATCCATGGCCATGCTCTGACCAGGAAGAACATGTGCAAGAGCGCATTTGTGACCAAACTTGCAGTTCCCTTTAACAAACCATGCACAGGTTTCCTTCTGACCGCCAGGTTCGGTCGTGGAATGGGAGAAAGGGCAGGAGGAGCCAGCAGTGCAGGCCCCAACTTTGAAGAATTTACATGGTACGTGAGAGAGATCTTTCGCTAAACAAGAGGATCAATATTTTGTGACGAACAAAAGAATGAACGGTACTTTTTGAGGACGACGACGGGGACTTTTGCTTTGAAGAAGTTCTGTCCTGATCCCTGTCGCGATCCCTTTCCCTATCCCGCTCTCGATCTGAGTCGAACTCTGTGTTTGGCATATCGCCAGAATACGGTACAGACTGGATGAGGGGGGTTGGAGAAGAGACGTCAATGAGAGAGACGGATTAAGAGGCAGACGGAAGAAAGAGTCTGAAGAGAAGCTACACCCAAGAAAAGACGCTGCTGCAAAACTGCCAACATAACGTAAGCAGAGCATTATGTAAGCTATTTATCCAAGATTATCTCGTCCCTTTCGAGTCAAATCCAAACCCTTCACCATCTTCAAACATGCGCTACTACGAACAAAAATACCCGGAGGTCGATGAGCTCGTCATGGTTCAGGTCCGTCAGATTGCAGAGATGGGCGCCTACGTCAAGCTCGTACGTTTATCTGCACTTTTGCGACAATTGCCAAAGGTTCTAACACCCATAGCTCGAATACGACAACACGGAAGGAATGATCCTTCTCTCAGAACTATCTCGTCGTCGTATAAGATCAGTTCAAAAACTTATTCGAGTTGGAAGGAACGAAGTCGTTGTCGTGCTAAGAGTAGACAAGGAAAAAGGTTAATCACTCCATGGCTAATGTCCCCTTGTTAACACCGATCTGTTAGGCTACATCGACCTCTCAAAGCGTCGTGTATCTCCAGAAGACATAGTCAAATGCGAAGAACGATACATGAAGTCGAAAACTGTCGCCTCGATTCTGCGGCATGTTGCGTCAAAAGTCCATTCTGTTACTGCCGAACAGTCCGACGTCCCCACACCGGCAATAGAGCCCCAGGACAGGGAGATCAAGAAAGCTGCACGCAAAGCAAGGAACGCCGCGGCTGAAGATGAGATCATAGAGCACGAGATTCCCGGTGTAGGAGGAAACGAGGATGAGCGACTCGAACAACTCTATGACCTGATAGCTTGGCCACTCGGCAAGAAATACGGACACCCGTACGACGCGTTCAAGCTTGCATTAACGTTAGCTTCCCCCCCTTTATCATCCTTATTTTCTTATCCATCTTCCATATTTGTTCAGAGAACCTGACGCAGTCTTCTCTTCCCTCACAACCCCCATCCCATCATCTACACTCTCCGTCCTGACTGGGACGATAGCCCGTCGTCTTACTCCACAACCCATCAAGCTTCGCGCAGATATCGAGCTTACATGCTACACCCCTGCAGGCATCGATGCTATCAAGAAGGCGCTACGCGCGGGTGAGAAACAGAGTAACGAAGCTGTGCCCATCAAAGCAAAACTTGTTGCGCCTCCTCTGTATGTATTGAGCACGAACGCGACGGATAAAGTACGTTGCTCGATCTCCAAGCTACTCGTTCTCTGTCTAACTAATTGTAGTACGCCGCAACTGAACGACTCGAACGGGCAATAGAGGCCATTCAAACTACTATTGAAGCTCAAGGAGGTAACCTCATCCTTAAGATGAAGGTAGCTATTCTGCTTATGCACTACCACCCCTTTGACCCTCTGACACTATCTATCACAGCCCAAAGCCGTGTCGGAGACGGATGAACAATCTCTCGCGGAACTCATGGTAAAGGCTGGACAAGAAAACGCAGAAGTCTCTGGCGATGAGGACGAGGAAGAGGCTGCGTAGAATTTATGGACGTAAAATTGAGTTATCTAGGAGATGCGCCTCATATACGATATTCGAGGTTTGAGACATCTGGTCTTTTGATGGCAATGAATCTCAGTACACTGAAGCTCGGGAATGTTTCTTGTTGACCGTTCGCCAATCGCCCCGTCTAGTAACTCAACGCAATTATTTCTCATTGAAACGGCCGTAGAATAGACGCCCTCTCCCTTCTTGGAGGGATATGTCTCAACATGAAGAGGAGAGCAGTCAAAAGGTCCAGAGCTCCGTCACAGCATCGCCAACCACAATAATCTCCTCGTCAGCCTTCTGAAGTATCACTGGGGGGAAAACTTTCAGATCCTTGCTATACTCCACTGCCAAAGCAGGCTCCTTCTTGATCTTCCTCGTAGCCTCTGTGTCGAAGAGCTTGCACCATTCCAATTAGCCTTGTGCCACCTTACGAAACACAAAACTCACCGTTCCATAGGTGTGGTCCAAAAAGTCTTCCATTGAATATCCAGGCTTCGTAAATGCCTCAGTAAAGACTTTACACAGGGAAGACACCGTCGCGTGATAATGATTTCGATGGGAGAGGAGTTCCCATAACGAACTTTCTAACGCCTGGGTAGCAATGGGGTTTGTTTCTTTGGCGTCAAAGGGGTCTAAGGACCGTTTAATGAGTATTCCGGAGAGGACCGCAGGTGAACGCGTACCTGCATCGACATCCTCCTCATCCGTACGGTGAATCATTACCATCAAAGCCGGATGTTTTTTTAGTATGTTATATGTTAACGGGATGGCCATGACGATGGCCGCTGGGGGAGCGGCCAACGACAGACGAGAGAGGCGTTTGACGAATGAAGCAAGAAGTGTCGCCGGCAAATGCCTAGATTCAAATCATAAGGTACATCCAGATAGGTGGAGGGTAAACTGACGTTGAGCTAAGGAATCGTTCTATCATCCTGAAGAATCGCGCACGGTGTTTGAGATGCAGAACATCGCGGTCCAAGAATGCATACAGGCGGGTATAAAACGAGGGGTAATCGCTGCATAAATCTGGGAGTCAGCAGCTGGAAAAAAAAAACGCAACAGGAGATCACGCACAGATTATACTCCGTCATCAACACAAACAGCGCGTTCAACGCCAATAATCCAACCGAACCACCTGTCCCCATATAGAATTAGCCTCCGTTTTACTACTCCAAAATTGTACTCACCCACCATAATCAACACAAGTTCCAACCCAGTCCATAACCAAAATTGGCCTAGTTAGGTGCGGGAGCACGCTCCGATGCATTATATTGAGGACCTTTACTATCAACGGTTTGCGCGGCTCTACATCATTATGACCGATACCAGAGAGCCTTGGTAGGAGCGTTAGCCACGTCCTCGTGAACACCGCCCGATGCGAACTGAGCGAATGCACAGACTGGTGAATCGTCATTTTGTGTAACCGCGTCCCTGGTGCCTTAGTCGTACTTTCAGGAAGGGGAGTAGGCTCGTCGAAGAATTTTCGCCAATCATCTTCTTCGTCTGCCTCAGGGGGATCGTCGGAATCGGAGTCTAATGTGACACCAGCTACTGTCACTTTTTTCGGTGGTTTCACACCCAACTCCGGCACCCACCACGAGTTGAGTTCACTTGGCTCAGTGGGAAATGTATTCAAGTTTTCTAGGATGGAAAGGAGGTTGGTCGCGATACTGGTTTGCCTGTCATGCGAAGCTTTGCTCAGAAGAGTTCTATAACAGAACGTCAAAATCCATTAACTGACCGCAAAGGTGCCATACTCACGCCGATTCTCGAAGAAAGAACCATCGGACGTCATCATGCACGCTGAACCATGTTTCGTGGAAGAGATGTCGGACGTCTGGGTCAATGAGTGGATCCTCGATCTTCCTTGCCAGGTTCTTGCGCTGTGATGGAGGGCAGAGCAAAAGTGCAGATACAATTTTTTTGAAATGGAATGCATGAAATTGCGGTTGTGGCCTCTCAGAATCAACTGGACTTGGTTGCGAAGCGGAGAGATGCTTTTGAAGAGAAAAGAGAATTTGAAGTGCTGAGGTCTAGCAGGGGATATGCTCAACTATTTTCCTGGAAAGTTTCAATCGCACGAACTCACTCGAAGAAATTTTTCCTCGTCTTTCAACAGAGACGTTAGGAACTCGACATATGAGTTCAATCGCTCCCACAGCCAACGGCTTACAGTCTTCCCAGCCTCGCCGCTGTGAGGGCTTAGTTTTCCTTGGGTGATAATGACCACGAAAGTTCGGTAGACAGCATAGATGCCCTTAGAGGTATCGTGCGCGTCTTCAGCCTGGAAAGTCAAATCCAAGAGATTGACTAAAGAATTTAGCGACGCCTGGGTCGTGGCAGCCTTGATAAGCTCATCTTCAAGTTCTTTAATTTTCTGGGCACATCCAGAACCTGGCTGTAATTTCCGCTTTTTTGAAGGGGGAGGAAGAGAGCGGAGAGTTGGCGCCATAGATGCTGCAAAAAACGATAATGTTTCCTCCTTGAGTGAAGTTTGACTTTGCTTGTCAGCAGACTTTTCAACAAACACAACCAGTGAGAATCTTATCGCTAAGACCCAACTTCCAATGCTCTAACTTGGCGAGGGCAGAAAACGTTCCAAGTCTGTCTGTTTTTGGTCTGTTCTTTCGACTGTTTACAATTCACTTCAAAGATGATATATTCAGTCATGATTCGTTTGCGTGTTTCACCGTCAACCATCCTGATAGGAAGTTCTTGGCAACATTCAATTCAAAAGTCAAACTGGATGCTCACGAGAAAATGCTGTGCGTCCTAACATGGCCTGGTTAAGCCTTAACACCCTTGACGGATTTTTTACCCTCAGATCTTACCAGCAAGATATTGCCAACTATTTGACATGCCCGAGCTCTGTTTACTCATTCGTGTGTAACCCACCGAGAACTGTTGAAGGTCTATCTTCGATACCATGACACAAGTACGTTCACCCCGTGGGGTTGGCGATAAGCACGAGCGCCTAACCATTGCCAAGATGAACGTCTCTTTTCGATGATCTACGGGTGGCTGTGGGGTAGACTTTACCATAAGTAAGGCCTCCTCCTTCGGTGCAAGTTCTTCAGCTGGTCTCACCCCCCTTGTCTTCCCCAGAACGCCTCTAACCCTCTGTGTTGATCGCACCTCATTCTCTAGCGACTTAAGCCATTTTACGAACCGGGCCATGACTAAACTCTTTATCATCATCCTTATCACGGCCCTTGCCGCATTTAATTTAGCTCTTGGAGCCCCCGCATCATACAGTCCTTCGATACGGTGGGTTTACTTCATATTTCTTGTTATTTATAGAAAGGAGAAATCATACTAATGCTCGGAATATAGAGGAGGGAAAAGCATTCTAGAGGGTGACCTTCAGAACCATCAGTTCAAACGACATGCAGTTGTTCCTGAGCTTTACGCCCGCGATCCTTTTTTTGGTCGGATATTTAGGGGCATCAAGAAGGCTGTTGGATCGGTTGGCAAAGTCTTTGGCGCAGCTCGCAAAGTCATTAGTACAGCTGGCAAAGTCATCGGTACAGCCAAGAACGTGGTGGGAACCGCTGGTAAAATGTCAGCCCAATTTCCCACTTTCTCAGTCGGTTTATTCTAAACAGCTGGTCTATATAGTGCTAGCTTTCTCCCCAGAGAACTCGAAGAGGTCTCCGAAAGGGAATACCACGACGAGCTTTTTGATCGCGAACTCGATAACAATCTTTTTGAGAGAGAATATGACGAAGAACTCGTTCGTGAATTCAATGACGCTGCCATGGATGGGCTTGACTAGAGTATGGTGATCGTGAAGCTCTGCTGTAAAATACTCAAGGACCGCCGATGGACCACAATAACTTGTACCAGACTTGTACTTACTTATGCATGAGGAAGTTGAATGCGAATAACTGTTGAGAGCTCCTTTTCACTATGCACTTAGGTTATGCTTGCTATAAATAGCCTAGCCTACGTCACGTGTGCATATTGAACTTGGCCCAATAAGTATATTACTTGGTACAAGGAGCTGTCCTCAGCCACCTCTTCCCACCCTGCGTTTGGCTGTGATACACGCCCCTTCTACGTTCTATCTGGTTCGGACTCTGTTTGATTCGGTTCATGTCATAATCTTGACCATCTAGCCAGCCCCGACACGTTAAAGACACGCTTTGAGGAGCTTCAAGTCAACATGGATTCAGCACGGCATAGTAATGATGGTATGCGACCACGTCACACATTCCAGAGAGCTTATCCTCCTGTTGGGAATTAACTCAATGTCTAGATGACGGTCATGTTAATTCGCCTTCACGGGAAACCTTGCTAGGCGAGCACAAAGATCTTGAAGAAGGTAAGCAACTTCACTCCTGTGGTGGACGGTTCACGCGTAATGATGATCCCGTTATCTTACTGTCCTCCCTTTGTAAAGATGGATACGCATACACGCACTCTAATTCCATGCCGAAATCGGTATTTAGTATGATGTTCGCAAGAAGTCTGTTCGGATCTCATTTTCTACTGTATCTCAGTTCTCATTTTTTAGAAGACACTGAAGAAGCTCAGCGGTCCATCGACGGCCAACGTATGTTTTCTGTCTCAATCTTTGATTGGACTCACCGATACTTTCACCTTCGTGTGCTGTAGCTCTGTATGTGAGTAATGCCAACGCTGAAAGGTGTGTTTCGTTTACGAAGTTGCTGAGCGGTTCTGACAATACATGCAGATACTTCATACGAGTTTCCTGAATATTCATCGTCAATTATCACGTTCAGGACAGACTTCGTAAGCCTCCATCTGCCATATACAATCATTGGGATTCCCGAAAAAAATTACTCCACTTTTATGCAGAGGCGTCACCAGCGCGTTTTCCCAGAGGCCGGGACTTTAGAATAATCCTGGTTCTTACCCCGTTTTCAATTTTGATGAGCGCATTAACCCTAGCATTCGCCGGGTCCCTTGCGTATTGTTTGCTCAGCCGGAAAGAAAATGCGGTTACCGTCCAAGAAAACGGAGTTGGTCGACTACCATGTACGTTTTCTACCACTGGCAGTTGCATTTCGAGAGCTCTGATGACGGAGTTCAGTTATGGGATACAATAGTGAGCCCTTTTCTGATTCTATGGCTCGTCTGACTAATTCGGTGGTCGCAGCGTGGAACGCTTATCACGTCTGTATCACGCTCATTTTCTTATGCGAAGACTCACGTCTTCCGTTGCAGTGCGATATCGACGAGTCCATTATCCTCGAGACAGCTCGCCTCATGAAGGCTCTTGGACTCTCGGTAATTTCCGACCCGAGTTGTCTTGTGCCTTGCTGACATTAAAGCGTAAAGGATGCTGGTTATGACCACGTTAACATTGATGATTGTTATTCTGAGAGGAACCGGAGTGCATCGGGCGATATCGTCGCCAGTAAGCAAGCCTCTTTTCTTTTGAAGAAACGTGAAGTAACTTATATGTGAAGATAAACAAACTTTTCCTTCTGGGATGAATAGTCTGACAAACAAAATTCACAAACTTGGGCTGTGAGCTGTTTTTCTTGAATTGCCGTTCCGGAAACTTCAGTAATTTTTTTATTTAACTTGGCAGGAAGGCAGGGATAGTGGGTGCCTCTTCGACTTTCATCATAATTACTGATCTCACACAATGGACCATTTCAGTATAGCGATTCTGGGTGGTTCACTTGCCAACTCTACCCTGGTTCTTACCTGAACGAAGAAAGGTCATATTTGTTTACATCAACTCCATCCGTAGATGGACACTGAATTTGATTCAGAGATATCAAGACTTTTCAAGATTGGGGGTTCGACCTCTTGAAGTACGTCAATGTTATCAGACTTAGTTCCATAGGCAACTAATTCTGCAATCGTAGATATGATAATTGTGCTGGTATGGTTAAAGGAACCTCCCAGGAGACTAACATGTGACACCTAGAATATAGTCCCCTTTGACGAGGTTATCAAAGAGGGCATCGTGGGCAGTATGTTTGTTTTTCACACTTTGCCGAGCTCAGTCGTCATTGAGTCACTCAGAATACACCCGCATGTCGAATGCGATTGCAAAACTCAGCAAAGAATCTGGAAAGCCGCCCATTCTTTTCTCTTTATGCGAATGGGGACGTGTAAGCATTGTTCATGGTGTTTGCACTGTCTCCTCTTGACATGGCGAAAAGGAAGAACCTTGGCTTTGGGCTCGACGTCTTGGACAAAGCTGGAGGGTGAGCAGCTAAATACCGCTTCTGCATCGGCTAACAGGTTCACTTCAAGACCACTGGCGATATAGGTAAGCATTTGACTAAAGTTTGAGAAACCTCGATTCACTGCTCATAGAACCCAACTGGAATGCAATCGCGAGCATTTTAAATGAGTGGGATAACCTTTTGACTTTGCTTAAACAAACTTGATGGACGCATTTGGTAGGAATTCATTCTATTCTTGGGCCTCCGACTTCTATGGCCACAATGACATGGATATTGTAAGTGTGATTCTCTCTGTTCAGTAAATGTATCTGATCCACTTCTTCAGCTTGAAGTGTAAGTCTCACTCGAACGCAGCTGATCATAAATTCACAACTCCAACTAAGGGGCAATGGTGATCTCACATTTGAAGAATCTAAATCGCACTTCACCGCTTGGGCTTTTATGAAGTCTCCTCTTCTAGTTGTGAGTCAAGATTTTAGCATCCTATATCCTTGATTTACTCCAAGCATTTGTGGCAGGGAACGGAAGTACGTTGACATTGTTCAACACAACTCCCTATTGCTCAAAACGTCATGTTCAGCTTTCAAAAGTGACTCAGCAGACTCTCGATATCCTCAAAAACCACGAAATCATCGCTATTAATCAAGACCCAGTTGTGGGCACAGCGATCACGCCTTTTAGATGGGGTATCAACGTGGGTTTTCCCTTCATGACATCCTTGCCACGTAAACCGTTTTTACCAGCCTGACTGGACACACAATCGAACCCACCCTGCGCAATACTGGAGCGGTGAAAGTCAAAACGGAACTATTTTCATGCTCGTAAGCATCTGTCAATCACTTGAAAAGGGCAAGGAACCTCACCAGATTGTATCTCAGTTGAATGTTTTGAACGAGCCCGCTGACTTGTTTTTCTCCTTGACGGAATCTCCCTGGATACGTGCTGGGAGGCAATATGCAGTTCGGGTTAGTGCTGCAGCAAACAGATGGAATCGTTCACTAATCAAAATCGAACCAGGATCTTTGGAGTCATACAGACAATGGTACGGCCGTCCGAAACCTTACTGTACACAATGTCCCTCCCCATGGCGTGGTTGCGTTGCTACTCAAGGATGCCGGGGATGAGCCAAGTGGAACGCAGCCACCTTGTGCTAGGCCTGAATGGTGCATGGACGAAGATGGCAGACGAGCTGATTATGACTGAAAGTATGATTTTGTACATGAACTTAGATGATTAGGAGTGTTGTAGCGATATGAAGTTCGAGGAGAGCGGATGACAACAGTAAAAGATAACGTAAGTACATGCAGGGGTGTGGAAAACAAGGTAGGGAAGCATCATTGCTGCACCTTGCAGAAGTGGGATATTGATGTGGGTCAAACGGTGTTATAACTCCCTACACTTTCAGTCAGACAGGCGTCAACCGTAAGCGAGTGGGTACGTACATATTCGGGCCAAATTATCGCCACTCCCCGTGGCGAGCAATCCTCCCATTAGATTCAGATCAAGGGAAATGACTAGAGATTCTAATCAGGAAGGGGTCGACGAGTCACAAGGTAAAAGAACACACCTGAATTTTTGTGACCCTGGAGTAAGAACTGCAAAGATGCATTTCGAGCATCCCAGAAGTGGACGCACCGGTCCTTGGAGCCCGATACTACCCACCTATTGTCAGAGGGTACGGAAACAGAAAGAACGTAATCCTGTGGAAATATCCGATGAGTACGAGGATAACCCTGTCTTTATATATAAAAATTACCTTGTGGCCCACGAAATCCATCGTACATGGTGAGATTGCCGGCCTATCAATGGAGCTAGATCGCCCCGACAAAGTAGGCGTGGATTTGCGTGTTGCATTCTCTGCCTTGCTTCTGGCCCATTCCGAGGCAAGAACACTGACATCCCAGTATTTCAAGGACTTGTCCAGACTTCCGCTCACCAAACCTTTCCCGTCAGGTGTGAACGCCACACTGTATACACTATCCCTGTGGCCTCGTAGCCGCTCAAGCAGGGTCCCCGACGCAACGTCCCATATACGAACAATGCTGTCCAAGCTGCCAGCTGCGACTAACGAGGCGTCTGGAGAGATTGTTACTGAAGTGACGCCAGCGTCGTTGTTGAGGGAGTCGGCATCGGTAATGGTAAGGATTTTGCAAGAGTTGTCGTACATATCCCAGATACGGGTCGTTTTATCGCCAGAGCCTGAAACGATGAGACGTCCATCCCGAGAAAAATCTAGAGAGTAAATTTCTTGCTGATGACCATCAAAAATATGTCGAATGCGTTTCTTGGCAATGTCCCATATCTGTTTGTTAGGATAATGTAAGTCGATGTATTAGAGTTGGCTTGTCGAGTTACAAACCCTAATTCGTCGGTCCTCAGCCCCTGTCGCGAGCAGTTTGCCGTCAGGACTGAACCGTACGCTGCGAATATACAAGTCTCCTTGCTCTGCAACATTTGCGTCCACGAGAACGCTAGGCATAAAAAAAGAATCAACATCACATAACCACTTCTTCGATAAAGAGCTTACCAAACTTTCTCTCCGGTCTTCGTGTCGAAGATCTGCGCTGTGCGATTACATCCCGTTGCCAGATATCGACCATCTGCCGAAAACTGTACACAACAAACCACACTAAATAAAGGATAATTTTAGAAAAACACAGCTTGTCTTGTCAGGGCCTACTCACCTCGTGTGATTGAAAGTATGAACGAGGTTAATATCAAGCGCTTTCTTCAGTTTGGGATTAAACACCGCAAACCAATCGGGTCCTTCTTTCCTATACTCCGGAGGAACAGATTGAAGCGTGAACTCCTCAGGTGCGACGTTGAGGGGGGGAAGTGAACTCCTCTGATCAGGCGAGTCGTAGCCATGGGAAGAGCTGGAGCGTGCATAGAGCGTATGTGAGGGTGGCAATTTCGGGGCAGACGCCGAGGGCAAGAACGGCGTGTGTTGGCCTTGAATGATATTATGTTAATTTAAGATCCGGCGTGTACGTTCGCCATCACAAAAAAAAACGCACCGGTCTGCTCGTTCTTGATTTTGGGCCGCTTAGGATCACGACCATCCAGGGAGCGCTCCACCCCCCTTTCCCGCTCTCGACTATTATTACGATTGAACTCCCTCGGTCTTCTCCTATCGTCACCGTCAACTGAGCTCTTTGCCTCGTGGCGTGCGGACGCTGACGCAGATGCGATCAAGACGTCTGAACTTTGACTTCCCGAAACACTCGGAAGACCCTGTATGCCCAAGGGTCGAGCGGGCGGTGGTTGCGTCGCCGCGAGCTCGAGTCGTAGCCTGCTCAGCTCTTCTTCGTACAACTGTCGTGTTTTACCGTGCTGTGACTCTAGTTCGTAGAGGGACCTCCTTATTACGTTGAGTTCGGAGAGTTGCGACGCCACTGGGAATGGAATGGAGTCAGCAACGCGTTCCCTTGCTCTATTGTAGGAGGCGAACCTTTTGATTCGAGGTCGTCTTTTTGAGACTGTATGCTTTCTATTTCGCTCGTCATGGCTTCGAATTCCTGTTTGATGATGTCTAATGTGTCAACAAGACGCGTTGACACTGTGCTGCCAGTAGCTTGAGTGGGGTTCAACCGCCCAGATGACGGCTGGAGTGGACGATGCTTGGTGTTAATGAGCTAGGGTATAAACGGTGGATAGTAGACAGGACAATTACATTATAGACAGCAGAAGAGGTCATGGTTCATTGAGGGGGGCACTTGCTTGGTTGGATCGGATGAGGGGGAAAGAGGAAAAGGGAAAAAGCAAGGGAGGAAAAGGGGCAGGGAGGTATATATAACCAGAAGGAAAAAGTGAACAAGTGATGTCTGGTTGCGTGGCAAAGCCAGGGCAAAGGCTGTCACCCGATACCACAACCATGATTTCTTGCCGCCGGAACCGTGCCAAGTTGCAGGATCGTTATATAACAAAGCGCTCGTCCTTTTCGGTTGGCGATATTGATCTATATGTTACGGAACTCGTCCGTCGTCCCAGCCTCCCATGAGCAACATGGGTTCGAGGTTCGAGGTAGTCGTGCAGCACTTGGCAGCACTCGGGGTCATGAAGCTTATTGGTGGACCCTGATACAACCCTCCGGCGTCTTGTCAGTACCCCACAACATATCCCCTTTTTTCCTACTAAACCCGGAAATCGCGCACCGATTTTGCCTTCTGACGTCTTATAAATGTATGCGATCCAGCGGCAAAATGGCAATCAAGAATAGAGTAGTGTCAGGATGATTCGGACAACGCAGCATGTATGGTCATGTGCTAATCGGGTAGCTCAATTCATTCTAAGTACCTGCACCTACAAGTATGCAAACTCCTCATGACAGAACAAATGTTCAACGATTCAGCCAGTTCGTGCGGAAGTAAAACTTTCGACCCTGAACTAAGGAACGGTGTCTATCGCTTCACAAACCCTACCCACCCCACCAGGCTTCCAATAATAACCAAAGCCGCCCATGTCCGGAAGTTTTTCCTCTCTTTGGCGTATAGCCACACATGATGGAACATACTTGTCGGCGAACCCGTCGGAATCGTCGAGGTCACTTGCACAGATTCCTGTTCAATTGGATCTGACTCGTTACAGACAACAAACCCTTCATGCAACGAATTCGGTGATTCAACCTCGACTTGAGCCACTCCCCCAAAGAAATCCGTTATTCGGGTGTTGTAAAGGGGACGGTTGAATAAATCGCTTCGCACGCCTGGGTTTGATCCGATTTTGGAAACGTCCCATGACTTTATCTGCACAACATTCGTCTCGTTATTTCCGATGGAAAACCTGCAAAAAGGACCCACCAAATCGTGCATGGACATCTGACTCGTCTTATTGATTCCCTCCATAAACTCGAGAATGTAATGGGTAAAAGCATCAATGACGGCAACACCTATATCATTATCTGATGAATGCTGTTTAAAGTGAATTAACAACTGCGGAAGAGGTAAGTAGATGAATGATGTGCACCGAATAGGAATTTTGGCCCTTTTCGGAGCTTCCAGTGGCCAGTATATTAGGGGAGTAAAGCTTAGAATACAGGGTATTCGCCTGGCAGGTATCAACCATGAATAATATCTCGTTGTATCTATGTGGGAGGGGATGAAACGAGATAAGAAAGCAACATTCCATGAAACTTACCTCTTCTTCTGATACATCTGTTCAAACGCATCCGCGATATCAAACGCGCTGATCTCCTCGTTATCCTGGAACTTGAGGAACTCATTCCCGCCATGTCCAGTCATATAAACAAATATATTCGACCTGTCGTCCGTCAGTAAGCGTTTAGAACGCGGAACGGAGGGCTCCATCCTGCCTTTGCAAGTTAGAAATGAGGGCAAAGTCGAGAGTGTGGACAGAGGTACCTGTCAATACACGGATAAAGTTCTCAACGGTGACTTCATAGCCTCTATAATCGACCTCGATGTTGTCGCCATAGAGATCGAGGTGACGGCCTGGTTGGGCGTAGACACTGGCGGGAAACTTGTTGCGAGGGTTGCAAGAGACATCATCGGCCAGCATGAGGATGATGTTGGAATCTGGAATACCGAGGCGCTTTACGGTGCGATACCTGGGATGCCAAATGGTTAGGGGCGAATAGGTGAAGATGTGAAGGCAGCCAACATTCCGAGGGCATTTGCCATGTGCTGGGAGAGTGTCAGAGAGTGGTAGTGCGTTGTGGGACACGACGTACTCGGTAATTAAACCAATATCTGGAGGACGACACGAGAACAGCCCAGTTGTTTGTGTGATTCGTGGCATTTGCAAATGAAAAGAGGAAGAAGAGAAAGAAGACAAGCATGGACGGGAGAGAGAACGTTACCGAGGTCACGTTACCTGCTTTCAACCTAACCATCACCATGCTACCCCTCGTTCCATACGACGACGACGACAACGACAACGACTCTGACGACCAAAGCGAGGGTAAAGTATCCAATGTGAGATCTATCTTTCCTTGATATCCTCTCCATGCCTTTTGCTGCCTCTTCCTCTGTTAGCACAAGTCATCACAATCCTCTCGTTTTCCTGCTCCAAAACGCCCTCAGAAAGCCCAAGTCATCATCCGCCGTCCAACCCGTGCACCCGTCTCCGTCCGCGACCCACCAATTCCAACACCGCCTGCTATACCCCCCTCAGATGGCATCGACCCATCCTACTCTGAGCCCCATCCCCAAGATGACGAGCTATCTCGCATACGCGCCCTCCTCTCCCCATCACCCATTCCAGGCGTCGAAAATTGGGGTATCCCACCAGAATCAACAGAACCATGCGACCCCGCCATTGCCGTGCGTCCCCCTTTTCTCTTTTTTCTCTTCCAACTCACCCCTACCCACCCAGTCAAAACTAACCCAATTCCTCTCCCTCAAACACTCATCAACCCCCAAACACTTCAACGACTCCCTAATGTCCAACCGCTCCTTCCGCAATCCCCACCTCTACGCCCAACTCGTCGACTTTATCGACGTAGACGAGCGCGCGTCCAATTTCCCAAAGGACATCTGGGACCCCAACGACGTCAAAGAGGACTGGTTTGCAGATCACCTCGGTGTGTTCTCAAAATCCTATCCAAAGAAAAACAACCCCGGAGCTGATATGTCCGCCGATCAACGTATTTGCCTTTCTCTTCCGTTTGCTCTCCATTCAATATACGGGCGTTGACAAATACCTTGTTTTGTTTCGTTCGCCCCCCCTCCCTTTGTCGTTCAGCTGAAGAACAGAAACAGCGCATGGAGAAACAGAATTCCGCCCCTGTAAAGCGGAGTCATATCGACTTTACGGGAGGAAGAGTCAAGGAGAAGGACAAGGATCTAAGCTCGACCAAGAAGATCAGTCGCTTCCAGCCCTACGGTTCAGGGGGAGAGTCGAGAGGCAAGACGAGATGAGGTTGACATCTCCCTTACAATCATGTACTCATGGATCACAAAAAAAAAGTACATAGCTACGCAAGGAAAGGGTACAGATACATACATACATACAATCACTTTCAATCGAGACGAGCTAAGTCAACGCATAAAACAACTGGATAGAATCAAAGTCAATAGATAGTTGGAACAAAAACAACAGCTTCGAGATGGCAAGAACGTGCAGACCAGCGCAGGGTAAAGGCGAGTCAGCAATGACAAGCACGTAAAAGAGGTATCATACGTGTATAATACAACAAGAGAATTCCTTTGGACAAAGGTGGCCAAAAAATTAGATGGTGGTGTAGCTCCCTATAAAAAACCATGAGCATGCCGTTGAAACAAGAAGAGAGGTATAATACATATCCGCGCCTGCCAGTCCCCGCTCCCTGTGGCCAGTATGCTTCCTGCAGGACTAAGGTCGATCGAAATTACTATCACACAGGTCAGCGTCATCCTCAAACAATATGGAAAACCCGTACCAGAATTCTTATGTCCCTGCAGCATGCATTGTACAATCGCCGTCCGAGAGTCCCAGAACTGAACGCCTCGGTCTTTTGAACCCGAAACAACCCACTGCCCATCATGCGACACGGCAACAGACAACACATAGTCCTGAAAAAGACAAACGTAAATGCCTTGCATCAAAAACTCTCAAGAGGAAAAAAAACAGACCTTGTGTCCCGTAAAATTCATAGTACACTGACTCGATTTATCCCCGTCCTTCCTCACCACCGCCCCCGCCGGACTAGGCGCAGTACCACCAGGCCCGTTGATCGGCACCCCATTCGCCGCCTGTCCCTCTTTCCGACTTTTTATTCCAGATGCCGCAGCCCCAGTCACCAACCCACTCACATCCCAATACTTCAACGTCTTATCCAAACTCCCACTAACCAGACCCTTCCCATCAGGCGTAAACGCAACACTGTAAACGCTATCCCGATGCCCCCTCAACCGCTCAACAAGCTGCCCGGTACCCACGTCCCATATCCTCACAACTGTGTCCAAGCTCCCAGCAGCAACTAGTTGACCGTTGGGCGAGATAGCGACAGAGGTGACGCCGGCATCGTTGTTCAGCGAGTCCGGGTCATTGATGGTGAAAACCTTAGACGTGCCGTCATGCATATCCCAGATTCTGGCGGTTTTGTCACCCGAGCCAGAGACGATAACCCGGCCGTCAAGCGAAAAGTCAAGCGAATAAATTTCTTGTTGGTGTCCGTCGAAAATGTTGCGGACGCGTTTCTTGGCGATCTCCCAAATCTGCGGAGATTGAGTGGATGAAACTTGGGGAAGCACATGCGACGCACCCTGATCTGCTTATCCTCCGCACCGGTGGCCAAGTATTTACCATCAGGACTGAAGCATACACTTCGGATATAAAGATCACCCGATTTGCCTGCGGATTCTTCCACGAGGACGCTATTTGCAAAGACATCAACAAAAAAAGCCGAAAGAATAAGAACCCATACAAACCATGTCTTCGCACCAGTCTTGGTATCATAGATTTGTGCTGTGCGATTACACCCAGTAGCCAGGTACTTTCCATCTGACGAGAAGCGGACACAGCACACGACACTATTAAGACCAGGTTTCAAGGCTGAAAACGAGGAAAACAAAAAACGAAACCAACCTCTCATGCATAAGCGTGTGCACCAAGCTGACATCCAACACACGCTTGACCTTTGGATTGAAAATAGCGAACCAATCACTGCCCTCCTTTTTCAACTCAGGGGGGATGCTGTTAATGTCCAAGTCGTCAGGGAAGCCGCCGGTGGTGCTGCTACCGCCAGGGCCACTGTTGTTGCCGATGGGGACCAGAGTCCCACCGACAGAATCGGAGCTAGGCCCAAGGTATGAGGCATGCACAGATGATGTTGATGATGGCGGTGGGGGGAGGCCGGGACCACCAACTGCAGCAGAACTCGACGAGGGTAATGCTGGTTGCGATTGTGGTGGCGGTAGTGGGAGTTTCGGGGTTGGACCTGGGCCTAACGAGGGGCTGAAGTGGTCTGGTTGGAGGGGAGCCATATTAACTACGAGAACGCGAAGTAGGTTGAAGACCTACCAGGTCGATCAGTTTTAATCCCCGCTTTCAGGCGCTTCGGATCCCGTTGATCGATAGGTCTATCGCGATCCCTATCTCTGTCTCGTTCTCTATTATCTCTATCCCTCTCCCGCTCTCTTTGTTCCCTCTCACGATCTCTTTGTTCCCCCCCACCTCCCATCCTCTCACGGTCAACCGCCGGCCTCTCTCTTTCCCTATCTCTCTCACGTTCTCTATCGCGCTCCCTATCCCGGTCTCTTTCCCGGTCCCTTGCATCCCGTCCATAATATGGGTCATTGCTATAAGGAGGGCCGGGCGGTAGTCCTGGAAGGCTACCGGAGGACTGCGGGGGGCCGCCGCCAGGACCGATGGTGGATGAAGGGTGGGATGCGGGGCCAGGACCACTAACAGGTATCCCCTGGCGCGGGGGAGCAGTGGAATGAATCTCTGCGCGAAGACGATTGAGTTCATCTTCAAATTGCTGACGAACTTTTCCATGTTGAGTTTCGAGGTCGTAGAGGGACTGGCGGATAATGTTGAGTTCGTTCACTTGTGATGCGACTATGTAGCCACGTATGCAAATCAAGATTTAATTCTGATCTATCTACTCTTTTAAAAGACAGACCTTTGGACTCAAATTCATCTCTTTGACTTCGGGCGAGACTGAGCTCAGCTGCAAGGACTTCAAACTCCTGTCGTATTGCATCGAAAGATTCGTTGAGCCTGGCGTGACTATGCTGTTGACTGGGGCCCTGTATGGGTGGGCCTGACGGCTGAAGGGACCTATGCTGAGAAGAAGGATGAGCCATGTTGCATGGTGAGAGCGATAAGAGTGGAAGCAGGAGGCAGCAGCAGGACTAAGTAGTCCCTGGAACCCACACGTGTGCGGACTTCAGAAAAGGGCAAATGAAAGCCACGGAAGTAGAAGGATGGGTAGCTTACGTTGTAAATCGCGCTGGACGACATAGGACAGGGGCTCAGATGTTTGTGGCGGCGACAGCGGAGCGAGCGGAATCAAGGTGGGAGGGGAAAAGCGACGTTGATGTTGTAATTACGGCCAACGCTTTTATAGTCTGAAATTCTATACCAACTTCCTCATCTTTCCCACGCTGACTTGCCGCCGGTACCCTTTATGGCTTCCTTATCAAGATGTCTTGACAAATGCTGTGCAATCTCTCCCGATATCAGGTTCAAAAGAATCAACAGGGTTCAACGCGGAGGTTGCCATTGAGTCATACGGAAAATATACTCTTGTGAAATAACACACACTACTAACTGCGTTAAGATCTGGATGCTTCCCCAACATGCCTCCGCATGCCATGCTCTTGTTGTAGCGCCTAAATGATTAGCCTACGGCATGTCACAGAGCTGCGTGAGCTCTTGCAAGGATAGCGGCAACAAGACCTTGAACATTGTTAGCCGCCACATGCGAATCAATCACATCCGAAACGTCCACCCCCAATTCCTCCAGACCTGACGTTTGCACAGTCACCAGTTGCCGCGCATTGGGCACAAAAATGAGTATAAGCTTTATGAGCTTTGGTGTTGATGGTGTGCCGAGGTTGTATGTCAAATGCAGTTCGTTCTCGGAGGCTGAGAATGATTCGTGAAGGTTGTAGATAGATTGGTGCAGGGTAAGTGATGCGGTGTACCTGATGAAATTGACGTTAACATCGCGATTTTCGGTGCCACTTGTTGCGAAGAGAAACTGACCAATCGTATAACGGAACTAGACGACTATCATCTTCTTCTACTTGCGACATCTTGACGGCTTTCTCAGCCTCTGCTCGCTCTAGCCGAAGTTTCTCCACCTCCAACGCCCTACTTTTTGCTTGCTCCTTGACAGCCTGGACCTTCTTTTTCACGACGGCGACTTCATCGCTGAGCGTTTGCATTTCAGTGACTTGGTCCACAAGCTTTTGATCAGCAAGGGGGATGGTCAGTCGTGGCTGGGGGTGTGTTTGGCGCAGCCGCGTGAGGGCCAGACGGGCATCAACGATGTTTTGGGCTAGTACTACAGCCCTTTCCGTTGCGATTTTGACTTTCTGATAATCTAAATACTTGTCATGAAAGATTTCGCGAGCCTTCCGCAGCATTACTTACCTTGCTCTACCATTGGAGCCAACGTTCTTATATTCTGCTGCACCTCAGCCAATCTCTCCTTCGCCAGCTTCAGTTTCCCCTTCTTCTCGTCGTTAATTATTGCCAACGCCTTGTTATCCTCGGCAGTAACGATTGGAGCGTCGTCGATATCACTCACGACCGACTTGACATACTTGTCCTTCGCATTTTGCTCCAGGTACTGGAACTTTAGCTTTCGGAGAAATGACTGTAGCGAAAGACACACTTTCAATGCATGGATATCCCATATTCACGTAAACATACTGTCTGAGCTGCCACGTCCGCCGCGACGATTGCTGGATCCTTGTTCTCAAATTCCTCTGAATCTGTGCCGTCATTCGAGTCGAGCTTGTGAGAGTTGAACTCGGCAACATTGGTCACAAGTTGGAGATTGGTCCCTTCAAACTTGTCTTTCAATCTCTTCGCAGCCTCTAGACGCCTCTCTTGTTCAGCTTGAATTTCAAGAGAGGGTCTCGAGATAGTCATCTTCACAAGGTCGCCTACTGAGAGTTTAGCTTCTCAAGATCTCTGCAGATGCAACAAACGCACCTATTTCCTCAAATATCTACGTTTCGAGATGCTGGCCGCGACAATGGTTGTGGTTGTGTGGATTTCACAGTCATGTTGAGCGCGTTGTTCGATAAGTCGCGTGGTCACATGATTGGCGTGAGCAACGTGACAACGTGACAAACAGGACCACGTGATGGTCGCGAGTTTCAACATCGTTTCAGCGGCTAGTGTTCGCCACCATCCCGTCGTTTGGTCTGTTTGCGACATATACCCCATGGCCACCCATAAAGTCAAGATTGCTGCCCGCTTACGGCCAAAGATTCAAGGAGAACTCGACGACGACTCCGTTCAGATTCACCACCCCACAGATAACACGGGTGGTTCATCGAGTTCTCTTGCGTTGGGTGTCAGCTACATCTCAGTCACGAATCCAAGGGATCCTTCTCAGGTTTTCAAGTTTCCGTGAGTTCTCGAAATACAAATTTGACGCGGGGTTGACCGCGTTGTCCAGGTTTTCAAGCTGCTATGGGCAAGATTCAAATCAGGAGGAAATCTTCCGAAATGATGTAGAGCCTCTCATTGATGTTGTGTATAGCGGTGTCGTAAGAGTTCAAAGAGCCTTGACCGCAGCAGTGTACTCACTCTGTCTTTTAGACGGTCACTATTTTCGCATATGGCGTCACGTCTTCAGGAAAAACGCATACCATGCAGGGCACTAAAACTGACCCAGGAGTTATACCCCGCGTTGTTCAGGTATTTTCAAAGTAATATCATTCCGCTCCTCCTGCTAACCGATTTTTCCAGGCCATGTTCGAGAAAAAGGGCCAACTTCTTCAATACCAAACATCGCTGTCCGTATCGTATATGGAAATATATAAAGACGAGGTATACGATCTCCTCGTAACCAGGGAAAATGTACAATTTTCTGTCTTTCACTGCGTTCTTCTTCGCTCACTTATGACGATAGGCTCCGAAGCTTCCCGTTCGCGAGAACGACGTCGGAATGGTGTTTGTTGCCAATCTAACATCGACGCCTATACCATCTATCGAGGATTTCGAAACAATTTACAAGTACGTTTCGACATAAAAACAATGTCATCTGCCCAGCTAAGTTCTGCTTCAGCCAAGCGACAAAGCATCGTTCAGTTGGCGCTACGAACCTCAACCGAGCGTCGTCGCGGTCGCATGCGGTATTGACTATCGAAGCGACCATGGTTGACGCAGTAGCAAATACTAGTATGTATTGTTCTTTCGGTGATCATGACCCCACTAATCCGCTGCCAGCGTTGACGGGCAAAATCAACCTCGTTGATTTGGCAGGTTCAGAAAACAACAAGGTAGGAAAGGTGCCACATTTCCTCCTTTCTTTATTCATCGAAACTTCCTTCAGTTGACTGGGAATGATCCATCTCGGATGGCTGAGTCGTCTGCCATCAACAAGTCTCTCAGTGTACTTGGTCAAGTCGTCCATGCTTTAAATCAAGGAGCCGTTCGTGTCTTTGCAAGTGAACTGCTGCATTGCACTGACATTTTTCACAGTCCCGCATCCCCTACCGAAACTCAAAGCTTACTCGAATCCTCCAAGACGCCCTTGGAGGACATTCCGTCGGCCTCCTTATATGTAATTTGGCCCCTGGCACGAAATTCAGACAAGATACCTTAAACACCCTCAAGTACGTCCTGCGTCTCTCGATACAGCTGTTGATCGACGCCCTACGACAGCTTCGCGGTCCGCACAAAGAATGTTGAAAATAGACCTGTCGTCAACGAACGAGGTATGTATCATGTTATTCTTTGGAGGCTCTCACTTACTTGGGCCCGCCCTTCAGACAATCGTCCCACGCTCAAGCCACATTTCGCAGCGTTGCAACCGCCAGTGCCAAAGCCTGCCCCTGCTCTTCTACAACCCATATCTACCGCAGGGTCAAGCGCTGCCCCAGGAGCGATGCGCTCTCGCGCCTCATTAGTTCCCGTCCCAAGGGTCCCTCGCGCCTCAATGCTTTCGGGTGCGAATCTTTACCAGTCCTTTGGGCTTCCAGGCGCAGCCCCCGTCCGGAGAAATGTTATCAACGAAAAATCATCTGAAGGCGAAGGTGATAGATCTGGCTCCATGGGTTTTGGTATGACTGAGAAAGAGATTGACGAAAGAGTAAATTTCTTAGCCTCCGTCTGTACCCTGATACTGATATCTTTCCAAGATCTCAAAGGCAGTTGAGGCTGAAGTTGCCAGGCGATTAGCAGAGCGAGAGAGAGAGAGACTTGCGGAAGAACAACGGTCGAAAGAGATCGAGCAAGAGGCCAGCAAGAGCCCACCCATAAAGGAGAAGACCTTACCATCTGGTGTCCTCACACCACTCCTAAAACGGCACAAAGACCTAGATGACGAGTTGAAGAATCGGTTGCATGAACTCGAAAGGAAGTTGTATGTAATCTTTGGTCTATTCTTTGCTTCATCGCTGATACCGATCCTGTTCGGCAGTGAGCGAGGCAGCAAGGAAACGCAGCTAGCTGATGTCTTGTCGCCGGTTTCCAAGAAGAAGACAGGAAGAGCGTACGTGGCTCTAGCCCGCGCACATTCAGAAAAGTATGTTGCCTTTTACTGAATGCAGTATGTTATCTTGAACACCCTTCTCCTATCTAGGGGTGATCTGCAGGTAGCCCTAGACCTCTACCGTAAGGCGGAAACCTATGTGCCTGATAACATCAAGCTTAAAGAGAGGTGGATACTCTTCATCATTCACGTCTTTCTTTATAAAATCTCCTCTCCGAGACATCTCTGACGTTCGTGCTTCTTCTGCTTCTTTTTTCCCCTGGGTTGTAATCCATGGGTCTAGGATAATCGAGATCGAATGGTCCGTCAAGAACGGGAAACAGTATGTCCCTTCGCCGAAACCACCGAAGAAGGCCAAAAACAAGAAGAAGAAAGTTAAGCAGCCGGAAAACGTGGAATCGGAGGATCATATGGTGGTTGACGATCAGGATGGAGCGAAGGGCAAAGGCAAGAAGGGGGCGGAGTTCGGTATGGAGCTCACCAACACTGAGAGCCCAAACAAGAGCAAGCGGCATCTGGACAGCGAAATCGACTCCGCTCAAACACCACTCAAACGGCAGAAGCGAGCTGTAAATATCGCAGATGGTGTCGAAAGCGACGACGAAGACGAATGGGTCCCTTCGGCTCCAACCCGGAAGAGCAAGCGAAAGGCCGTTACATGAGGGGTATCATTTTTTTTGCATTCAAAGTTCAAAGCTCAGTTCAATGTTTTTTCGCATATCGGTACATATGTTGCATTGTTTTTTATTTACAGTTATTCGCACGAATTGGATCTTGTACCACTTGCGGTTTACGCCGCGACTCAACCGCATTAGCTGTTGCACAACCTTCAAGCTTCATCCTTGATCTCAAGAGGAAATATGTCTGGAACGACTGAGACGAGCGAGTGCTCCCTGTCGATCTGTCTGTTTTCTGTTTCGACCCCTACGGTCCCTCCATCGCCAATTCCCTACATGGGAAAAACTTCTCAAAGCTGTCCAGATAGGCTATTTAAACCCAATGACGATCGTTTTATTTTTGAATGATGACTTACATATCATATTCGCAGGCTTGACACTTGGGCGCTGCTGCCCCAGATCACAACACAGCATATAAGGTTGGTATTCTCAAACTCGTCAAATCGAGCTCAAGCTATCATGTCCAGCATCACTTTCCCTCTCAATGATATAGAACGTCATGCTCGAAATCATGCCGTTCTCTGCACAACGGGGTTTCTGGTCTTACTCCCAGTCGGTGTGCTGGTAGCCCGATACACGAGGACTTACACGAAAAGGTGAGTGTCACACTGGCTGATGTTTGCTCTTCTACTGGACTCACTGTGCAAGGTGGTGGACTGCGCACTGGATCATCCAGTTCCTCATTTCTGGTCCTGTCATATTCGCAGGTTGGGCATTGGGGTACAAAACGACAGCTCAGCTTGAGCTAGGTCACTTCCGGGATCACCACGAGAAGATTGGCTTGTCGCTCTTGTTACTCTACCTCGCGCAAATCCTCCTTGGTGTTATCGTCCATTTTTTCAAATTCCCATCTACTTTCCCAGGCCGTGCTCCGCACAACTACATTCACGTACTCCTTGGCCTTGCAATAATTGCTCTCGCACAATATCAGGTGATAATCGAAATTTGCATTGCTTTCATCCTCTAATAACCGAGTACACTGCTACTTGAAAACTTATAGGTACACTATGGTTTATTCATTGAATGGCCTACCGCAACGGGTGGGCTACATCAAGTTCCATCATCAGCTAAACACGCCTGGCTAGCGTTACTCGTTGTGAGTTGAAAGAACCTGTCAGTGTATGAGGATTTGCTCAATCGGACTGTAGATCTTTTGGGTGCTGTTTGCTCTTGGCTTGGGCTTCATTCCCCGCCAGTTTCGACAAGAGAAACAACTTAAGAAAACGAGTGATAGTAATCATCCAGCCTCGATTAATAACAAATTGCCATAAGTACGGTCTCTAGCTCGTAGAAAATGACCGCTACTTCACAGCCTGTACAGATAACGCTACATTTACTACTCGAGTCGTAATTGCTACAGTATAACACATCTAACAAGGGAAACCATTTCTAAGAAAGCGGAAAGGATTCAAACTTACACACATATATATATAATAAAAAGATCAGCAATTCGCTTCAGACCTAAGGGGCGAACTGCGTTAATCGCACTCTGGACAAGTGAGCAGTGAGCAATATACGTCACGGACGTTCGCTCCGAAATTATTGGCCATATTTTTTAGGAGGATGGTATATTAATGGCTTTGCGAAAAGGTGGCGTAGTTGACATCCTCTTCCGCTTTAATCATGGACCAACCAGAAGCCGCAGACGAAGATGAAGCTGGTCCCGGATTGGGATAAGAAGACGTCATTGTGCGAGGCACGATGTACCGGTAAGGTTCCTGTCTGTGACCCATATGGCTCTCTAATGGACTGTTAGGGTTTGAACGGGGAGACGCGGAATGCCCATGACGATGATGAGGGGAAATCGAGTAAGACGAGGACGCGGTCATGTATTGGGGGTGTCGAGCTTGCATAGCGTGGAGAGATGTGGGTATCGTCGGAGACGGAATCCCGCCAACAACAAAATCGGGGAAGGCGGAATACAAGAAGAGTGCCCCAACAAGCAAAGCACTTGAATGTTGGGCGGGATAGATGATCAATCCCGCTCCAGGAAAGGCGTCGGTTCCCCAAGGAGCGATGGCTACCTGTTGTGGAAAAGGTCAATTGTCGTTGTCAAGCAAAGAAAAATGGACAATATTGACCGTTTGATTTTCAAACAAGATGCGAGACAATGAGCGGAAGTTGGCCTGGTTGACAGCATGTGTGTTGGTCTCTCGAAGACGGTCAGGCAGAAAGGTGCAAAGCGGGGGGGTAAACTGTTTGACCCAAGCCTGCACATCTCGTAGTATAGATCGGTCGTTCATAACGTGGACGAAAAATTGGCGTGGCCATTGCTGAACCCTGCTACGATTAGTCAAACCAGCACGCAGGACAATCGACAAAAGACAAGTACTTCTCTCCATCGGTTTCTACAGCTGTAACGCGTATCTCTTGGCTACTGCCTCTGTCTGAATTTCGCATTCCTGTCACGACGATGGCACCCCGCCACGGTCCCGTATGGGGTCGGTGCTCATATTGTGGTGGGACGAAGGATTCAAGATGTGTGGGCAGGCGGAAAACCATTTTGTGATATTGGATGAAATCGTAAAAATCCACTCGCCTTTAACAGTTCGCGACGATGACGTACAGCCTAAAGTAGAATTACCCCGGCATCAAGGACTCTGCCGCACAGAAAGGAGGTAGGTCTTGACTGCAACCATAAGTTTCGAGCGATGACTCGGAGCGCATTTGCGCTCTGTGGATTCCGGCCTTTTCCCTTGGTCACAAAGTGTCTAGAAGCTATATCGGGATGGGTACTGAGAATAAACTGACATGAATCGCACACGAATCTGTCGGAAATTCTTTGCCTAGATACACCAAGGATGAACGACGAAGATTTAACCGAGATGTGGTGTATCGGCGTCTTGGCCAGGGCCAACTAATGGAAGCGTAGCTTTCAAAGGGTTCCATTTGGGGTGAAAATCATCGTCGAACGATAGCAGGCGGCGTGAAATCAATGGCAACGTCCTCCGACAAACGAGTAAGTGTGTGTGGCCCTGAACCCAAGTGCGGTTTTGGAGGAATCAGGAACATATGAATGATTCTCGATAGTGATATTTTCGGATGTTCTGTGGGTTTCCGCCTGTATGGGGCACAGCACATGCCGAGGCCAACTGTTTCCAGTCATATGCTTCCGTATGCAATAATTTTGCCTTTGACAAGCCAACCAGAGTTCATTCCATCCAATCAGTTGACGTTCGAGTTGGGGTGATTACAATGGGTAGCAGCGAAGCCGTACTCGGTTGGCACCCAAAAAAGCGAATCATCATGATCACTGATGACGTGGAAAGGTAAAGGAGTGGTAAAGGGAGTCCGCGGAGACGGGCTAGGAAGCATGGACGGAACAAACCACGTTATTCCACATTGCCAAGGATACACCCGTCTCGCGTGGCATATCGATCTCTGAGAATCCCCGAGGAAACATTCTTGTACTGATCCGGAACGGCCACAACTCGGAAAAAAAAAGTTAGAGATAGTTGGTTTTTGGGATTCTTTGGCTGAAGCCCGGATGGTGGCGGCCTGCGCACGAAGGTTTTCCGAATAAATTTCGCACAAAAGCCATCGTTTCGGATCGAGCATCCGCTACATCTTCAATTGCTATATCAGCAGTGAGAACCAAGTGAGAACAACTTTCTGCATGGTAACAATTAACATTCCTAATCTACTAATGTTTGTGATGGGTACCAGTGAATGTGTTACCGTTTGTCACGCTGTGACTCGATGGTGACATACGTAACGCGTCGGCGCCGTGACACGTTACTTTCCCACCCGGCCATTCTCAGAAACGAGCAGGACGGGCCGAAATTTCCCAAATTCCCAGCGTGCACGGTTTGCCTCCTCACTTCAAGAGGCTACGGTAAATCTGTTCGCAGCACGATCCCCGACTCTGTTTCAAAGTGAAAGACTATTGTATTATGTAGTTTAAACATTTCAAGAATAAATCGAATCAAGTCCATTTGTGCAAATGTTTACAGATCGGTCACGTCGGGGTTCAATCTGGTTCAATGTCGCTCTGACCTCACGACTTAAAGAAGTGCTCGGGATTCCCTCGCACTCGTCAGCGGCGTCAAGTTCGCGGAGTTGACCTTCAAAAAAAAACATCAAGATCAAGAAGAACAAGAAACAATCACGGACACCCACTTTTTCCTCCATTACCATCAAGAAGTGCATCTGACTCTCCCGGTACGTCGCGAAAACATTTTTCAAGCTTTCGATGGTTTTTTCATCGGCATCTTTTGATGCCCTAACGCCTTGGATCGTTTCTTCGAGCCCCACTGTGTTCTCTTTTGCGCGAATAAGCTCCGTTTCCAAAGAATTGCCGCGTTTCCGCTCAGATTCCAGCTCGTTCCGAATCTTCGAGAGATCAATGTCTCGCTCCACTACTTGGGCTCGAACCGACGCGTGGGCTATCTCTGCCGATTCTAGTTGAGTTCTCAGATTCTTGGCCTCGAGATTCGCGGAAACGAGCGACCCCTCGATGCTTGACAATCGGGACGTAAGAGACGAGCGTTCAGCCTGGTGCTTCTCGCTTGAGGCCACCAGTGATCCCTCCGCGATGGTCAGTTCCTCCCTAACCACAGCCAACTCCCCGTGCAGCTGTTGCATCGCCGCCTCCTTCAAGAAAAGCTCGGCCTTGAGCTTCTCCATCGACGATTTGACCACAGAAGCGTTCTCTGTTAAGTTCAAAATATCCTGTTCTTTGTTCGCTACCGTCTGGATAAGTCGCTCCTTTTCCACTTTCTCGGCTTCCAGGAGGGAGAGTCTATGTTCAGCCGTAGTTTTTATCTCTTGTTCGAGCCTCTTGAGGTTGTCCAATGCTTTCTCGAGTTCCTCGACCTTACTGTTTGATTGGACGAGCTCCAGATGCTTGGAGTGGGACGACTCTTCCAGGTTGGTAACTGTCTCGCGAAGGACTTGGGCATCATGTCTACTTTCTGAGAGCGACGTGTCCATGTGTTGAGTAGCGGTATCCCTGTTGGCTTGCTCGTCTTCAAAAAGCCGGATTTTTGTCGACAAATCCGCCAGTTGTTCAAGGAGCGACTCATTTGCCACATTCTGATTGCGAATCTCCTCAAAAAGATCGCAGTTTTTGGATTGCTCCACCTCAAGCTGTTCCTCTACAGACTTCTTCTGCGATCCGAGGTCTCGAATCGTATCCTCAAGCTGGGTGACGACCACAACGTTCTCTTCAGCGGCTCGCAAAGCCTGCTGAAGACTAGAAAGTTTTTTGTTGGCCTCCTCCCTCTCTCGTTCAAGAGCAGTGATGGTCGCAAGTTGTTCAGCGATGCATCGCTCAAAGTTCTCAGCGCGATTCGTTGAAGTCGTCTCAAGTTCAATGAATTCGGAGTTCTTGTCTGCCATCGCAGCGATTGCTTTCTTCGATAGGTCGTTGATGTCTGTCTGCAAGGAAAGAATGCGAGCGTCACGTTCTGAAACCTCAAGCACCACCTTGTCATGCTGTGATTTCAAGTCGGAATATTTTCGTTCAAGCCTCTCAATCAAGGTGTTGTCCACTTCAACTTGAGTTGGCTTGGTTGGACTTGCTTGTGGAGTCGCCAAGGAACTTGCGGGTGTAAATAAAGGATCCATTTCGTAGTCGTCGTGTTCACTACGTACATCCGGCGCGGAGCTAGGTCGTTCTCCGACATCGGGGGTGGGCGAGACCGACCGAGGTCGACCTGCGGTGAGACGCGACGGGGTTGTGGGCGTTGCGAATAAGTTATCACTGAATTGATCTCCGTCAGAAACACAATGATCAGCAACACGATGAAACGTACTCGACGGCGTCCCGAGCTGTAGAGCCACTCTCGCGAGGTCGGTTGGCGCCAGAAGACGGGCGGCGACGACGAAGGTGAAGTTCTTCCCCCCCATTTGTTTGTTCGCCGTCGTCATCGCTGAGATCTGTGAGTGGGGAGGTACCTCTCAATAAAATTTGTTGATGAGCTATTTTCAGACTCTCCAGTTCAGCTTGAAGCTATACCCGAATGCGATTATAATAAAAGAAGACCCGTTCAAAAGAAAACACACCTGAGCCTTGGTCATTTTGGACGGCGAACTTTTTACGCTGACAGAGGGCCTGGAGCGTTTATTAGTCCTCTTGGGTGTTCTAAAATCCCCGTCTTCATCGTCTTCGGAATCGTGCCTCAAGCTGATATTGGAAGCGCGACTTGTTCTTGGGCGCTTGATTCCACGAGTCCCTGTCTGAGTCACTTGCTTCAAAATCAATTCCTCTTGAATTGCTGACGGCTCGACGTTGGCGGGGATGTTGAGGGAGCGACGAACGCTTGATAACCTGCGATGTCATAATTAGATTGCTTTATACTTGGTGATATATGGATATACATTTTCTTTCCACTCGGAGTCAACGCCACAGTTCCTGTAGGCTCCGAGGGCTCCAAAATCCCGTCATTTTCCTTAATGAAAATGATCAGTGAACCACATCAGAACCGCCTTTTGAAACCGACTCACCAACCGTTGGACAGCTTTTCCAACCCAATGAGCCCACTGCGGACCAAGCTTATCCTTCTTCGACTCTGCGCTCTTCTTCACTTGAGCTCGCAAAGTCGCGATGTGTACTGAGTGCCTCCTTTGGTTTTTCTTTGCCTGCGTGAAAGCCCCAAGAACACCTAGAAGGTGAAGGTGAGTGGCGGGTGTCAGTCTCGGAATATTGAGAGGCGTACGTTCTGCGTATGTATACTTTGCCGTCTTGGGCGACTTTATTGGGGCCATGGACGCGTAGTAGGTGTTGAGATATGAAGTTACGAGTCAAGTTGGTGATGTGGGAATGACAATGGCGCGTGTCGGGGAAACTGTAATTTAAGTTGTTTGAATCACATCACGTGGACAGGGCGGGCCCGACGATATTACCAAATTTGGAAGGGCGGGTAGGGCGGGAAGTCTTGCCCGTAGTCTGAGTGAGTCATTTCACCGACCATTGTCTCAGATGTAGAAGTAGAATTTGATTCGATGTGATTGTGAATTTATTTGCGTTGAATACATTTTGACTGCGTAGCACTATTATAGTACAATGTAGCAGTACTGTGTGTCCATTAGTTGACGTGATACAAAGGTGGGTATAAGTGATACAGGTATACAGAGGGGAAATAATGTCCAGAGGAGAAAAAGCGTTGTGAGATGGAAATAGTCCGCGTCACATGGCGGCCTCCGATCCTCTTCGGGAACCGGGCGTATGCGCGAACCGATATGGATGCACGCGCGCACCTTTTGTTATCGTGCGCTGTGGATGGCGGAATTTTTCCAGCGCGGGGCCAACAAGTAGAAGTGCGTTTGGATTTGGATTGTCACTACCCGCTTTTAATGGGATGTAAGGCGCATCAGGCGACGTGACAAGGATGACAGCGTCGGCTGTTTCTAGCGAACAGGGAATAAGACGAAGTTTACGCGTCATGGTGTGTGTGGGCGTCGTGATTGTGGATGCTGCCATATTGGGAGAATTGGATCGAGACGGACGCAATGACAACGGGGAACAGGACAGTGAATGCGAGGGTGATGATGTGCTTGCAATTGTGCTCGTAGAGGAGCTGCGGTGGTACTTCTGAGGTACGTGAAGTCGTGGGCATGATGACTACGTTATGTGAATAAGTACGGTGAGAAAGATCTTAGAAAAAATTGGAACTGACCTGGGGTTCGTAAGAGTCGTAAGAAAAAGCAGGCTTCCGGGTGAGGTGAGGTAAATTGAGGGTGTGTAAAGGTGGCAGGGTGGGACGCTCGCAAGCGAAAGAAGTAACGATAGAGAAAGTCATTGCGAAGATGAAATATGAAGTTGTTTGACCACCTGGGTTATCAAAGGCCTGCCTTTATATCTGAATGAAGGCCCGCCTTATGAGCTAGGTAAAGGAGAAAGAGGAAAGGTGGGTTTGAGACGGAGAACGGCGAATCCATGGCTTGCTTTATCCTTGCTTTATTGCATCGCAAGGTCCATTGTGCAATGTGCATCCAATTGAGGAGGCAATTGTATTTGTCCTTGTTTATTGAGCGGGCCGATGAACATTGTTGGCAGGACAATGTATAAGTACTTGACGTCTTCTCTCGTCGCAAGGCATTGAACAATTGTCAATCACCCAAGAAATCAGGGATAAGTTGATAAACACCGAATAGATTTTGCATACGGTCGCTACGGTGCGATTGTCCCTACTTACAATACTCATCACCTACCAACATCACGTGCTCGATAATTTTCTCTTTCAGCCATGACCGACGCGACGCCTAAAATCAAAATAGTATGCATCCTATCCACTTCTCCTCCTCAGGGAATTAACAGGCGTCTTACGAAAAGACTTAGCTGAAAGGTGCGGCTGCAGATCTCTCAGCCGCCACGTACCAGATCCACGACGAATCACATACCGTTGGCAACGCCTTACGATGGATGTTGATGAAAAAGTCCGTCCATTCTTTCTTTCCCTGCCGCCTTTCATTCAGCTAAATTGGTCCCTGATTTAGCCCCAAGGTTGAGTTTTGCGGGTACAGGTGTCTATCTTTCCAATTGACTTCCATGCGCCTTTGTCCTGCGTGATCAATTCTTCCTTTGTCCTACCACTCGCTCTTTTGCGGTATCACAACCCATGGCAGGCACCGACTTGCTTTGTCTTGTCGCTTCTCAGCTGTCACCCCTCCCCTTCATCATCATGATCACATCACCTGCGTCGCATGCATGGCGGGCAAGTCACCACCACGTACCATTATCCCAATTAATGCCCTCAAAAAGCTTTGAACCCATTTCTAATTTCCTTCGCCGTAGCGCGCCCCATCCATCCGAAAACGTCATCAACGTTCGCATTCAGATGTACGGTACGAACCTCCTGCATTGTCCTTGCCGCCAATTGCCCATAAAGTGTCACCCAGACAACCTCTCTTCCCTGCAAGCCTTGACTACGGCTTTATCTGACCTCGATTCCCTCTGCGAGACTGTGGAAGATACATACCTCACTAGTTTGAGGGAAGATAAATTTGAACGGTGGGAGGAGAAGAGCTAATTTACTTTATTGCGTGGCGAAATTGTATGTTAATTTGCAGTATATTCACCACATCGTATAAAGTTCCTTGACTGTGCCTTGACTGTGCCCGAGCCTCAAGGCGGCGAGGCCAGACTCAAACCAAGTTATATTCAACGCGCCACTGTTAGGATGCTTGACGAAGCTACGGCCCCTACCCCACCGCTAAATGCACAATCTCAAACAGGTTATCCGAGCCGTCCTTCTAAGCAGAACCCGCCTCGAAACGAGATCATAGGAGGTTATGTGCTCGACAATGCCACCTGTGTCGCCTGGGGCTCTCGCATCGTTAACGAGCCCCTGGATCCTGAAGTTCTGAATGATTCCGTTGCGGCTTGCTACGTCATTATGGAGAAGGTTGAAGGAAAGCCCTACTACGGATACTTCACCATGTTTGGCCCAGAAAGCTACAAGCAATACATCGTCGTGACACAAAGATCGCGTTTTCGCGGGTGGGTGGGAATGGATCCTGCATTGATACCCAAGTTTGAAGAGGGAGAACGCGAGGCTATTGCCAGGCAACTTCTTGAGGCAGAAGGTGGGCTTACCACTGTTTATATTTTCACCTCAACACCTTTTTAACACAGCTTTTGAAGGTGTCACTCAATATGAATTTAGAACGGTGTTGTATTAGCCCATCCAACTTTCTACCATAGGTTGGAATTGTGCTCGTTCTCTGGAGTCTGCTTTGGGTAGGTGTTTGGGGACATCGCCAGTCTCTTAGCTATGGTGTCCTGTTGACACAGTCTATTTTCATTCCTCTTCCTGTGCAAACCCAATATGTATCTTTGGTAATGAATACGAAGATATTCTTATAGTCCAACGCAAGCCTCCATACAAAAAGAGAAGTGCAGGACGGGAAGGAAGCCGAGAAGATGATATAAGTACTTCGCCTTGAGGTGGGGCACAGCGCTAGCTACCCACGTCTCCTAACAAACCGCACTGGCACATCCGCAACCCCAAGGGTAATAACAATCTTTGCATCCAGCACCCTCTTCATCCACGCCTCCTTAGTCTCTCCTTCGTTCAGTATCGGTTCAATACGCCAGTCGCGCAGAAGGAGTGTCAGGAAGCATACCGCTTCCGTCGTGGCGAATTTCCTACCAATGCATGCTCGTGGGCCTGATGGTGGTAAGTCGTATCTATGCGGGGGAGTTGACAAGGGAATGAACACACCGACGCTGAACGCGGAGAACACCTCCGACTCATTCGAGACCCCGTACCATCGTGAAGGCTTGTATTTCCCGGGCTCGTCGAAGTACCTGGGGTTGTATTCTGAAAAGGAGATTATGCATCGGTCAACATAGGATAACAGAAAAACCACTCACGAACGCCAATCATATCAACGATAACTTGAGTACCCTTCGCCACTGGAATCGGCGTAGTGCCTTCCTGGCCAACAGGATTCGGAATTTGTATGGTGGTGTCTTCCGTTGCTTCACGAATCAAAACAAACCCAGCAGCTGAACAAAAAAGCTCAAATCCATCGAGCACAAGGACCTGTTTTTCATAAATACGTACGGAAAAGTCGAAGGGCCTCATAAAATGCAGAGAGGACTTTATCCAGTTTCGCGTAATCATCAAAAACCTCAACGGATCTCTTCTTTATGAGTAATATTTTGACACCAGATACCACGTACCGGATCTCGCTCTGATCCGACGACGGAGATAATCTGTTGAAAGACCTCCTCTTGAATGTCGTCGTACACAGCGAGAAAGCCCAGCGTAGCAGCCAGAGCATGAGCAGTTGTTTCTGACCGGGCGTCAGCTTGCTTCTATAATTGTCTCAATGAGAAGGAAACTGACCATGTCCAGCAAATAGCATGATAAAAACGTTCCCGATCTTTGTAGACCCATAAGTAAACTCCGGATATGTCGATAAGGAACTCACCAATTCCCCGTCGTCCAACTGGAACTTTCCAGCCTCTTCCTCGTTCGCCTTGACAAGCATCGTGAATACGTCCTTCTTTCCCTCAGTTATCCCAGCTCTGGTCTCGGCCTTCCTCTCAGCAACCTGGTTTTGCATGAAATCCATAAGCTGCTCATGCGCCTGTCGGGCTTCTCTCAGTCTACGTCGATCGCTTAACTACGAAGGAAACGACGTGAAGCCGGTGAAAGCCTACCTTTTGAATGGTAACTTTTGGACCCATTTAGGGAGAAGAATAGCGATCATGTGTGTATCCCCAACGACGCGGAGAGCCTCTTGGATCGACATACTGCCGTCGGGTGCTCTCGCTGGTGCGGACCAGTTGAAGGAGAATCCAAATCCGCATCGTCCAATGATCAAAAGCGCGAGCTGGATGCGTTGTTCAGACGTCAAAACGTAAAAGAATGAAATGGTATTTGAATGGTATACTTTGAAAGTGTAATCCTGAACGACAGGAATATCAACAGTCTCCTTATCGGCCCATCCTTCCGATGTGATCATCTCATTGTACGTTTCGCGTGTTTGATCCCAGACGAGTTCATACCTAGAAATTGCGCATCAAAGTTTAGCAAAACCAACTTTGGTGAGACTTACAGTTCATTTGAAAATGCTGGCCCCATAACTCTCCTGTGTTTACGCCATACTTGGCCGTCTGCTGCTACGAGATTCATGCCCCAGAGCCTATATCATTTCATCCTTTATCCAGTATCAGAGGAAGGGGTGGTACATACAACAATGCTTGACTCGCCTCCTCCGGTTTGACGAAGGGCGTCTTGTGTCCACCAATGGCAACCTGACGCGCAACGTCAAGATTGGAGGTGTAAATAGCCGGGGGACCTGCAAGGAACGGCACGATAGAGAAATTCTCATTTTGGAAGCGTTGGTAGACTGGTTAGGAAGATGAGCGTGGTCCAGTGAAGGAAGAACAGAACGCACGAGTGTGTCTCCACAACCAAGTCGCAGCAAGACCAGGATTCCATGACAAAGTTGGAATGACAGCCCCAGGGAGGCCGAGAGGGTAGAATGGGATCCGAAAACCGGGGAGATGTCCCACACTCTAATGTATTACCAGAGTATTACTTGTGTTTAGCTTTTGATGGTACATAAAGAAGAGGCAAAACGGTCTACGCACGGAAATAGCACGAAGATAAACCACAACTTTGGAAGACACATAAATTGTTAAGCCCGCCACGAACAGCGTCCAGGCATTAACGTCGACTGCCTGGCCCAATAACGCGAATCGCATGTCGAGGATTTTCACGTTGTTGGCAAAAGGAAACATATGGAAACATCATACGATACAGAAGCTGCGGACGGAAATCAAATTCTAAACAAGTACAGCGTGCACCTAGGTCCTAAAAACTGCTGCCTACACGACTTACCTCGAACCCGCCACCACGCCCCTTGAGCTCAGCCAATGCCGAAACACCAAATAGGCAATAAGACCAGCTACAAGGGACATCGCCGTTATTGATCTTGTACCAATCACTGAGGTCTCTTTCTCGACCTATGCAAACCTCGATCAGAATTTGAGGGACGACGAACATTCGCGGAGTGCGTACGACAGAGGTAAACGGGGACAATATTGGAATCGTGAAATGCGATGGGAGTCCTGCAAGCCAATGCCGCTGCTGCTGTTGTTGCTGTAGGAGCAGCGAGTGATGCGTATAGTGTGTCGCAAGATAGATCACTAGGAGCACAAGTAATGCGACTGTCGCTGTGAGTAGCATCTGCGAGGAAGGTGGATGGGAATAAACCCACATCAAAAGTGCCCAGCATGAACTAAACCAAAAAATGAACGAACGACGAGCTTCTCCATAGACGCATGCTTTTCCTTGTGCTGCTGAGCCAGTGTCGCTAGTTCTCTCTGTTTAAATCGTTTGGTAAGAAAGCAGGCAACAAGTTGAGAAAAGGTGCTCACGGAGCGTTTGACGTCTTGCGAGAATCCTAGACTCCTGACCTCCCTATGATGGCTTTCCTGCGCCGAGAGAAGGGCTTCGGCTTTGAGAGCGCGTGTTGCCCAGTATTGGTCCGATGCTGTTAGTGGTTGAATTTCGACGGGTATAGGAACCAAGTTTGAGTGTTTGGACAGTGCGGTTGTTGAGGATGTTGAAAGGAGAGGCCGCCGTTCGACGAGGTTGGTGGTGGAAGTTGGGGGATTAGAGGTCTTTCTTAGCTTGTTCATGGTGAAAGAGATGAGGTTCGAGTTCACTAGTCACTGTTCAAACGTTCAACGTTCAAAACATCAATGCATCAAGGGTTGCACTGGGTTTACACCTTCACATAAGTGTAAAACGTTGCGTAATATACAAGTCCTTCTTAGCTCAGTTGGTAGAGCGCGTCACTAGTACCGGATCAGTCCGTCAAATGACGAGGTCAGTCGTTCAAGTCGGCTAGAAGGAATGTCCAACGCCGAATCGCTGATAAATTTTGATGTTGAAGCGGACACGGTACATTGAAGTCAGTTTTTGAATGTCAGTCCAAGGAAGGCATTGCGTGTATACATTAATCGAACTACAGGGAGGAAAAAAGAACTAAACTACCTCGTCGACTTTTGACCGATTAATACAAAACCCCTAGAAGTATTTAAACATCAGAAATATTTGCGAGAGGCCGATACAACAAACGTACGGGGGTAACCCATGCTTTACATCCACAGCATACGCCGGCCCAATCATAATTTCCCAGCTTTGCCCCGCACTTCTTATTGGGGCAGATGATCTTCCCGGCGAGCTGGCCAGACTCCAAAAACGGTTCCATCCATTTCATCTTCGGAGTTCAACTTCAATTGATGCATAAAAAAGATACAAATGAAGCGCAACGCACAGGTTCCACAAAATACCCAGAACATTTTGAATTGGCCAAAATGGGAGCACTGACGGGCGTTGACACCGCGGGAGAGGACGGTCCAGATATAGATCGGAGTTCGGCGAGTTTGGGGTGGGCGTACAGTTGTGCTGCAAGGTCGTTTGGGCTGATGAGGTGCGTTGTGGGATGGTCCTCTTGATCTGGTACATGCGTTTCCGACGCTGAAGATATCATGGAGTGTGATAACCGTCGTCCAAGTATTTCGGCAGCTTTTATCGACAAGTCGGCGGGTGGAGCCCCACTGGTCGTTGGCATCGTTTTAGGAGGGTTTTCTGAAATTTCCGACGGTGGAGCTCCAAGATCCTCGTCCATCTCCAATGCTGACGCGGAGGTAGTAGAATTCGCACCTCGAGACATGCTGCGTAGAGCAGTCAGAGACAGGGCTTGAGCTTGGTGCCCGGAAAGCCGCCGTGTTGCGAGATCCTGGTGTTGAGGTAACGCCGGGGCAGACTTGGCACCTGTAATAGCTTCGGTGTCTACTGCGGATATAGGGTCATCTGATAGCATCGACGGTCGTCGTTTGGAGAGATCGTTTGTTGGCCATGATTGGGCATTGGAAGGGGCTCTGCTTCGAGGCTGGACGGATGCTGATGGTCTCCGTGACGTTACTGGAGTCGATGCGGCCGGTGTGGCGGGACCCAACTGGCCGTGATCCAACATGTGCTCTCTCGTCGCCAACTCCTGACGGCACATTTTACACCTGATCCGCCGCCGCGGGCTGGGTGTAGTGGGGTTAGAGTCTGAAGGTGTTCGAGGAAATTTCGCAAACATCTTCGTTTCTGGAAGCGAACCGTCCCCATCTATGTAGAAGATGAGATTTTGGGAACAACTGCTCGTGATGCGGTACATACTCAGAACTTCCTCAACTGCTCTTCCCATATAAAACATGCGAACGTTCTTGTCCTGCCGCGAAATCTGGTACCGTGACTTGTGAAAAATCTCTAGTTGCTGGAGAAAACCTGGGTTGGGACTGGAGATTTTTGTCAATAGTTTGTTGAGCGAATGTCAAGGATTTCGAAAGTGGAATGCGCCTGAACGCCCATATAGTTTCAACACGCATATATCAGGCTTCACAACGAGCTTCATTTGCAGGGGGGAGAAAAGAATGGAGCACACACTCGATGCTAGGTCGGGCCTTTCGTATCAGCTCCAGAGCTGAAGAAGGATCTAAATTTCGGCTGTGCATGAGATACGCCGCAACAATAGTTGAACTACGGCCTACGTGAATTTAGCGATGTTTTGAGAGACAAAAGGTAAGCCTCACTGATGCCAGCATGACAATGTACCAGAACACCACGTCCTTTGTCCAACTCTGCCTGGATGAAATGGATGGATGGTAAGAGGTGTACCAAAATGTCAGCGTCCTCAGAGTCGTCGAGAAGAATCTGATGGTGGATGAACGTCTCCCTGATGTTTATCCTGCCTCGCATTGCGGACAAGACGCTATAGATTTTATTTTTCTTCAGCCGTTCGACGTTCTTTGCGCTGATGAGATCACCAATCCATAGGCCTTTGATAATTTCATCCATTCGAGGTATCTTGGAATTGCCAAACGACGTAGGGTACTTATGTCAAGATGACGATGGAAGGAGAGAAGGAGATTGTACAGACATTGGAGTAGCCGTAGTAGAAGTCATCTGCAATCAGCAGATCTCGATCTCTCCCGGTGCCGTCACGTTCTAAATCATTTTGGACCAGGAATTGCTCACAAGACTAAGTATGATTCTAATCCAATTCTAATCTATTTTCTCTCTGTCATCATCGTCTTTCCTTTCTCTAGTCTTACAGCGCCATAGGCCAGCCAGTCCTACAGATGGGTGACCTGCCACACAAAATTCGGCAGTGCAATCTTCAATGGCACGACAACAAAACGCGGATGTTTCTCGTCTTCGATACTCCCTCCTAGAGAGAAAAGAAACATGAAAGCTGTTAGCGCACGCTCCCGGGTTACCTACACGCAATATCTTCCATGGAATGAAGAGAGCAAATTTGGAACAAGGTGCTGTGTCAAGTCACTAGTCACTGTCTACCGTCGCCTTCAATTAGACCCAGGTGGCAGCTGGTGGCAGATGTATCAAAGCACCCCCAACTTGTCGCGTCATCTTCTAGGAACCTCTCAGGCTGTTTCTCTCTTTCCTGACAACTTTGCTGTACTCGCAACGTTTGATATTGACAGTCCTTGTGAATCAAAGTCGTCTGACGTGTTTTCAATATATTATTGACGTCTTCGGCGTCTTGCAGATGACGACTGACATCGCTATGTGAAGAGATCGCTTTGTTGTTTCCAACTTGGGGGGGTCGAGGGTCATCATCCTCCTGTCACCTTGTGTTGAGACACTATAACAGCTCACAGGAGGTCCGCTACTTCATGATTTAAACCCGCAGGGCACGGCAACGGAGATAAATTTCCATCTCGAGGACCCTCCAGCTTTCCTCCAACCAATCTCTGTACACCAAAAATTTCACAAGGGATTTCAATGCCCAAGCCGTCAAGTCCCAACTCGCCATCGCGGCAGAATCCCAATCGCCCATCGTCACCTTTGAAAGGGGCTCATCCAATCTTGAGGTCAGTTTCCGGCCCAACTTCAAAGGCTGCGACCCCTGGGAAGCAGCGTCGCACAGTATCGTCGTCTGCTGCCAATGGGAAGGAAGGATTTGCCCCGGTGAAGCTTCCCACAATTCAGTCTGACCACCAAGAGCTGCCGAACGCAACTCCCTTCCCCTCTCTTCCGGATCCTGCTTTATCCTTGCAAAATTCCACACCACGTAAAGCGGACAAGTCGCGGGCTGTACTGCCGCCCTCCCCAGGTGAGAACGGTTTTCACTCTTTAGCCCCTCATTTGTTTATGCTACTTCCATCCACAGAAACTACTCCTAAAGCACATAGAAGGTTGCCGCGCGGACATAACACCCTTGCACCCACTCCGCCTAAAAGTTCGCCGCGCGGACAGAAGACCGCTACACCCACTGCGGTGCCAGTTCTTGACCCTTTTATTGTCTCCCGGGAAAAGACGAGTAGTGAAATGGAAAAAGCTGAGGCGAGCAACCGTTCTGCACAGCCAAAATCACTTCCGAAGAACTTAGGAACTGCGGACTCGCCGATTGACGTGGATAAAATACTTTCGACGAAACTCCGACCTTCTCCGCAAATACCGGTACCAAAGGGGAAGCAGCGTCGTAAAGCATCATCACCTGCTGCCATTGAGAATATTGTATTTTCGAAGAATCCTACTTCTCCCAAGAACCCCCCGGCCGCCCAATCTGACCTGGCAGAGAGGCAGAAACCAGTCCCTTTGCCGCCCGTTTCCGATCCCGCTCAATCCTTGCGCGAGTCAAAACCGCGTAAATCGGAGAAGTTGGCGCGCGCTCTGTGTGAGAATTGCTTGCATCCTTTCGCCATCATTTATTTATCTTACTTCCATCGTCATAAGATATTCCCAGGAGCGTTGGGGAAAATGGTAAATCAGCGAATGAACATGGACCCGCTACGCATGCATCGGAACATTCTTCCCCTGTCTTGGCGTCCCGTGAGTTGTCTAGCTCCTCCCAGCGTGCACGGTTGCTTACAAGATCTTTGGAGACAGCGGTTCCAGTTGCAGATGATGAATCGACCCGTTCTTTTCTGTCTTCTGTCCCCGACTTCTTCGCTTGGAGCCCCACCTCTGGAGTTGAGGAGAAAACGATTTCCGGAAGCGGTTCCACAAGAGCCCCAGCTCGTTGGGATAGGCATCTACATGACAAATTTATTCTCAAGAAAGTCGTTTCAGCTCCGGAACTGACCGCACTCCTGGGAGAGATAGCAGACTCGGCGTTGGAGCGGGCTCAAAAAGCTAATCCGAATCATTGCAAGCCTAACCAATTACCTGAGAAAACGACAAATCTGGGAGCAGCTTGTATCAAGAATACGGAGTACGAAAGCGAAGTGCGGGACTTCTATAAAGAATCAATCGCACCGCCTTGTTTGGAAGCGGCGGGAGTTCTTGGTTTTGGAGCTGCAGGAGACTTTTTAAAGTGGCAGTCCAAATTATACGGGCAGAGAGAAGCCAAGGCTGATGGGTTCTTGGTCGTCACTAACCTCGGATCTGACTTCCTTGCTCTTCCTGACAAATTCAAAACGCGTATCAAGCTTCTTGAAGATTGGAATTTAAATGTTCTGGCCATATGGGAGTTCAAGAGTCTGGCAGCCGGCTCTAAGGAGACTATGGAGGCAATTATAGAGCTCAGTTTGCAGGAAAGCTTTTCTTGGACGGGATGCACATCACACGATCGATGCAACTCTATCGATTCTATCGACTATCACCCAAGTGGCCCCCTACCCGTCAATACCGGCAAGAGAACAAGTCCTGATTCCTTGGAATGCCTTATAGAGTCCCAGCCGAAGGTCCCCAAGCGTTCTCCCGATGTCGAAGACGAGAACAGCGACGAAACACTCTCATATATTGAGGGCATTTATCCTGGAGACGAGACGCCTGAATATGAATCCCGATTGCCCCATGCTAAAGAGCCTCAGGTGAAGTCCAAGCATATCATACAACAGGTGGGATTTACAACAGTGTCAATGCTGCGTACAATGTTGATCATTTATCTTCAAGGCTTGGGCCGAGGCAGTACAAAATGATGCCACCTTCATAGTTATCAATGCAGGCTTGTACGAAGTTATTGGACTTCGCCATCGAGCAAGCCAAACACTTTATCTCTCGGACATATTCAAGGTTTCCAATTCTACGCCTGCGTATGGAAAGTTGCATACTGGCTTATATCTCGCCGCATTCAAAGACGCCCTCGACCGTGCTCGACAACTCGACAACATGAAGATTTCGGATTCCCGGTTTAATGTTCTTTATCGCCGCAAGTACCCCCACGATAAAATGAAATATAATTACGAAGATCCAAGGGACATGGACTCCCAAATACGGGCAGAATGTTTGATCGCTCAGCAACATGCGGTGTGTTGATCCGTCTTGCGATTGTCTGACTTTCCCTCATCAATGTTCAGACGCTGTGTGAAAGGTTGAAATGCTGCCACAAAGCCGAAGTGAAGGCAATGATTCCTATTTTTGGCGTTGCAAAAGTACAACGTTTCAAGCGCTTCGATACAGGCGAACCAGTCGATTCAGAACCTGACATATCCAACAATCTACAGTTGATGCTGCTCAAACCTTTGGGTAGTCACGTTTATAACTGCGAGGTGACTCTGGGCGGTCAGCTTATTGCTGGTTGGTTTGTCGTGAAACTGGCTCAACGACAAGAACACCATGAAATTCTTCTCAAAGAATACAAGACGTATCTCAAATTGGAGGAAGAGGGCTTCAAAGGCATTGTCGAAGTGTATGGATTATTCTGGTGTGATGCACCCTGTCCGGGAATGGGGAGAATGGCACTTCTGATGTCATATGGCGGTAAAACCCTCCTACATCGGAAAGAGTTAAAGGCATTGGGACAGCCGTGAGTGGCGAGTTTTGAACATAATCACATCTATTCAGTAACTTCTTCAACCCAAAGGCTAAGTATCTGCCAGCAATTTGAGGACATTTTATTGGCACTCAAGCGAAATGGAATTGATCACCGAGGTTTACTCTTGGAGCATTTCGTATGGATCCAAGACGGCTTAAAGACAAATCTTTCGTTGATCAGCTGGGGATCAGCCAAATGGTTAATGAGAGAAGAATGGGAGACGGATAACGAAGGAGCCCAGATCATCCGTGATTTTTTGGAGCCTGAATGTAAGTAGTCCCTCCTAGACGACTACCATATACATGAACCTGTATCACGCGAACCTACCCGTTCATGTGATGTGCTTACCTCGATAAAACGGCATTGGCGAGATGTATGAACTTGAGGCAGCCCAGTGTGTAGTCGTCAACCATCCGCGCCAGCACTTTACGACAAGCATATAAACCCAAACCTCGTTGAGGCATATCAGATTTTTGCCGTCATTATTAACTGGTTCCCCGCCGAATTTGGGCGACAGTTCAATCACCTTCGTTTATTACCGTCCACCTTAACTGCCGACAACAGATGCAGCGCAAGTCGGGAGACGACATCGGCTCGACCTTGGCTTTCCACTCCGATCGAGCATGACTCGTCCATAGCCCGTCGGTGGATCTCGATGGGTACTCTCTGCGTCTCTATCGCCTACGTCTTTTGCCGATCTTACCAGAATTCCTCAGTGAGAAGATGAAAGACAAATTTTCACCGCTTAGTCGGATCTGATCACAGGCCAAATGCACGCTTGCGTTGACCAAAGAACTGATTACGAAGGGCAGGAATGGGCTTCCCTCTGACTTCAAAACTCTGTGGACCCGATTCAGAAATTGTCCCATCCGTTGACAAGAAGGCTAAATCCCACGGGGTCGAGTCGACCATGCCCAACAAAAAAAATCCCCCTTCCCCCCGTTGGTGAACGTAAATATGACGCGCGGCGTCCGGACCCCACCCAGTACTTATTTGCGAATCCCATACCTGCCAGGGTTTATAGCATCACGGTCTCTCCCCCCATGTTGTTAAATTTGCCAAAGAACCTTGGAAGAACCGTCATAACTTATGATACAACTTGTGTACAGCATCAGATGAAAAAATAGATATGAAAACGCAACCCTATGATGGTCTATGCATCTAGATTCTCCTTCTGGCCCTGCCCTTTCTTTGTAGGCAGGAAGCTCCGGTGCGATATGAGGATTTGGGTAAAAAGTCAGAAAATACTCTGTTCAAGTTGGTTCAAGCCGCCCGTGCGCGTGATGCGTCACACGATCCTCAGCAAATCTTCAGCGTCAGAGCTTCAACGTTGTGGACCAGAAACGATGAATCGCTCACAAGTGACAAGACACTATGGTTCTGATTCATTTTCCCCCTGTCATAACCGCCTTTCCCATCTCTAAACCTACAGGCCAGCAAGCCTTACAGACTGGTGCCACACAAAATTCAATAGAACACCTTGAGAACCCTTCCAGTGGCACGACAACGACGATGATTCTCGTCTTCGAAACTCCTTCTTCCAAAATAAAGAAACATGGAGGTTGTTAATGCACGCTCCCGGATTATCTACATGCAATATCTTCCATTGAATAAAAGGAGCAAAGTTAGAACAAGGTGGAGTGTCAAGTCACCATTGAGACCCTCAAAACGCGTCGCGTCACCTTGTTTTCACCTAGGGATCTGTCAGGCTGTTACTCCTCTCCTGACAACTTTGCTGCATTTGCGGCGTGTGGTGTTGACAGTCCTTGTAAATGAAGGCTGTCTTACTTGTTTTCAATATTATCGACGTATCCTTCGTCTTGCAGACTACGGCTGGCATCGCAACATGGAGGATTTTCTTTTCTTGTTTTCAACATGGACGATCGAGCGTTGATCATCTATTCTCAGCGCTTCGCCGCACACCTATATAACGGCTAACGACCCGCAGGAAGTCCCACTCTTCCATATCATTTATCTTTTGCTTCATCTTTCAAACAGCCGCAGGGCGGCAACGAAAATATTCTTCCTTCTCGAGGGCGATCCAGCTTTTCTCTAACCAATCTCTCCTTCTGAGCACTAAAATTTTCATCCGAGATTTCAATCTATTCCAATGCCCAAGCCATCAATTCACAACTCGCCATCGCAACAGAATTCCAATCGCCCATCGTCAGTTTCCAGCCAGACTTCGAAGCCTGCGACCCCTGGGGAGCAGCGTCGCACAACATCATCATCTGCTGCCAACGGGAAGGAAGGATTTGTCCAGGTGAAGCTCCCCACATTCCAGCTTGGACTTCAAGAGGTGCAGAACCCAACCCTCCTCCCCTCTCTTCCTGATCCTACTTTATCCTCGCAAGAATCCACACCACGTAAAGCGCACACGTTGCGGGCTGTATTGGCACCCTGTCGAGGTGAGAACGTTTTTCACTCTTTAGCCCCTCATTCATTCATGCTACTTCCATTGACAGAAGCTACTCCTGAAACATATCGAAAGTCGCATAGCGGACATAACACCGTTGCACCCACTACGCGGCCAGTTCTTGATCCGAGGAGTGAAATAGAGATAGCTGGGGCAAACTATCGTTGTGCACAGCGAACATCTTGGGTTCCAAAGATTTCAGGAACTGCGGCCTGGTCGATCGACGTAAATAGCATCTTTTTGCCGTCTGTTTCCGATCCTGCTCAATCCTTACGCGAGTCCAAACCGCGTAAACCAGAGAAGTCGGCGGATGATGAACCGAGCGGTTCTCTTCTGTCGTCTGTCCCCAACTTCTTCGCTTGGAGCCCCACCTCTGAAGTCAATGAGACAATAATTTCTAAAAGCGGTTCCACAAGACGCCCAGCTCGTTGGGATATGCATCTACATGAAAAGCTTATTCTCAAGAAAGTCGTTTCAGCTCGGGATCTGACCTCACGCCTGGGAGAGATAGCAGACTCGGCATTGGAGCGCGCTCAAGCTGATCCCAATTATCGCAAGCCTGACCAGTTATCTGAAAAAATGAAAAGTCTGGGAGCAGCTTGTATCAAGAATACGAAGTACGAAAGCGAAGTGCGGAACTTCTATAAAGAATCAATCGCACCGCGTTGTTTGGCAGCGGCAGGAGCTCTTGGTTTTGGGACTGCGGGAGACTTTTTGAAATGGCAGTCTAAAGTTTACGGGCAGACACAAGCCAAGGCTGATGGGTTCTTGGTCGTCGCTGTCCAGGGATCCGACTTTCTTGCTCTTCCTGACATATCCAAAAGGCGTATCAAGCTTCTCGAAAAATGGAACTTGAATGTTCTGGCCATATGGGAGTTTAAGAGTCTGGCAGCCGGATCTAAGAGTACCATGGATGCAATTCTGGGGCTCACTTCGGAGGAAAGCTTTTCTTGGACGGGATGCACATCACACGATCCATGCAAGTCTAACCGAAATGACCCCGTACACCACACAACGTGCAGGAAAACAAGTCCTGATTCCTTGCTGCCCCTCATAGGCTCTCAACCGAATGTCGCCAAGTCTTTTCAAGCCAAAAGGGCTAGGGTGAAACCCAGGCATATCTTACAACAGGTGAAATTTACAACAGTCTCAATGCTCCCTGCAATGTTGAATTTTTTTTAAGGCTTGGGCTGAAGCAGTTCAAAATGACGCTACCTTCATAGTCATCAATGCAGGCTTGTATGAAATTATTGGATTTCGCCATCGAGCAAGCCAAACACTTCATCTCTCGGACGTAATTGACGTTTCCAAATCTACGCCTGCATACGGAAAGTTGCATACTGGCTTATATCTCGCTGCATTCAAAGACGCCCTCGACCGTGCACAACAGCTTGACCGCATGGACGTTTCGGGACCAGGAGCTATTCATCTTCATCGTCGCAAGTAAAGTAAAATATAATTACGAAGATCTAACGACATCGACTCCCAAAGGCGGGAAGAACTTCTGATCGCTCAGGAAGAGGCAGAATTTTTTACGGTGTGTTGATCCGTCTTGCGGTTTTCTGATTCTGCCTGTCAATATTCAGACGCTGTATGAGAGGTTGAGATGCTACGGCAAAGTCAAAGTGAAGGCAACGAGCCCTATTTTTGGCGTTGACAAAGCAAAACGAGGAGCCGAGATCATCCGTAAAGTTTTGGAGACGTCTTTCGGACGTGAAAGTATGTAGTTCTCCCTAGACGACTTCGATGTACATGTCATATGCATGAATTGTATCACCCGAACTTACCTCGGTTCATGATGTACCTACATCGATAAAACGGCATGCGTCCGAAAAATCTCGTTTACTTTGACTCCATGATATCGAATTTTGACACGCGCCTCCAGATCTACAAGGACTTATACACAAGACCTGACATTGACCTGCCGGGAGCACAGTTGCAAGCACAACTCCCCACCACAATGGCCACGTTTCACCTGCTCTTAAGGCAAGCACGCATTGGCAATGAGTTGAGGCATATCAGATTTCTGCCGTCAATGATAGCTGATTCTCCACCGAATTTGGGCGATAGTTTCAGCTTCATTCATTCACTGTTAACATCCACCTTAACTGCCGACAACAAATGCAGCGCAAGTTGGGAGACGTTACATGATTGTCTTTCATGGTCATTTTGCGACATCGGTTCGACCTTCGGCTTTCCACAGTTGCCCTGATTGAGCATGACTCGTCCATGGCATCGTCGAAAACGTTCGCCACCGGTGGATCTCGATGGATATTCTCTGCGTCTCTATCGCCTAAGCAATATTGAGCCCTATCAGCTAAGCCTTTCGGCGATGTTTCCGGAACTCCTCAATGAGAATATGAGGACGATCTCCGCCAGTTGGTTGCGCCTTTCCTGATCTGATCACAGGCCAAATGCATGTTTGCGTTGACCAGTGACGTCAAAGAATTGACTTGGGTGGGCTTCCCTCTAGATGTGGATCCGATTTAGCATCTGTTCACAAAAAAGTTAAAGCTCACCGACCATGCCCGCCGAAGTCACATTGCTCCTTCCCGCTTCCCCGCGTTCTGAAGAGCCTGGAACCTAGATATGACGCGTGTCCCCAGTATTTGCGATATCATGTCTTACCGCCCCACTGTAAGTTTCCTTGAAAGTGAAGGGTGGGATCATTAGCCTGTATCGGTTCATCACGTACTACATTCCAGCGTCTCGAGTCTCTCCTCACGGAAGGTTGATGTCGTCTTGCCGCAGAACCCATAGTCAAAGTAAGCCGATCATAAGATATAGCTAATGATACAAACAGTGTACAGAATAAGATGAAAAAATAGATAGGAAAACGCAACCCGGTAGTTTATGCTTCTACATCCTTCTTTCCCTTCCCTGTCTTTGTGGGCAGTAGCTCCGGTGCGATATGGGGAACTGGTTACGAAAAGTCAGAAAATATTGGGGGTTTTAAGAAGAACAACTCACCAACACCGCCTTGCGAGATGACAACGTCGCCAAGAAGTTTGCCCAATCTAAAGACGCGAAAAGTAAGCAAACAGAAAACAGGTTTCAGGTGCAACATACTCCTCATCATTTCGAATGGCAAGTTGTAAATGCCGAGGCACGATACGATGCTTCTTGTTATCACGGGCGGCGTTACCGGCGAGTTCGAGAATCTCAGCAGCGAGATACTCGAGAACTGCAGCGAGGTATACTAGAGGGAGGTGTCAAAACAGGTAGCGGAAGGACTGAAACTCAAGTTACTAACCTGGAGCACCAGCACCGACGCGCTGAGCGTAGTTTCCCTTCTTCAACAGACGATGTATACGACCGACGGGGAATTGGAGACCAGCTTTTGCTGAGCGAGATTGAGACTTGCCCGTCGCGTCGCCACCGGCAGCCTTGCCGGACTTTGATTTTCCACTGACTTTTCCAGACATGTTTAGAGGCGGAGTTTGCGATGAGTGGGTGACGGCTGTGGTGGAGGGCAAAGGGAGGCGATTGTGATGGAGACGAGAGTGTTTGGGTATTTATATGAAAAGGAAAGGCACCAGAAATCAACAAAGACGCGTTGGGCGCGTCACGACCAAACAACACCAAAGTCACGTGTCCGTATATATACACCCACGATGTTGTGCTGAACGCTCTTCAACTCTTCCTTCCTTACCACCACCCCTGCACCTATTTCGCCTTTCGCCTGCACCTTCGCGTCTTATCATCAACAATGGCACCCAAACCCGCATCCACTGCTGGCAAAGCCCCCGCTTCTACCGCCACCGCTTCTAAGACTCCCGCCAAATCCACTGAAGGTGCTAAGGCAGCAAAGAAGACTTCAAAAGCCGCAGCACCAGCTGATGGTGAGAAGAAGAAGAGAAAGAAGGTTCGAAAAGAGACATACTCCTCATACATCTACAAGGGTACGTGACTCGAACTATTTGACCAATCACAGTCTTATTCTTACCTCTTCCTCTTTGTCTCTTAGTCCTAAAGCAGGTCCACCCCGACACTGGTATCTCCAACAAGGCAATGGCTATCTTGAACAGCTTCGTCAACGATATCTTTGAGCGGATCGCAACAGAGGCATCGAGTAAGTGGCCCTCGATTACGCGTGTTTCACTTTGATTTATGGGACTCTCTTTGTAGAACTCGCTGCATACTCAAAGAAATCAACTATCTCCTCACGCGAAATCCAGACCTCTGTGCGGTTAATCCTACCAGGTGAACTCGCCAAGCACGCCATCTCTGAGGGTACGAAGTCGGTTACAAGTGAGTATTTTGCCATCTACTTCTATTTCATCGCGCTTATCAATGATTGCTAGAATTCTCATCGGCGGGTGCCAAATAGAGTTGGAAATTTATCGCATGCCTCGACCTATTGTTATCCATGTATCATCAGTGTATTTTTCCTCTAATCTATTCTTTATGTGCAATTCTGTGTCGAGATATCCTGTAGGCCGATTCTCGTCAAAACTCTTGCAGCTGTTGTGTATGTAATACAAGGAACTCTGTATATGTCCTGTGAGTCTTGACATTTGCTATTGAAAAATGTATTGCTGTCAATCAAGTAGGCCTGCCTCTTGCATCTGCACCATCATCCTTCTGATCATTTCCAACGCCCACTCCCGTGAGTCTTTCTTCAGTTCGGTCAATTTCTCCGAATCCTCCTCGGAGTCATCGGCCAAGATGAAGAGGTGGAAGAAGGTTTCATACCACATACGCTTCAAGAAAGTGCGCTCCGTTGCAAGACTTTCCTCGAAATCGACGTCCCCTGTTCCTTCCTCTTTATGCTCGTTGAGGAATTTACCATAACCATCTAATACATCGGAACTAGATCTGCTGGGCAGAAGCGTTGCTTCAAGGAGTGGATCTGCCCAGATGGCGTAGTCAAAGCGGGGATTGACTCCTACCAAAAGGGGGAGAGAGTCGTCGTGCGACGCAACGATGGCGGCGATGGCATCATCTTCCGAAGTAGGGAACACCACGAGCCGGGGAACGTGCACGTCGTCGAAGATTCCACTGTCAGCGTCGAGAGCGAGTTTGATTCGGGCGAGGTGGAAAGGAAACACTGGAAGCCCTTGCAACCTGTTAGGATTTCTTTCGTCCAAATTTTCAACCTCCTGCAGAAGCTCAGTGATCAGGCGTACGAAGGTGTCCCTCCACGAGTGGGAACCATTTGGAGGAGAACCCTCGAACTGGGGCAATCCAAACCATCCTGCAGGATTTCGAATGGAATTATAAGCGGCGACCATTCTCCCCATCATAAGCTGAAGGATACCGATTTGCTCTTTCGGGAGTCGGGTTCGCGCTTTGGTCAACAATACGTGGTGAATTACAACGTCCTCATTATCCAATACCTCTGGTATGGCTTGGGGCTGGAGAAGATAATGATAGGGAATGTTGGTGAGCGAGTCATCGAAAGCGATGACCTCGGGATTCACGCCCATGTCGTCGCTGCGCTCTTTGTCAACCAGTGCCACGAGCTTAGCGACTTCGCTGAGGGGGTTTTGATGGTACACCCCACTGAAGTCTTTGACAGGTGGCTCTATAGTGAGCGTGTACGATGACTGGTCGGTCAGTGGCGGCCCATGGTCAAGATCGATTCTATAAGTCTTCGATATGGGTCGGTAACTTGACATGGATTGAACAATTGTGATAGTCTGAAGAAGGTCGCAACCCACCCATACGTCGGCTTTGGTAGCTCCCTAAAATTCACAATTGGACGGGCGTTGGGAATGTCTTTGAGATGGGTGTCAACGATCTTCTGTGCGTCTTCCTTGGATATTTGAATATCCTTCCACTGTTGACTTTGAGAGGCCATGGGATTGATTTACAAAGGATGCAGGATGGTGCTCGAACTTAAGGACGATAAGAACGGTGATCGAACTTTGATCGAACGGGCATCAAAGGCAATGCGATCGGAAATGCGACGAGACCCGTCTTTATGATGACTCGCGCCGCCAACTGAGGCAAACACTAGGCAACTTACCGCTGATCCCAACCGGAACCCCAAGGATAAGGCCTCTGCCCAACATTACATGCAGCAACCTGACATCAAGCAGAAGGCAAGCGCCACGATGAAGAGGATAGACGATGCTGCCAAGAAGCACAAGATGAACCAGGTAAAAGAACGCACTTTGTGTTGCCGTAACAATAATGCTGACCCGACGTTTGAATGTAGCTTTCTGCCCAGATCAAGGCCAATGTAAAGAAGAACTGGGGACATATCAAACGTGATGAAGTCGACCTTGACCTCGACTGATGATTATCTTTGAGCCGCATTTATTGATGTAATTCATAGGACAGGAAATGTATATCGGTGGGATCGACTTTCAGAAGCAGACAATTTTGAGGACAACTAAACCTGCACGATAAACGGCTCCAAAAAATTTCGCTCAAGTTTAATCATGATCTGAGTGATATATTGTCCATATGCGTCAAACAATGCTGGTCGTTCAAATCGAAACCTTACTAGTCATCGAACAAAAGCTAATCCCCTTTCCTCGATGTCCTGGGCACTATCGCCCACAACAAAAATCTTCACCACCATCAATGCCGCGAGGCTAGTACAAAATGTCAATGAACACGTTTAAAAAAAAGTAGAAGGGACGCACAGTGGGTACAACGTCTTAATCCCGTGTTTTTCCGCGATAGCGCCAGTCATGAATGGAAGTACCGCACAAATTCCGCTATCCAACCTGTTGAGCCAGTCAAAATCCATCGAGGAAGGACGCGTGAAGTATGATTCATCGCAATCGGGTACATCGGTCCTAGAAGCAGGCCTATGATGAATATGGAAATCAGAGACGGGACGACACTCTCTAAACTGGAGTTTTTTTTTTGAAAAAAAAAAAAAAGAAGAAAAATCGAGGAATATAATAAGCGCCATCCAGACAACAAGCCTTTTACGAACCACCAAAAAATCCATTGGTATTGGACGGGCGTTATCGATGTCTTTGAGATGGGTGTCGATTTCTTAGTCTTTCTGTGCGTCTTCCTTGGATATCTGAATAGCCTTCCACTCTTGACTTTGAGAGGCGATAGAATTGGATTTACAAAGGATGGACATCAAAGGCCATACTTATGATCGGTAATGCGAACGACGACCGTCTTTATGAGGACGCCTTAAAGTCAAGAGTTGTCAGATCCAGCAGAGAATCTATTATCTCAGATTTGGTAACTTTCTGTTGTCCTCCTTCATGGCGACTCGCACCGCCAACTGAGGCAAAACACTCGGAGCTTGTGAATCTGGTCTAACTGGCTTTGGCTTGAAAGTTGAAACTTTCACGTCAAACACCGGGTCAAACGTCAAACTAGCGTCTAATGTTGATTTATGTCACTCTCTCAGCCGAGCTCAGCGAGAGCATAAAAACCATGGACATGCCCTCCTCTCGTCCTCATCAGCTGGTCTGTTCATCCCCCCATCCCTCACTTAACGGCTGGTCCAAATCTCCTGTTCTCAATTACCTCACTACACGCCAACCATGCTCTTCTCAACCCTTGCATCCTTGCCAGCCTTCGCACTCCTTCTCCTCGTTTCTGAGAACGTTCTCTCTGTTACCGCTGCGCCCCCCGGCTACCGTCCGCGTATAGGCGTGGTCATCAACGCAAGGTCTCCCAGCGATGCCTTGTTCGAACGGGGAGTCATCAAGCCCAAAAAACAAGCTGCTGCGGCCAAGGCTTCGCAGCCATGGAAGGCCTCCAACCTCAAGACTAGCGACTATCGAAAGACCGCTTTGAACCACAACGACGGTGCATACGTCAAGACCGCCGGCGGCAGTCAAGTAAAATGGCAAAAGGGTGCCAAAGGAGATGCTGGTAATTCTAATTCTGCCGGAATCATAATTCCAACTGATCCAGCGATCTCACTCAGAACATGTCATCGAGCCTGGATCCCATGTCAAAGGGCCACTGAACAAATTGGGCGTTCCGAAGAAGTGGGCTTTGGATTTAATATCACACTCTCTAAATTAGACGCTAACTTGAAATTCATTTAGCCACCCTATTGTGGCAGACCTCAAGGCAGCTTTGAATCACAAAGACAATCTCTCGATGCTCAACGGGGGGTCTAACAAAGCGAAAGCGCAACTTACCGCTAATCCCAACCGGAAGCCCAAGGATAAGGCCTCTGCCCAACATTACATGCAGCAACCCGACATCAAGAAGAAGGCAAGCGCCACAATGAAGAGGATAGACGCTGCTGCGAAGAAGCACAAGATGAACAAGGTAAAATAATGTACTTCGTGTTGCCGCAACAACAATGTTGACCCATCGTTGTAATGTAGCTCTCTGCCATGATCAAGGCCAACGTAAAGAAGAACTGGGGACATATCAAACGTGACGAAGTCGACCTTGACCTCGACTGATTATTTCTGGGCCGTATTTATTGATGTAATTTATTGAACAGGAAATGTACGTGGATGGGATCGAGTTTCAGGAGCGTAAGACTTTGAGGACAACTTAACTTGCACGAGAAACGACTCCAAAAAGTTTCGCTCAAGTCATGATCTGAGTGATATATTATCCATGTGCCTCAAACAATGCCGGCAGTTCAGACTGAAATCGACCCCTCTCAAAAGTCATCGAACCAAACCTAATCCCCTCTTCTCGATGTCCTGGGCACTATCGCCCACAACAAAGTCATCACCACCATCATCGCCGCGAGGCTAGTACAAAACGTCAGTGAAAACGCTTCAAGAAAAGTAGGAGGGACGAACAAAGGGTGCAACGTCTTAATCCCGTGCTTTTCCGCGATAGCGCCTGTCATGAATGGAAGTACCGCACTGCCCGCTTGTCCAAATCCCGCTATCCAACCTATTGAGCCAGTCAAAATCCATCGGGGGAGGACGCGTGAAGCATGGTTCATCGCAATCGGGTACATCGGTCCTAGAAGCAGGCCGACGATAGATATGGCAATGGCGTCCCCAACGAGAGACGGGACAGTCCAGACAACAATTTCTAAACTATTTTATAAAGGGATAGCAATCAGGAGGGAAATAGAGGAGTTGGAGGATGAGATTGAACGTACCCAATGGCGAGAAATGCGTAGATAAACAGTGCGCGTCGTTCTCCGACCTTATTTTGGTAAAAAGATTTAATAGCACTGTGTTTGAAGAACAAGCTTACCTTCTGATTTACCCACAGAAGTAAAACCCGACCAAGTGCAAGGCCTGGATATTGAGTTAGGAATATACCACCCAGAAAACAAGCCTGTGACGAACCACCAAAAAATCCAGAAGAAATATAACCCGATGATGGCCCTCCTTTACGAACTTGAATAATAAATGTCACGATCCAGCCTTTTGTGAAAGTCGCAAGAAGTTAAACATTCCCGCATTAGGGACTTAAACAGCCTACCCCCAATTGTAACCTCAACCCCAACATAAACGAGGGTGAATAGAGCAAGCAAGTGGACGGCTTTGGTCTGCATGATCTGACGAAATTTGTGGTCGTCCTCACCGGCAACTTTTTGCGCAACTGTCTCGCCAGCTTGTAGGAGGCAGTCTAGAATTTGACGGGACAAAAGTCAATCAACGAAGAAGACAAAAAGAGTGCAGTGGGTTGTACCATCTTGATTCTTGAAGCGGAAGACGACCCATAGGACGATGGCGTTTGCTATGGTAAGTCCAAGAGAAATCATGTAGTGGAATGACCACCGGTGAAGTTGTGCGAATTGGGTGGCGACCAAAGGGGCGGCAAGCGCTCCAACGCCTTCCATCACAACCTCTTGAGTTCAATGGGTTCTCCCATATACAGAAAGGCCTACCGTATGCAGCGTGAAGAATGCCCATCTTCGCTTCGGGGTTATCCTTCAGTGTTGCTACAAAACCATTGGCTTGCGCGTCCTGAATGCCCATGTATAGGTGGTTGAGAATAGAAATATCTTCCACTTACCTGTAGAGCTATGCCAACCCCATTGATTACGAACGCAAAAACAAATGCAGGAAACGGGGGTCCAGGCGCTTGGATTGCATAGCCGACAACCTGACATAAAGCGCCTATAAATCGGCGGTGGGTTATGGTTGAGCTGTCGGTCAATTGATCTCACCAATTGCGATAACCTGGAAAGAGTGCCAGGGACGTTGTTAGATGTTGTGCCGTCTACGGAAATCATTTTGAAGCTTACACGTCCAAAACCAAGCTTGTCATTCAGAGGTACATTTATCAACGCCCCAGATACGAAGCCCTGGTCATGCAATTCAAAACGGTACGCAGTGGAAATACACCAGATGCTTACGACACACGCGAATACGAACATCAGGGAAACAATAAGAAAGTTTACCTGAGCAATATTGAGAGTAAGTCCAGTTTGCAATAGAACAAGTATCGTAAAAGCACACATGATAGGCATCCTGAATGCGGAGCAACAGCGGTCCAGTCGAGCCGTCATTCCATCCAGCAAGAAAGAGGCAGAAACACAAAGCGAGAAACTGGATACGGCCTGTCGTGATTTGTTTGCGTGAAGGTGGGGCTGAAGACGATCTAGTACCCAGACTGCCGTTCCCAAGAGAGGGCTCCCCAGACTTGGTGGGAGTGACTGAAGGTACCGATGCGACCTCGGTAGTAAAAGATCTCTTTCGGGATTCCATGGACAGAACGTCAAGTTCCATCATTGACGAAGGCGGATGGCTCATAGGTCAAATTATTTTGATAACTCGAACACAAAATCCTCAAGCGAATCTTTCTGTTGAGGGTCGAGTATCAGGAAGCTTTATACAGGGCGAAGAGTGGTCAGGCCACAGGACTATAAAGGATGTCGATGAGCACGAGGAGTTTGACAGATGCTGAATCATTGTTTGTTGATGAGATGGACTTGAGATGGACCAGATGTAGGAACGTCGTTGCTAAACTTTAAACGTTTAAAACCTCTACTGCACCCGCTCCCGACAATCGTTTTGTCAACCATGGCCAACCTCTCCAGGACAGCCAAGTCCGGCAATAATTGGACTACAGCCGAGCTAGGCGCATACAACATGATGCATGTGCATGACCATTATCCCTCTGACCAAAGCTGAGTTCTTCCAACTTCGCCGCCGAATTATTGCGCGGCCTGTGACAAGGACAGGATCGTTTTCATCCGGAGTGCTATTCCTTTTCTCATCTGTGCGAAGACCTCCATCACTCAGACTGACGTTTGCGTCATGGACTACAATGAATCTTTGCTGCTGCTACAGGACGATGAGAGGTTAACGAGCATGAAGGATCCAGAACCGCAGGTCATCGCAGAGGCAATTGCTGCCTTTGCGATGAACAATATGACACGAGAACGCAAGCTTGATCTGCAACCTCGCGACGCCATCACGTTCCCTGCCCTTACCATGACTGGCACCACCCCACCTTCTACAAAGTTACAGTCACTGCTGCACTGAGCAAAGCGGCTCAAACAGGGACTTTTCCAGAGATCGAAACCCGTGTTTATCGTTATATACCTTCTCTCCCTCTCAAAAGTAGCGAAGGGATGCGTCCCCTTCCGAACAGACTCGAAATTTTGCGATGTTTGCAGGCCTTCAAAAAGTTTTTGGGCAATTGAACCAAGGTGTGCACATGTCTTCATAGTTCTCCGGCGCATCGAACAGAAATAAATGAGAGAAGAGATGGCCAAGGCGAGGGCAATGTAATGTGTTGTGGCATCGTATTCCAGTATGAACATTATGTTTTTGTCTTTATATTTCAAAATTTCACCATCTGTCGCTTTTTGGTCGCTTTTATGTATGTAGTCGGACCCATCCCTTTTTTCAGCTGTTTGTCTGTGTTATCTTTAAAAATACTTGGTTCGTCACCTGGTCCAAGTCTAGTCCAGTTTGAACTCTACATAACGCCATTGCCTTCCACGATATCTTCCTTACTGGTGCGTGCATTTCGTGTCAAGAGGTTTGTGTTCTTAGGGATGTGTAGATGTAATGAAAACTCAACTCTTAGGGCTGCTTAGGTGGCCATCGTTGAGTCGTTCTAGACACCATTTTCAGCTCAATTTGTTACCCAGGCGAAGCGTCTCATTCACTGCTGCATCGAAATGGGATGCGTCACTTCTCTACCACCCCATTGACCTTGATCTTGATGCTAAGATTTTTGGAAAGCAACTTGTCTCTCTTGTTCACGAAGGACGTTATGGAGCAGCGGATCGACTTCGATACCGACTCATGGATGGCGATGTTAGGATAAAGCAGCACACGGTGTATGAAAGTGCGGCAATTGCAGCTCTGCAATTGTCGGATCCAGAAAAGAGGATGTCTGACTTTACTGCATGGTCCACCCTCGTTCCGGACAAGGACAGTCCTTGCACTACACCACACGTCTTTCGCGACACGCGCACAGCTCTATTACTCCAGGGGTCCCCTTCTCTGAATCTCCCTCTTGTGGAGCGCTTTGGCATCATAACGGCCGCCAAGGGATATCGCAGATACTTCCCCGCCATAGCCCGCGTCGTAGCTTCCTTTGCACCTAACGCAAAACACATTATAAAGTTTTTTATCGAAGCTGGGGAGCGCGCCACTGAATACGCACATCATTTTCATCCAGAAGAAGCCATGGAAACTTCGCAGTGGTTTCGTCGAGCTGGGGTAGAAATCAGCGCCCATACTGGTAAACTTGGCGTGGCGCTCGATCTCCTGAAACTCAAGCGAGACTTCTCAATGCCGGACTCGACGTATGAGCTTATGTTGCTCAAGTTATTAGAGAGCCAGAAGCAGGGCGGGAAGGGGGCTCCAGTCACAAATCCGAGCAATAGTGTCGAACTTATTCATAAACTTCAGTTACGTGATGCACGCGCTAGGCGGTATCTTGGCGGTACCAACGGAAAATCGACGCGTCAGGTCAACATGGAAGGCCCTGCAACATTGAAACATGAAAACAAAGGAGCTACCTTATCATAACCTGCCTGCCTCGCCACTGCATAACGGTGGAAGGGAGTCCGAGGTCGTTCACTCCATAGCACCCAACTAGTCCTCCAATGTGCGCAGCTGTGTCAACACTTCTGTGCCCTGGTAGCTGACCGCCGCGGACTGATGTGGGCACTGTAGTCGGAAGCGGATTGATCCACCTGGAATATGGGACGAACATCTATTCCCCTGGCCTACCATGAATGCAAACGAGGAGGCGGTGGATTTAGGTGAACGACTGGGGTTGGTGGGAAGGGTACCCTCTCGGGGGAATGATCTCTTTGAAGGTCCAGGGTAACGTACGGTCTAAATAGAGACACAAGAGGTAGCTATCGGGAAGTCTATCGCGCCGTCGTCTGCTGCCCTCCAAGTTTAGTAGAAACCTTGTCAACCAAAGGAGCATCCGCAGCATTTGGGGCAGGTACTTCTAACTTGGAATTTACCTCTTTCCTCGTGGTTCGCATATCCCCTCTGAAGCCCAAATAATATATAAGAGATTTTTCTTCCCCGACGGCGTCATTCTACCAGCACCCAGTATTAGAGTAAAATATTACATCAAAATGAGGTGGACGCACAAAGAACAAAGACAGTGCATGAACGCTAGCAAAAACCGCTGCTCGGAGAGGGTACTCCACCACCCCCGTTTCGCCTTCTAGAAGGTTGATGTTCAATTGTGGCGTCGTTGTCTCGGCGTCCGCAAAGTCAATGATGGTAGGATGATTTGCATAAAGTCGCAAATGACGAGGCGTTACTTCTCCTCGGCCTGCATATTGTCATTAACAACTAATGGGTCCTGGAAAGGGCATAACTCACCAAGCTTCAACAAGACAGATCGTATCCTGACGTTTTGTGTGAAAGGAACGTGTATGATAAGCTTGGAAGTAGAAAATCCGTTCATTGGCTCCTCTGGTCTCATTCAGAAAGACCTCAAACCTGATCGTCAACACCAGATTCCGCGTACTTGATGTTATCGTCGCGTTCTTCCCATGGCTTTATGATTTCTTTAGCGTCTTCTGGAACAGTAAGGTTGAGCCCATGAACGCTTGGCTCGATGCCTGTGAGCTTCAGGCCAGCCTCAGATTGACGACGCTCACTTGTCTCTGTCGATGACAGCAAATAGATTGGAGATGTCTGTCCCAGCCAAGTCGGCTTGAAGGGTATTGATTGTCTCCGAGTTATCTGACATTGAAGGGACGATGAGAGGATGGATATTCGCAACCTCGTGACTTGAACAGACTTCGCATTTTCTCACACAAACTTTTCGCTGCAGAGTCCGTTCATGAATAGGCTGCTCCTCCGGCCCATTGCTCGCGCAATACGGGCACAGCGACCGCCAGCACACCACCACCACCACTGTGTCAATGTCTCTCTCATTGCCTCTCCATGTCGGCAGTTTACTAGCTCGAGCTCACTTAGAGCAGCCATAACCCCGTCCGAGCAACAGCTGTCTTCTCTTCTGGCATCCGGGATGCAACAGGACGAACTGGCAAAAGAGATAGCGGGCCTGTTCTCTCGTACGAAGGAGAACTGGCTAATTCTGCAACTGGAGGACCAACTTATAAAACACACGAACAAGACTGGGGAACGACAGCTTCTCAGAAAGTTCAACGAGTATCTCCACCAAATAGAGGCTGAGGCTAAAGGTGAGGGATATAGCACCATTCTTAGGTTCAGCAGCTAACAGGCTTGTAGCCCAAAAGGCAGCAGCAGATGCTACTGGGATTTCTAGCTGGTTTTCCGCTGAAGCGCGAGCTGCGTTGGCGCGTAAAGGTGTGCATCGTTAAGCACAGAATATAGTAAAAACGCTGAATGTTGTGCAGGCTTGGAGCTCACTGATTACGTGGCGGAACTCTTGGAAACACCGCCTGCTGCCAGTGCCATCATGAAATTCAAACCGGAAGAAATTGATCGTTTTGAGGAAATTTGGGTTCAGTTTGACAAGGAGAATTCAGAAGTCTGGTTACACAAGATTCTCGACTTCTTTGCTGCTCGGGGTGTCGACTTTGTTCCTCCACAGGACTTCAAGGAGACAACTTCCAGAAAGACACCTGCAATTAACGCATCGCGGAGTGCGTATTTTTCCAGTTTACATGGCACACGACTGAGATCGAATATTTTAGATTCAATGTACTCCTCAGCACCAAGACAACCAGATGGGGATTATCCAGATCTCATGATGAATGACTCTATCCTCGACCCTCGAGACGTGCTCGATCTCCCACCCTCTGCTGAATCCCCCTTCCACAATCGCGTCGTCGTGCGCAATCACCGCTCCGTCTTCCACAATTACGGTGATGAGCCTGTCGCCAACACCCCCGACTCAGAGAGGGACGATAAGATGGCGTCTCATGAAGAGATGAAAGAAGAGCCGGAGGTTACATTATCTCAGAAGGATGTCTTCGCTGGCAAGGCCCCCGCTGAAGCTTGGGCTGTAAACATCAACGAGTTTACGAAATCCTTGCCCGTCGCCAAAAGATTTTACACCGGACTTCATCAATCTATCCTGATGCGCCGCACCGTTGTGCAACAAACAGGGAAAGGCAAAATTCGCCGTATGTCATTCATGGTTCTCGTTGGGAATGGCGATGGTCTGGTCGGCTACGGAGAGGGAAAGCACTTGAACAGTATGGTTGCATTGACAGCCGCACGTCTCGCAGCCGTACGGAACATGGACTGGGTCGAGCGGTTTGAGAAGCGCACGGTGTGGACAGAAATGAAGACTAAGCTTGGCGCTACGCAACTTATCCTCCGACCGCGACCAGTAGGTTTTGGTTTGCGGTGTAACCCGTTTTTACATCAGATTCTGCGAGCGGCTGGGTTCAAGGATATCAGTGCGAAAGTGTGGGGGAGCAGGAACAAGCTAAACGTGATCAAGGCTGCGTTCAGAATGATCCATGCTGGCCATGCGCCGACTTCGATGGGAGATGGAATGGGTGGGCCTGGAAAGAAGCTAAATCGGGGGAGAGGATTGAGGAATATGAGTGAGCTTGAGAGAGCCAGAGGCAGGAAGCTCATTAGTTTGAGGAAGTAGTTGCCGATATTTTCATTCCATACATACTTGCCATTCCGCGTATCCGTTCGATGGTTCCCTTTTTTTTCAGAGGACGAAACAGCACACTTCAGACATGATTAAAAGTACCATGACGTCCCCCTTCCTGTTCTCCCTGCGAACCTGCAACTTATCCGCGCTAACAACTCACCCCCATCAAGTCAATTAGCAGCACAAGAACGCGTTATCTAAAAACTTGTGTTTTTGTAACTCCTCCGCCGTCGCTCGCTCCTTATAATCACTTCAGACAAGCCCTGATGAAATCCGCTGCCAAATGAATTTCGTCCTTTGAAAGATTGGGGTTCTTGTAATTCGCCATGGCCTTGTCTTCAATTTGACTGGTATCAACTCGGGTATGCGTAAAAGGTTTTTTTTTAATGTCAAATTATAGTCTATTGGGGCTCCGCCCCGTGTCAGACTTTACAACGCTAGACTACCTAAGGCCCCTAATATTGCCTTACTCCCTAACCCCCAGAACCCACCTCATACACTGTGAAGGGCACGCCCATGGCGACCATTCCCCCCAGCAGCCCGGCACGAAAACGCCGTTTAGAGGCGCGGCTCCTGATGCGAGCGGGGTAGTCTCTTTTTGCCGCCTGTCCGTGCAATCCGTCTGCGAATTGTTTCGTCTTCCAAGTACCCGGCCGCAAAGCGACAGGTACGCGTAAAAGGTTACCTGTACAATATCAGTGCAAAATTGTTAGATACCAGACTAAAATGGAGCATGGCCGACATACCAGTATCGTCAAAGTATTCCTTGCGGAGGTTGGCACGCTCAAGCATCTTATCTGCGAAAGTCTGGCCCGTGAGCTCCATCATCTTTCGTCCTCAAGTTTCCAATCCTCTCCCTCCTCTGGGTGGACAAGCCACCGGCCTACTAGGAGTTCAAAAGTCTAAATTCTATCATTAGCGAAGCAGGCTTAGCTTAAAAATGACCATCGTACGATACACCCGACGGCCCAGATATCCGCAGCTGACCCGAAGTCTGACTGCAGAATCGTCTCTGGTGCACGGAGGCCAAGTGCACCAAAGCAGTCGGCAGTGGGCTGTTTACCAGCTCGCTGAGCTGTGGGGTTCATAAGGGAGACAGGATGGACGCTGACCATAACCGAGATCCGTCAAGTAAATAATCATAGTTTCTGCTTCAAATGCGCTTGTGTCTCAGACGTAATGGTTTGGAATTGGTTGAGATCTGATAACCGGGTAACACTCTCCTTCCACCTGTGCAGGATTTGGGTCAAGGTATCTCTGTAGATCGGCACCCATGGGGTAAAGCGAGCTGCCAAAGAGGAGATTATCAAGCTTGACATCTATATCAATGGTCAATGAGTACAGAGCGATTGGATTAGATCAAGCAAACCTGTATGGACGATGTTCGTAGCGTGCAGCTGGGCGAGAGCATCGACAACCATCGAGATGACATTCCTCATCATGCATGGAGGAAGAGCGCGGATCGTCTTAGAGATGATACAGATGTACTGTGCAAGTCCTGGACAAGACATAGATGTTTGCCTTTGGGTCCATGTTCGATGAAGTGATCTCGGAGCATGGGAAGAAAATCAGTGTCATTCCGCGCCTCGATCTCCTTCAGGAACTCGAGTTCGTGTGAAACACTAGCTTCATGTCGCTTCGTAGCGTCGATCGTCAAGATTTTCGTAGCTAAGTACTTGATTCCTTCTCTATTGTCCAGAAATGAAAAGCAAAGTGAAGGAAGACTCACTGGCCCCCCCCATTATAGACAAGATGGCACGCCTTCACCAAGCTTGCGCAGAATGGTATACCGCCCACCATTGAGCGAATCGTGGAGCCGCGCCGGAAAGTAGTCGAGACTGGAGGAAGAAAGACGTGCAGAGAGAATAGTCATACCGTTGGGGCAGCGTCGGAAGGACTTTGGGGAAGCAAAAAGACTTGAAGCAGAGCCGAGATACTGGGTGAGTGACTACTTGGTGACGAGAAATGAACCCAGAAAGATTAATGTCTGAGACCCTCTCGATCTCCCTCCGCCAAGTCGTCCACAGCGTCATCGCGCGCAACCACCGCTCCGTTTAGGTTCAAGTATATTAAGGGCGACACAGGAACAGGCTAAACGTGATCAAGGCTACGTTCAGGGTGCATACTAGCCATGCGCCGACTGGAGATGGCCCGGAAAGAAGTTGAATCTACGGAGAGGATTGAAGAATATGAGTGAGCTCGAGAGAGCCAGGGGCAAGAAGTTGACCAGTCATTAATACATTGACGATATCTTTATTCTATGCGCATACAAGCGCCATCGGAACACAAGTTACTTCATACAATTTTAAGCTATCACAGAAAACTATTTTTCGATTTTTTTTTTCTTGAAACAATTCACCTCCACCTCTAGCACCTAAACGCGTTCGCTAGAAACTTGTGCATTCGCAAGTCCTCCGCTGTCGCTCGCTCCTCAGGATCAAACTTCAGACAAGCCCTAATAAAATCCGCTGCCAAATGAATCTCGTCCTCCGAAAGGTTGGGAATCTTGTAGCTCGCCATGGCCGCCTCCAAACTGACTGGTGTCAGCTCGGGTGCTCGTAAAAGGTTACCTGTACAGTGCCAGTGCAAAAAATTGTTAGATATCAAACCGAAATGGAGCATAGCCGACATACCGGCATTATCAAAGTAGTCCTCGCGGAGCTTGGCACGCCCAAGCATCTTATCTGGAAAAGTCTGGCCTGTGAGCTCGATCATCTTCGCTAAATGATTGTCCTCAAGCGTCCAACCCTCTCCTTTCTCTGGGTTGAAAAGCCCCCGGCCTACTAGGAGTTCAAACGTCTACGTTCTATAGTTAGCGAAGCATGCATAGGTTAGAAATGACCACCGTACGATACACCCGACGGCCCAGATATCCACCCCTGGCCCGAAGTCCGATTGAAGAATCGTCTCTGGTGCACGGAGCTCAAGTACACCAAAGCAGTCGGCAGTTGGCTGTTCACCGGCTCGCTGAGCTGTGGGGTCCATGAGCAAGAGAAGTTATGAGTAAACACAGGATAGACAACTGACCATGACTGAAGCCCGTCAGATAGATAATCATCGTTTCTGCTTCAAACGCGTTTGTGTCCCACACGTAATGGTTCGGGATTGGCTGAGGTGTGACAGCTGGGTATCTCGCTCTCCCAAGTCGTACTTGTACTTCAACCTGTCCGGGATTCGCTTCAAGGTATTTTTGTAGATCGTCATCCAAGGAGTAAAGCGAGTTGCCAACGAGGAGATTATCAAGCTTGACACCTGTATCGCTGGTCTATGAATACAAACCAAATGGATTTGAATCAGGCAAACCTGTATGGACGATGCGCATAGCGTGCAGCTGTGCGAGAGCATCGAGAACCATTGCGACGACATTCCTCACCATGTATATAGGAAGAGCCTGGTGGGGCGCGGATTGTCGTAGAGATGATACAGATGTACTGTACGGGTCCTGAACGAGACATAAATGCTTGCCTCGGGGTCCTTGTTCGATAAAGTGATCTCGAAGCAAGGGAAGAAAATCAGTGTCGTTACGCGCCTCGATCTCCTTCAGGAACTCGAGTTCGTGTGAAACACTAGCTTCATGTCGCTTCGTAGCGTCGATCGTCAAGATTTTCGTAGCTAAGTACTTGTATCCTTCTCTATTGTCCAGCAATGGTATCAGTCGGCGGCAAAAAGCAAAGTGAAGGAAGACTCACTCGCCCTCCCCATCTTCGACAAGCCAGCAGGAAGATGACACGCCTTCGCCAAGCTTGCGCAGAATGGTATACCGCCCAGCATTCAGTGAAGTGTTCAGCCGCGCCGGAAAGTAGTCGAGACTGGAGGAAGAAAGACGTGCAGAGAGAATAGTCATACCGTTGGGGCAGCGTCTGAAGAACTTTGGGGAAGCAAAATGACTTGAAGCAGAGCGGTCCCAGACATCTATATATAAGGTAGGGGACATCCATCTCTCTCCAACGTCACGTGCAAGGCGTGACATTTCCATTTTGAGCGGCAGTTATACAAAAATGCATCTAAAACATTCCTTCAACAATTAGATACAAATCGGAAACCAGGAGTTTGTGCCAAAATAGGTTGTGAACCGATGCAAAAAGAAAAAAATGTGTAAAAATGTGTTGCACCCAAATCGTATCAAAAATACATTTGGGCGTTTAGATTAGTGGCGCGTCGTGTCGAAATCAACAGAATTTCCCTGGACACACCGGAAATACAGCGAAACACAAAAGGCTCACCCAGAAAAGGTCAAAGAACCTTCAGAGAGGCTCTAAAAGGAATAGAGGACCTGAAAGATTGAAAAAGAGAAGAGAGTGGCACCTACTTTGTGCATATTTTTGTATTTTGCATACCATTCCATGAGATCAAAATCCTAGCTTCTATAACTTTGTATATAGCTTTCTAACAACAATTATAACAATCTCCTGGGAGCCAATTTTGAATTTCTACTCTGGAGTTGCATATCTTCCATCTTCCAGTCCCCGTGAATATAAAAGGAGCGTTATTGTAACAGCACGTGACGTTGGAGAGAGATGGATGTCCCCTACCTTACTGTATGCACTGGTATTTTATTCTAAATATGTTGTATCTTCATTAATTCATTTCTTTTAGTCGTGGCGCCCATATCGGTGGTATAGATCCACACGAACGAGATCATATCACGGTCGCGTACAAGAATGTCAAGGGTAGGGATGTGACCGGACACTTGGTTCACGTTTATACGGATCGCGAATAGATATGGGTGTCTGATTTGTGGCGAAGTTGTACAATGTTGTGGTCGTCCATTCAATGAACTTTTCACACCATACCGCGACCAGCTCTTGCCCGCGTTGGCATATAAACAATAATTTGGTGAGGGTGAGAGGCGGATGCAAGAGCATGTAAGAAGGAAATACATAGACTAAAGTAATAGATGTAACGCAGATGCAGCCAAGGGTATGCATGGGGAATATAGGAAGAATGGCGTATGCGATGTACGTGCATAGTCAATAGTTATAGCAATATGATAATTGGATACGTTTCAAGTGGCGACTCCGGCGACACCCTTGATCAAGCCCGACGGAAACGAACGCTTGTAGGTGAGGGCGAGGAGAACGTGATTGCAGCATAAATCTGTTTGCGTTCTGGGGTGTAGAATGCGCGAGGCTCCTCAGATGTGTCTCGGGGACGGGAGGACGTCGACGTTGAGAATGTTGGCGAAAAGTAATCTCCGAGGGATTAGCACGCGACGAATGATCGGTAGTCTCGACACCGGCCTTTATGGATATATACGCTATTGGGGTGTCTTGAGAGAACCAGAGAGAACCAGAGGCACGAAGTTTTGAGGAGGTATTTAACAGTATCTTTATTCTATACACGTCCGTCAGATTGATATCTTTGCTTTGGAGGACGAAATGGCACTCTTCAGACATGCCAATTGCAAGCCCCAATAAGTACGTCCGTATCTGTCCCCCTCCCTGTTTTGCATGCGAGCTTGCAACTTACTGATCCGCCCTGAAAATTTCACCTCCATCTCTAGCACTCGAACGCGTTTGTCAAGAATGTGTAGTTTTGCAAGTGCTCCGCCGTCGCTCACTCCTCAGAATCAAACTTCAGGCAAGCCCTAATAAAATCCGCTGCCAAACGAATTTCGTCCTCTGAAGGGTTGGGGATCTTGTAATTCGCCATGGCCGTCTCCAAACTGACTGATGTCAACTCGGGTATGCGTAAAAGGTTACCTTTGCAAAATTGTTAGATACCAGACCAAAATGGAGCATAGCCGACATACCTGTATCGTCAAAGTATTCCTTGCGGAGGCTGGCACGCTGAAGCATCTTATCTGGAAAAGTCTGGCCTGTGAGCTCGATCATCTTCGCTAAATGATTAACCCACTCCTTTCTCTGGGTTAAAAAGCCCCCGGCCTACTAGGAGTTCAAACGTCTACGTTCTATCGTTAGCGAAGCAGGCATAGGTTAAAAATGACCATCGTACGATACACGGCCCAGATATCCACCGCTGGCCCGAAGTCCGATTGAAGAATGGTCTCTGCTGCACGGAGGTCAAGTGCACCAAAGCAGTCGGCAGTTGGCTGTTTACCGGCTCGCTGAGCCGTGGGGTGCATGAATGAGACAGACTATGAGCATACAGAGATAGACACTGACCATGACCGAGATCCGTCAGATAAATAATCATAGTTTCTGCTTCAAATGCGCTTGTGTCCCAGACGTAATGGTTCGGAATTGGTTGTGATTTGATAACCGGGTAAGTCTCTCCTTCCACTTGTGCTTCTCCTTCAAGCTGTGCAGGATTTGCTTCAAGGTACTTCTGTAGATCGCGATCCAAGGAGTAAAGCGAGTTGCCAAAGAGGAGATTATCAAGCTTAACATCTGTATCGCTCGTCTGTGAGTACAGACCAAGTGGATTTGGATCTGGCAAACCTGTATGGACCATGTTCATAGCGTGCAGCTGGGCAAGAGCCTCGACAGCCATCAAGATGACATTCTTCACCATGTACGGGAGAAGGGCCTTGTGGGGTGCGGATCGTCGTAAAGACGATACAGATGTACTGTACAAGTCCTGGACAAGGCATAGATGTTTGCCTTTGGGTCCATGTTCGATGAAGTGATCTCGGAGCATGGGAAGGTGATCAGTGTCATTCCGCGCCTCGATCTCCTTGAGGAATTCGAGTTCGTGTGTCAGACCAGCCTCATGTTGCTGCGTAGCGTCGATCGTCAAGATTTTCGCAGCCAAGTACTTGTATCCTTCTCTATTGTCCAGAAATGGTATCAGTCGGCAGCAAAAAGCAAAGTGAAGGAAGACTCACTCGCCCTCCCCATCTTCGACAAGCCAGCAGGAAGATGACACGCCTTCACCAAGCTTGCGCAGAATGGTATACCGCCCAGCATTCAGTGAAGTGTTGAGCCGCGCCGGAAAGTAGTTTGGGTCGAAACTGACGGCAGGAAGAGGTGCGGAGGGAGCAGTCATACTGCAGCGACGGCCGGACTTTTAGGAGGCCTGCAACAAATAGGCGGATAACTTGAAGAGTTGAGCGAGTGTTGGCTCCTTAACTTTGCGGCGTTGGGCATCATTTTCGTCAGTGACTCACACCGCACCCACAGCGCACTTGGAAATGCGTCAAGGTTAACATGAACATGTGACCAGACATTCAGTTCAAGTTGAAGTCAAGCACTCGAGGCATAACCAATAATTTGACAGGGACGACAGACAGAATTTGGTAAGTATGTGCAAGAATGAGTAAGGAATATATAAAGGAAGATGCGATGCAGATGCAGGAGGCAATCAGGGTATGCATGTGGATATAGTAAAAAAAGCGTCAGTTTGCAATGCGATGTGTCAGGATAGCGTATGCGATGTGCGTGCGTAATTTGGGCATGAAAACATGATAGTTTTAGCAATATGTTAGATAGATGCGTTTCATGTGGCGCCTCTTGATTATTCCGGCGACACGCTCCTTGAGTAAACCTGACGGAAACGAGTGCTCGTGGGTGAGGGCGAGGAGAACGTGAATGCAACATAAATTCGTTTGCGTTCGGGGGTAGAGAATGCACGAGGCTCCTCTGATGCGGCGCGGGGACGGGACGACGTCGACGTTGACAACGTTGGCGAAAAGTAATCGCGGATCTCAGGTTCAGCAGAGGATTCCTGCACCGTGGATAGGGATTAGCACGCGTCGAATGATCGAATGGCAGAAAGAGAAAAAACGAACCTTGACTGAGCTGAATTTGAGTTTTGCATCCGATTCACCCAAGGCCCCATTATCAACGACTTGCTCATAGGCCTCAGAAACATCCGCAAGAGGCTTCACAGTCAACTCGTAGCAGCGCGAGTCGATGTCAGCCTGGGTGGGATGATCGGGCCTCTTGTCCACGACAACCTGTTCCTCCTCCTCACTAACCTTGGGCATGGGTGACACCTGACGAGAGGGGGGCTTCTTGGCGTAAGTCTTCTTGACTTTACCATCCCTCTTCGGTGCCACCTTTGCCTTGATAGTGCTGGAGGAAGAAGCCTTACGCTTCTTCGTTTCAGTGTGTGAGGAGTCCTTTTGCTTTTTCCCAGCGGAGCCAGCAGATGTATGAACTTTTGTCGCGAGCACGTTCGTCTTGCGCTTCTTGGCGGTGGTGTTGGAGCCGGGGCCAGCCCGCTCGCCGGTGACGGGGTGATAATTTTCCTTGTCGATGACCTCTGTGACGTCGACGAGTGAATTGGAAGAGGTGATGGTCGCCTGATTTAGCGATGACGATCGGATAGCCATTGCCGTTGGCCGGGTGACTTTAGGTTTGGTCGTTTCGGTTGAAGGGGCATCTTGAAAGACAGTGAATGTGCGAAGTGACATATTCGACACTCGTGTGGGCGATCGGCACGAGGTAACGGGTGTATGAATGGATGAATTGAAGTTGGATAGTGCGATACTGGTGATCACTTGAAGGGTCGGCGTTGACTGAAAGACTGCTGGACGTCTGCTGGGCGTCGTCGATTGGGTTCTCGTCGTTGTCCTGTATAAAGGAATGAACTCTTGTTGAATTCCAACTTAACGGGTGTGTCACATGACGAGCCACAACCAATCATGCCAAAATAACGCCCGTCCACGTGGTCACCGGCCCGAGTCAGTTAGCTCCATTCTTTTGGCCGTGCAGTTCTCGAGCACAATCTTTCAACTCGCCTTGATTTTGTTTTGTACAACTACTCGAAGAATTCTTAGACCTCTCCATAAACGAGCCGGCGTATCCCCTTGTGAGCCATCTATGTCGTAATACGAATTAGGTGTTGCAAGCCTACGCGAGGGACCAAGCGTTCGCCTTTCGATATCCCTCCATAAAATTTCCTTGTCCGGGGTTCCGAAACGCAATCGAAATGCCGCTTTTAGTAAGCCTCTCTTTTGTGTTAATTTCTTGTGCTAAGACCATTTCCAAGGATCGGGACCTCAGCAAACTGAATGCAGCTTGAGAGACAAAACTTTATCTTGTCAAGGACTCTCCGGGCCATGTTGTGTTCATAAGATCGCCATGCAATCCATTCACTGGCTTCCCGGAAAAGGATTTGGGTTGCCGAAGCAATGAACTCGGTAACTGGTTCCGTGCAGGTTCCGCTCGTTTGACATCGCAAAACAGCTAAATATTGCCCGATGCAAGCCCAACGACCCAGGACCAAACTCTCTTCTTACCCTGGATATCCTGGATAACGCACAAACTCACGGATCAACGTGCGGACGCCGCCTTGTGAATCGTGAGTTTTGATACCTCATGTCATACACGCACAGTAGGGGTGTCACTCCACGTTTGCGTGCGACTTGTCATTCATTCCTCTTATAACACCCACAACTCTTTCTGTCGCTTTCCACTTTCAAGTCCTTGTTTGCACTGGTGCTAACTCCGTTCCTCTCTTCTCACCTCCGCCAGGTCGTTTAGCATGTCCTCGAAGACCTCACCAGCCCCTTCCTCCGCTGTACACCCGCCCCTCGGGACCCTCATTGATGGGGACTCCCTCGAGCTCGTTGAAGTTCTGGGCGTTGGCGGATACGGCGTCGTCTATCGCGCCGTCGATGTACGCCATCCTACTGGCCCAAAATCATACGCTGTAAAGTGTCTGGTTGCTTCGGGACACCAGACTGCGCGCCAGCGGCAAATTCATATCCGCGAGATCGCTCTGCATCAGATCGCCTCCGCCCACCCGGGCGTTGTCACCCTCCACCGCATCGTGGAGCACTTTAACCATACCTACATCATCATGGACTACGCACCGGACCACGATTTGTTCACGCAAATTCTCCATAGCTGTCGCTATCTTGGAGACGACGCCCTCATCAAGGATGTTTTCCTTCAGCTGCTCGACGCAGTTGACTATTGCCATACTTTGGGTATTTATCATCGGGATTTGAAACCCGAGAACGTCCTTTGCTTCGACGATGGCCTCCGTGTGGCCATCACAGATTTTGGTCTCGCTACGACTGAAAAAGTTAGCGACGAGTTTCGCACCGGCAGCGTGTATCACATGAGCCCAGGTTCGTGTTTTCTTTTCACCTCATTCTTTCGTATAAGGGTCTCATGTACTTGTAGAATGCCAGGGAGGGGAGTTTGCTCCCACCGGGAATTACTCTCCCATGTTTAACGACATCTGGTCCCTTGGTATCATTCTGCTCAACTTGGCCACGGGCCGCAACCCTTGGAAGTCAGCGACAGCTGACGATCCAACTTTCCAGGCCTACCTCCGTGATCCCATCAACTTCCTTCCTAGTGTTTTGCCCATCTCCTCCGAGGTCAACGACATCCTCATGAGGATGCTCGAGGTTGACTGGCAACAGCGAATGACACTGCGTGAAGTTCGCTATGCCATTGAGGAGGTCACCAGCTTCTACTCTGACGGTGTTATCTTCGAAGGTAGCATGGCTCGCTGTCCATGGGAGTCAGGCATGGAAATCGACAGCGCTTCATCTGCGAATACCCAGGATGGTCCCTCCCCTCAGTCCTCCCCTCAGCCAACCGAGGCTCTACTCAACTCTCGCTGGAGCAAGGACTCCTCTTCCGACATTGTTTTCGCGAGCCAGGCCTCAGCGGAAGAGTCAAACTACGGCATCCCCTGGAACGACTATTCGTCTTGCAGTGCGACCTGGGCATTCGAGTCCCCCATCTCGTCAGATTCTGAGGAGGATCATTTCCGCATGGATTTGTTCGGTCGACCAGACACCCCTTCGTCCGCCTCAGACTCACCAGCGTCGTCGATGCCAGCGACTCCGAACAACTTCGATATGACCTTTATCGGACGCGAAGAAAAGCAAGATCCACGTGCAGCACTCACGATCGACACGAACCTTACACGCCCACGAATTTATGATGCCAATGCTAGCATGACTTCATTCTCTACGCAGTCATCTATGATGCATACTGCCATTGAATACGATCCTTACGCTTCTCTATTTTTTGTTTCCAGTCCAGTGTCGCCCAAAGGCCACTTCGTCCCTGACTCTGCCATCACTGCAGTCGCCGAAGACAAGGAGATGATCTCTCCATCTGTCTGGACCTCTTCGGGTACCGAGATGTCGTCCCCCTCCATTTATTCTAGCTCCTCGTCTGCAAGCTCCATTGACAAGGCGGACGATGATGTTTTCCCTCGTTCTTCAACACCTTCCCCGGAACCCAACTGGTTGGGATTCAGTACGCAGGTACGGTCCCCTCCGATACAACAATGTCAGCTTTCTTCATCCGTTTCTGCGTCAATGACCGACGTCCCTTCTCATTCAAGGCCCTCAATCCTCTCGTCCCGCAAACCCGGTCATGGGAAATCCAAAACGGCCAGCCGCTTCGGCCTCAAACTTTTCCCTCGCGCATCACCATCGCAGGCTTCACCAGCTTCACCAGCTACACCGCTTCCGCATGAACGTAGTGCCTTCAAATTTCGTACATCCTTTGCGAGCAGTAAAGCGCCTACTGCAGCATTTGAGTCGGCTGCCTGGAACGGGATATCAGCGCAGATGGCTACGACGCAACCTCAGCCAAACGACCAAAACTCCCCCTCCTCCTCTACCTCCTCCACGTCTGGTCGTCGAAACGGACCACTTCGGAACTGGCTTATTTCGGGAAGATTTTTCACATCCGCAGGCATTCCTTGATCGGGATGTTGTTTTGTAAACCTTCGTATTTATTGCATTTCTCATTCACAACTCCATAGCACCTAGCATTACATCGCATAGCATCGCATTACACACATGTATATCACCATCGCACTGGGTATTTTTGCAACCCGATCATTGGAGGCGCATTTTTTGGTATACCATACATACAGCAATTATATCTGTATCAAGAAAATTAAAAATTTGACGGTCCCAGTATTGAAGACGCATACGCAAATGGCATTGAAGAGGTCTACATCTACGTAGAGGATATTAATTGAGCTCGTCCGATTACAGTTCCTGGACAAGTATCTTGTTTCAAGTCCACGTATAGACGCAGCTGCCTCGCCATCCACCTTACGATCGGACGACTTGTAGCCTCCATCGCACGAGGTGGGCAGCTCCTTGAGTGTTTGTGAGACGATGCCTCGACGTTGATTGATCTTCATACGTCGGTACCGTTGCTTAGAGGTAGGAAATGCGGCGGCAGCCCGACTTTAAGTAAAGGGGATGCGAACAGGTATGCACATCCATGATCATGCTGCCTATACCCGTGGCGCAGGGTTGAAAGCTCGATAGCCTGGTTCCAAAAACCAGTTGAGGGGAAGCATGCATACAGATGATCGATCTGCCCATTCACGTGGTGCAGTATTCAAAGCTCGATGGTCTCTTTATGCTTGAACTTGCGACCAGCCCTGTCCGCAGAACGGAACCGGAACTGGTTTCCGTAAAGCTCAAACTCCATGTATGGGCCGTCTAAAACGGTCTTCATTGGGGCAGACCCACTGGCTACTGGAGGCAGTGGGAGTGGCATGTCCGGCTTGTGTGTCGCAGGTAGTGTTGAGTAGAGAGGTACAGCAAAGGTGAATATAGAGTTTTGTTTTGGGATGACTATAGCAAAAGTAAGGTGAGCTTGGTTCAGTAGATGACGCGGCAATCGTACGTTTGACTTTATCCTGACGTGTGACGACTTTAAACGCATTTTCAGTCTCGTGTATCACGATCCCAGAAATGCCAACCAGGCAAGGGTTCTTGGCTTTATGAACTACGATGGGAATGTCAGAAGGCCAAACGAGAAGATACAGAGAGACAAACCTGTCATAATGGAGCCATGAAAATCAGCTTTAAGAAGCTTGGGGTGCATGCCTGACGATCCCGGCATGGTTTGGGGGGAAGAAACAGAAGCAGAATATCGCGAGAGTCCCAGTAACTCCGACATGTATCCCATCCATAAATTATGCATGGGCACAAAAAGGGCGAATCTACAAGTATTCCATCAGCAAAAGATTCCACTTCAAACTTAATTTGGAAGAAAGTACTTCGCCTGAGACTCGTCGAATTTCCACACCCCCTTCTCCTTAGCCTCCCTCTTCCCAATAATTCCAAGACTTTTCGACTCTTTCTGTTTCTTCCTCCGAAGACGTTTCTCGTCCATCTCCTTCTTAGTTCTGCTCTCACGCGCGGGGTTGTCTAGGAGCATCTGACGGCCCCGCACGCGTGAAGCATACATGGCTGTGGGGTCCGACGAAAAGGATAGTTGGGACACAACATAAGATGGTGTGAACGGGGCATTGCTGCTGAATGTGACCTTGCGATTGTAAGGGGACACTGTGTAGGGATCCATGTTGACAGTTGTTTTTGTTCGAATAATGATATTTATTATTTTAGCTGTTATCACCACTACCCCTGTCTAATTTGCTTCACTCATCAAGCTCGCTCCTTCTGACGTTGGGGAAAACCTTCTTGACGTTGGCCTTCACCTTGGCGACAAACTAACAACGTTAAAATCAGCGTCTCAAACGAGTCAATTAAACTGGAGTAACCAACATTCTTGATCCTGTGCTTCTTCGCTGCGCTCTCTATTCTATTCATCGTTGCACTGGCCTTGTGCTGGATGGGGTGCTGCTGCATATAATGGTTGGCGGCAGCCTTATTTTTGGGATTCCGCCTGGGATCAGCCGTCAACTGCGCCTTCGCTTTGTTAGCTCCTGGATGAAGCACCGATAAGTTGTCTTTGTGATTTAGAGCAGCTTTTAGGTCTTTGTGGAAGGGTGAACTAGATGGGTTGACCTATAAATCAGTATTCTCACAACTTGACGGACTACGCACCCCTTCTTGATACCCATTTGATTCAAGACGGGTTTAATATGGGATCCAGGCTCGATGACATGTTCTGAAAGAAAAGTTCGCTGCTCGGACATGGACCTGACGTAAAAAGTGGACGTACCAGCATCTCCATTGGCGCCTTTCTTCCAGGCGACCTTGCTACCGCCGGCAGTCGGCATATAAGCACCATTGTTGTGGTTCAACGCAGTTTGGCGGTAATTTGATGTCTTTAGGTCTGACGCCTTCTACTTTGAACTCGAGGCGCGTCGCACAATGGGGACTGCAGCCCCGAAGACTTGATCGGATGAAAGAAAGATAAGAAGTGCGATAGTGGGCAAGATGGAAGTGAAAACAAAAAGACGCATAATGAACCGTGATGTTGGGATAAACGGACCGGCCGTTGGATGAAGGAGAGAACTGAGGAGGGCAGACCAGCTGATACATTTTCAAGGTGAGTATGGTCAAGCTTATATGTGTGTCTACCATCCCGGGCTAGCCGCTGACACATGTATCATCTTTTAGTGCGACACAGGTACGACATGATACTCATCATAGCCTGATCAGGGATTGCTCAAATAACGAGCCGCTGGACGGGCGCTAGAAACAAGGCTTATTCGGCCCTCAGTTCAAGTATCATGGTTGAGCATCGCTTTATCTAAAATTTGGACAAGCAAAATCTGGGATAGCCAAAAGGTGTCTTAAGTCAATGCGCAAATCTGGGCTCTCCTGCGGGAGAACAGCTTTTTGGGCCGGACAAGAGGGTCCAAGAGAGGATCGTTTTGGAAAGGGAGATTGTCAGGTCCAGGGATATCGCAATAATCATTATCGCATGTCTGCAGCGATTTGAACGTGCTCTATTATAGAATCAATCAAGATGTCCATTATGCTGTGAGTGCTATGTCATGGTATGCCATTTCCTGGAAACACGCAGCCGTAAACCTTGCTAACAGTTGTCACAGTATGACGATGCAGTTCGAATAGTATTATTTATCATTTAAACTCTCCGCTACACCGTCTAATTTGCTCGCCAAAGTAATCCTCATCAAGCTCGCTCCTTTTGACGTTGGGGAAAACCTTCCTGACGTTGGCTTTCACACGTCGGCAGTTAGGCCGCCTTGGGCACAGGTTTTTTAAGACCCTATTTGTGTTGAAAAAGAAATCGTAAAACAGCGAAAAACCACGTACCTGGAAGAAGGCAAACGTTTTTGGATCGGTGGGCGTTGTTTGTGTATGAGAGGTTAGCTTCTCGACGACAACATGTGAATGGCCATGGACGACCCCGTTATTATCCAGCTGTTGAGGAGCAGAAAAGTGATTTTGCTGTGCGTTGACAAAGTTACCCGTCGAGTGGCCCCTAACTGCCATGTTGATAGTGAAAGCTTTGTTTGCGGCCACTGTGCCACCGTTCTTTGGATTCGTTTGAAACAACGTTAAAATTAGCGTCTCAAAAGAGTCAGTTGAACTGGAATAACAAACACTGTTCTTCGCTGCCCACTTTGAACTTGGGGCGCGTCGCACAATGGGGACAGCAGCCCCGAAGGCTTGATCGGATGAGAGAAGGATGAGAAGTGCGATAGCAGGCAAGATGGAAGTGAAAGCAAAAAGACGCATATTGAACTGTGATGTTGGGAGAAACGGACCGGCCGTTGGATGAACGATAGAACTGAGGGGGGCAGACCAGCTGATACATTTTCAAGGTGAGTATAGTCAAGCTTATGTATGTGTCTGGTATGCGTTTACCGCTCCATATCGTCGCGCGCTAACCGTTGACACATGTATCATCTTTTAGGGCGAGTCTGTGAGACAGGTACGACATGATACTCATCATAGCTTGATCAGGGATTGCTCAGATGACGATCCACTAGACGGGCGCCAGAGACAAGGTTTATCGGCTCTGAGCAGTTCAAGTGAAGTCGATGCGCAAATCTGGGCTCTCCTGCAGGAGAACAGCTTTTTCGGCCGGACAAGAGGGTCCAAGAGAGGATCTTTTTGGAAAGAGAGATTGTCAGCAGGTTCATCGCAATACTTAATCATTGTCGCATGTCTGCACTGTTCGGATCTCGGATCGCTGCAGACTCTGCAGCAATCCGAACGTGCTACATTAAAGAATCAATCAATGTCCATTATGCTGTGAGTGCTAAGTATATCATGCTACTTATGCCATTTCCCGGAAACACGCAACCTTAAACCAATCGGGGATTCGAAATTTGCGAGTCGAAACCAAATCGGGGATGGGGAAATGTCCATATAGCGTAGTTCCAGTTGTCAGTGGCACAGTAACATTCGAAAGGACAATGCAGGCCTTAGGATGCGCATTGCGTAGTCGATTCTTGTGTAGAAATATAAGGCATATGGGAGCAAAGCCAACAGACTCACAGAACACGCCGAGAGGTTGCGAGAGAGATAATGGACTTCCCATAAGGTCTAGAAATGTAAATTAAACCAGTGTTTTCGCCATGCCCAACCAACTTCACTCTACGCCTCGCTGTACGAACAAGCATCCGGTTTTCAGGCAGGGAGACCATCTGTAACTGATTACTATGGTCCATCTTTCCATTAGCGTCCCGCAGTTCTGGCCATGGCCGCCAGGTGCACCGTGCCCTGCCACCATACAACCATCCCAAGTCCAAGGAAGCCATGACATACACCCCACACAATTTCCGGTGTAACTTTGAAGCTTGAATCAAGGGAAATCAGGATGAGAGAGTCACGAGGGAAACAAGAAATAGCTCACGATTCCATGAATGGACCAAATGAATGGGGGATGAAGCGGGGAGCTTGAAAGAGGACGGTGGAGGCTGCGCTGTGGTATACGCAGAGGCCAATTGCCAGGGCACGTTTACCCGGAAGGAATTCTAAGGTGGGTTACATTTTCAATATCCTGAAAGTGTAGTAAGGTGATTCCACGTACCTGGGAGCGAGAAACATAACAGGGATGTTATGCACGTCGCCAGTACGAGAGTGGCGTACAACTGTCAGTGCCAAACGGTTTGACGCCTTGAATAAGAAACAAAGATACAAGGAGTTACGACAATACCTTGAGGAGTACAATCGCAGTGTTGTTGAGCTGCAGGAAAGGTAAACTGGCAGGTGACCATATGCCTTGGATAGCGACCGGTATCTCCAGCGCAATGTGCAACAGAAATACAACTGAGCTGAAGAAGGGTTAATCGTCGCAACTTTTCGACTCAAATAGACTTACAGAGGACTACGGACGGCAGTCATGGTGGGGTGCTGAAGGGAAGACCAGGGAACGCTCCCTTTCTCACATGCCTATGAAGTCGTACCTAACTGTGTGCAATCATCACAGTCACCAAGCTTCGCCAACCTGCCGCGCTGCGAGGCACCAAGGCTCCACGCAATCGCAAGGCAGCAGCTGCAATGCGCTGGGCGTTGGATGGGCCAACCGAAGGCACAACGAAGGCGTGCAAATTATTTATTACATTGTAGTCTTTACCATGTTTGCAGGTAAAAAGATAGTTATACACCATAAAAGAAGGGGGCAGGCTCTGGTAAGCAATACATGTGGAAGGATCGAGGCGATGAGCCCAATTCAATGTGGTCGTGTGCCATCAAAGCTCAAAGGCATCGGAGAAGAAGCGCCTGAGGAAGAAAGACCCTAATCATCCCCATCGTCATCTTCATCATCCCCTACAACCGAACCAGAACCGCCCACTCTCATTTGTGCTTGGCCACTTTTCCCAATTTCGCAAGCATCCAGATCATTCTCCAAATCGCACATATCCTGTTCCAGTTGTCCATCCGCCTCGACACCAAGGCGTTCTCTCAACATCCTTACCTCCTTCCTCAGCTTCACAATCTCTACATCCCTCCGCTCGACGCGACCTTTCAACGCCCGAATGTAATCATTCCCGCAGATGAGAAGCTGGAGCTTGCTAACACCCTTATTCGGGCCCTCCCCGCCAGCTTTGGGTGGTCCTCTGGGAGGCAGGGCTCCAGGCAGAAGTGGGCGTGCGGGCACGGGGTTATTCGGGTCGTCCGTGGGCGAGGGGAGCTCCGGGAGTGATATAGGCGGGAGAAGCCCACGCAAGTCATCAAACGTGGTTTTGAGTGAGTCCCGGCGTTTTTGTTCGGCAGCTTTGTGCGAAGTTTTGCGGACCTGAAGCGGAGGTGTCCCTCCTGCTGTGGCAGGTGTGGTGGGTGACATTGGAGTATCTGTACACCCTGCTATCATAAAAGATAAGAGATAGAAAGGGGAGAGAGAAGGATAAGACGTACCGGGTAATATTGGTTTTAAGCTTGGGCTTATCAGTGCGGAAGCAGGACCTCGTCCACCTCCCCTTGATCCTTTCCCACCACGTTCACTAGTGGCCAACTTCAACTTCCCCATACCGGCTACGGCCGATCTACTCTGCCGGGTGGGCTGCACGCTGTTACCAGAAATAGTCGAAACTTGGGAGGCTTCATTATTGTTGCCGTTTCCCGCGTTGACATTGGTATTGAGCCCCAACCTTCCCAGGTTCATGATACTGGCTGGCGTCACAGGCATTAGCCTTGCTTCCACCCCCATTCCTTCAAAGCCCATCATGTCCCCTCCACCCCCTCCTCCACCGCCCATCTCCATCATCATCATCCCACCCACCTCCATCATGTCCATGTTGCTGTTATTTCCGCCTTCAGGGTGATCTGAACTGGGAGGCGGAGCGGGGGGTGGCATTGATAGATCCACAGGTGATGGCGTATCACCTACCACCTCCCCAGCCATGCCCGTCCCAATTGTGCTTCCACGCCTCGAGCGCGAACCCCTTAGCAAAGGTGTAGAAGTCGTGGATTTCGAGGTTCGATAAGAAGACCTCTTATTGGTGGGTGAAACCGAAGCGCCACCCGAATTGGAACCAGCAGAGAGAGGTCCTGCGCCAGCTAACGTCGGCCTTATCGCAGGTGATTGCTTTTTGCGCGAGGGTCGGGAGGACGACTCATCACCACTTGAAGAAGCGGTACGTTTATTTGAGTTTGTCGTTGCAAAGCCTTGAAGTTGCTGCTGTTGCTGATGCGGTTGTTGAGAATGGTGTTGATGCGCACCAAGCCATGGGCTAGTAAGCGGCGATATATCTAAATCAACATCCTTGGGACTCCGGCGTCTGAACGCAATATGTTCGGGAGCAGAGTTAGTGCCGGGCTGATGGTAGAATTGGGGTTGGTGTTGGTGATGTTGTACCTGGTGTTGGTTGTGGGCGTGCATGTCATATTGTCCGCTCAGTCCGCCTGGCATGGGAGAATACGATCCATCAGAGGGGGTATGGTGCCCATAGTTGTTGTTATTTGAATTTTGTGGAGGAAACTGTGGAGATGGAGAAGGGTGATGGGACGAAGATGCAGACTGGGGTTCCGTCATTGAATAACCAATGTTGATGGGAGAAAAATCCATGGAGGTCTGGAGGGGGCGCAATTCAGTCGAGGGTCCTAAGAAAAGAATTGGAGTCCTATTCGAGATAAGAAAGGCAGAGGAATGTACCAGGTGTGGGTAATCCAAAGGAGGACGGTTGTTGTTGTTGCTGCTGCTGATCCCCTGCACCTACGGCCAACGGTGACATGGGTAGTGAGGGTGGGGATTGACCACTGATTAACGCAAACTACGAAAGAATGGTTAGTCCATGTTGTCAGGGAAATTAATTCTCATCTCGCAAATGATGTCCGAGACGGGTAATCCATAATGCGAGATCGAAAAGACGTAACGACTTTCGTTAACAGATAGAATAGAAGGTGGGGTCTCACCTGATGCTGCAGGATTGTATTCTGGAGCTGTTGAAGCTGCTGAAGCTGGGTAAGTTTGAATTGATGCTCAAGAACAAGTTGTTGAGCATTTTGTTGGTTGGGAGGTTGATAGACTCCTTGCTGCTGTTGCTGCTGCTGCTGATGGGGTGGAAGGGTAGAGTTATTCACATCCCCCAGACCTTGCATCTGCATCAAGAGCATGCTCATCGCGAGTTGACTATTGGCACTCTGAGGTGAGCTTGGGGCGAAACCATTGTAGACGGGGGAAGCCGGGATGGGAATGGTTCCAGAGTATTGTTGCTGCTGCTGTTCAGGAAAGAAGGAGGAAAAGATATCCTTTTGCTGCTGGTCGGGATCCATAGCAGCGAGCAAGGTGATGGACGTTGGTGGGAAGCAAAAGAGGGCGGCAAGTCACGCAAAAGTCACATCGGTCCGATGTAATCAGTGGATGATTATTGGACGATCGAAAAAAGTAAATGGTCTTGAAGCGCTCGGCGTCGCGTTGGTAGCTGTAAATAATCACAGATAATCAGACTGAATACTGCCTATTCATTGGTTTGATATTCCTCAAGAGTTGTTCAAGTTCCATGTGCTCCATGCCAAGGAAGAAATATCAATGTTTGGCGCCGCACCCCAGGTTGTTCTCCAATTCAACTCCAATCATTATTGTATCTTTTCTTGTATTTTATTCCCCACTGTCCTTTCAGTATACCCATGCAGCGGGTCTGGTCAACTTATCTTGATTCGTCAGGCCACAGGCGAGAGCGTTCCAGTGACCCCAATTTGGTGAGGCCAAACACCCATCACGACAATTTCTTTTCACCCATCCTCCACCACACTCATTATTCGCTTTCCTAGATGGAGAACAATTCTCCGTATGTCTCTTCTAACCGTCATCCCAGCTTCTACTCACCCCCTTAGCAGTCGTTCCTCAAGCCGGCTGTCTATTGCCGCCTCAGCATACTCTGCAGCTGGCTCCACACGTCATATACTCGGTGGCCATAACAATGTCAGCTCTGGCGACTACGATCCTCCAAGTTCCCCTCCTGGCATCAATGACTCTCGTGACACTTTGAGTCATTACCGTGGGCCTACAGGCACCACCGCTACCGGTGTCTCACTGATGGTGAACTACCTCCCCTCCAAGTTCTCCGCGTCCCTTGTCTCTCGTAAGGGTGACAAGGGCGTAGAACCCCATCTGCCCAAGAATGGGGGTGGTGTTGAGGCTTTCCGCAGCGGAGAGTCGCGTATGAGTGGCAGGCGTCTCCGCTGGACCAAATTCAAATGGATTCTTTTTTGCACGAACTTTTGTGTACGTCTCTCATCCCTAGCCATATCCCGACATTCATGATACTTTGATAAAGCTGTCATTATACTCCCTTGTCTCCCTCGTCATCTGCCTTTTAACATGGTTCGATGTCTGGGCCCACGCAGATGTTGTTCGTGTTGGCAATCGCCCTGAGCTCATCATATCCACCATTGCGGCTTCCATCGGCATCTTCACTTCCCTCATGGGCTGGGCTGGCATCCTCATGAACAACCGCGGCTTTCTCGCCATGTACACCTTTCTTACCTGGATTACCTTTGCCTTCCTTGTCACTCCAGGTTATATGACCTACCGCCACCGCACATTCAATCTTGAGGGCAAGATTAATGCAGAATGGTCTCGTAAACTTGGAGCATCTGGCAGACTGAGGATACAGGACCAGTTGGAGTGCTGTGGATATTTTAGTCCATTCATTGAAGCCACTGTTAGCTCGACATGTTACGCCCGGGCTCTCCTGCCTGGATGTAAGCTTCCTTACTTGACGTTTCAAAGGCTCGTGCTTGGCAGGTGGTATAAGGCTGCGTTCTCCTTGGTCCCGCTGCACATCGTAGTGATGATCGCGGGCTTGCTGTGTTCCAACCATGTCACGTATCGCTTTGGAAAGGGCATGATGCCAGAGGCGTATCGTCTCAATGCGAGCAGCATGGCAGTGATAATGGAAAACTATGCAAGGTACGTACCTTTTTTCACGCTAGTCCCCTCTAAGCAGTATACTGACATATGGCTCAGCCAATTGGCAGAACAGTACGGGTCTGAGGTCGCAGACGAAGTTTACAAACTATCACGGTCAAACCTCAGTCTCGTCGGGGACATGCCCTCGACTCCGATTAATACCGCGCGAAGGCCCGCCCAAGCCCCGTACCATGCCAAGTACGAGTCTCTAGGAGGTGGCCATTAAATGAAGATACCCGAAAGACAATGTACAATCTGAATACCCTTCCCGGATAACCTCAAGCCCTCCTCCGCTAGACGACGGATAATTCGTCAGTCGATAGCACTTCTTCCCCATCGTGCTCAATCTGGCCACCCCTCCATTGTGGATTTGGATCATTTTTCTATAGTCATCTACTTCATTGGTCGATATTGACCTTACTCACTTGCATTATTTACGTATACCGATCAACACTCACTCAGTCCTGTGTCCACGCTGCACGCACACATACCATACAATCAACCCTCGCATCATCAAATTTCATTCGTTTGCAGTCACTCTTTAAACTTGGTGTGGATCGTGTGTATTACCCTTACGATTTCCTGTCTACCTGTTATTTGCAGGTTGTGGAATGCATATATCTACACGCACATAAGTATAAATCGATATCTACATTGCTTTATATAACTCCCGTCCTTACGCGCAGGAGACATACTAGTGCCAACGGCCAAGCGTTACGTTGAATATGTGCCTATGGCAGCTGAGGCTGGCAAGGTATGTTTGAGGCGAAGTCGAATGCAAATCTAAAAATAGATTATCTTGACGCCTAGAACCCGTGACCGTGAATCAAGCTGTAATTTAAGTTCACTCGACGCGCCCACACCATTGAACGCGCGTTAATTAGGCATTAGACGCTCACTTGATTCGTGACTAAACGCATGTAGATTTCATTACACCACTGCGAGCGCTAGCTCATTGAATTGGGTGCTCTTCAAGTGCTCTTCTGAATTTGATGACTACTAGTCCACTCAATCGGCACATACTCAACCTTGACGGCCCAGTAGTAGTAGACGCCGTCGAGTTGTTTTATCTACCCCCATGGATAGTGATATTTTTGTATTCAGTTGGATTCAAAAATGTTGTTGAACAGCCCAGCTTATTTTCGAGTTGTTGATGTCTGTTTACCAACAGCCTTCCACAGCACTGATACTTCTCCCTTGTCTGTCTTTCTTATAGTCTTCCAACTCAAACGCCCTCTAGCTCCCTTCTCTCAATGCAAACAATACCACAGAACAGACTCTCTCAGCCATATGCGCGTTCCAACAACTTCCACGGACCCAAGCGACAACTCTTAGGAAACCAAGCAGGCCACGCGCCTCCCTCATGGCGAACAAACGGGCCCGTGCCTGTGCCACAGGGTGGAAAGGGCAGAGGGGCTCCAGCAGATAGTGGGAGCAAGATATTTTTGAGCAGGCTGCCCGTTGACGTCGCTGAGAAAGATGTGGAAGTAAGCACGACAATTGTGTTCAGACGACTTATCTTTTCAACGTACCGACTTTCTTTATGATGTAGGAACTGTTCAGGAAGACAGTTGGGCCATTGAAAGAGTCGTTCTTGATCTACAACTCGCAGGGGCGATCAAAGGGCATGGCAGTAGTTACGTTTCAGCGCCCTGGCGATGCAGCTCTTGCTAGGGAAAAGTATGACGGGAAGATTGTCGATGGACGTGAGTCTCGTTCTTTGAGTTCTGAATCTCATCAGATTTTGGGTTCATTTTGGGTTCTTCATTGTGATTTATTGGGGGCATTGGTCTCACGTTTTCTGACTTTTGCATAATTAGGACGGAACATCAAGATTGAAGTCATCGTCGACGGGGTGCCACATAATATGGGCGCTCCGCGAGGTCCCCCGCCCCTACCGACTCTACTGACTAGACTGGGTGGGGCGCCAGCAGCGGCGTCAACATTATTGGTAGCCACTCCTATGGCTGGTCCAAGCACGGTCACACCTCGAGCGTATGTCTCCCTCCCATCTGGGCTTACTTGTACACTAGCTCACGATTCACTCGACAACAGCGGCCCAGTTTCCAGGTTACCCCAACACTCTATGAAAGCACGCATAGCTCCCGTCGTAGCCGCTGCCGTTCCTCCACGTCGAATCCGGCAGAAGAAGGGCCCCAAGCGATTGAAGAAGAGGGCCCCGATGACGGTCGATGACCTCGATAAAGATATGGAAGACTATCGTGCTTCTGCGCCGGATGTTGGTATGGGTATTGCTTGACTGTAATTTTCTTGCCCGCCACCTCTTTCTACGTCACCTTTCGTTTCAACTTTCGTTACTTACGCGTCTCGCTTGAAGGTGAAGTTGTGTATCTCGTCATGCTTCTCAATGTTATGCAAGTGGCTCATGAGCTTCAAATCTGCTTTCACTGGCATTCCACAAATCACAAAATCTAATTATCGAACTTGAGTTTCGTTTCTGAACTCCTTTGCTTTCCCTACAGACGATCAACATTTCCAAGATCCTGGCATGCCACCTTGACCCGTTCTGCGAGGGTCTTCTCGCCCTCACGAACCCAGACTCGAGGGTCGTAGAACTGAAACATGAATCATTCTCGGTGATTTGACGGTAAACAGAACTGGCAATACCTTTTTGTTAGGTTTATCGTCTCCTTCGGGATTACCAACCTGAGTCTGGAGATAGGCCTGCTTCTTGAGCACGAAGTCCTGGGGAAACCGAACACCTTAGTGAAACCTCGAGTGATAAGGAAAACGAAACGAACCCGGATGCCGACGAGGTACGCGAACTGAGTATCGGTATCGACATTCATTTTCACAACACCATTAGATACGGCAGTCGCAATTTCCTCTTTCGAAGATCCGGATCCACCGTGGAACACAAGGTAGCTGGAGCACAGAAAATCAGCCTCGCCACTACCAAAACAAAAACAAAAAACAAACAGAGGTTTCTTGGATCCTGGAACTTTCCCCGCCACATACTCCTGATGTTTGCCTAGGAGGTCTGGCAGGAGTTTAACGTTCCCGGGCTTGTAGACGCCGTGTACATTTCCAAACGCCGCCGCGATGCTGAAATTGGGTCCAATCTTGCTCAAGGTCGTATATACGTCGTACACATCTTCAGGCTGGGTATACAAGCTCGCGTTGTCCGCTCCAGTGTTGTCGACGCCGTCCTCTTCCCCACCCGTAATTCCGATCTCCATCTCGAGCCAGAGACCGATAGGTGCCATGCGCTTGTAATACTTTGCACAGATCTCAATGTTCTTTTCTTTGGGATCCTCGGAGAGGTCAAGCATGTGCGAAGAGAAAAGAGGCTCGTTGTGTTGCTTGAAGTAGGCTTCGTCCGCCTCGAGCATGCCATCAAACCAAGGAAGGAGTTTTTCGGCACAGTGGTCGCTGTGCATAATGACGGGCCTAGAAAAACGTGAAATTTTATCAAGTTGTGAACAGCAATTGGTGCGCACACGCCATAGATTTTGGACATGAGCCTGACATGGTGTGCGGCACTGACGGCGCCAATGATGGATGCCTGTTGTTTATCGTTCGGGAGTCCCTTGCCTGCAAAATAGGCTGCCCCGCCTTGGGAGACTTGAATGATGATAGGGGACTTGATGTCTCTGAAGACTACATCAGACCAAGACGGGGACCGGACTCAGGTTGAAAGACAGAACCTTGCGGCCTCGAGTACAGCGTTCGCTACTGAAGACGAAGTTACGTTCTATACGCGATTAAACACACTCTCGAAGAGGAGGAGGAGGGTTATACACTCACGATTGCCTGGCCAACATTGATTATGGTTGTTCGATGAACAGTGGGCAGTTTCCTTCAATGAAACACTTACAGGAATTGCGAACTAGAGTACGAATAGTGAATTTTCTTTCTTCGGGAGCAGTCAGGAAGACCTTACCTGGTGTTCCTTAGCATAATCGAATAATTTACGAACATTGTCGCCAGTCAGAACGCCAGTCTAGATTCGGGGATTGATTTTGAGTTGGGCTGGCTTTAGGAGGTCTAGAGGACGGTAACTCACAGGAACGACATCGAGAACACCCATAATTACTGTGATGATGGTGGATAAAGAGATGGAAAGGATTGGCCTCCGATTGAGAGAAATCCGAGTGGCGCTGACAAGTGACAAGCTCTTATCTTATCTCGGCACTTTGCGGTGCTACCCCGTCCTTAATAGCCTGTCAACTTTATCAAGTCCCTCTTTAGAGCCTCTTGATACATGGTTGCGCCGCTATATACAACCGCCTCAGGGCTCCTCTTCCATGCTGGAAAGATCCTAGTCGTCACAATCGGCCTTCCAGCTCGAGGAAAGACCCATATCTCTCGTGCTTTAGAACGATACCTGCGATGGATGGGTGTCAAGACGCAAGTCATATCTCTGGGAGACTACAGACGCAAGACATTGGGAGGCGCACAGAAGTTGCCCCCTGACTATTTTACTCTGGGTGCGAACCAATACCACTACCCGTGGTAAATCAATCACTGATCTTCGGCTGGGCGCGAGTAGGCGAGAAGAGTCCAGAAACGATGGCTTTGCGCAAGAAGATCTCGGATGGGTGTGAGAAGCTGATCTGGGATTATTTTGAGGCTGGAGGCCAGGTTGTTATCTACGATGCAAACAACGGGACCAAGGCTGCGCGGCAGGCATTGGCTGAGAAGTTTGACAAAAGTGGCATTCATGTAGTGATGCTAGGTTTAGTGGCTTCCCGTCTTGCTCAGAGAATGGCACTCATATTCCGATAGAGTCGTTATGCGATAACAAAGAAATTATCGAGGCTAACATCCGTGGCGTCAAGATCTCCTCGCCAGATGTCTGTGACCCACTTGATCTTAACAAATAGAGGTCTAATCATCTCCCCTTTTTATCAAGTACCGTGGATGGGATCCAGACAAGGCTGTCGAAGATTACTACCACAGAATTCGCGATCACGAAAATTATTACGAAACCTTGGAAGAAACAACATGGCCGTTCATCCGTATCATTAACGTTGGCATTTCTTTCTCTGGACATCTTGATGATAACCTCTATAATTTTTATAGGTCGGAGAGAAGATTATTTTAAATGTCAGCTCAATCCTGTTCCTCTTCAAATCGATCGCTCTGACGACACTCTTAGAACATCCAAGGCTATCTTCAAGTAAACATTAAATCATCTATATCACCCCAGTCTAACGTTGAATCAGTCGCGAATTGTCTTCTTCTTGATGAATATTCACAATAAATTCCGCACAATATATTTTGCTCGGGTAAGTTGTCTTAGACGACCGCAATATACTCTGGAGTCTCAATTTAACCGAACTTCTATAGTCTGGACAATCCCTCATCGAGCATTCCTACAAGGCTGACTCTGATCTCTCTCCCGCCGGTTGGGAATACGCAGAGAAGCTGAAAGAGTATGTTCTTGAGCGCCGAGCGAAGAGCCTGGAGCAAAAGGGCATCGACCCCAAAGAAAGGAAGCTGGTGGTATGAGCTCCCTTACCATATCTTTCCAAATGGTTACATTATTATATTATTAGATTTGGACATCGACCCGCCGTCGCGCCCATCACACTGCTTGGCCATTCTTCGTCTCCGCCGCACAGATCCCACGACAACCCGAAGCTGAAATTACGGCTAATTCCAATTCTCCTTCCTCCTATGCTGTCCCCTCAAAATCCCCGCCATGGCCTAGTACTTCCCTTCCCCTCTCTCCTTCATCTTCCAGCATCAAGTCGACATCCAGTAACAAGTCGGCGAGATCGTCGAAGGGATCAAAGGGGCCTCCACCCCTACCTTCCAAAATCAAAGTCGTCGAAAAACCGCAGATGCTGGAGATCAACCCCGGGATTTGGGACGGACTGAACCCAGACCAGGCGAAGAAGTATTACCCAGAGGACTGGGATCGATTTTCGAAGGATCCATACTCCTTCCGAGCTCCAAGAGCCGAGAGCTATCATGATCTAAGTGGTAAGTACTCTCCATCAACACATCTCATGTTTCTTAAGCCCTGATATCCGCCCTTATTCCAGTCCGTCTTGAACCAATTCTGATTGAACTGGAGCGCGAGCAAGAGGATCTCCTCATCATTGGACACGCCTCCGTCATCCGCTGCCTGCTCGCCTACCTCATCGGCCTCCCCGCCTCCGAAATTCCCGCCATCGAAATTGCGCGTGGAGACCTGCTTGAGGTTGTCCCGGCTTCTTATGGCGTACACTCCCATGCCTTCCATTTCTGGGATGGCCCAGGACGAAGTAGAGATGGCGTGGCCGATGAAGGGGATGTGGGGGGTGGTGTTAAGGACGCGAATAACTTTTATGAGAATTACGCGGAGGATACCAAGGGAAAGAGAAAGGTTGCAACGGAAGAATATGCTGCTGTAGTCGCAGAGGCAGCTAGGGTTGCGGAGGTGGTGAACGCCCCAGGCCATTAGGCAGAGGCAGTACCTACATGACATGTTGTCTCAAAGTTTCACCACCAGGCTGTTGTAACATAGTTAATTGGCAATAACACCATGAATCGCTCGAGCCGACTCTTAACTCCTACAGACTTCTCTGCCTTGCCCTCAGGATCGAGATTAAAAGGCGTATGAGCTCAGCTTGAAAAAATCTTGCTCATTATTCCTGCTGTCGTCCAAAGCAGGATAGCCTGAGCATCCGATCCGTTCACCAACCACCCATCTCCATATGTTCTCCCGTATTGTGGTTGAGATGTCTTCTGTCTCAATTCTTATCAGTAAAGGCACGAACGAAAATCAGAGAATTTAAGCGAACCATGGACAACTCTAACATTTGTAGCCACAGGTCATAAGTAATCTTTCCTGCCTTGTTGGTATATTGTCGATTGTGCCCGAGCGAGTGACGCCAGTGAAATTCACAAGACGAGGTCAAACCCATAGATGTGTCGAAGGACAACCGTTCTTGATGGCGCAAGGCCAATGCACCAGAGAAGAATGGAGTTTAAGAATCGTTGGGGCTTCCAGGCTCACTCCGAGTAAGGGGCAGTGGACTCTGAGGGCGTACTTTCCCGAGATAGTTGGAGAGGATGAACGCATCTACCAAGAAAGCGAGTGAAAAGCGTCTTGAAAGCCGTATTTGCTCAAGCCCGCCTCGTAGTAATATCTTGGTCAGTTGTATATGGGGGATATGGAGAGGTATTTGCGGTGAAAACACTGAAAGACGGTGTCGAAGTACGCAGTAGACTTTGTTCGAGGCAGTCCCTTGACGCAAATTTTGGTGGTAGGAAGATAATTATCGGGCAGATGGGGAAGATATGTCGTACACGTTGGGTTTCAAAAGGGGATGATTGGGGTTCTGAGAGAGGGCGGAAAAGGGGACTCTTGAAAGAAGATGAACCAGAGAGGCGCTGAGAGAAAGGCGTGAGTTCATAGTGGAGCCTATCTATCCCTTGCGCTTTTCGCTATAAAGAACGCGATTCACCATCGCAATTGGAATATCGTACAACTCAGACGCTGAACCCAAGTACGGGTTGTGACCGGGACGCGTCGGGAGGCTAGCGCGTGTGTCTGTAACGAGTCGACTCAGTTTCACCCTACAAAAAGCTCGACGACGCACCTGCAATGGCGCTCATGTCGTCGAAAGATGGTTGCGAAGCAATAGCCATCGAGGAATATATGACGTATGTGAGAACGACAATGACTATTGACCATGAAGGGACTAGGAGTGCCCATTCTCTATGATTCTGGTCAGACTTGGGGGTCGATAGCGCAGCATACGACTCACCGACTTGGGTACCAATAGACACCCAGGAATGTAATATACTCGTCTGGCAACAAAGCCCATAAAACGTAAATGACGAAAAGCAAGTAAGTAGAAGTCCATGCGACAAAGCCGTAGAATTCTGAAGCACGACTGCGTTCAGACGGCGAAGATGTCTTTTCGTCCATGAGTGTTGTTGAAGAATTTGTTCGGAGTTTGCTCTGCGACAACCTGCCACTTTACCGGAAATTCACATTGTAAACTGAACTTCTGGGTATCTGGTATGAATTGGGTATCTCAGGGAGTGACAAATGTCTACGAAAGGTGTATCAAAGAATCATGTTCTAGGCCACAGCACAAATATAATCAGTCAAGCAGGAAAGTTTTCATCGCTATAGCCTGTAAAGAACGCCTCCTCTGCAAAAGCCGGATAACGACCTACCGCAAAACCTTGGTTTCGCTGAAGGGAATCTGCGCTCCACCTGCGAAACGAACAAGGTGAGCCTGACCACACTTTACAACCACAGATTGCGACTTTCCTGGAGTTAGTCAAGCATGGCCGAGAGCTATTGTGATCGCGAAGCACAGAGAAGGACGGGGGTGACGCGGGTGAAGAGAAAAGAGATTCGTGCATGAGCCCAAAGCGTGAGAAGCCACAGGTTTTCTGATTGTCATGTTGAAACGAAGAAGCAGTGGGTCCCAGCAAGAAATGAGCGTGAGTCCGGGGATTGGAATGCAAGTAAGCAGCTGGATCCTTTGCACTTGGAATGAAATCACAAGACGGATCGCAGTTTACGACCGTCGCGGAAGTCTGAACGAAACGGACTTCAAGTTGATTGATACCGTAACGTTGTCCGTGGAGGGCCTCTTTCGCTTCCTGGGCAATCGTAGACGTTGTATATCGGACAATCACAGACATCGTTCCTGAGGGCAGAATATGGACGATTTCAAGCTTCTCAATAGGACCGAAGGGGTAAAAGAGCGGATGAAGGTCTTGAATTTGGGAGAAGAGCAAGGTCGGCAGGTTGATAACCAGCAGAGAAGACGTCGGCATAGAAGTAGTCTTCAATGTTGCAGGATCCGGTTCGTTGGAGCCACTCGACGAGTCAGAGTAGTCGGACGAGGGAAAGCTTCGCCTGTCATGATGACTGGCACCTGAAGGATGGACATGAGACCGAGCATCTAGTAACATCGCGCGATCTCCACCATCGAGAAAGCCTGTGCCGTAGATAGTTAGTTTCAAAGTGGACTTATGCGGTTGGAGATAACCTTGAGAACGCTGAACAACCGCCCACGATACGTCAATAGTGTGACCTCTGTAACTCAATCTTTCACTCTTGAACGAACAGATGAAATATTTGGGTCTTACTTGAGCTGCGTGCGGGTCAGGGCAATTAAAGCTTGCTTTGCTTCAGCATGAGTCGACATCACGACGAAGCCCCGGCGTCTCGACGAGTTATCGACCGTCGCTAGGATCACGCAATGTGAAACGGTGCCAAATCGAGAAAAGAGCGAGGCCAATTCGTTCCTTTCAAATGGCATAGTCAGGGAAAGCAACCAGAGAACACTTTTGATCCCACTTTGTCAAGGCGAACGGAAGACCAAGCACATAGAGGTTTCTGCGGTCGTCTGAGTTTTGTTTTGTATCGGCTAAAGAGGCTGCATTGACCGGCGTTACAGAGCTAAATAAAAAGTGAAATGTATGAGAGTGAATGGATCGAGTGACAAAGAAAAAGTGAAGCGCATATATGCGCAATTGAAGAAACGCTCACAGTGCGGCACCAGCAACGGTGTACCCGTTCATACACAACGCCTTCCTAAAAAAAGACTCGTCAGTTATAGAGTCTAGGGCAACAACAAAGAGGACACACGTTGCTGCATCGCGATTGCAGAAAGTGATTTCCAGAGTCCCAGAATCACCAATATCGTGATAACTACAAATTTCGCCTATGGTTAAGATTAATTGGAGAAGCAGTCGACTCCGAAAGAAGAATCCCTTACCAGCAAGCGTGCTAAAGAGGGCTGCAACTTCGCGATTATGAACTATGGATGGGGTCGTGTCCATTGTTTGACTCGCCAGCTTTATGCGAAGACTTTAAATACCTTGAGGGGGTATCTTATTAACCCTGACCGAATTCGTGGGTCGACTGAAATCAAAATATCTGTCGGAGGGAGTGGGCGACGTTAGACCCAGAAGAGTCGGCATTCTCGGTTTTTGCATGACGCGGCGTGTTACGAGGGATCGCTGATGGGCAAAGCAAGAAATAGTGTATTCTAATGTGTGAAGCAAGAAAGGGAACGAGATGTGAGAAGTAGAAAGCAAAGAGCACCGTCGGCAATATCCGACATAACTTCCAACTTTTATTTCAAGAGCGCGTCGAGATCACGTGAGTGACCACAGTATGTCTTCCCGTCGATCTCTATTATCTCTGGGATATTCTCGAACCATTTTATCGGCCTTGACTCGATCAGGATACGAAACTGTACAAGATATCTCCACATCGACTCCAGATGGGCTCGCTCGAGGCGTGTGTTGCTAGACTCGAAAAGCACGCCAATTAACGGGTTGGGTTTATGCAGACCTCAATATCTCCTTGGATGTTGCCAACGAAATTTACGCCCTTTCACAAAAGCCTTTATCACCAACTGCCGCGCTTCCGGTGACTCAATCAGCCTCAGTGATGGCCCAGCAAACTCAAAAAGTTCCAACTGGTATCGCAGCTCTTGACAAAATCCTTCAAGGTGGGGTATCTCGGGGTCACATTCTCGAAATATCCGGACCACCTGGAAGTCCAAAGGAGCTTGTCGCGATGAAGATTGTATCCTCATTTGTCAACGCTCGAGAGGAAGTCCTTTTTGTTGGTGCGTGGTCCTCCTTCCTCTCAAACAATTCGTCATCAATGCCATCTACGCACAGATTGTCAAAACATGGCAAACCCAGGTCATTTGCGCGGAGTCGTTGAACGTTTGTGGTGTACCTCTCTTTTCGATCTTGACCTAATCAATGTCCAGGTCTTGCGAAAGATTGTCCAAATGCCGCCCAACTCGTGTATCACACGAGCGTGCACACCCTGCCTGGGTTGATGCTTTTTGCTCATCGACTGCTCCGGATGCTTGATTCATACCCAAAGGTCAGGCGCTTCTTCATACAGTGCACAACCCATCACTTTCGAATCAGGTCACCCTCCTTGTTTTGAACTCAATATCCTTTCCATTTCAATTCCCCAATTTGAGCATATCCCACAAGAATGAGCTCCTGGATAAACTCAAGCGAGTCCTCTCAAAGGTTTTAGCATTCAAAAATTTAGCGGTGCACGGTTTAGTTTGTAACCTCAGAGAAACCACCTTCTTACACGTCATAGATTGTGTCAACGTCGCAGCTTTCGACAAAGCTGCTGAAGGCGGACGGCTCAGCAGGCACATTCGATACTGGAACAAGGGGAATTTTGCTTCCGCAACTTGGTAAAAGCTTGTCCTTGATGATTCTCCTTTGGTTGACTCATTTCTGCTTCGTAAGGGTCAAACTATCTACCTACGGGAAGGGCCCATCAAGTTATCATCTCTCCTGATGGACCACTGTCTGGGCGAGTTGAAGTTCTGTTAGCATTTGTCGCTGTCTCTCATTTTGATTGGTAGTTTCTTCAAGCTTTTACCAAGTTCGGGGTCCAGCGAACTTGAACCATATGCTCTATGCTCAGAAACGGCCTAAATCAATGCGCTTCAAATATTACGCGGGTATCGTGTGTCAGCCAGGACAATGTCTTGACCCTTGCGCCACCGAATATTCCTCACACTTCGAGACTTGCACAGGCCAAGAAGATTGAGACGAAAAAGGGTCGACGCAGGTGATCAATAAATCACTCGAAGGGACTTGGAGGGGACGGTCGCTTGTCATGGGAGGCACCTCAAGCACGACACAAAGATTTTAGAAAGGTATTGCCTTTGCAAACTTATTATAAATTTATACTCCCTGTTCGTCAATATTTCGTCCGGTGCTATCAACATCCAATTTCCAATCATCTTCCGCCATGTAGCTTGTCACGGAAGGCACCTGAAGCACGACAATCGCCTTCGCGCAAAACTTCTTGTAAAGTTATACCTCCCTGTTCGTCAATATTTCGTCCGGTGCTATCACCATATCCAATCTCCAATCATGTTCCGCCATTGGTATCTCGCCGCTGTTTAAAACTTGTTCCCGAAGGGCGAGACCAACTTGATACCCTTGTCAGCATAACGAAAAGAGGAATAGAATGTAAGGACACCGACTAAGCAGCGGTCGGCGGCGTCCATTGGACGTGTACGACGTTATGAATCTGTCATAATAGCCCTTTCCGTGCCCAAGGCGTGAAAGGGAACGATCAAACGCAACGCCTAACACCAGAAAGGTGAATCCAGGATCAGGCGAGCAGGGTAAGGTTAACCTGGAAGCAATATGACATCAAGTAGCTCAGAGTCCGAGTTCAAAGCTTAATTTGTCAGATAGAAAGGAAGACGTTAATCCGACGTCGACGTCTTTAACGTGGACTAACCGTTTATTCTGGGCTTCCCTTCCCATAATAAACCTGGCTCCTTGATCCCCCAGGTACCACTGGGTAAAGATGCAAGATCGTCCGCGCCAAATATCTCAAAAAAATCCATATATCCATCTTTTGAATGGATTTTTGGAGCAAAAAACGTTTCTGATCAACAGGATGGAGGTGGGTACTTCTTGGCGATGAAAGGATGTAACATTACTATCTTGGCTAATGATCTCTGAAACGAGGTGTGGTGTCGCGACCTCTCCTGATGGCATGCTTAGATAGCAACTGATCGTTTTGCATTGCAAAAAGGCTGGCAATGACAGGACTCTGGCCGTAATTGAACGCGCTGCAAGGATCGATTATTGTGAAGTTGTTGCAGAAGGTGAAGGAAGACAAACATTGCTCATCAATTTCGGATTGAGGCAAAAGACTGAGGGTTGTGGAAATGGCTTTACGGAGAGCCTTCTTTTGAGCTTTTATCGCCTGAAGAGTTGTCATTGATCAACGTTGTTGCGTGGGAGGTTTGCAGTGCAGGTCCATGATCGTAAGCGCATAAGTATTGCTGTTTGGTGCATAACTTCTGTGCTGTAACTGGGGAGGCCTGTAGCAAACCGGGCTCGTCCTTTAAAGCGCGTTGATCAAGGTTCAGCGCCCCCCCTTTTCCCTCTGGTTTCGTATTAAAATACGCCTTTTTCAGCCAGGTTTTCTACTCTATGGTCAGCAGGTACTCCGACGAAGCCGAGCCGAGTTGCTCTACCACTTTGGCACAATCTTTTTCAACCTAAACGGAACCCAGAATGGCGTCAAGCGAGCACGGGTTATCGATCATGTCGTATGAATTAAATCGCATGGACTCTGCCACTCAACTTTCGTCGAACACGCCCAGTGATCAACCAAACATGTCTAGCTCGCACGGACACCGGAATTATGATGAGAGAATGGGCTATTTCGAAAGCGGCTGTCCTGGGGATGGTCGCTTTGGTAGAATCGGCGAGATGATACACGTGCCTGCTCCTGGCTTGAACGAGATAGAGAATCCTGGTCGATCTGGAAGATATCCAGAGTCCTCGCAGCGGACGTGTTTACAAGAAGATCGCTCTGGAAACCCGATGCCCGTTGGTGGCATCTACTACAATGAGGCAGGAGACGTCCATGGGCAGGTTCTCATTGCTAGTCCCTCAGACCACATGCATTTGACTGATAGAAATGGTTCTCGACACCCTTCCGACTTATATCCTCCCACTCTAGACAATACCCCCTCTCCTACGTCGCGTAGCGCTCTGCCTTCGCTCGCGGAGCGAGTAGGTAAAGTTGCCCTCCCACATGGCCATGTACCAACTCACTCGTCCTATCAACCGGACTCCATGTCGTATGGACCGTCGATACTACCTCTTTCTGGTTCCAAAGTTTCGACAGGCATCTCTAGTGGTCTGCCAAACTTAACCATATTTGAGGCTCAATATCAAGAATCACAGCACGGTTCAGAATTATCACAGATGGACTCGGGTGACCATATCACCACTACAAACCCCAGGCCTCAGAATTTAGTTATCGACAATGTCTGCGGGTTGTCCCCCTCCACCTTGTCTTCCATTCCCATGAGTAATAGCCCAGTCTGGTCGCAATCGCAGCCTCTTGCTTCAAGCAATGCCTTCGGTGCACAACCCTGTAACCCCATTATGGGAGCTTCTCTGATAGGCAATTCATCTGCCAGCTCAATTCCAGAGTCAGATTCTGCTCTCTCGGTGCCAAGCATTAGTTCAGGTTCTCCCTTTACTACCTACTCTTTTTTGTTTTCATCTTGAAACTGTTGCAGAGCATGTAGGACAAGCAGGAAAGAAGAAGAAGAAGAAATCCAAAATGCATGGCTGCGAGACCTGTGGGAAGTATTTTCCACGGTGCGTTCCATTGACAAATTGTCTTTTTAGCCAATTCATTTCGTTTTTCGTCCTAGACCAAGTGGTTTACGAACACATATGAACATCCATAGCAATGCCAAACGTATGTATCCTCTTTCCGGCCATGTTGGCGCGTAGTCGAGAATAAATTTGCTCCTCCAGCCTTCGCCTGCAGTTATCCAGGTTGCACTCGCACATTTGGGGTGCGCTCCAATGCAAAGCGGCATCTACGAACACACGGCATCAATCCATCGGTACCACAGGATGGGGACATCCCTCCATATATTGTGGACTTCAACACGCCTATTGTCTCCATCTCCCAAAACTTGGAACATCACCAACCCAACAGTGGGACGCAACACCAAACGATTCAGCCATTCTTCAGGTTGCGATGGGTTCCCCCAAGCCTGGCACACTGCACCAACGCCGCATCACTTAAACCTGTGTCGCCTAATGATTCTTGCTCCGAAGATGAGAATGACAGCGATCCAGAAAATGCAGGACTTCAAAGTGGTGGTAGTACGTTATCCTTGCTCCCTATACCTTTACAAGCAGTGGAACCAACAGTGGTCAGGCTCAGCAGGCCAGGTTCGTGTTCTTATCCTCAAGCCGCCTCCAATAATAACCTCTGTGGCTGCGTACCAGTGACGTTTAATTCCCCTTCCTCCTCGTCATCGGCCGATTCCCCTTCGGCATTGCCAACACCCTCATTTGGTGTGGCCAGCTTTGATGCAAACAATATTCAGTATGAAGAACGGAACTCATATGCTGAGACAGGGTCACGCCCATATCATCCATCACAGGTGCTTTTATATGTACCTACAGCTTTCTAACGGCTAATACTCTCCTCACCAGTTCTGTGCTCTTCCAGGTCCAGCTCCTCTTCGGGTGTAAATTTAACCTCCGTGTCGTCATTGGGTTCTTCCTCCTTATCTTGTATTGCTATGATTGTTCGCTCGAGGCGCTTTGGACCTATGTTGGATATCCGTTGTCATGTGCATACATACCCTGCTAAGTATCTGCTTTCGCTTCGTTTTCTTGCCCCCAACTTGTTGTCTTGTACAGGAGCTTAGCGGCAAAATGTATGAATAAACTATCTCTATCTTCGGCTAAGTAACATTTTGCGCTGGTACTGGGATACAGACTCGTCTCTTTGGGTTCAACGTTGAAATCAGAGCTGGTCTAAGAGTCATGATTGTATCGGTCATGTCATGGGGAATGGTATAATTGAATTCATTCCACGCAGGATGCGCTCCGCTGAGGTAATGATAAATACAGTTGCGGATCCAGGCCGTACACATCTCCACCGAGCAGAACAGCGAACCATGCTTCCACTGCTACCCACAACCAAATTCGTGGCACTTCTTCGTTGCGGTCACCGCGCGCGGTCGCTGATATGTAGCTTTTATGTAAGTATTACTGCAATCGTCACAATTATCCCTCAGCGCATGGAGAAAGCGGTCAAAAGTTCAAGCCTCCATTCCATCAATCTCGGCGAGGTTAGCTTCGTTGAGGGCCTCTGCATCAGCCATCAGCCTTTCCTCCAGGACACCGACTCTCATCTCTGACTCCTTCCTCTCCCGCTCCAGCTCCGCGTACCTTTCCTGCAAAAGTAGCTCCCTACGTTCGAGTTGTTCAACTTCTTCCTTGAGGGAAGACACCCTCCGAGGTCCAATCGCCGATTCATTGATACGTAGTCGGGAAAAACTCTCAAAATCAACTTGTGTGTTTTGCAGCTTTTCGAAAGCGTCTGTGATTTGTTTAGCAAGCGCATGCGCGCGCGCTTGATAACCACCCAACGTCACCCCAAGCTTTTTCTCCAGCTTAGTTGCTTTGCTGGCGGCCTTGGTCATAGCATCACGACTTTCGTTCAGGAGAAAAGAGTATCCTTCGACATGGGCTTCCAGTGACAGGGTGGTCGTATCAGTCCATGTGTTTCTTGCTGCATCATATGCTAGCTGTTGGCGACGGTGCGCCCAGGACGCGTCTTCGTCAACCGTTTCTGCCTTGGAAAGGGCGAGAAGGCCTTCGCGCAGTTGGTCAGGGTTGGCATTAGGGAAACCAACAGCTGAAGCAAGTTCCAGCTGTATCGCCATTTTTGCTGCTTCAATGTCTTCATCGGCAGGCATTTCGTACGTAGTCCGTGCTGCACCTGGTGTTGTTGTCCCGGGTATAGGATGCGCTATCGCATCATGCTGCATGAGTTGAACGAGTTCAGCATTGATAAGAAGCTGTACTTGAGTATATTCGGCGTCATCCTCTCCCGTATTTAGCCGCTGGAGCAACGTTGCGACGTCGACGTTGGCTGGCCTGGGAAGGTTAAGCTGAACCACCTGTGACCGTCGCGCCAATGCTTTTCTTTCTTCCTCTTCTCGAGCACGTCGCACTCTCGCATCTAGCTCCGCTGCATCTTCCTCATGCAACGGGGTCATTTCAGTCTGATCCACTTCGTCGTCCTCAGGAACAACCAACTCGAAATTATTTTCCGGCTTTGGAAGATTTGAAAAGCCAGCCTTGAGAACACGTTTAGCGGACGTTATTCGAAGACGTTGATCACGGGGTGTATCTCCAGATATCGAATATTCTCCTGGGTTGATAGAGAGATTATCACGCAAAGGTGTGCGCAAAGGTGTAGACAATGCCCCTGATCCGTTCACAGTGCGAGGTGTAAAAGCAGAAGAGTCAGCGTTGTCCCGTAGTGGCGTGGCGAGAGGATTAGGCGTGAAAGCCACTTGATGGCGAGGTGTGGCGCCTTCAAAGCCTGTCCCGCCTCCAGGGCCAACATGTATGGGCGTATTTTCATCGCCTAGCAAAGGCGTTTGAGCGATAGTCATATTACGCAGATTTCTGGCCTCCATCATGACGTTGTCCTCTGTTGAGAATAAATAAGTAAATGTCGCAGCATGCATTTTGTTTCCAGAGGTACTCACGCTGAGGTGCGGTTCTCGGTGTCCGCGCCATTCTGGCAGCATCGAGGCCCTCGTAGTCGCTTAGTAGTCTGCCACTGGCATCGCTGCCACCCCCAACAAGCGCCTTGGCATTCTCCCCAGCCTGGCCAATTTTGACGATATCCTCCAACTCTGCTTCTCCTACTTGCGCCGTTGGAAGAACTAGCTTCCGTCGTCTTCCAATTGATTCAGCCTCCTTGAGCTTCTGAATTTGTGCATCCCGGGCAGCGATGAACTTGGTTGGATGATTGGCACCTTCTCCTTCCTTCCCAGCATCGTTCTTTCGCTGCCGTTTCTTTCTTTCTGCTTCCTCTTCCTCTGGCTTGCGTTTGTTTTCCAATCGACGCAGTGTTTGCCCAACCGGAGCCGCAGAAATAACAGCCTGCTCTTCCGATGTGTCGTAGAAACCTGGAGCTGCCTTCTTTTCAAATGGAATGTCGGCATTGTACTTGAAATTGAAAATGAGTCAGCTATTGCGACGGGAGAAGCAGACTGAAACGTACGTCCATTCCTTTTCGCTTCGTCTTATGACGCATTCTGGCGAGAGTATCATTAAAGTGTTGATGATGAGAAAGAGAAATGGCTTGCGTACATGATTCCCGCAGCCTTCAACTCTCGCTTCTTTTGCAGAACCGCTAAACGCCTTGCCTCTTCGAGCTGCCTTTCCCGTGCCTTGCGTTTTGCCTTCTTTCCCTGTGTATTTGCGAGTCTGGCTCTAGCTTCCGATAACATCTCCTTCTCTGGGAACGTACTCATTAGAGTTGTTAAATAGAAAGTGAAATACGACAAACCATCTTCATCCATGTCAATGGGATCAGGGCGAGCTGGTTTCGTTTCTGGATCTGGGTCTATTTCACCTGGCCGTAGCCTACGAATATCGTCAGCACTGGGGCCAGCATCGCCGGAGGGACCGGTCAAGCCCAATGCCTCATCATCCTTGGCTTGGGCCTCATCCAGAAGCTTTTGATAACGTTCCAAGCATTGGGTAGCAGTTCTGCCAACGATTGGCGCTATGGTACGCCATTGTGTTGGCATCAGCTTTGCTAGATGCAAAAGCTTTTCGTCTTCCGTCTGAAACGAGGTCAGGTGAATGAGAGAAATGGAAAATAGGTAGACGCAAACCTTGGACCATTCGGTCTTCTTGATGGAGGGATCCAGCCACTCATACCAACGAGCTTTGCATTGTTTTGGCGTCTTTCTGACAAGAAGAGACGAAATTCGGGCCCTTATTGATGATGTGTTATCAGAAAAGGTAGAAAAAAGGAATAAGAGGGTACCATTGATTTTTGCCATACTTAGCGATGGCAGCCTTGAGAACCTCGTCTTCGGTGTTCTGAGAACTTTGAGGAAGGAACAAGCGTTAGAAGGGAAACAACATACCTTCCATACACCTGCAACTGGGTGAGCTGGAGAAGAATACGAGAGCAACGACAAACTGACCTCCTTTTATGATGATTCTGGTCATGACAGTGTGAGGCAACTGCTGCTGAGCGCTGACGGTGACAGTCACAAGAACTAACGTCTTGTGAGTCAATCACGTGACTCGAATCAGCTGCGTGTTGTGACTGTTGTCGTACTAAAGTTTACAAAAAGGGCGGGAAAGTCGTAATCAATGAAAGCTGATGGTAGGAGGTCATGGTACTTATATCTACGGATTTATAAAACGCCGAGTTTTACTTGGGTCGTGAAGGCAAACTTTTACAATTAAACTGAAAGTTCACCGTGAAGAGGCTCCTTCTTGATTATGGCGTTGACATTGATTGTGCTACGACTTTGAGTGTTACCGTGTATTGTTCTGGAGTGACGAAATGCGAGCGGGGGTTCCGACGTGCCATTAAAATTGGTGTCCGACGTCGCTGTCGGTGAACCTTTGTAGCGACCGAGTTTTGTGTTCCGGTAGACAAGACAGGCCATCATGTTGATCAGGGCAACGTTTGGAAAACACCAAACCAGTCGATAGACAATCGGGAGCGGCATGAATATCATAAAAACGGCGATGAAATTGGTAACGATGGTGACACTTGTTTCAATCAAGAGATTAGTTCATACAGCTGACGAGAAATTGAATTTGGTACATACAGATAATATCGCTGCCCATCCACGAGGAGGGCTCTTGAGAAAGCGGGGAGATAATCTCCAAGAAGTGCAACGCGCACTCCAGTTCTGAGAGTAATTTCTTTGTGTGTGTTCTTCGTCAGTTTCCACGTTATCGCAAGGAATACGAATGTGTCGTGAAAGAAGGGGAATATTCCAGAAAGGGCGACGTAAGGTCTGGCGTCCGTGTTTACGCAGTATTTGGTATTTCCGACGGGTACTGAGTCAAGGGCGAATGGGACGGTTAGACATCCTGCGAGAGACACTAGCCAAAGAGCAAATCCGATTCTGATGATGGTCGGATTTTCCATGCAAACTGCCCGAAGCCGAAAGAAGAATAAAAGATTGGAGCTAGCGACAGCGATGGGGAAAAAGGAATTGCATATTTTCTGAAAAATTTCGCAGTTGCCAGTCGGTTGAACTGTGGCTCCGAGTAAGCGTTGAACGCAGCTATGCCTGAAAAAAATACCTGATAAGATCATGGTTGGGACGAGAAACAAGAGGCTTCCAAGTCTGGTTGTTGGTGATTGAGCGGATTTCCGAGCAAGGATGGGATTCTCCTTACCTCGAGACAAAATAAACGAGGGTACATAGGCCAGTCCTAAGTTTGAAGAGAAGCCTATAATCGTCATGCAAATGGCACACGACATCCCACACCAGAACCTGAATTCATTATAACATTTTAATTTACATCTGGCTTCAGAAAAAATAGGAAAGGGCCACTTACTCCCGTCACACCAGCCGCTATATGACTCGCGGATCTGATTTGATCTGCATGTTCGGCAGTTAGAAATGCAAATGGCGTGAACGGGTTCGGAAGGAGATTTGCGTCCATGGCGGCGGCTTTGATTTTGGGGATGCAGACTCTGGACTCTTAAGCTTCTCCGGCGAGTAGAGTGGTCCCCCTGCACCCATCATCGATTTCAATTTTCGCCAATTGAGGTTGCATGGAGGCGTTCTCATGGAAAGTGGATCCGAAGTGAGTGACTATCACAGGTGTTTTTGTTCAAGGTGGGTACCGCAGTGGTCCATATGGCGCGGCGTGCCGCCCAAATGCCGCCTTTGAGTCGTTCAAATCTTGTGATGACGGGAGTGCCAAGAGATAGTTACCCTGATTGCTACCGTTGCACCGTTATCCATTCAAGTCAACCTCTTTTTCTTCGGTCGTGTCGACAGGCTAAATTCCATTCCTTTTCCCAACAATCTTTCAAATTATGCATTCGTTTCTGGTAGCCGCATTTCTCGCCACTATCTTCGCTGCCTCAACAGAGGCAACTTCCTGGTCAGTTTCGTTACTCGATTGGTGGCATTCAGATGTTCACATTTATGCAGCAACGCTACTTCGCATTGCCCTGCTTCTGCCCCCTGCTGCAGTGGGTTGTTTCTCTCTTCAACGCGATACATCACTAATGGAACTGGGAAGGTGAATTTGGATTCTGCGGCACGAATGATGTAAGTTTCGAATGGTCAGCGCATCATTGGCGAACAGTGTTTGACCATCTTATCTAGTTTTGCCTTGGTGGATGTAATCCTTTCGCCTCTAACGCCGTGAATTCCTGCAGACCGGACCCTATCTGCACGGACAAAACGGTGGGTACTGGTCATGTTGAGCTGGAATGCGCCTTTATGTCCGCTTAGCATACATTCGCCGATAATTCTCGAATTCTCTCCAATGCGACCTTTTTCGATGGTAATGCTTCTGCCTACGGTACGCTCACATTTTCTCTGGACACTACAACCAACTGATCCGGCCAATTTGAACAGATTGGGTTGTCGACAAAGGCAACATCATGAACACGAACTCCTCAGGCGGCGAGCTAGCCTTACTTCTGACACAGGCCAATGGCGGAACTAGAATCTCATCGACGCGTTATCTGCATTATGGGACTGTCACTGCCAAAAGTGCTTTGAATCGCTTTTTATTATCACTGAGGAACGCTGAAACGACGTTGTGTGTTTAGTCAAAACAGGTCGTTGGGCTGGTGTCGTCACAGCATTCATCACAATGAGCGACATCAAAGATGAGATTGACTGGGAGTTCCCTGGAGCCGCAACTACCGAGGGCCAGACCAACTACTTCTGGCAGGGGGTGATCCGTGAGTTATCGTCCTCAGTTCATAATCCACCGATGATTCAATTATATCGACTGTAGCGACGGGAAAGAACAACGGTGGTACCTCAACTGGCCTCACAGACACGTTCACCAACTATCATTCCTATACGGTACCAGCCTGTCTCATAACTTTTTGTTCTTCTCAATCCTTACATTCCCAAGATCGACTGGCAGCCAGATGCTTTGACATTTTCCATCGATGGCGGCGTGGTACGCACCGTCAAGAAGTCTGATACCGTCAATGCCACAACTGGTATCGCTCAGTACCCAACGACACCTGCTCGCGTCCAACTTTCGTATGTGCTTTCGTCCTACTGGGCTGGCTTTCCCCTGATCAAATCTCAATTCCTCCGACAGCCTTTGGCCAGCCGGCATCTCTAGCAGCCCCCCAGGCACCGTTACATGGGCTGGAGGTAACTAGGCCATTTTGCTTCTCAACTGATCTTCTGATCATTTTTTTCTTTCTTGACAAGGTATGATCAACTGGGACGACCCGGACTACAAATCAGCTGGTATATCAGTCCCTCTCACGATTCCTCGAATTATTACTGATTCCGTCTTATTCGCACTTAGGCCATTTCTACGCCCTTGTGAAAGAAGTTGACGTCAAGTGCGCAAACCTCCAAACAGGACCCAATCTCACGTCATATGTATACGACGCAAACGCTACAAGCAACTCTCCTGTCGTCGATTATACAAATCGCTCGACACTGCTTAACGGGGCTGGCCCCGTTGTAGCATTGGGTGGTGCCCAAAACATGATCGTTCTTGTGACGTCCCTTTTCGTACTCTTCTTCCACGTTCTATGATCAATTTGTAGCCTTTGCTTGCCAATATACCCCTAGACACAGAGAGAATGAGATGCGTAATTCATTTATATCTATGTACAGGTTACAACCTAACCCACTTGAAATAATAATGATACATTGACCTACATATATTGCAGAAGGTGTAAAACAAGTAGAAAGGTCCTATCGATCCATCCCTCGATCCTCAGTCTGTACTCGGTTGATCTCGATCCGGGTTTGGCACCCGATCTTTTTCAGTCTCCCCAAACGACTCCTCAAACTCTTCCATAAGTTCTTTTGTCTCTTGCAATATAGCTTGGATTGCATCGTTCTTGGTCCAAGCCCTTAATATGTCGCTGTCGTCTTGAGCCTCGAGCACAGTTGGAGGCAGTGGTATAAGTACATCATATCCCATGAAGCTCTGCACGCCCCTCACCCGACGATATGTTACTTTAGTGAGAGAAAGAGATTTGATCCTAGTTGTCTTGATGGCAGTGCGCATGCCGCCACCATTAATACCTCCGGGAGACGGAGCATCCAACAGCACAGAGGGCGAAGCTGGTCCCAAATGGACGATCCTTGGCCCATTCTGAGGCGACACTGGTGTGATTTGATACCCTGGCCTGCGAGCATCCAGAAAAAGAGTCGGATCATGTGGGGTAGGCGATGGTGAGGCAAGCAATCTCGGCGAGCCGGGAGAAGGCATCCCGCTGACAGATCGCCGAACTTTAGAAAAGACAGACATGGATGTGCGTCTGCTACTCGGAGACGAAAGCGGATTGTTTCGGTTCCCCAGTCTTTGGAGTTCAGCGTCGATGCCTGAAACCTTTTCTGTTGCCAAGAGCCGTAACTGGAGTCGGAGCGGAGATTTGTACGCGCAGACGAACTCGAGCATGGACCATAGGGCATAATCGGTAACTCGAGGCCTAGAGAAGGTTCCTACACTCAATTTGAAGTACGAGAAATCGAATTGACCACTGGATCTCGGCGACGCTGCTGGGGAGTTGAACGCTGATTCACCACGCAAAGCAAACTCTGCGTTTCCGTCCGCCAATACCATCCTGCAAAAACCAGCAATTCGCTCCCAGATGCCTGGAACGACAGAAGAAATGTCGGCTTCACCGCGGATAATAATAACTTTCAGAATTTGAAGTGCAATCATGAAAGATGGTAGCTGAGAACGCCAGAATTTGTCGCTATCAGAGTTCCTATTCTCTTTCGACTTTGACCTTCGCAATTCTCCCTGGGGCCGACTCCTCTGACACGCTGACATCGTGTAAAACAGCAGGCGGAACCACGCGTTTGCAAGTGCGGTACGATGACGATCCTGGGTTTGTAAACCTTTTGTGAGGAGCTGGGCACTTGTCGCAATTGTAAGAGTTAAAGGCAGTATGACACCAGCTAAGAAGGCGTGCGAAGGTGTCCTCTTCTCCAACTCTTCAATCACATCAGCTCCTTGAAGAAATATGGCTTCTCCGATAAGCTGGACCAGAGTTGGACGATAAGGCAAAGTCATTAATTGGTTTTCTGATGCTGCCAGCTCGCAGGCTGCCAATCCTGCTGTGCAGATCTCACTAACCACAACCTGGGCAAAGGTTGGATCGGCAACATAGACAGGTATAGAGGATATTCGAAGAATGACTTCAAAAACGCCAGTGAAATCCAACGCAACCATGTACGCATGAAGGATAGGAGACAAGTCTTGAAGAAATATAACGACTGCCTTGGCCAGCTGTGGTTGCTCACGAATGAGCAACATCCTCACGAAGTCGGACAGGAATGATGAGATTGCTTCTGGGGGGTCATTCGCATGGCAGTCTTTCAATACAACTTTTAGTAAGTTGAGTGTTTGACGAGCCAACGTCAACGAAATGTCACCACCGGCCTGACCCAAACTTAAGACAAGGAAAAGGAAATCGATTCGCATCGCTTGAATATCGCTTGGCGCTTTGGAGTTCTCTAACACCTGACCCTCCAGTCCAACCGGGGGAAGAAAAGCAGAGTCCTCAGCTGAGCGCTCTAAAGCGCCATCCGCAGTCTTTGCACGGTTGAACCCTTTCGTCAAGATGACGCACAAGGCAGTGATACCATCTTGCAACGTCGATCTTGTGCTATCTGAAGCATTATATAGATAAGGAACGATATATCGAAGAAGTCGGAGGTAGTGTTGAGCTCTCAAGATGGAGGGGTCGTGTGCAATCACCGTCAGGAACAAGCGAACGAAGTTGTCCATTCGAAGACGTTCAGTCTCATATTCTTCGGGTAAGTTAACCGAATATCGATCGCCACTGGCTTGCGATTCCGTGCGACGTATCGATGCAAAGAAAGTCTGCGGTTTCTCATCAGCTGTCGAGACAAGGAGGGCTTCCCGTTCTTGTAGCTTGTTTATGTTGTGAATACCCGCTGCATCTGTGGTTGCTGCTGTGACGCCTTTTTTCAGGGACAAAAAAAGATCGTAAACGCTTTTGCCAAACCAATTCTCGTCGAGTCCTGGCAGCATGAACATTTGACCAATGATACCAAGACTCTGGTATAAAAATGATTCCTTGTGAAGGGCATAGAATCGGTTGATAGCGTATTCGATAGCTGGTCTGATGCCAGGATGAGATCCTGATTCGGAGTATATCTTCACGAGCGCCGGCATGAACAATGTATATCCTCCGCCAGACGTAAAGAGGCGTTTGAAGCGAGTGCTGGCAACCATCAAAGCTAGTCATTGTCATCTTCAGTTCATTGCTATAAAGAACATCTCCATGTGACATACCAATAAGAGATTGGCCAACGATCCCGATGTCGTCTCCATGAGCTAAAAGAATTCGGTTCAAACCATCGACGAGAACGGCGAGCTCATTTCGATCACTAAGGTGACGCGACATAGAGCGAAATACTTGGGCAACCAGGAGCAGATAACTACGAGAGAGAACCAGGGACAAGGCGTCCAGCGTCTTGTTCGATTTGGGTGCTTCGCTTACGTCCCGACTTTGAGGAGCAAAATCCCTCATCTCGAGTGGCAAGTCCTGCAAATGACTGTCTTTTGATGGCAAAACAAGTCTTGACAGGTTCTTCCGAACGACTTGAACATCTTGTTGATTTCGTTTTAGTACAGATAAAAAAAGCAAGTTTTGAGCGGTTCGAATCATTGTGATGGAGACCAGTTGGGAAGGAACATCCTCAAAGGGGTTGCCAATTTCTTCCAAATATCGAGGGAACATGGGGCCTTTTGGTGCCGACGTCGGGAACCAAAGTGACCCAGAAGGTATCAAGAGAGGCTCAATTTTGGCGCGACGTATCTCTCGGAATGACATCCCGCTCACTTGTGTGGTGAGCATTGAAAGAATAGGCATCACCAGGCCAAAATCGTAGAGTGCCTCATGAGATTCCGACTGTTTGGCGGCGTGTTTCAAGAAACCGGCGAGATTGTTGAATAGATTGTGGGTAAGCGGCGGAGGAAGGACTCGTCGCATCTGCAAAAAGGCAGCAAGGGTCGAAGTTGCGGCGACGACGTCTTTGTTGTCTCCTGACAACTGCTCGAGAACTGGTCGAGTCAAAAGTGCGGGATCACCACGCATCAAATCCCAGATAATAGTTCGTGCAGTGGAAGCGATTGCGTAATTGGAATCGTAAACCAACGAAGCAACACGACGAAATACTGAGGTCAGAGGTGGCACAAAAATCGCTCTTCGTTTTTGATTATGGAGAGGGCCACCAGAACTTGAGTTGCGGCGGAGAAGGGGGTTAGGCTCCTCTAGCGGCTCCTTTGGGGTTTTTCTGGGCGAAGGGAGAGGTGTAACATTCACTGATGTGGAACCCCCGGTGGGAGGCAATTGTTCTCCCATCAGAACATCCATGCGTTCTAGCCGATGTATTGGCAGGATTGACATCGGAGTCTTTATCCACTGTTGTCTCGGGTCTACGACGCTGGCATCTTCTTCTGCCCAGCCAATTTCCGCGAGTCGCTTTCTTAGCTCCCCAGGAATGTTATCCTTATCTTTCGATTCAGAGAAGTCTTCCGTTTGAACATACAAGCTGGTACCCATATCCGTCGCAAGAAATGGAAGAGGCGCCCGAGTCAACTTAAATGATCTATGAGCTCGGTCAACAATAACATTCTGAGATAAAATCTGGAATCGCCAATTGATCAGAGTGCCAACTTTTCGAACTGAACGTAATCTTGTAATATCGTCTGAGCTATGAAACTTGGTCAGTACCGATCAATGGAGGCGAAAAACTATGACACCTTTGCAAGTCGACCTCCATAACGGCAAGTAGATCCTCTGGAACTTTCTCTGCACATTGCATCAACAAAAAACACGCCTGCAATGAAGGTTAATAATGTGGAAAGCATACATATTGTAACTAACTGATGCGGTCGCAGAGGTATCAATGTGATCCACCAAACCGTGTTCCCATATCAGAGGCCCAAGACGACGATAGTCTTCATCCACCAGCAACGAAGACATGGTCACAAAGAGGTTCATTGCCCTAGACGCAAATCCTTTTGACAGTGAATCGATCAAAACTTTGTGTTGTGCGAAACTTGAGGCGAGATCAAATCCTTCTTTGTTTGGCGGAGGGGCGGGGGACTTGGAAGCTGCTGAAAGAAGCATGGTACTCCGACGCTGGCGGGGCATCGATGACCAACCACTTGGAAAACAAGTTACGGAACAGTACCTGATAATTTTCGCGTACCCCTTCTTGGGCGGCCAAATACAACCCCTGGATTCTCTCCGTGGATTCGTTGACCTCAGATTCTAACTTACCACCCAGATCGTAGTCTGTGCAAAAATCAACAAACCAAGAAATGGTTCTATGAAGCCATGGAGCACTGCAAAATATGAGGGATACTTGGAAAGTGAAAAGGTATAAAAAAACCTACGGCTTAAGAGACCGATTTAAAAGCCTAATCTCTCGAAATAATATGCAAAACAGCATTCGTTGAGACGGTGCAATGAATGTGGATCGCTCCTGAACAGAGTGAACGGGTTAAAGATAGAGATAAAATGCATGAACTGTCTACCTTGACGTCGAGTAGTATGTTCAGCCGTGATTCCAAAGTTGCAACGAATTTCGTAGTTCCCATCAGCGCCCTGTCTGATCCCTGATAACGAAGGTAAATATGAATTGCTGAAGACTTGAAGGGAGTTTGCTGACAGGTGATGATTCTTTAATCCGCCGCACTGCTTGAATTTTTCCAATGAGCTCAAGAAGAAGAACCAATTGACCCAACCTGGCAACGCCCCATGGGGTGTTTCCCACCATCGATGTCATTGTTTCCTTCTCCGCCCCGGCATCGCTCAGCAGAGCGACGCACATCATCTCTGCGTCACGATTCCAATAATCACCGATAAACTTGGAATGGATAGCCAGTGTGCAAAGGTGGTTGACGATGGTGAATTCCTGCGACGATGCAGCGCAAGAGAAGAGCGGTTTGTAAAAAAGCTGTGGGTACATGTGAGACAGTACATCGAGGAGGCTGGAGAGCTCTGCATATGGGAAGGGAGGAGGATCCTCAACCATCCGCTAGCATTGATGAATCTTAAGGTAAGTTTAATCGGGAGTATTATGATGAATACTTACATCATTCAAAAGTGGCAAGATAAATGTGAAAAGTGGCCTCCGTTCCTCCTCAGGGATGTGGTGGACAAGAGCTAGAAGAATTCGCAGAATACTAGCCCAGTTGCCAGAGGATACCTAGTCAGCGGCCTAGTTAACTGGTGTGCTCGACCAAAGGAGGGGTTACTGTAACACTTACCAACTTTCGAATCCGTTTCTCAAAATTGCCCTTCCAGTTACCATCCCGGTCCTTTAGCCAACGACAAATAGTTGTGATAGCCCACCCAACCTGCTCCTTAGCATTTGCAAGGCAGAGAATCTCAAGAGCGACCTTGGCAACGTGTGTCTGCGCTTCCAAACCAAGTGTTTGGTCAAGGCTGTCCGTCTCCGGTAAAATTCTGCTCTGAAATGCCCTGACAATATGGTGGGCAATCACCAATTTGTCCTCTTCTTTCACTGTCAGAGATGTCAATAAAATGTGGGCGGCTCTACAGAAGGTGTTTATTGTTCTGAAACGGATAACTCCTTGAAGCAATGTGACAGAGGTGCCTTTTGAAGGCACAGGCCAATATTCCTGTCGATAGCTTTTAGAACGAAATTGGGCAAAACTCAATACGGTCGACGAACTTCAATCGCGTGTTGGAGCAACCAAACGCGAGTAACTTGAGCACAGTTCTCCAGGCACTTTGTGAGCGCTTCGAGAAACAAGGCCTTTCTGACTGCTCCCTTCATGTCGCCAGGAAGCCAACGCGCCTCATATTCCTCCTCTACAGCTTTCTCGTTCAATTCACCGAATGTCCCTGAGATAAATTGGAGAATAAGATCCTTTGTCAATCTAACATCTTCCTCTTGCACCGGGTTGGTTAGTGCATGAAGAGAAGCAAGAAGCATCAAGAGTCCGTGCGCAACACTCTGCATGGCCATTGGTGAGATGATTGCGCGATTTCTATCCCCAGGAACGATACACCGCCAAAGATACCCAAGGACTCGAGAGCGGTTCGGTGAAGGGGGCACCATGGCCGCTTTACAGCACCACATACACCGTGCAACACTTGCTGCCTATCAAGATTTACTGGTCAAAGAATTGTAACTCATTTGGCTCATGCAAACGGACCTCATCGGAAGGAGTCCAACCTTTAATCAAGAGTTCAAAGGTTTCGATAGCCAACAGGCGTTCTTCTTCGTCAACGTCATTACCTGTCGTGGGGAGTAGGAACGGATTCAGCAGTGCGGCAAGAACCTGTCCTTCGTGTGGAAGATGAGCGGATAGTACAACGGTCTCAGAACCCGCGCCAGCATGATACATGAGCAACTGACAAAGTGGCTTCAGTGACGCGACAAACCGCCCCGACGACAAAGACTGAATGGATTGAGGCCGACGTAACTCGTCCTTCTTGCTCAATCCAGTATTTTGAAGGCTCGAGACGCCCGATGTCGTGTTCGGCATAAAAGGACGATAGATTGGGGACGCTGTTGTAGAGCTGGGTTCCTTCTCAGCCTTCGTCTTCGACCCAGCTTGCCTGGACAACCAGATGTTCTTCATAATCTCCTCCCCGAATCTACGTGTATCGTCCCTTTCCCGAGCAACATCGACGACCTGTCGGAAGCCAAGTCGTGCAAGTCGAGAGGGTTTCGGTGTTGAAGGGCGGGTGAATGAAGTAATGGATGAAGTTACAGACGTCGGCCTGGAGGGTTCGACTGGAGTAGAGGACCGACTCGATGCCTGCAGAACATGTTGACGAAGATGCTCCCATCGTGAACTCGAAGTTGATTGTTGAACGGAATCAGGAGTATTCGACCTCCTGGGTGGCGGAAAATTGAGCGGTCTTTCGACCACCTGTGAATTGGTCGTCCTCGGTGAATCCTGTGGAATAGTTGATGTCACTGAGGATGGCCTCATAGGCTCCAGCTTTGTCGCGAACCATGTATCTTCGCTTGCATGATCCATTGGAGGGGTAAGTTCGTGAAAGTCTCCATCATCAACATGGTCCTGTACATGTGATAGCTGTTAGTATGGTATGTGTAGTGCCTTCACCTGCTCACCGAGTCCCCTGCCTCGCGTGATGATGATGACCTGAGGTGGTTAAAAGAGAATAGGCGGCGAGGTGTAGGCTTCTTCGATTCATTTTCGCTTCTTAGGTTTTCGTCTCTCGAAGACATTTAACCAAAGATGTGTGGAATTGTGGACCGCCGTGGACAGTCCGGTGGATTCGGCGTTGAAGTCAATGTAACCCAAACAAGCCTCATTTGTTTGACGAAGGCCCACTCACCTCGCTGCCAGTGAGTGCACATTCAAAGTCAAACTGATGTCCGAATGGGCAGGGGGATAATAACCGAGTCCATGATTATTTGAAGACAGGCGGATACAATACAAGATGAACACAACACAGCACGAAAGCGAAATGCAGCAGTTTAAGTACAAGGTTCACAACATACAGAAGCAGGGGTATATTAACCCAGATGCCCATGATATAAAAAAGAAACCAAAAAGTAAGCTGACCGCGCAGCCAAATCCAACTTCCGCCGTGACATCGAGGCATTTCCGACTCTTAATGGTCGTGCTGAAATTTATTGCAGTTCTTCTTATGCCGATTCATGGAGGCTTCCTGTGCGTAGGGGTGCTTACACCCCGGACAGAAGTACAGAACCCCCATGTGACGCTCTGTATGAACTAAATTTGAAAAAAAAAACCGTCAAACACTGAGCAGTATCCTCAAGAAGAAAACATACTCTTTAGGTTGTGTCTTTTTGTGAAAGTCGAGCGGCACTCGGCAAAGTTACATTGGAACACCTCTTTGTGCGTCCTGCGCAACTGGCTCGCGGCGGAAACATTCAGTGACCCGATTTTGAAAACCATGTCTCCTCTTGAGCTAGAGGCGGATGATCCCAAACTTGAGGATGTCGCAGGAGAACTCGTTGTGCGTCGAGACTCATCTGATATGCCGCCTCTTGTTGGATTTCGCGACATCTTGGATGGGACATCTTCCTTTCGAACACGCGACGTCTTTTTGGAGACACGTCCTCTCGCAGTCTGCATTGCCTTCTTGGGTGGTTGGCGCCCCGAACCTCCCATTCTTGCGTTGAGTGGTAAACAGGGAAGACCGGGAATTGGAGAATCGGTGGCGGAGTCTGCCTGATGTCCTTGCATATCTCCCACCATAGCATCTTCCATGTAGCTCGTGGAAGACGCGACGGCACAAGCACGTGGTCGAGAATTGGTATGGTTTGTCTTGCGTCTTTTCTTCGTAGAAATCGTAGCATCGTTCATAGACGACACGGGAGCTTCTACGGTGTTGATAGGTCGACGACGCTTCAATGGGCGTCGGGACTGTCCCATAGTTACAACGTTTGATGGAAGGTAACCATCAACCCGCTCCGCCTTAACCAACGACAGGTGCGAAATGTAGGGAAAGCGATACCCGCTTTCTTCGTGCTCGTCAGAGGGATGATCCATATCCATCCGGTTGCTACTCCGTCCGCTTTCAGATGCGGGACTAAGCAAGATTTCTGGAGGTAAGGAGCAGTTGGGGTATGAACACGGGGGAGAGAAGGAACCCTGTCCGCAGGAAAGAGAACTAAGTGGTCCATGCGAGGGGTGAAAGTTGAGACTGACAGGCTGAGGGGCCTCATACCCATCCTGAATGTCATTCTGCACGTATGCCGCCGCTTCAGGGTCATTGGAAGAGAATAGCAGGGACGTGGTCGATGTAGGATCGAGGGAGACTTGCGAACATGTTGGAGAGGTGAAAAGTGAAGGCAAGAGAACGGTTGAAAGGAGCGGAGATGATGACGGCGGGGGGCGTGTTGAAGACGGGGCAGCTTCATTAATATCATTTGGCCCGTCACAAAGGTCTGGCAACGGGGTACCCGTGTTTGGGGTACAAGGGGGAGACAAGTCGTCAACGTCGCTATAGGGTGCTAGAAAGCGAAGGAGAGGTCAGCGAGATCACTAATCGTCTCTGCGTACTACTTACATAACCCCGAGGCCATCAAGCTGGGTGTACTCTGCAGAGACCAAGAATCGCTGTCTGGCGATTCACCGTTGAAGCCCCATACGTCTAAGATAAGTTCGAAAAACGAAACCCAGGATCGAGACTCGTTAAACTTGCCTTGAATGGAATCGATACATCGGTGCTTGTCAAGAGGGTACTCCAGGAAGGCATCGACTAGGTTTCCATCGTATTCAACTAGGAGAGAACGTGACTCGATCGGATAGATCATTGACAAGAGAACACATCGACGTACGATGAGGGAGTAAGTCGTCGGGATGTGAACTAGGTGAGAACTCGAAAAGGTCTTCGGGGAGCAGCTGGATACGCGGATCGGCCAACTGTCCTAAACGTCTGAACAGTGGTCAGTGACTCAGACTTGTTCTTGAGAAAGCCACTGACAACAACGGGGAAGCTTTCGAGAGTCGGGCATCCTTGACTTCAATAGCTTCGGAGTGAGGCGATCGCGTCAACATGCTAAAGATGAAGGAGATGAGGGAAGGGGACTTTTCAATCACAGAAACAGCGCGCGCTTACTCTTTAGGGACCACTGATGAACCCTTTCCTATAACACACACGATTGCAACGAGGCGCTGTAAATCTCCGAGGTTTGTGTATTAGAATGGAGTCCATTGTAGCAGACAGTAGATCGGTCAAAGTTGAATATATCGGCTCAATCGATGATGATCCACAAGGGATAGTAGGAGGTCAACCAGGTTTGTGCGTGTTGATTTCCGAGTCTCGCTCCTGAGTTGGCTCGAAGTTTGGGTTGGTCTATTGAGTATGTACCTCCTCGCGTTAACGAGATATCACATATGCTTACTAGTTCATTTTCCAAACGCGTAGTATTGTCAAGTTCTGTTTTTATGAGGGGTAATCTAATCATTGGGATGACGCGGCACAGCGGCGGGATTCCTTCGACATTCGAATCGACGAATTCGACCATGTATCTGTCCTTGTCGATCTCTGTGGGTCCCGCACACACGTAAACACGTTGTACTCTGTTGTACTTGATGCGACAAACGACTGCGGTTACCACACTCGAAGCCGAATTTGCAATTTCGAGTCATACGTGCAACCCAGGTGCAAGCTTATCTTTTCTGTCAAAGGAGTGACGAAAATCAACAAGTGGGCAGGTAAGGGCAGGTTCGCGGGTATTAATTATAAATTCTTAATCCAGAAGATACTTATGAGTCGCGGCCCAGCCATGGCTCAAGGAGTATCTATGTCTGTTCCCTACTGAACTTTCAACAGCACTATCACCCGTGTCCCATGACAAACCAACGGAGGCGACTCACACCATTTGGAGCCATCAGGACACGTTATGTTCATCTGGAATGGACTGTCGGCTGCGCCAATTATCTGGTAGGGCGTGGTGAGAATGTTTGGCGTAAAGTGTCATATACCTCTCTTCCCATCCTGCTTTCGGAAACTCTGCTTTCTGAATCCATGTCAGTTTAGTCACAAAGACCTCCAACTCACGCCGGTTATAGTAATTGTGTCCACCGCGCGGGAATATTGGTACATCCAACTCGTCACCATCTTCAACAACGTGGAATAGGGTGTGTTCAGATTCCGACGACGGGATGCGGTATAGTCGTCCATCTATGGTATATATGGGTTGTTCAGCGAAGTGACGGTAACCGAAACTCAACAAGGGCAATGCGGGTACGCCTGGATACGACATGGGTCATACTCAGTTGAAAGAAAAAGGGAAACGCACCGTCATTATAACCCCTAATTGAATATTCTTTCATGGACTCTTCCCCATTCTGCCGTCGGTAGGAAGCCATCAATTCGCGAAGATATTGGACCAGACCGACATCGCCGGCTCTTGGGACTCCAAAAACAACAATTTTGAAACGTAAGCCCCTTTGAAGTGGGCTTTTATCATCGGTCAGCAGGTCCAGGAGGAGTAGATATGCGATGCTTCCACCCATGCTGTGTCCTGTCAATACCAACTCCCCATTTTCTGGATGGCTGCGAAGACCGTTCTTTATGGCCAAGATGGCTTCGGCCCTAATTCCCTGGTATAGGTTCCAGAAACCGGTGTGCACATATCCCCGGCCTGTAGGGTGACGTGTTTTTAAAACGCGTAGGTCTTGTATCGCGTGACTGATTCTGGACGTCCCAGAAATCCCAACAATCAGTCTACAGCGCTTGGGGCAGTGGACGACGGATACAGGGAGGTTTGCAACGGCGCCTTTGAAGGAAGCTACAAGCTCGACCCCGCGAATCATGTGGTAGTGTTCCAGCGGAAACGCAATTCTGCCTAGTTCTTCTCGGTGCTCAAAGAGAGCATCCATGAATGGACAGTATGCCACTTCGGCGAATTGACCTAGACTAGTTTTAGTTTGGCATTTGTCGCACCGATATAATAACCATTAGTTTTGACCTATTTCAGCGATCCATAATTCCAGTTCTGGGGGCAATCGGTCTGCACTGTTTAATGTGTGAGGGGAATATGTTGCGACCAGCTGGGATATCCATCGAAAATTGTGTTGCGTCTCCGCGGCGTACATCTTCCGCTCATCTTGTGAAAGTATTCTTTTAGCAACAGAGGAGGAGTTGGCCATACTTTGGTAGGTTGCAACTAAACGTATGTGACCAAGAGCTGTGAAAGTTTACAGTGGGTCACGTTGACAGTATGTCATCACCACTTTATTTAAAGATTCCCCTCACTGCCCTGAGTGGGCGAATTTTCTGTTTATGACCGTCTGTTGGCACCGTCTTCCAGAAAGATGTCTCATGCTACCCATCGACTATCGCAGTCAATAAGTGGGGGTTGGAGAGAAGGCATTTCCTTGAGTTTCGTCAGCCCAGTTGACGATGAAGTAGGGGTATGGGTGGCTTCCTGGAGAGCCGTCTCTGCGAGAGGTGAGCGTCAGTAACGTTTAAAGTGCCTGTTTTGATATGGAATGAAACAGATCTAATCGATTCTCGCGTCGTGTCGGTCGACGCAGAGACTAGTGTTGAGGAGGCATGTGAGGTTGGTGTACCTTTGATGTTAGATCACCGCACCACTTACTTGCTCTACGAAAGGTTCTCATGACGGAGAACATTCCTTGTTTGGTTATCAAGTCGAATTCTTCCGATGCGTCAGGTTCGAATATTTACCAAGGCTTGTTCGACGTGCGTGCTTGTTCCGATCTCATTGACTCGACCGCTCTAACTGAGCGACAGTATTCCGATGTCAATGCATTCTTAACTCTTGCCGCGACGAGACATACCTATCTTCCTGACGATCTTCGCGGGAATGCACGTGTTGATAACATCGTAGCAGCGGCCAAGGCTGGTCGAGTTCCCGTCCATCTCGTCAGCAGTGCGTCGTCACTCCTCTTATTCTTTGATGATAGCTCATTTCTATCGGCTTAGATTTATCCGAGAAAAATCAGCTCGAGACCCTCCCCAATGACGCCAACATCATATCTCTACTGGAAACATTCGCCAAGGGATCTCATCGAGGTCAGGATGACATTCCCCTCACCAGGACAAAGCTCTGATGATACGCAGTCCTCATCCATTCGGCCACCGAGCCTGGGGAATTTATTGGCATCATTTCAGACCGCCGAGTATTATCGTGGTTCGCTTCATATGCCAAAGAGTCCCCATCTTTCCAGAAATATCTATCTAATCCCATCCAACTTCTCTCTTTACCTTCGCTGAACTTGTATTCCGCTGTTGTTGCTGCAACGTCGACCGCTTCTATTCTAGATGCCATGCGATTGATGAGCGAGGAAGGTGTGAGCAGTATTGCCGTGATAGAGGAGAACAGAGGGATTCTACTGAGTGCTGTCAGCGTGACAGACATTGGGAAGGTGCGTGCTTTACGATTCGCTGCTCGCTCTTCAGAAGCTGAGTCGAACACAGATTGTTGTTCCCCACCAGAATAACCAGATTCTGACAACTGCCCTTCATCATTTTGTGTCGCAGATCAAGGTTCGTGTTTAGAGAGAAAGATCTGACACATTGCCTGACAGTGTTCACAAGGAGTTGGATGGTTCAACTGATGGCGCTGATCGTTACCCTGGTATGTTATTAGATTCTTTTTGGCTATTAGATATCGCTGGATGGTTCACAGTATATTCCGTATCGCCGTCTAGCACGCTCTCGTATACGGTTGAGAAACTCCTTGCAAGTTAGTCATCGTACTTAACCCATTCTGAATATCTGTAACTCACATTTTTTGCCAATGGCAAGCTAATGCCCACCGCCTTTTCGTGACCAAGGAGTCGAGAGCTGCATCTCCCGTCCTTTCTTCCAACGCTTCGAGCAACCTTTCTGGAATTGTGTCCATCGTCGACAGTACAGTCATCCTTTGTCCTACAGTGTTCTGTCATCTAATTTCAGTTGTTTTGCCAGTCCTCTCCTTGTTTGCCCGCCTCGCCAATGTCCCTGGTGTTGATCCAACTCATATGCAACGCCACCGACGAGCATCTTCAGCATCATCGCAATCTTCGAAATCCGAGCGAGACCTATTTCTGATGGGTTTATCACGGTCGAGCAGCAGGTCCAGTGTCCGACGCAGTCCGACCATCGTCGCTTCGAGCCCACCAACAATGCCAATACCAGATAGTGGGAGGAACGCTTTCCCTAGTCTGGATGTCAAGCGCGGAGAGAGTTTAAGGAAGAAGGACAGCGTATAATCAGTTTGCCTTTGAGTTACAGTTTGGACTTTGTACATTGTAGCATCAAGCTGTATATTACTTGCCTGAATTGTGATGAAGCATGCTCTTTCGCAAGGGCACGCGACAAAAAGGTGCGACTGATTAATATTAATTAATACTTAGTGCGTCGACTACCCTCATTGAAATCGTCAACCCCAAGTGGTGCTACCTAAGTGAAGCTTCAAGCTGTATGGACATCGCCTTGGGACTCTCGGTGCCGCCATGTACACCTCATGCCATTTCAGTTTCTCTCCCGACGTGGCGTGACAATGTAGGGTACGAGGAGGGCGAAAAACGAGTAGTAGATCGCATGGTATCTGGTTACCCCAGGTTTTTCATCCACTTGAAGATTAAGCAGGTATGTGTGATCCACTGCTCTAGATGCCATAAGCTCTTCATCGTCTTTAGCTTGTAGAAATCTGCGAACAAAAATATGCAGTTGGGAACGAACGCTGCATGCTTTTCCCCACACAGCGCATCGCGGAGCAGTGTCGATCTTACATCCAGCATCGTTCACAGCTGGTCAAAGCACCAGTGTCCGCACGCCTGGTGCACCTGTGCATTTGCCCCGAGGATAAAAAAAATCTCAACTATAGGGAAAATCCCAGCTCAGATGTTATTATTTCCAACTGCGCGGATCTCCACATCGTGCTCTTTCCTGCTGATGCATTTTCAATCGCCAAAGAGTTCTGGCAACACACGGGGATGGGCATATCTAGTCGATTGGCAGAGAGGTGTCTTTCACTGCTTCCGTCTGACGCCACCCAATCAAAACCCTCTTCACCTGTTGCGAGCCGATTTTCTGGAAAGGGGCATAACAGACACTACTCGGTCAACAGCACAGCGTGCAAATCTCCGCCGCCGACGAAATCCCAATTCGCGGTCGCTGCCCTAGCGATAGATGGTTTAAGCAACGATCACGATGTTTATCTTGAGGAGCGATACGGGAGGAACCTCCCTCTCTCAGCAGCGGCGTCTGCGAAGAGGGCTTTACGTCGAAGAATGGCGGGCGTTCTTATCCAAGACAATGCCACTGAGGCACAGGACGAGGTTGTGGCAGGGAAGGAAAACTTGATGGTGGGGCCTAGCTCGCGAGGGATCACTGATGTATCAGAGGACGATGTGTATTTGTTCCCGACAGGGATGGCGGCTATTTGGAATGCCCACAACTACGTTGCCGCTATCCGACCTCCAGCAAAGAGTATCTGCTTTGGGTCAGTCTTTGTTGCTCAATTTGCATCATAATACGTTTCCATCTCTGCCATCTATAGATTCCCGTACACTGATACCCTCAAGATCTTGCAAAAGTGGGGCCCGGGATGCCATTTCTTTGGTACTGGGCTCGATTCGGACGTCGACGAACTGGAGAGAGTCTTGGAGGAGGAAGTAGCGCGCAATCCGATCACCCCTCCGATACTTGCATTAGTAACGGAATTTCCATCAAATCCTCTGCTTCGTAGTGCCAACCTTCCCCGATTGCGTGCCCTCGCGGATCAATACGACTTTCTGATTATCATTGACGAGACGATTGGCAACGTTGTCAACGTTGAAGTGCTTCCCTACGCTGATATCGTAGTCAGCAGCCTCTCCAAGATTTTCAGCGGCGTAGCCAACGTCATGGGCGGCAGGTATGCGCCCAACAGTTATTGGTGGCTCTCGCTCATCCAGTTCACAGTTTAGTTCTGAATCCCAGACGCCGCCACTACCAAGCCCTTAAGGCCCACCTCGATGCCACGTACGAGGATGTCTATTTCGATGAAGACGCCATTTACATGGAGCGCAACTCGCGCGATTTCAAACGTCGAATCAGAATTATTGATGCCAACACCGAAGCAGTCTGTGACTTTTTGCGCTCACGATCCCTGGCTGCTGGCGCTACCAAGCCTGCCATCAAAGAGGTGTTTTACCCGAAATACATTACCACGGAGAATTATGAGCATTGTCGCCTAAAACGCGTTGATCCTGACGATGGGAAAGTAGGCGGCTATGGAGGCCTGTTCTCTCTAACGTTTACGTCGGGTGAAGCATCGGAGGCATTTTTCGATTCTCTGCCTTGCTCTAAGGGCCCGAGTTTAGGAACCAACTTTACTCTTGCCTGTCCGTTCACCATCTTGGCTCACTTTGCAGAGTTAGACTGGGCAGCTCAATATGGCGTTGAGGCGGGCCTTGTGCGCATCAGCGTAGGCATGGAAGATATCGACGAGTTGCTGGTCTCCTTTGAGAAGGCATTAAAAGCAGCTGAAGCTACCGTGATTTGACTTTGAAGAGGTACAGTTGTTGTTGGCCTCTTTTTCCATTCTCCGTCCTCAACCTTCAGCTAGGTCCTCCAACAGGCCTTATATCCATTCATTTATTGATTGAAATTTGTATCCAACTACAAACTTGTTGTGTCTACTGACCCCTGCAATAGTCGCGGGTTTCTGCACTTGCGGAAAATTTTAACCTCGAAGTGGGTCTTCCAACAGACCTTATATCCGCTTCTGTATTTTACTTTGTATCCAACTACAAACTTATTGTATCGTTGACTTTGGGACCCCGCCTCAAAGATTCAGAGCGGGCGAATCCAATATGTACTAGTAAGTTCGCGTTCACTTTGTGTACGCGTTGTTTGTCCATCCAAATTGAAGGGTCGTGCAACTGTGACTTTTCTGTCCCCTTCTTCCTTGCTTCTTCCTTAGTGGCTTCCACTTACCCAAACCCATAAAGCCGAACATGGGGATTTCTGGGCTTCTCACAGCACTTAAATCGATTCAAGTCACCCGACATCTTTCGGAATTCTCAGGTCAAACACTTGCTATTGACGCTTATGTCTGGCTACACAAGGGTGTCTTTACCTGTCCCACAGAGCTGGCCACAGGTAAAAATACACACAAGTGAGTAGTAACTTGTCCGTTGCAACGAAAGCGAATGTTTACAATGATTAGATACGTTGACTATGCCATGCACCGCGTGAGGCTCTTGCAATATCACAATATTCAACCCTACATTGTCTTTGACGGCGGTCCACTTCCAGCCAAGAAGAACACTGAATCAAGTCGAAAGCGGAGACGTGAGGAGCACCTTTCTCGTGGGAACACCCTCGCATTACAGGGGAAGCACCGTGAGGCTCGAGAGTGCTATGTCAAGTCTATGGACGTTACACCGCAGATGGCGTACCAATTCATCAAGGCACGTTTCTTTTTCTCCATGAATCGTCGCCAGCTCATTTTTCCGAACACAGGCTCTACGCGCGGAGAATATTCCCTATGTGGTCGCTCCATATGAGGCAGATGCTCAGCTAGCTTATTTGGAAAGGATGGGAATCGTGAATGGCGTTATAACGGAAGACTCGGACCTGCTCGTTTTCGGTTGTCAAAATGTTTTGTTGAAACTCGACGTCGTTGCCAGCACCGTCATTTCCATCTCGCGCAAAGATTTCGGTACTGTCACTGCTCGTAGATCTGACCCCAATAGCATCTCGCTCGTCGGTTGGTCTGATGTGCAATTTCGGGCCATGGCTATTTTGAGTGGATGCGACTATCTGGGAAGCATACCAGGGGTCGGCTTGAAGACTGCTTGTTTCCTTCTGAGGAAGTGGAAGTCTGTAGAACAGGTTGTGCGAGTAATTCTTCTGGAGGGGAAGAAGTCGGTTCCGCCTGGTTACCTTGAGCGATTCAGACTGGCGGAAAAATGCTTCCTGCATCAGAGGGTGTATTGTCCCTTGGAGGAGAAGCTTGTTTACTTGAGGCCCATCGACGGGGATTGGGATGAGGACGCGGAAGCTTATGTTGGAAGGTGGGTACATTCATACTTGTTGAGCTCAGTTGCTAAGGAGATTTCAGCGACATCGATATAGCTCTGGCGAAGAAGTTGGCTATTGGTGATGTTGACCCGATTACTCTGCTGCCTATGGAAGATATCAATCCTAGCTTTGCACCCCGTGCTAAACTTACTCCAGTGGCTTCCACTAGCAAGTCAAGTAAGGGCAAAGGCAAAATGAAGGAAAAACCCTCGAGTGGGGGTATTCTCAACTTTTTTGGTATGACGATACCTTCCCTCTGTATCTTGCAACGTAATCGCTTTTCTGCCAGGTCCAAATCCTATCATACCCCCCCAAACGACCCAAGGGCAGCCCATTGTATGCAAGCAAGGCTGGAATAGGCGACCCAGCGGCAAGAGGACACTAGCAGATGTCATGGAGGACGACATGGCCCAAAAGAAGCGTCGCCAAATATCCCCTCCGAAGTCTGTTAACTCGAAGTTCTTCGGTTCTTCCAGGGATACTTCAGCCCACCACAGGCGCGGTGATGAAACAATCGCCGTGGCTGGGCCGTCTCACTCAAGTGCCGAAAAGGAGAATATATTTGCCCTTGTGGATGACGACGAAGACGACGGTCTCGATGGCTCTGATATGTCTATGAAGGCTCAGATTTGCCTAGAGACAGAGTTAGATTTTGATCTGGAAGAAGTCGATGTAGTGGAACAAGAGGACGGTTATATTTCGCCTTTGACGTCGATATCCAGAAATACGGAAGAACTGTCCTCCCCTCCTCGCCCTGGCCAAACTCCCAAACCTTTCAAACGACATCATGCGGAAGGTGATGTTTTCGAGGTTGACGATGTCCCGAGTCCCGTCGCCCAACGTCGTCCCTGCTTGGATCGTCCAAGTGACCATTCAGATGATGGAAATCCTGATCCCACCGGAGATAATACTTCAATCTATTTGGGTCCAGATCTGCGCGGCACACTGGGTGACGATCCGACCAGTGAAATTGATTGCTCTGAGGACGATAGACAAGATCATTGCTCTGCAGGCTCGAATTCTGCATCTCCTCCAAGTCCATCTCCTGAAACTCCTGTTGGCAATCCCCCTTCCAAGTCGCTCAGAGTCGTCATCGACATGGATGGATTGGATTGGATTGATCTCGAGAATCAGCGGTCGATTTCCGAGAAAGCAGTGTCGGATGGCTGGAAGGCGCGATGGACATTGAACCACCCAAAAGCACCTCCATCCAAGCCCAGTCGTTTCAAATCACTGAGGAGAAGTGAAAGCAACGTGACTCCTGCAGGGCGGCATACGCTTGTTAGATCGCAGCGTGCTGTTCCTTCAAAGCGGGTCGTCTTGAAAGGCGATGCACCCCAAAAACCAAGGCGGCTACAGCCTCATGAGGCAGTGTGGGCGAAGTCTTCAAAGAATGGAGATGAAGGGTTCGAATCAGATGAGATTGTAGAAATATCAATGGGCGCTAGACCACATCTACATTCGGAGAGAGACGTCATGGCCAGGGCACAAGCTAGGCTCCTATAATTTCGGTGAGATCGATTTCCAGCAACTTTCAAGCTCTACCAATGGTAACAACTGCACAGATGCGGCTGATTATACTAGATTTGCCGCACCTCAGGAGGGCCGCGCAATCGCAACACCATTTCCCTCTAAACACATTATTTTTCAAAATATATCTGTCAAGGGTTGGCCAATAATAATTTAACTTCCGTGTTTGGTTCCAATCCATCCGCTACTTGAAGATTTGGCAGAACAATCACCATTTGGTCGACAAACGATGCTTTTTTGTGGATTTCCCTTTCAGAAAACTGGCCTTTCGTTCCATTAATAAATGGCACAATGAAGCCACAGGGAATCGGGAATCGGGATATGTGTGATTGCTGTGATTGCTCAGTCACGTGCATTTCAAATTTTGACAAAAGGCCCAGGGTATCAATGTCATAACAACGCCATATCATTCCTTCAGGCCATGTGGAAATCTTTGGCAAGACAATGGTTACAAGGGACGAACCTTCGCTATAAAAACCTCCAATCACTCTTGTTTCCCTCATTCCTCTTCTCATTCACTTTCAGGACCGGTTCCTTTTCTACCACTCCGTCTTAATTCACTCCTTCTCTCTTTCTCGCTTAACCCTTTCGAGCTAGTCCTCGTCTTTGCATCGAACTTGCGCCAAAATGTTTTCCAAGATCTGGACATTTGCTATCCTCATCGTTGCGCTCGCACTCCAGGCGCAAGCGCATGCTGGCGTCTCCCCCGTTTTAGGCGTTGCTGGAGCTGCGAAACGCAGTGACGTTAAGCGTCCTAGTGCAGCAAACCCCTGTGGCGCCGGTGTTAACATAGCAGGGACTATTGACAAGTCGACGGCGGTTCAAGCGGCGGCTGATGGCTCCTTCAAGGCAACCGCGGTAGACTTCAACGCGTACGTTAATAATCTCCGTGTTTGTAAAATGCCCTCCCATACCTTCTTTCTTGTAGTGGTGGTGATGGCTCTCGTCAATTTACAGCTCAAGTTGATGCCACTGGAGTTGGCAAAACCTTTGTTGCCGCAAAAGTGACTACAAACGGAGACCCTGTGAGTTTGTAAATGTTGAATCACTTATCATTCACGCATTGAACTCCAATCCAGGCACCCAAGACAGTAGGATCGCAACCGCTTGTTGTCCAATTGCCCGCAGGTACCAAATGCACCGGGGGTGCGACAAAGAATAAATGCCTCGTGGTGGGTCACTATCTTCTCCTAAAATACCGATGTTTGACTGCTGCTCTGATTGTTTTATAGTCGTTCAAAAGCTCTGCTGGCTTTGGTAATTGCGTAGTCGTTCAACAAGGTGGTGTCGCCGCCACTGCTGGCAAGAAAGTTGCTGCCGTACGTGGATCTTTTCCCCATCGTCATGAGCCGGCCTGACCCAGTCTCAAACAGGGAACACGCGCTGCCCGTGCCATGCTCGCAGGTCTGGAGACGCGCTTCGAGGACACTGCCGCCACGCTCAAGCGTAGTATTACAGATTGGATGTGGGTTTGAGAAAGTTCATTGGGGGTTATTTAAAGTTCTCCGCCCTCGCTCGTTCGTAGGTAGTGAATACTTAAAGGGGTGATGTTTTTATGCCGAGACGTCGCAAGCTGATGAGCAAAAGGGTGTCTGAACACCGCAGTCGTAAATCTTTGCTGATGGGCCCGGTTGCTTTGCTCGAAGGGCTAAAGGCCCGAAGAGTCCGTCCTGTTCATGGAAGAACTTGAGGACACCGATATATTTTGAGTGCATCACGTTGACGGCATCACTGCCTTTGCGGCTAGATGTCGTGAACATGGGAGCTCATGGGAGAAACATTTCGTACATTTTCAAAGGCTGAGCGCTGAGCTGGCGGCTGTGTGTGCCCGTTCGAAGCTCAGCCTCGCCGCTAAGCATTGCTTTGTTTGTCTCCAATTGGTCCAGGAACCCCTAAACCTCAAGTACTTCAGACAACCATCAAGTTCGAACTCGATCTCCAGACCCGTTCCTTTCTCTTACCCTCAACCCAAGTACCCGCCCAATATCGTCGACAGCGTCGGCAACGAATTTCATCTCTCCTAGTAAATCATGTGCGGAATCTTTGGTTACTGCAGCTTCTTGAAGGAAAAGGTTCGTCGATCTTCCTTCTTTTCAACCCCAGAATGTAGTGCAAGTCCCGATTGGAGGAAATCCTTTGCATCAGGAGATTATTGTTGTTCCGCTGTATCTCGGCAGCGATTGACTCATTTGTCTCGAGATCGTCCACTTCAGCCATCCTGATATGTTCCCATTTCACAGAGTCGGAAAGATGTCCTTGAAGTTCTTTGCTCCGGTCTTGCTCGCCAAGAGTACCGCGGATACGACTCGGCGGGTCTTTGCATTGATGGCGACAAGCCTGGCCAGGTCATCTACTTCAAGGAAGTTGGCAAAGTTGCCGGCCTCCGCAAGAAGATTGCGTTGTCTTCGGTCAACGTTGAAAAGACCACCGTTTCTCAAGTATCAATTGCCCACACACGTTGGGCCACTCACGGTCCTCCCTCTGAGATCAATTGCCATCCCATTCGTTCAGATCTCAACTCCGAGTTCATTGTCGTCCACAACGGGATTGTGACCAACAGCGCCGAGCTTAGACTCGTGCTACAGAAGCGAGGTTACAAGTTTGAGACCGAGACTGATACTGAGGCCGTTGCGATCCTTACCAAGTATATTTACGACTCTCACAACGACAAACGGCCTAGTTTCACTGATCTAATCAAGTCCGTCCTGAAGGAGCTTGAGGGATCCTTTGCCTTCGTTTTCAAGTCTTTCCACTATCCCAATGAAGTGGTGACCGCTCGTCGTGGGTCGCCCCTTCTCGTTGGCGTCAAGACTGACAAGAAGCTCAAGGTTGATTTTGTGGATGTCGAATTTGCTGGACAGGATGTCAATGATACCCGAGTCGACGCACGTACGTCCTTGTGCTGCATTCCCTGAATGTTGCTGATCAACGAAATTAGTTCAACCCAATTCTCCAAGCGCCCTCCTTGCTGTCCCTTCCGCTAATCCCAAAGTCCTCAGGACGCAATCCCGCGCATTTATGTCGGAGGATGGCCTGCCTCAGCCCATCGAGTTTTTCATTGCGTCTGACGCCGCCGCCATTGTCGAACATACCAAGCGTGTCCTTTACCTCGAGGACGATGACATTGCCCACATCGCTGAGGGCGAACTTCATATCCACCGACTTCGGCGCAAGGAAGAAGGTGATCAGTCACCAAACCAGATTGCGGCCACCCGAACCATTGAAACTCTCGAGCTGGAAATCGCTGCCATTATGAAGGGCAAATTTGATACTTTCATGCAAAAGGAAATCTACGAACAGCCCGAATCTGTTGTCAACACTATGCGTGGACGTGTCAACTTTGACGAATACAGGATTACTTTGGGTGGCCTCCGTGCATATTTGCCTATCATGCGTCGTGGCAGGCGTATTGTCTTCATTGCTTGTGGGACCAGTTATCACTCCTGCCTTGCCACTCGTGCCATATTCGAGGAATTGACAGAGATTCCTGTCAGCGTTGAATTGGCTAGCGATTTCTTGGATAGGAAGACCCCTATCTTCAGGGATGATGTCTGCGTTTTCCTTAGTCAAAGCGGGGAGACTGCGGACACGATCTTGGCGCTGAGGTACTGTATGGATAGGGGCGCCCTTTGTGTTGGCGTTGTGAATACTGTCGGTTCAACGCTTTCTCGCGAAACGCATTGCGGTGTTCACATCAACGCTGGCCCGGAAGTCGGTGTCGCTTCCACCAAGGCGGGTTTGCACGTTTTCGTTCAAACTTTGTCGTCTGATGTCAACGGTTGATATAGGCCTATACCTCTCAATATGTCGCTCTTTTGATGATTGCCCTGCAGCTTTCTGAGGATCGCATCTCTTTCACGGAACGCAGAAACCAGATTATTGACGGTCTGCACGCATTGCCTGCCCAGATCAAGAAAGTCTTGGAACAAGATAGCTCTCTGGAACAGCTGGCGATGACAGTTGCGGCTAATAAAAGTCTTTTGTTGATGGGTAGAGGCTACCAGTGCGTAGAATTTTTCCCATTCTGTTCTGCTCCTATCTTATCCCATTCCAGACATGCCACTTGCCTCGAGGGAGCCCTCAAGATTAAAGAAATAAGCTACATGCATTCGGAAGGTGCAAATGTTGTTTTTATGTTTGACTCTGTAATCTCACCATGATTTTCTCCTAGGGATCCTTGCCGGAGAGCTCAAGCACGGCCCTCTTGCCTTAATCGACGAGAACATGCCGGTGATCATCATTATGACCCAGGATTCTCTATACCCCAAGGTTCAATCTGCATTTGCCCAAATCACTGCCCGCAAAGCACAGCCTATTGTCCTCTGCAACGAGGGTGACGACGGCATCCCAGCTAATGCAAAGACTATTCGCGTGCCAAAGACTGTGGACTGTCTGCAGGGTTTGCTCAACATCATACCCCTCCAGCTTTTAGCCTACCATTTGGCGGTGAAGAATGGATGCGATGTTGATTTCCCTCGCAATTTGTGAGTCGCCTTTTTTTTTTCGTCTCTCACCCATTCTGATGTTTTTTCAGGGCCAAGTCTGTGACTGTCGAATAAGCGAAGTTACCCTTCTTTGGATTACGCATGGATTCCATCATGAACTTTTTTTTCTTTTATCAAGCCATTGGACCCCCCTCTTCTCCTCACCCTCCCCATCTTTGTACGTAGGTCGAAGTATAATGGACAGTACAAAAGTTACTGGCATGTAGTTTTTACGGTGTACTTGGGTGTCACCCCATCTTTTTCACGGACGGCTTAGTACTAGTAGGTTGGTCAGTTTGTTGAAATGTCAACCTGGAAATATCTTGTCATCATTGAGTTTGCGTTGTTTGTCACGGAATAATAAGTAGCAGAACTTCTAGTAGGAGGCTGCATTGGATCAACATTGGATTTTCCAATTGACTCTTGAGGAGACTCTATGTTTGCTTGTGTTGATTATCGACCAAACAAGTACCAATGTGTCCTGTCACGGTTCTGTATTGGTTCTGTAAGGATTTCGACCACTCAACATCGTGTTGGGATGGCACCCCAACCTAAAGCGTCTTCTGAATCCCTAAAACAGAAGAGTCTCAAGTCATTCTTCTCTAAAGGTCCTGCCAAAGAGGCCGCCAAATCTACTCACAATTCACCAAAGACTAACGCGATAGGGAAAGCAGCTCCCTCCAACTCCGTACCAACCGCGTCAAAACGCAAGGATATACCCTCTTCTTCTCCGGAGCCAAAAACCCCCGACTCTAAATATCCTAATGCGCGGTATTTGAGCTCGCCGCCTGCTGCTAGCCCCGCATCCTCTCTTGGGATGACCACCCCGCCGACGAGCGATGCGATAGACGTAGATATGTACTCACAAGAGGAGGAAGAGCCTCGTTCGATTAAGTCGGTGCGTATTAAGTGTCCCTATTTAAGCTATTCACATATTGAGTTATTCGCCAGACTCACGGGAAGCGTAAAGTGGTAATTGAAGATTCAGATGAAGAAGCCTCCAAACAGCGCAAATCTTCTCATCGTAACTCCTCGCCTTTAAATGCCATTCAGAGTATGTAGTAGTTACATTCAACTAAATATTAATGCTCATGGGTTGAACAGACAAGCACGCCAAGAAACCACGCATATCCATGGTACTCAGTGACGATGAAGACGAGGACAGAGAAATATCGACCTCGGTCACATCCTTCACCCAACGGTTCACTCGTTACAAAAAATCACCCAAGAAGAAAGGTCCGTAGCTTCCTTTTTTCAAAGTCACATTGAAGCTCAGCCCCCAAAAGCGCGTTCAAAGGCATCAGAGACAGAGGATGACGACTTCATTGCTCCCTCGGACTCCGACGTCGAGGTTAAATCAACCAAATCTTTTTCTTCTCGCTCCTCTGCGTCTTCTCATCGTTCACGCGCCTCGTCTGAGGAGGAATCGGAGGACGACAAGCCTAAAAAGAGCAAATCAAAGTCGACTCGCGCGCTTAAACAGACCTCAGCAAAGGAAAAAGCTACCAGGGTCGCAGAGTCAGCATCTGGGGGCTCCTCCATGTTCTTGACCAAGGCGGAGCAACGTGAGATTGGGAAGAAAGAAGAAAAGAAGGCCGCTGAGTCTCCTTACTCCTTCTTAGCTGATATCAAGGATGTAAGTTACGGTTATGGAGATTACAGAGATGTTCTGATATTCTTTTAGAAAGATGGCAGGAGGCCGGGAGAGCCCAACTATGACCCTCGAACCATTTTTATACCAAAGAGCGCTTGGAAGGATTTCACTCCATTCGAGACACAGGTATACCATCTTTGTTCGCCATCTGGTCATTTCTCATGCGTTTTCCACAGTTCTGGGAGGTTGGTTTCCGTCTCATTTAAAGTCTACTCATTCTTGACACAGTTTTTTTTTTCATCGGAAGATCAAGCAAAACCATTACGATACTGTGAGTAAAGCCAGGATGTTATGGAACTTTTCTGAACTAATAACTCTGGGGACAGATTTTATTCTTCCAAAAGGGGTCTGCTGCGTTCATTTAACGACAAATTTTTTGTAAAAACTGATGTTTTTCTTTGCTGTCCAGTAAATTCTTTGAGGTAAATTACCTGCTCGCCGTAAAAACCCTCAACTGACCACATTGTTTTTAAGCTTTATGAAGACGATGCTCGTGTTGGACATCAGGTGTTTGACCTGAAGTTGACATCGAGAGTCAAAATGTCAATGGTAAGGTCTGGAAAATTGAATTATCATATGCAGCCTGACCCCTCGTGTCAAGGTTGGTGTCCCAGAAATGTCCTTCAACTTTTGGGCAGCGTAAGTCATCTTTTTTTTTTCCAATTTCGAACCCTCACTCACTGAGGAGTAGGAAATTCTTGGGCAAAGGTTCGTTGATTCGTTTTCTTTTCTTTCATTAGTAACATTTGCATAGGTTACAAGGTTGGGCGCGTCGAACAAGCCGAAACTGCCCTTGGCGCAGAAATGCGGATGGCTGCGACTAAAGGAAAGGCAAGCGAAGATAAAAGCAAAGATAAGATTGTACGACGGTTCGTCTCTTTATTTCTCACCTTCTTCCCCCGTTAACAATCGATACAGAGAACTCAATAAAGTGTATACGAACGGCACACTCGTCGATCCCGAGCTCTTGACGGACGAGCAAGCTGGACACTGCATTTCTATTTGCGAAGAAGGCTCGGAGCCTTCTAATAACAAGTTTGGAATATGCGTCCTCGAGTGCTCCACATCCCAGTTCAATCTGAGCAGTTTTGAGGACGATGTTTGTCGTACCAAGTTGGAAACGCTGTTACGGCAGATCCGACCGAAGGAACTCGTGTACAAAAAGGTAGGCGAAGTTAAGCGCTGAGAACGAAAGGTGGATTGACTTTTCTTTTTTTAACCCGTAGGGAACTTTGTCCGTGGCGACTCAGCGATTGCTCAAATCGATCCTTCCCCCTGCGTGTTTGTGGACGGGTCTGCGTAGCGTAGAGGGATTCAACTATGAGGCGACACTGCAGGAGATTAAAGCACTTTTTCCCCCTGAAGAAGATGACAATATGGACGATACTGATGAATCTCTATTACCGTCCTCTGTTCCCGACTGCATTCGAGAAATGGGTGGCGATCAAAGCGCAATCGAAGCTTTGGGGTCAATGATCTGGTTTGTTCATCGGGCTAAAATTCTTGATTGAGGGGCTTTCTCTTATATTGATTGGTTTTCTCTCAGGTATCTCCGTCAACTGAATATTGATAAGGATATCCTGAGTATGAAGAATTTCAATGTGTACGATCCAATGAAAAGGGGTCGGGGACTCACTCTCGATGGACAGACTTTGGCACACATCGAGGTTCGTTTATTTGGATCACGGGAATGTCAAGATCATCATTAATATTATCACAGATACTCCTTAATAATGAAGGAACAGAAGATGGGTCTCTTCTGACGTTATTGAGGCGCTGTATCACCCCGTTCGGTACGTGGAGTCGATCTTGTACTGTTCTCTCGTTCAAAGGGCCATGCTGCATAGGCAAACGACTCTTCAGAATCTGGTTGTGTATGCCTCTTTCCGATATCTCGGCGATAAATGCGAGGAAAGTTGGCTGGCCTGCCGATTGTCACATGCTCATATCTGCGCAATAGGCTCGACGCAGTTCAGGACATCCTGAAGCATCCAACCTTTGAGGCGTCCTTCACTGGTGTAGCTAAAGGATTGCCGGATTTGGAGCGTATCGTCTCCCGCATTCATGCTAAGAACTGCCGTATAAAAGACTTCTTGAAGGTCTTGTCCGTATGTCAATCTTTCTCGCCTTTGAGAGGACAATCTAAATGGATTGATTAATGCAGGCATTCAAAACTATGAATAAGGGCTTCAGCAAACTGGCAGATGAGTCGGAAGACTTCGATTCCAAGACCATTCTTGGTTTGCTTCGGAATGCGCCTGATTTATTGCCAAACATAAAAAATGTCCAGAGCATGTACGAACCAACGGAGGAGAAAGGTATGCGTTCTGCCCCCTATCGCTCTTTCGCTCACCGCTGCACACTTCAGAGGCGGATGAGCTGGTACCCCAAAAAGGGAAGGATGCAAGATATGATGAGATTGTAGCGGAGATTGAAGAGCTTGAAGAAGGCCTCGAAGATCATCTGAAGAAGTTTCAGAAATCTCTCGGGTAGAACTTCTTCGTTGATTCATGGCACTCAACAATCTCACTCGCCCATTTCTTTAGGATAAAGCTGGAATACTGGCATAGCCATGTTGGGAACAAGGTACCACTCGCCTTACAAGTACCGTATGAGCCGTCCTCACATTGTTTCAGGAAATCTATTTAATGGAGACCCCCGCAAGTGTGAAGAAAGAGAAGGTCCCGAAGGACTGGAGTAAAAGTGGTGGTACCAAGGTAACCACTCTGCAGCGTATTGAGGAATCTCTTCTTATACGTCTAGGCGAAAACTCGATACGTAGTTGGCTCCTTGCAAAAGACTGTTCGCCAACTGAAAGAGGCTCGGGAGAACCGCAACACCGCTATCAAGGCCTTCAAGTTCCGGCTCTTCGAGGAATTCGACACGGATCGAGTTCTGTGGTTGCGTGCCATCAGGGTCTTTGCAGAACTGGATTGCTTGTTCAGCTTGGCCAAGTCGTCCGCTGCTATCGGAGAGCCTTCTTGCCGACCTGAATTTGTAGAGGGTGATGCCGCTTTTGTCGACTTTGAACAACTGCGGCATCCCACATTGTGCTTGAGCACGAATTTGAAGAGCTTCATTCCGAATGACGTGAAATTGGGAGGTGATGAGGGAAAGATCGCGCTGCTTACAGGTAAGTTCTACCCCCCGCCCCACACGTTATTTTTTTTTTGTTTCAATACATTTATCTTGTGGGTTTTAGGTCCGAATATGGCGTGAGTCTTTTTTATCTTTATTTCCCTGATACATTTTTTCTTAATCATTTACACAGTGGAAAATCCACAGTAAGAAGTATCCATTGAGACTCTTGAGTAGTCCATGACGTGAACCCTGTTTTAGGTTATGCGCATGACGGCCGTAGGCGTCGTACGTTCACCTTTTAATGCCTGGAAGAAGTAACACTGAAAATCATTGTAGATCATGGCGCAACTCGGCATGCTTGTCCCCGCTGCTCGCGCTAAGTAAGAGACGACCTCATATTGTCATATACCTCAAGAAGATTAATGAATTTTAGATTGTGCCCCGTCGACTCCATCATCACAAGAATGGGAGCCTATGACAATATGTTCTCAAATGCAAGTACATTCAAAGTCGAACTTGATGAGTGGTAGGTTGTCTACTCACACATGATGCCCAATCGGACTGAGATTCCCAGTTGTAAAATCTTGCGTGACGCTACACCTAAATCCCTGGTCATTCTTGATGGTCTGTTTTTACACCAATCCTATGCACTGGTCTAACGTCTTACTGGACAGAACTTGGAAGAGGAACTTCAACATTTGTGCGTTCAATGACACTCTTGACATATACTGAAACTGACGGTTGACCGTTCTAGGACGGAATGGCGATTGCTGCTGTCAGTCTCCTGCTCTGTTCATGGTCTTCGTGGCGACTTGTTAACGAGGTTTTATAGGCGGTTCTTCACCAACTTGCAACTCACACATTACCCCTGTCATTCTTCGCAACACATTATAGCTCATTGACGGACGATTTTGCATATCACCCTAACATCAGAAATATGCACATGTCTACAATCGTGGACGAGGAAAAGAGAGATGTATATATCATCCTCTTCTTGTACAATTCAGTTCGCTGACCCCGGCCTCTACACAGCTCGTCTTTATGTTCAAGCTCGTGGAAGGCGTTGCGGAATCTTCATTCGGCACCCATGTGGCTAACCTTGCTGGAGTACCCCTCCCCGTTGTTGAACGCGCCGACGTCATCTCCAAAACTTTCGCTCAACAATTCAAGGAGAAGTTGCAAACTAAAAAGAAACATGATGCTTCATCCAGACTACCTCTCGTCGCACAGGCTGATTTCACGTACCTGTTTAAATTGGCAACAGGACAGCTTGAGCTGCCCGAGAATCCCGTAAGAAGGCAAGAGATTCTGAACCGCCTGAAAGAGACGGTTCAACGCTACCTTCATCACTAATAGTAATACTCTTGCTATCTTGCTACGTTTGACAATTGCTGTAAATAAGACTAATCCCGAGTTGTACATACCATAGATAATCATCCATCAAGAGCACTTCCAACTTCAGTCTGCCTCTGGCAAGCTACCAGATTTTAGTGTATCTCAGAACAAGGCCACCCGACCGGTGATCCTTGTAACCCCAAAAGTCAGTCAGCATATAGTTCGAATTCCCAAGGGACCTTCTGGCTGGGACCAATATCCCCAAACCAGATTCTTCGAAGGCGACAGGTCGCGTAGATGCGAACGTGAGACACGTGCGAATAGCCACCCATCGGGATAGTTCTATTCGGATCTGAACTCCAGCCTCCTCTGCATTCTTCATCATCATGATCTGTTATTACACTAGGAGTCGAGAAGCGTGCCATGACAGTAGGTAGGTGCAAAGCGATTGTGCTCCATGGAGTAAGAAGCCGAGATGAGGTTGGCGGAAAGGAGAGTGGCAGATGGAGAACGGGAGGTTTGTTGTGGCTCAGTTTAAGTCGTGGTCGCGCCTAGTCCAGTTCCTTGAGTACGGTGATGCCAACAAAACGAAGAAATGAAATCAAACTTCTGATAGATAGAAAAAACTCCACAAGCCACATGAGATTGAGCAAACATCGTAGTTATACGTCATTCTTGAAAGGTGAAAGAAAATGCACCTGAAATGTTGACAGTCGGAGGATTCCAACCCGAGCAGACAGATCCACAATCCCAACTTCGAAGGCCCACTCCTTGGATAGATTCCGGACTTGGAGGTGAATCCACGGGTGCTTGATACCGAGACCGTTGACACCTGAGCTATTATTTAAGACCGGGGGTGATTGAATATATGTCGTCGTAATGGTGGGCGATTGGATGTGAAGGACGGTCTGATCTAGGCAATATCCATACGATTCAGAGTCATCCTCTTGGTATTGAAAATGTTGTAGAGTAATTAGTACCGCAGGCGCTGGAGGGGGTGGCTGGGAAAGGCGGTCGTGGAGAAGGACAACAAAGGAATCGGCTGGAAGTAAATCATCCTTGTGTACAGAGAACAAGGCGAGTGGGTCACTTCCTGTAGAGGAGAAAAGGGAAATGATTGAAGGCTGCAACGCCGTTGAAAACATATCAAGTGGCTTGTGAGTGCATATTTGGTTGTCCCTCTACTAGAGCCAGAAAGCCGCCAGATTTTCGGCTTTTATCCTCAGCTTACAAACGTCCATCGTCGCCAATCTCCCGGTATACCGGATAACTGCCTCCAAAGCGTTATAGGCAGATAGTTGACTTTGTCGAGAAAGCACGGTGATTTCGGTACTCCAGAAGCCAGGCTACTAAGATAATAACGCGTCCAGCAGATGGCCCCAGATTCCACGTAAACGATACATGCATACGGCACCAATCGTGCGGTTTACTACTACAATCAAGCTGTCGTTAATCTCTTTAAAGAAATATGCCCGCCCTCGCCTAACAACATGGCCCAAAATCATTCAGTTTGGCTGACTCTCCCCCTTCATTCATCGTCAGCAATCCTTCGTCGGACCAACAATTCAGCGCATTGGATCTGATAATTCAAGGGGCGCGTTCCTTTGTGAAGCCCTTGTTCAGACCACGTTACCCGGAAGGCAGACTCAGGAGAGCACCATCAGTTCGGGAACGAGACATTCTATTAAGGCTTCCGTCCAGGAGGGCGACCCCTGAGCTCGAGGCATATGGCACCTTTGACAAAATGAAGAAGATCAAAGTCCGAAGCATCAGGACCTCAGTCCAAATGAATCACAGACCGGCTTTCTTCATTTTGCTCCCATCCGAGGTAGGTAAGTAAGGGGTCGGTGCTCCAGCATTCCATGAGAGCGGGCTAAATTACGTGGAGTCAGGCGTGAGGTGGAGAACCCACTGGACATTCACTGGACGAGCTTGCTCCGAAGTGTCAATCTGCACAAGGTTCTCAAGTGCTCCAAGCGTCCACTCAACGTCGTGCTCCCATTCCACAACTCGAAGCCAGCCAGCTCCTCGTGCACGCATGCATCCTGGTTCCCGTCCGGTATCTAAAACAAACCACGCGGGGTAGGCAATTTTTGCCCGGTATTTGGCCCTCTCTACCCAGTGCCGCGGAGATAAAATTGTTAGCGCCCCACCTTGCCCATGTGAATTGTTGGCAGCACTTCACTGTTCTACTCGACAACTCGTTCGCATATCCGCAAATTACAACCTCTGTCGCTCCAATATCATCTTCGTCTTGTGATACGTGCATAACACATCAAACTTTTGACTTGCCCCATGTTGGAACCCTGAATACAGTCAAAAGATGATCCTTTGACAGCCAGTCATCCCCATGGCCAGTCGTCCGGAACCCAAACGTTATCACCGTTCTTCAGACCACGGTTACCTGCCAGCGTGCGCATATTTTCAACGAAAAGCATCAAGGTTACAAAACTACGAAATATACTATTGTGTGACGTGGATTGGCAGAGCCTAACCCTGACACAAGGCTTTTTTGTATACTAGACCCCGGCGGCAAGTACCTAGAACAGGCTGATCGCCGATTCGAGGACGAAGAAAGGTGGGCCGACATCGAAAGTCAAGCAAATACATACCCGATCCATCCGGAAGAGAGCCATCTGAAGTTTGATCACATCAGAAGAGCTTTGAAGTATCACCACTTTCATGATAGTGCTTTGTTCATCAGAAGAACGGATCGCGCTCAAACGCCTTGCCACATTCAAGACTTGCACACCAGGCGCTCTTGGGTCATCACCGCAATAGGCAACAACACTCGATTCCACGACCTGGCCATGCAGGATTCGGGATACGGGTCGGATGGTCAGAGTTGAAGACCAAGACCCCTCGCCATAGTTCTGTTTTATACGTCACAGTCGTGTCGCTTAAGATAAACTTGGTCAAGGGTGAGGAACCACGTATGACTGTGGTGGTTACCGTGTCGGCGGGGAACTCCTGTCATGCCACTACTAGTGCGCCGTCTTGTCAACGGCATGTGTCCGAAATTTTTAGCTTGTCCTCGACTTCCATCTCCGACATGGAATGCTCTGGCTTTGTGCAGATTAATACCTCAACTAATCTTTTTCATGTGCTTTACTTACACGCCTTTTTGTTTCCACATCATGAACCTACGGCGTCGATCACTTCGACGGTCTATGAATCCTGTGTTTGTTTCTCTTCACGAGTTGTGCTTTAATATCAAAAAATAGAGTCTCCTGTAACCCAAAGATTTCTGGCGTCCAAAGCGAATAGACCTAGATATTATGGCTTCGATAGGAGTGAAATAGATGTCAAGGTGTACCCTGACCCTGCTCTTCGTGTTTTAGCGCCCGAGAGGAATGGTAGAGGCCGCGACAAATTGTCGGAGACAACTTTGGCCAAGGGCCGCCATCGGGGCGGCTAGTAATTCGGTGGACAACTTCTCATGTTGAAAAGCGACGCCACTGGACCTTGGGCGGCTTATCCGCATGCATCGTACAAGTGAAAAGTTCTGGGGAGCGCATGTGTTCAAGGGCTGTGAAGAATAAACGATCGATAGGATGCATTCGCCGCCTTTAGTAGATGTTTGCTGGTTCTCTCACAAATGATCGTCTTAATCGTTGTAATCTCCCTACAAGATGAGTCGCGTTGACCTTTGGGAAAAAGGAGAAAGATCAATACGCCGGCGATTTGAATTGATACACGCACTAGGTACGCGGTCGTTTTTTAGCGTTCTCCGGGGCCAATTTTAATATGCTTGACTTTGGATCAAATCGAGTTTGCCGTAGGAAAGACGTAAGAAAGGCGAATTTCGCCTGTGAATATGATCTCTTTTGTTGGCGCTCAGGAACGGGTCGTTCGGACGAAAGAGAGTCGAACGATTCATTGAGCGGCTCAGTGTTGGTGTTCGTCCGGACAGTCGTGGTGCACTGATTCTTTTTTCGCGAGTCAGATGCGTCATCAGAGATTGTGCTGACCAGATGGAGCAAGACTGGCCGCAAAATGGTCCGCCGATACATAAGGCTGATACACGAGACTATACAAAAGGTGCCCTCGAAACGGGTGGGCTTGACATAGGGCATACAAGCATAGATGTGCCCTTTTTTTGTTTGACAAGGATGGGAACTCCGTAAGAGCCACACCTTTGGGCCAGAGGGTTAAAAGGTCCAAATCGATAACATAACGAGGCTAAATGCTAGATGAAAGACGGTGTTTCGGAGCAGAGGCCGTGAGGTGACAATTCGGACTCGGACTGTTGAGTCTGATGAGATTGGCGGACGAAGGCGCGCCAAAGTCCAGTTTAAAAAGCTGGGGAGACCAGGTAGACTAATAGAATTTGATTGGCGTTGACAGATTTCAGAGACAGAGGATAACCGGGAAAACGGTGCAAGATACTAGAGGCAAAGATTCAAGGAGCTGTAGTAAGTGTGACAATGACATGAAATTCGCGGAGGTTGAATTGATGGCGGAATAGGAAGGTCGTGTGTCACGCAGTGGCGTTGAACGCGAATCCATCTGGGAAGACACCTATTTGCAGAAACAGGTCGAGATGAGGTGCACCCTGGAATATGCACTCACAAACGCTGCCGCTACTAGCTTGGTTTGAACGAATGTTGAACCAAGCTTGTGAACCGCACTCACGTTTTTGCTAGGGAATTGCATCAATCGCAGACTGGCGAACTGGATCTGTGATCCTCGGTCAGGCTGCAGAATCGAGGCATGCACAACTGATATTTCAACAAATCGTCAACCAACAATATAAGTCGCTGCCAATGCGTCTTTGCGCCCTTTCAAATCATGGCCCATCTTCAACGACGTAGCGGCTCGAGTGCGTTTCAAGTTAGTAGTTATCCACACCGTAACTACTATCTGCCGTCCTATCCCGCTCCAGCCTACCCCACTCCTTCACATCCACCGTCAGAGCCCTGCTACCCAATCTCAATCCCATCCCCGCCTCTTCAATTCTCCTCGCGTCCCTACAAAAATGATCCTCCCCGATCCCCATCCCTAACACCCAATTTCGCCCCAAACGATATTACAGATGACCTTTGCGCACTCACCGACCAATCAGACTCTCCACGTACAACATCATCACCCCCTTGTTCTGTTAAAGTGGAGCCCGAAGAACCCGATGGCTGTTTTATTATGGAGCGCCCCTCACTCGGCGGCCCGTTTGTGATGCACAAGTGCGCACCTCCGACCGAGGTGCCTCTCCGCGCGACCCATGCATCTAGAGCCATGCTCAAGATGATGACCGTGTTTCGTCTGAACCCGTTTGCGATGCACAGCGGCAAAGGGCGAAGCGTCGTATCTCCAACTTGGCACGGGGGAGAGGCGCGTCCGCTCGATGAGGAACCGATCGAGTTTGTATTTCAGGTTGATTTAGAGGACGTCGATTCGATCAATGCCTCTCCTCTTTCCAATACCAATAAACAAGTTCGTTTTTTCTCTCCAGAGTTTCAACTCTACCGGGACGAGTTGAAGAATCAGGATCGGCCCAAGTATCCGTCAGAGGATACATCGGTAGATTGGGAAGAGCTCGAATATCCAGCAGAGGAACATCTGCCATCTGCAAACCTGACCGGTAGTTATTTGCGCCATCAGACGCGGCTTCATAACAGTAAGCCGTCTATTTTTTTAAATTCTTTCTTCTGGTAGATTAACCAAGTAATATCGTAGGCGTCTCTCATCCATATCTACGCAAAAGCCAAACCCACGACCAAAATCAGACCTCGCACACACAATACACCAATTTCTCGGTTTCTGCATCGAATTCATATCTGGACCTTCACCGAATGCCCCCTCCTATTCTCGATGGTCGAACGCGCTCCGGGATCTGGGATTCGTGCTTTGGAGGTGCGGAAAGAGCAGGATACGCTCCTCGGCGTAACAATTTCGCAGACCCTTCTTCGGATTCGGATTCTCCTGTCTGTGAGGTTAGTCCTCATCATTTATCAATGAATAAACATCTTCTATCGGTTCTGATGAGTGAATTACGTTGCGTGATTAGGCGGTTGACCTCCCTTCCGATCTCGTTCAAGACCATATCCACCCAAGTGGAATTGCTATGAACGTGAGCCGACGCTGGTCCCTACCAGAAAATAGGGCACCGCCAAATGGGCCTTTCCTGATGTGATCGTCTGCTCCTCTGTCCAGCCTCAACTACTAGGGCCGCTTTTGATCATTACTTCTCGGTTTCTGCGCGTCCCTGTCCATCTGATTTACTGCATCGCTCCATGGGAATCGCAGCCGTCATTGGTTTAAATTTTTCTTGGATGGACAATGTACCTCTCCTCTTCATCGCTGCTGCATCATCATATCTGCTTTCCTTTGCTCTCATAGTCTTTCTTAATGCGATACCCCTTATATGCGAATATTTTATCTTGACATGCTATCGATATTTTTTGGTTGCTTGTAACGAGTATGTAACGTTGATGCGGTTTCACCATCTCTTTGATGGAATAAATTCAGCCGTTGGGTGAGCGCTCCGAGTCGCCTCTTGAGCGGGGCACTTCAATCTAAAGTCGAATTGGCCTTTCAATTTTACCCTTTTCTGAGTCGCCCTAGCTACCGATAAACTCATTGACCCTGGCCTACGTGCGGTGTATATCTGCTGGAATGGTGTCGAAGCGGACATAAGAATAAAGTGGGAAATATATTTTGACAGGGAGAGCTAGTAGGTGACTTCAAGCGCAAGCTACCGTCGTTACCAGCGAGCTAGAGAGTCTTCTATTTTGGTAAGAACCTCACTGTCGCCGCCAAGTCGCCGCCCGCGTTCTCGTCGTTTTGGATGCGACCGGCGAAGAATACCGCTGTCGAATATGCGCAGATGTTTTTCTCATACGAGGGTTGCTGATCTTGAATTCTGCGCAATTGGACTAAATTTGATGCTGGGAGAGTCATTCAAATTCCAAGCTTTGGTTAATATTGACGCGACGCGTTGATCACGTGTGCGTCAATTTTTCGCTAATTTTAAATTCGTGTGAACCTGTTTCGCACTGACTCCTGAAGACTGAAAGTACTGAACATTGGAGGAGTTCTGAGCCCTTTCACCTAGCATCAAGTTTAACGCATTTTCATTTCAAAGTTCGTCCTAAGCGTGGAGTAAAGGCTGCGGAGCAATCGGGGGACCTCCTTTCAACTTAGGGCACTCCAACAATCCTTATCACTGGACCCATTCAGAACGCCTCCTGAGTACTAGCGATCATTCAATGGCTGCCTGGGATTGCGACGCCACGCCCACACGTCCACGTCTCAGATGAAAAACAGAACTGATGCTGTGTTTTTGGAGTCAAGCAGAGTCAAGCTGCCTCTTCTTCATTGGTTCTTCACCGTCAAGTAGAAAGTCGTCTTTCGCCAGAGTTCATTATTAGTTGGATGAATGCTTCCTGGAGTGATCTGCAGAAGCCCCTGGACTGGTGGTATGGCGTAAGTAGGTGGGACAGCTAACAATCATGGCGCAGGCTGCGCAGCTAGAGATTTAATTGAAGGACTAGGACTAGTCCTTGTTGAGTCCTTGCTGGGGATGCGTTGTGTATTCATTTTGATCGTAGAAGCGCCGTGCGGATCCTCCTCGACCAAAATAACAACCCTGATGCTAGTGAGGAGTACCCACTGCCCAGGTCCGATATGCGCTAGAAGTGGGGATAGGAGTGCACCTCTCCGTGGAGGTATTAGGGAGTGAAGAACGTAGAGCATGACTTCACATTTCACTGGTGCGTTAAGTAGAGCACGGATTACCATGTTGGCCGCCGCGAACAAGATCCCCGCATCGTTTGCTATTCACGTATGTGGTGAGCTGCAGGCTTGGATGGTGGGCTGAACCCTCAAAGGCCAATGAAATCACGAAGGAATTCAGGATGGGGCAATCGATTATCTTTAACCTCTAGTATTACAGCCGTTTGCATGTAATCACCCGTAGATTTTGTTTTTTGGTGCCTTCAAAACCCGTCCTTGGACTGCAGTTACCCTCGAGATTCAGTGCTTCAGCGCTCATGGCATTGTACGACGCACAGCTCAATACGTGCTATACTATCTGGATGATTCTGTGGGGAAAGAACAGCATTCTGGCCAAGGGAGAAGGGCCGATATTCACAAGGTAGTTGATTCGACTCAACTTGGTCCAGTTCGATTGAATATAAAATACACACAAATGTATCGTAGATTTTGATGTCGAGCCCTGCACCGCCAGGCTGATAGCGAGTTGTCGATGACGTTATCTAGCGGTTTGTGACAAATTGGCAGTAGAGTTGCTCCGTCTGGGTTTGTTGTGGTCATTTGCGTACTTGTGCAGGAATCTACGAACACTGGATGAAGTCGTCGTCGCGTCATGCTTGTTCCCCAAACTGTCGGCCAGCTACTGATTCCATGCGGACGAACTCCATTGCAAATTTCCTGGACGTCCTTCAAAGTGCCGTGCAATGGTCCAAGGTTTAGGTCGTCTACGTCGGAATCCCCTTCCCCGCGTCCTTTTCTTCAAAGAACGTGAGCCGAAACTCTTCAGAAACTCGGTCAGGACGCCCCCGGGCCTTGGCGAGGTTCTGCTCCATACATTCTCTGCATGAAGAGAATAACGTCAAAATCTCGGCTGAGAAGACAAACTTCGGTTTCGCCGATAACCTTGTGCTGAATCTCCTCCTATTGTCAGACCGCTATCTACTTATGTAGTCCATCAGCCGTCAATTGTCGGTAACCCGCTGTTGTCAAAAATTGCCTAATTGATAAACGGAGGAAGTAGACTGGGATTGCGGAAGAAATAGCATCATCCGTCGAGAATGACGCTGACTGACGACCTCTGACGACGCGCAGACATAGTTTTTCTCGTCGGGTGCAAAGAGGGCGGATTCTCAGGCGGAGTACTGGCGAAGTTTAACCTCCGACATGCTAAGAAAAGAAAACCCACGCGGAAGCCACGAGAGCACCCTTGGCACTCCACGCGACCAACGATCCACCGATATTCAACTTTTACCACCCAATATCCATTTATCTTCCACACTCCTTCCTTTTCCTTAATTGCCTTCGATTTCTTGTACCTTTAAATCACTTATTTCTACATAGATCCCAGTAGCCATCATGTGCGGGGCCACTATGGGGCAATGTGGAGTCGATTCGCACTCAAGACAGTGGAAGCGGCGTAGTGCAGACATCGGGGGGCTTCATCTGGCTACTGGGAACAGCGGACGGGGGCAAGGATGGGTAGGAACCGAAGTTGAGTACGTTGCAGCTTGATTCCCGAATGAGTGCCTGTTCTGAACAGCCTCCAGAACTCGATTCGCAGAGCTTCTCAGTGACATGTACAACCAGACATTGCATGCTGTCAATGAATATAATCCGGATTTGTGTGTCCGTTTTCTGCCTTCATCTTGTCCGCAACTAACCCACACTAGCGTCCCTGCCCACCTGCCCAACGAAGTTCGATCTCGGCTCATCAATACGTTGGATTCTTGGCACTTTGAACCCCATAAGCTCTTAGACGATGAGGTGCTAGCATGCACTTTGATTCTTTTTGAGGCGGTTCTTCGTATCGAGGGGATGGAAGAAACCATTTGCATATCGATGAGTGAGTGTAACCACCATATCATCCAATCCATGCTCAAGTATTCTGTCTTCGCACTTCTAGGACAATTATCTGCTTTTGTTCATCATCTCCGTCAAATATACAGATACGAGAATACTTACCACAATTTTGAGCATGCTCTCGATGTGCTCCAGGCAACTCACTCGTATCTACGATCAGCGGGCATGGTTCCCCCAGTCTCGATACTACTAGAACCTGGACGGATGTGGAGGGTCAAGAAGAAGTTTGATAGCGGTCCTCTGATAACAAGTCTGGGGTTGCGGGACCTTTTTGTGCTCTACGTTGCAGCCATTGGACATGACGTTGGTCACCCTGGATTCTCAAACGTTTTCATGGTAAGCCTACTTGTATCTGGCAATTCTATCATATGCTCCAATTTTTGTCGTTTTCCAGAAAAATGCGCAGACCCCGCTCTCCATCGTATTTGACGGTAAATCTGCGCTGGAGCAGATGCATTGCCAACTCCTGCTTCGAGTCATGCGATATCATGGACTGGGTCCTTTGCTGGATGACGCGATACACGGAAGTCATTTCCGTAAACTACTCTGGAATACGGTTCTTGCGACTGATATGAGTGTGCACTCTGATTTCATGCGGCGCTTTGAGGAGGCAATAGATAATAATGAGGGTGCATTGTATACCCGTCAGGTCATCATCTGTCAAGCGATTTTAAAGAACGCAGACATCAGTAACCCGGTCAGTTTGAACTTCCAATGTTTCGGAGCTGCCAGCCTTACCCTCTTTGTAGTCTCGCCCTTTCACTGTGTCGCAGCATTGGGCAAGTGCTCTGATGCAAGAATGGTCATCTCAAGCAAAGTTAGAACAGCACTACTCTCTCCAGCAGACAGTTCAAGCTTCGAGTGATCCCCTTGCGGAAGCAAAAAGTCAGATTTTCTTTACGAGTATGTTTGCAAAGCCCCTTCTGGATTTGACTGTCAGAGCGATACCGGGTAAGCTGGCTTTTGATACCTTCTCAATTGCACTCTGATCAGTCTTGTTGACGAATGCAGAGTTGGCTATGTATGCACAACAATGTGATTCGAATGTGGAGAGCTGGAAACTGCGGCAAATCGAGTTACAGTCCGGTCATATTGAATCAACCGTCGATGACATGGCGCATGAGCTCTCACCTCCAAGTTTTACTCGACAGCCTAGTGATTATCAGTCAGCGTTTCCTCTTACTCTTCCGCAGGGACCAGCAGTTGTGTCGCTATCAACATTGTCAAATACCTCGACAGACTCGATTCCAGCGTCTCCTTGTGGATCATTTTCATCATCCATCATCTTCTCACCTACTTCTGAGTCGCATGTTTCCAACGATCCTGAGCCGTCATCTAGCTCCGGCATGAGCAGTAATAGTGGCACGAGCGCTGTATGTCACCCGCTCGATTTTACGCAAGACAACTACGCGGCTATTCGTGCCGCTGGCAAGTTGAGCATTCGTCAGCATAAGAAGATCAATCGGAACTCTTGGTGTGCCACGTCGACTTTGTTCAACCCGCCTCCCCTTTCCTCTCCCGCACACACACCGCCAAACTATCCGCCTTCGGCTCTTAAGCTTCCTCCACCCCCTGCCTCGGCCCCCTCGCCAAATGGAGTCCAGGCCCGGTCCCCCGTTACATTTTTGAAGCCGCCATCGAGGAAGACCTCTGCCTCGTCTTGTTTAGCGCCCGGGAAAGATCTGGGGGAGACCGCCTTGTCAAAGGCGATCAAGGCGCAGGCTAGTCCTGTGGTTTCATGAGACTTGCAATCTGACTGTGGCCAATATTACCTTTTCCTGTCCTTTTTTTCCTCTCCACACGGCACGGGCATTATTACCCGACTCAACGACGTTCCGAATCTAATAAATCTCTATCCATCCCTCAACGCCACTCACGATATCATTTAGAATGAAGAAGTTTCGTTTCTTTCCTGCTGTCTCTATCTCTTCTCTCGTGTAGCCTTCTCGTTCCGGGCAACGTTCTTGCCAGTGTAGTGTATGCATGTCTCCTTGGTTAATCCTTCTGTGTTTATCGCTTTTGTCGCACAACTGTATACATAGGTCGTTTTCTGTAAGTACTTAGGACTTGTTTGATACCAGGGTAGTGGACAAACAACTGGTCGACTTTCGTCAGAATTTCCGCGTCGGAGGTAAAGAATGCAAGCTCACTCAAACCATATCCCGCAACCACCTCACTCAGCCGGTACCGACTACAAAGGTATATATCCCTTTGTCGTCGTCACCCTTGTCGGAACTGAACTCACTGAACAGGTCTCCGGCCCCGGATCGACCCACTCCAGATCCCTTCACCCATTGAGTCAATTTCATTTGACCAGCATGGATGGCAGGACAAGATATACATGACTCTACCGGGATCGCATGCCCCGCTGTGTACTTCGGACTTCGTAGCGGTTGATCAAGGTGCACTCCTTGCCGGTGGGAAACTCTTGGGCATTTGCTGAAGTTAGCTATAGGCAATGCATCTCCTAAATTTATTCGAATGTCGACATGGAATATGCCTAGCACCTCCAAGCTTGCGTCGGCATGCCATATACCATTAGCTGCTGTGCTTCAACCTTTTGCTGACCTCGACCCACGGGAAGAACCTATACCTCTCATCGAGACCGGTGATGCTGGCCCCCCGCGCTGTGAGAGATGTAGATCATATATTAACCCTTGGTGTACCTGGGTCGCTGGGGGCATCAAGTGGAAATGCAATCTTTGTGAACAGGAAACCGAAGGTCTGTTCTTTTAGCTATTCACGCAAGGAAGGTTTCTGATGGCCCTTGCCATCAGTTTCTTCGGAGTGGTTTTGTAATTTAGATGCCAACCTAATGCGACTGGACCATTCACAACGACTCGAATTGAACAAAGGGACTGTGGACTTTGCTGTGCCAGAAGAGTACTGGGCACAGCAACCTCCTCCGACTTTGTCCCAATCCTTCTCGATGGACCCACAACCTTTAGGTGCTAGAAAACCGGAACCGATGAACTATTTCTTTGCACTCGACGTATCGAGTGATGCTGTGATCTCTGGATTCTTGCACGCTGCCTGTGAATCACTACGACGGATGCTGTACGGTGTGGAAGATGGATACGCATGTTTCCCTCCGGAAAGTCGACTTGCCATCCTAACGTTTGACCAGACGCTGCACTTTCACGATCTCTCTGTGCGGTCCAGTTATATTCTGTCCAATTTAAGATGAGATAGGCTAACGCTTGACTAGTCAGATATGACATCTATGTTGGTCGTTTCGGATATAGATGAGGTGTTTGTACCTTTGCAAAAAGGCCTATTTGTAAACCCAGTTGAGCGTCGGTATGTGTTTCATTGTAAACCCGGTTCCTAACGTAAACCTCTCTGGTCTTAGGAGATCTATCGAGGGGTTACTAAAAGCCCTTCCTCGACGATTTACTAATGTAACAACGCGAGATTCCGCGTTAGGATCGGCCATATACGCAGGATTGGCCTCTCTTGTATGCTTCTTGCTGACTACTTTCAATATCTGCTGATGCACTGTTAGGCTGGGCGTGGAGGTCACCTTGTCGTCTTTCAATGCACGAGACCGAGTCTTGGTCTGGGTGCGTTACATGACCAACCCAAAGAAGCGGACCTGTATGATACCGACAAGGAGAAGACATTGCATCAACCGCGTGATAAAACGTGGCTACGAATTGGCACTGAATGTGCTGAAGAAGGCGTTGGTGTCAGCTTTTTCCTTGGACCCAATTCTTTCATGGACGTTGGTTCTGTAGGTGTGGTAGCGTCCCTTACCGGGGGCGAGATTTTCTTCCTCCCTCGTTTTGAGCCCGTCCGCGACGCCCATGTTCTCGACTCACAATTACAGAGGCTTATGCGCCGGTGGCAAGGTTATAATTGTACGATGAAAGTGCGAACTTCAAAAGGTATACATCACTTCATACGGATGTAGTGCAACATGTAATTGTAAATCGACAGGACTTCGAATATCTAACCATTACGGAAACTTTCACAAACGCTCACCGACAGACCTTGACTTCGGCATCTTCGACGCGGACAAGGCCATATCGGTCGAGCTTGAGCACACTGGAACCCTCGATCCTCGTGGATACGCACACATACAGTGTGCATTGCTGTACACTACGGTTTCGGGGAAGCGTAGGGTGCGAGTGTGCAACCTAGCTATGGTCATTGTGCAGCTGGCGCAAAACGTGTTTCAATATGCGGACATGGAGGCTTTGGTATGTCACCTGGCCAGAGAAGGTGCGTTTTGATATAGCAGTGCGAGGGATGCCTGATTCGAGAAACGGGTCACCAGCCATGTCTCAATTGACATCACAGAAGATGTCTACCGTCCGTGAGGACCTTACAGAAAAATGCTCTTCTCTCCTTCTTGGGTACCGCGATCAATGTGCAGCTGGGACACGTGCAACTCAGGTTCGACTTTGTTTCTAATTATGTTGGACACCACGAATTGAATGTTTGGGTTTAGCTGATTCTTCCAGAGGCATTCAAAGCTCTACCCGCTTTCATACTCGCATTACAAAAAAGCAAGCCTCTGAAAGGTACTACAAGTCCTGCGCAAAAAACAACATGTATATACTAATTCATAGAACTCCTGCAGCTCGTCAAGTTTCATCTGACGTGCAAAACTATGAGATACACAGGATAATGTCTATGAGCCCGCGAACTACTATTCATCATCTGTATCCCCAATTGCTCGCTCTCCACGATCTGGACGATAGTACCGCCGCACCCTTTTACACTGAAGGTTCGGACGGTATCATTAAAGAGACAATCACATATCCATTCTGCATGCGGGCTAGCCACCAGTACATGGAAGCAAGTGGGATCTACCTGATTGGTACGTTTTACTTAGCCAATGAAATTTTGCGCTTATCCGTGCATCTTAGATAATGAGGAAATGATGATCTTTTGGGTCGGTTCTAGCGCTTCGCCTCAACTCTTACAGGATTTATTCGGAGTAGATGATATAATGACGCTTAGTCCGCGCACTGTAAGAGAGTGTTCACATTTCTTTGTCTTTCGCTGATTCGCAGTTATTCAGCATCAGCTTCCCGCACTCAATACAACCCTCTCAAACCAAGTGCGAAACATCCTAGCTCACCGATTTGAACAAAGAGGGCGGTTGGTCAGGATGTATATTGCACGACAAAACCTCGACGGCATCGAAATAGAATTCAGTGATATGCTGGTCGAGGACAGGAACAATGGCGCCATGTCATACTTCGATTGTATGCCCAAACGCTTGTCCATATCTGCCGCACCCTTCTTACGCCGTCACAAATTAGATCTGACCATCGTCCATCAACAGATTTTGACTGTTGTAAGAAGCCTTTATTTTCTTCATCGTTTTTTATGTGAATTTTCCCCTTTAGCTAAAACAAGGAGGGCCTTTAGGTGGAGGTGTAAACCTTAGAGGCTCACCATGGTAGGGAAAGTAAGTACCCATCTTGCGACATTTCGTCGAGATGAAGCTGTGGAGCCCTGGAATTGATTTAAAACACATATGTTAACTAATTAAAGGAATGATATTCAGTTGTGGTGATGACACAAGATAACTGGCTACAGCGAACAGAAGATGAAATAAAAGAAAAGGAGGGTTAATTGATGAGCCAACTAAAAGGATCATAGCTTGAGCATAACACCGGCCAAAATAACGAGGAAAGAAAGACGACCAGATCCAGGGAGTGTGAGCAGTGAAACAGCAAATTTATAGATTATTACTTTAGTCGTGGATTGGCACTGATGTTTTGGTGGACCTCCGAGAGCCAAATCGGAGCTTGCCATCGTCGCCACGGCCCCATGAAAAGATACCACCCTCGTGTGATTGGGCGCTACCTGTCCTTGACCGGAATGACCACGCAGGCGAGGAAGGACGTTCCTGTTGTTGAGGATGAGGATTGAGATGTTGGTTGTCAGTGCTGCGACGGTGGCTAACAGTAGCGTGATTGTGATGACTGTGGTTATGATGCCTTCCGGAATGGCCTACGGTATGACGACCATCACAGCATGCGCGAACATTCTCTAATCCTTCAAACCCATCGTCAGACTGTGAGTTGCCATGAAGCTCGAAATCCAAGTCGTCATCATCATGGCCAGGAACATCCACGAAGGATTTATCTGGACTATATGGGCTCTCAGGGCCATTCCACCTCAGGTATTCAAGGGCAGGTGTTCCGGAGCGTTTACTAACGGACCCGCCGACGGAAAGTTGGGATCGACTCCGTTGTCCGCGAGGCGTAATATTCCAAGCCTCCTGACTCCGGGCGCTGCGCTGGCTCTCAGGGCTTGACACCATCGGCGGCCGGCGTTCATCGTCTGTATACTCATTGGGACTTTGCGGGATCACGGTCCGATCCCCAGGAGACGTCATGTTGGTATTGCTCGGTCGCGAGAGCAGGTATTTTAAAGCCTAAAAAGCTAATTGGTATGTGGACTGTTCGTAAATTTGGCACAGACTTACGTTGAGCCAGATATCATGCCTATCCTTTGTAGGCGCGGTAATCTTCATCTCTCGCTGGGCTGTGGAAATGACGACGCTATACTGATACAAACCAGGAGGCATGGGGTTGGGATCAAGAACTGATCGAACACCTTCAATATAAGCTGCAATTGTAAGGTCATTACAAGAATTTATGAAGATAGAGGAATCAAAACATACCACTCTTCGCGCTCGATTCTGATACATTGGATGAACCAGGATCTGCAGAGCTCCAGTATAGTGTTTTTGTATACGGATGCACCCAGAAGAAGCGCTTGTGCCTCCTCTCCCCGTGTCCCTTACCGATGGCGCGACGGGTGTATTTATATAGGAATTCACCAATCATCGTCTGGGTGATGGCGTGGATAACAGCAGGATCTGTTGACTGAGCGTTGTTGGCACGTGGAGTGATATCGGCTGTTTTGTTGGGCGATGCCGGGCCATTGCTTCTTGGTGAAGCCTCTACATAAGGATTGTGGTCAGACGACATTGACGAGCGGGGCGATGGCCTAGTTCTCTCCGACACAAGGGAAACCGTGGAAAACTCCCGCCTCTCGTGTTCCCTGACGCTGTGAGATGACAAAGCATTGTGAGGAGCTTGGGAGGCCTGCGCATAAGCGGCGGCGTTGGCAGCAGATCTGAAACTGCTGGTGGACGGGGGTTGGCGAAGTCCAGCTTGAGAGGGAGGCATGCTTGATCCACCTTGGCGGAAATAATTTGCTTTTCCACCTGGAAGGTTGAGCACGGCACCAAATGTTGGCGTTGTTGCGCGCTGAATAAGCTCTGGGGGAGGAGGAGATGACGGCCGGGGAGGAGGTACATCGTATGACCCTGTAGAGCCAGTGGGTATACGTCTTTCTGGTATAAAATTGGGGGGTGGCATGCTCTTCGGTGGAGGGGGGAGCTTGGGAGGTGGAGGAAGAGCCATCATTGGAGGCTTTGTCTTATCGACCACACTGAGTAGACCACTCGAGCTCACACGAGAGTGGCTATGTAAATCTTCGCCTCCAACACTTGACGAAAACATTGATTCGATCGATTGACGCCTGTCTGATGTAGAAGTTCTCGAACGACTCAAGGTTGCAGCAGAGTCGCGGAAGACCCCAGAGAGGGGAGTGGTTACAGGCGAAGGTACAGCGCCCGCTGAAGAAGAGGGCCCCAAGGAAGATGTCGATTGAGGTGGTGGTGGAAGGACAAATTGGAATTGTTGTTTTGCCGATCCAACTCTATAAAGACCAGGGGCAGATGCTGGCACAATGGGGGGTGAAACTGGAGGGATGACTGGAGGTGGTGCTGGAGGAGTCCATTCATCGGTCTGAATGGACATCTCCTTGACTTCAGGCTTAGGCGGTTCAATCAAGATGGGCTCAGGCGGTTCAAACAGGTCGGCTGAAACGCCCACTGTCTCATACGATACGGTTCTTGTAGGAACATCGTCGTAGAACGAGGAGGTCGACAGGGGCCGCTGCTCATCGATAGAGAATGATCCTGTGGCACGACTTGAAATCCTCGATGCCTTGATGCTCTCCCCATCGTCTTCAGAGTCGGAGTAGTCGTTGTCCGTCATCGTCAGAACTGAGTGGAAATCTTCGCGCGACTCTGCACCAGATGGTGTCGACATCATTATGCTCTGCCTAGCATCGTGGTAGTCATCCATGTCCGCATCCGTATCAGTATCAGCACCCGTCTCGGTCTGATCACCATCATCTTCCTCCTCCTCGTCACCCACTTCAGCCAAGAAGTTCCGTGTAATGGTGGTATCGCCTGCTGATTGTGCTAACGACAAGTCATATTGCGTGACTGTTGTTCGGCGTCCCATCTCGCCAGCGACAATCCCAGATGGAACTCCCATTCCGAATGATTTGATAACGGGGGATTGGGGCATTGTCTGGCTGTCCATATCCAATTTTTCAACGGCAAGAGTCTGAACTTGAGCCTGAACCATAAGAGGCGCTATGGGCTGGAGATCAGGGTCAGTACCCACACCACTTTCAACAAGGACAGCAGTCGACGCGAGGGGAATGGGAGTGTCTTGAGGAGAATGTTGCATGCCCATCTCCGACTTTTGTATGGCGACCACGGGCTCTTCATCGGTCTGCATCATCACGTCCATAGTCTCTCTCTTGATGGGTATAGGTTCAGAATGAGACTGCACGCCCATGTCTACAGTTGCAGGGGAAATATGAATGGGTGGTGGCAACTGCTGGGAAACATGTGCCTCAGAAATGATGATAGTCTTTTCCTCCTCAAATATCTCCGTCTGGCAACCAAATTCGGCTGTCTCGACTGAATCCCGCTTCGAGCTTGGGAACTCGTCCTCCTCGACAATCTGTTCGCTTTTGATTGGAGAAGAGTGATACCCCTTAAGAGAATCGTCCACGCCGAGCTCAGCAGCGAGAACTTCTGGTGCGTCTACAAGTGACGGTGGGCGTGCTTCCTTGTATGCCAGGCCACCTCTTGGCCGTCGCCCAATAGTGCCACCACGTGCTGAGCGACCTAAAACCGCGTGGCGCAATGGACTGCCACTGTAAGATGAACCGTTGGAAGGAACCCGTTTGAGCACATTGGCGAACGCAGGGTCCATACCGTCAACACTCGTGCGATTGGAAGGAGGTTCCAGGGGCGTGGGAGACGGCGAACGAGAGATATTTCGCTCATTATCGTTGAGGTCCTCGAGCTGCAGCTGTTGTAAGTCTGCGGGTATATCTCCACTGAAGAATTGGGATTGCTCCTCCTCATCAGCTTGGTCGAAATTAATAGGAATGGGAGGGACTGGAGGAGGAGAATGCTCTATGGACCACTGCGGATGGTCATCATTGAAGTCGGATGCTGGACTGCTGGCTGCCATTCCGAGCCGTTGAATAAGGGTGATGCCTCCTCTGCCTCCACGTCCGCGTCCCCTGGCAGAGCCGCCGCGCCCACCAACTCTGAAAGGAGTTGTAGATCGTTTCTTTGCGCGCTTGGGTTCTAGAGTATCCTCGTCCTCCAAGCCGTCTTCCTCCAGATCAACATCAATAACTGGACCGCCAGGACTCTCAAGACGTATTCTCATCTGCTTCTCGCGATTCAATGATCCTTTCAAGGTGTTGATCTGTCTCTGGGCATGTGCAAGCCTCTGCTGTAAAGCCTCAATCTCATTACTTGGATGATTTGCTGCCAAGAATGGGCGACGAATGGGAGATTGCTCAGGAGAGTCTGGGAAGTCTCCATACTCGTCAGGAGGAAACAGTCCTGAAGTATCCAGCTTGCGCCTATTTGTTGAAGCGCCACCAGTATGGCCGAAGACATCCGAGTCTGCATCATCCCCAGCTGGAGTGAGAAAGTCTTTGCCCTCCGCGCCATTCGGAGTAAGTGGAGAACCAAAACGAGGTAAACGTCGGCCAGCACGAGCGGCCTCAGCCTTCATGGTATCTATCGTTTGCTGAAGGTCAGATTTGTCTCGGGCAAGGCTTGCTGCGTGCTTCCGCGCTTGGGCAATGTCAGTCTCGTGCTTAGCTTTCATCTCTTCAACGATATTTTGTAGCCTCTCGACTTCGTTCTTGTTTTGATCTCCAGCATCACGGGCGGTGGCCAGAGACTTGGTGAGACGCTTGTGTTCAGATTCGAGTCGTTGAGTCGAGGACTGGGAGTCGCCGAGTTGCGTTCGCAGTTCTTGAAGAGTGACCTCGAGATTCCAGTTTTCCTCCTTGTACTTGTCTAATGAGAGGTTTAGACTCAATACCAAAACATCCAAACGATCTCACATACCTGCACTTTGTTCTTGCTGTCTCAGTGCAGTTCTGAGGCTTTCAACAGATTTCTCGAGGTCATCCTTCTCTTCCTTCATATCCTGGATAGCTTTGTCGCGTTCGCCAAGGAGACTCTGTAATCGGCGAACTTCTGTGAGTAGTCCACTACCAATTTCGAAAGCAAATTCTGGAGAAGGCAGAGTGAGTTGGTGATAGTACGTAATGGCAACGCCAACGCACCAACATCATCAGCTCGATGAGCCGCATTTTTGGCCCGCCGCGATTGGGCAGCAGAGGTGCCAGCAGAAGCCTTTGAACGTTCAGGTTCTTCGCGGGGTAGTTCGGCGTAGGATAGTAACGGTGACGGTGTTTTGCCATTTGTAAAACGCTGATTGCATAATGAGGTCAACACGCGTTATTGGTGGCATGAGGCAAAAAAGCACGTACTTTGGAACTGCCACCAAAGGCATTAGAAAGCTGCGCATTCTCCGAGTCCCATGACAAAATGGTATCTGCAAGTTCGCGATACCGCTCACGCGCATCTTCGTCAATTTCATCATCCTCTGACTTGTCCGCCTCTATTTCCTGCAATTGCCTAATACGCTCCTCCAATTCCATCTGCTGGGCAAGAACCCGCTGCCCGAGAGTGCCTGCTTGCTGCAGTTGTTTCTCCTTGCTGTCGAGAAGGTTTTGTAAGTGAAATCTCATGTCGCCTGCGGTTGAAAAAGGATTGTTGTGGTCCGAAAAGTCGGGCATTACTGGAAGAACAGGAGCACCAGCTGAAGCCATGATGCTGAAGTGCTCCAGCCTCAAAGAGGGCCTTGGCGAAGGAGAGAAAGTCCGGCAAACTTGCTGCAAGGGGAGCAGAGTCTTGCAAAGACAACCAGAATGCACCAATATTCACACGGTCACGCACTACAACCCCTTTCAGTCAATGAATATTCTTGGCAATATATAGTTTGAGCAAGTGCTTGCCGTCCTTACCCTCGGGCCTCGGCGGCGGACGACTCTGGCACTTGAGGTTGTTGCTCAAGAAGGACTGTTGACGCGCGCGGACGTGTTATTGACGATCGATCGAGAAGCGGAAACAAATTATTTCGATCACACAAGAAGTTGAGTGCCAATAGGTGCCAATGGTGCCATGTCGGCCACAACACGGAAGGCCAATGCAAGAAATATTACAATATATTATGTCCTATCATTGCTGCCTTACTGATCGTATAATTGGTTGGCATTACGCACGAACGGGAAGGAGGATTGGAGGAGAAACGCAAATAAAAGAGTGTGAGGGTAACGCTGTGCAAGTCCAAGTAACAAAATAAGGCATCATTATGCGGCACCAGAGTAGAATAAATAGATCCTAAAAGCGAGTGAAGCAAGCGTCCGGGGGCAGATAGCATAAACGTGACCATGAAAAAAGTGAGGCGAGATCAACGGGAAGAAGACTCTGAAGAAGCAACGATGGTGTCGAGATGAAGGGGTGCGAAGGAGGGAAGATCCAGGAGCTTGCTCTCCCGGTGGCTAGTGCTTGCTCTGGAGGTGGCTGCCAAAATGTGTGGGGGCAAAAGGTCCAGCTTCAATTCTGGTTCATCTTCCCAACGAAACTCTTTCGTAAACCCTTCTAGTGGGTTGCTTGAAGAAGAAACCTGGTCGTTTCTTAGCGGGGGCGTTAGACTGGCAATATTTTGCTCACCTCATCCGAGGAACCACCGAATGGACCAGGACCTTTACGTGACGAAGATGATTGGCCAGGCAGGTTGGTCTCCGTCTGGAATTGATTCAGAAAGAATGAACGAAAAATAAAAGTTAGGGGGACTCACAGATTGTTCGAGTTGAACATCGGACGTGGGTTCTGACGAGGTTTCGGTAGATTTGCCTGTCATGAGCGAATTGCGACGTCCTGGTCCTTTCAAAAAAGAGAGTGGGTGTTGTATGATGGTTTTAAGGGAATGCCAGTGCCTCAGTTGCCGGGTCATGATGAAGAAACGCTAAATGCCAACGCCGCCAAAGGACAAAACGTTGGGTGTGCGCTTCTGAACCAGCGGCAAATGCCGATTGATCAGCTTGAACAAGCTCGAAAGGTTTACAGCTTGGGAACAAATCCCAAACAGCCATCATCGTCATGCAAACTCTCCCAGTCGACGTTCCCCCGTACCAAATTCAAAACTTGATTACAGATGACGCTGGTACAATATCAGGAGCACGAGCTCAAATTCGATGTGCTCAAGCGCTAGGTTCGTCGAAATCTGTGTTTCGTTCAAGAAGCTCATGAGTTACTTAGGTTCGGAAATTTATGTTGGGTTTTCTAACGGCGAGCTTATGCGCTTCGCTTTACGGGCTGACGACCCAACGTCGGTCAGTTCATCCCCATCGCATCCAGACCATCAACTAACCTTGGCTCCAGCTCGAGTCGTACACCATCTTGTCTCGCCAGAGTGTACCTGGCGAAAAGCCAATTGATGAAATCGTTCTCATCCCAAGTCTTTCGCGAGCATTGGTCCTAGCTGGTACTTCAGTACATTTCCTTCTCTCCTGTCTCTAATGATTTGTATTTCTCACTATCGTCCACACCGCCTCTTGCAGACCACCAAATTTACTTTTACACACTTCCATCACTAGATCCTTACCCCATAAAACCACTCCGACATGTCGTCACATTCGCCGTCGACTCCAATCACCTCAACCGTCCCTCTCCATCACCAGGCTTATCCATAGAGCCTGTGGACTTTTCTGTAATAAAGCGAAACGGGATTGCGATGTATACCTTGAAGGACAAATTGCTTTACACCAAGGTCACTATTAGAATCATAGTGGACAACCCAGGCTGACATTAAATATCAGGAAATTCCTCTTCCCCAAGGTGCAACCCTCGCTCGCCGCATGGGTAAAGCGCTGTGTATCGCCGATAATAATTGCTACAGTGTAGTTGATCTCGAAGGAGCCTCTATGTTTCCCATTCTACCCTTGTCACAGGCCCCGGATCCAACTCCATTTGTCGTCAAACCCTCGATCACAGTAATCGGTAACAGCGAATTCTTGATTCTCTCATGGACAGGTGGGAGCACGCTGGGACTCTTCATCACCGGCGACGGGGACCCAGTCCGTGGAACGCTTGAGTGGCCCAGCCATCCGGAGGCTGTTTGTGAGTTTCCATTGGTGTACCAACTCCATCAAATCATTATTGTTCATCTAGGTCTTGATTATCCACACATCACCACCCTCCTTCCCAACGGTACGATTGAGATTCACAACATAGAAACGCAGGCACTTGTCCAGGTTATTGGAGCACCAGTAATCTCTCCGGCACCTACCCCGAGAGTTTCCTCGCCGACGGTCGGACACCATAAACGTGCGTCATCTGCAAGCGTACAATCGGTTACTGTCAACCCTGGACAACGTATTGGGATGGTGGCTAGTTTAGGGGGGTATTTGGTGCCGTCCACGCAGAGATCAGACCGAATGCAGAAGGTCACTGTGAAACTGCGGAGACAAACAGCCAACGTGCACTCCTCTGCCTGATAGTCTTTCTTTGCTTATTGCTCCATTCATGATGAGCACAGGCTGTATATACTCCCTTGCCTCATTCAACTCATTTGCTGGAATAATTCGATCGTGTGCATATCTGTCTGATGCAACTCGCCCTTTCCTATCTGCTCGAGGTTGACACGTTTAGGTTTTCAAAGCCAGCGACAATGGAAGTGAGTATCACCATTACTTCCACCTCCACAGGTCTCATCGATTATATATATCATCAAATTCGACGTGGTTTCGATGTGAAAGCGATGTGTGCACTCACACCGAATTCATCCAGGAAAACACGGGCGCGTAAATTTGACCGATAGCACGCCTTGAGGTTTTCCTCTTTCTTAAGTTCAGCTGTCAGACGCCCACGATCAAGTCACGACCATTCCCCCATTTCTTTCCTCGTGTCGAAAGATCCCACGACCCCACGCTCTTGGGAGGTGTATTGGCATGGTCTCGTTATAAACCACGATGTTTCTTTTGAGAACTGCTCGATTCCTCGTTTATGGGATCCGCCAGACTTGCGTTTCTAACACAGAGAAAGGCAACCTCTCAGGGCGAGTACCACAAGAGCATTCTAGTGAATTCTCGCATCGGTGTGTCCTTCCCGTTTACACACTCTCTGAACTGACCCCCGAATTGTCAAAAGCAATCAAAGCATACAGTCGCCATCATGGGTGTCACCGTACTCATCGTAACGAGTGCCGTCGTGGTCCTCGTGTTAATATTGTTTCGACCCAAGTACGACCCATCTATTGCCCTTCACGAAGCTGGCGTAGCTGCATGGACCGAATTCCAGCGTACCAAACGTGATGAGCATCTGCAAACCGCCAACGAAATGCATCGTCGTGCTCTGGCCATTCGTAAAGTTGGCCACCCCCTACGCTGGCAATCACTCGCCCATTTGTCACTTGTCGTTGCAGCCATGGCTGCTAGCTCTGTAGAGGGCCTAAATGAAGCCATACGCTACAGCCAGGAAGCCCTCAACCTTATACCTCCCAATAACTCGGAAATAGCTGTCGTACATAACGGCCTGGGGTCCATCTACCTGTCCCTCTTCAAGCAAAGTGGCGATGCTACCAGTATCGAAGAGTGTGTGCGAAGTTATCGCGCAGCCCTCGATCTTCGTCCAGCCAAAGATCCTGATCGCTTAGGATCACTCATCAATCTAAGCCTTGCCTACATTCAGCAAGGCCAGCTTGATGGCCTGACAAATGCCGTTTCCCACTTGCAAGAATCCATTACCCTTTGCCCCCCTGGCGATCCTTATCGCTATGCCTGCTGCAGTATGCTGGCTACCTCTTTCAGCACTCGCTTTGCACAATCCGGCAACGTCGAAGACCTTCAAGAAACGGTTAATGCATACCGCCAAGCATTAGCGGTTGCAAGTGATGATCAGCAGCTCCCGTCGCAGATCAACCTTGCGAACGCAATTTGGAGGCTTTCCGAACATGAACCAGGTCATGTCAAGGAGTTGAAGGAGGCGCTAGCATATATATCTGAGGTTCTTAACTCCAACCTTGCTCAGACCCATCCATACTACAACCAAACCATTGCCACTTTCTCAAATCTCCTTTCAACCTTCTCCAAAGAATGTGATGAAGCATCGGAGCTTGAGCTTGACAAAGCGATCACTCTAGGTCGGCATTTAGCCGATGAAGATCCGCATGTCCTCAGCTGCATCGCAGTTGCCATATGCTACCGCTGTGAACGCTTTGGGCGAACAACGAACGACTTGGAAGAGGCCATATCGTACTACGAGCAGGCTTTGGACCTGTGCTCGAGTGACGACCTTGAGCTTCACTTGAAGATACTGAACAATCTCGCCGCCATTTACGCTACTCGTTACAACCAGCAGATCCGCGAAGAAGAGAGTCTCCAAAAGATGATTGAATGCTACCAAAAGTCGGTCGACCTCTGCCCCACGGACCATAAAGATCAAGCCATCCTTTTAGAGCATCTATCCGAAGCGAAAACCGCCCTCCAAGCAGCCATGGCAGGGAATCAGTCAAAACGCCAACCGCTTCCCGTTCAGCGCGCAACTTTGTTGTAGGTCGACAATTACGATCAACTGCTGGCTGCAGCCGCTGATGCTTTCTCGATTTTACGATCTGTTTCTTCGTAGTTGTCGTCATTGACAGTTCTACTTCCGTGTACCTGTCTACAGTATAAAACTTGAGGCTGGCCTCCGCACGTTAGTGGCCGAAAGTAACTGTAAGGAATAAACACCCTGAAACATGTTCAAGCGCTTAAACGATCCATTAGTTCCTCTACTTTCAGCCAAATCATACGATAAGGGTCGAGATCCTCTTCCGCGTCTCCTTCATGATAATAGATAGTAGAAAAATCCGCAAGGATTGGAAATAGCATGGTAAGGTAGGATGCAACATCATCAGCATTCAAGATAGGGGCGTTGTAGAGATGGAGGGTGGTAAGGTGAAGACCTGAAGGATATTCTCCATCAGGTTGAGTGGCGAGTATCGGAATTTGACGCGCATCAACGGGAAGCGTCAGCCTTTCCAGCTTTGGACAAAGCTCAATAAGATGCTGCATTCCAGTAAATGTGCATTTCGGCACGCTGTCTGGGTCGTGACTGATAGCCTCCAAGAACAGTAATGAACGCAATTGAGGCAGTGACTTGGCAAGCCCCATAAGGTCGTTGTTGTCCAAGTCGACGAAACATGACTCTAAATGCAAGTCGCGCAACTGCTTGAAGGAACTTAAGCATTCAAACGCATAAGGATCCATACTGAAAAACTCTTCAAGTGTAGGGGCCCCAAAGCCCAAGTCAGAGCTAATCCCTGGATAATCGCGCACATACAGGCTTTCCAACCTCACCAAGTTGCACTCGTGGAGTATTGTAAGAAGCCTTCTCATACTCCAGTGAGCATTGCTCCTGGTTTGGGTAAGTGACAAAGACCGTAACGTTCCTGACTGAAGCTGTAGTAGCATCAATCGACAGGCATTCATAGTTTTCGAACTAAGTTCCAGGTGAGTGATAGCCGGGAAATTGTTCGCAACGTAAGGAATGCAGTTCTCCGCCTCCTGTTCTGTAACCGAGAGCTGGAGATCTTGGAGCATAGGGAATGCACCGAGAATGGATATGGCACGGGATGTGAGAAACGCCGGGTCACCAAAGCTCAGTTTCCTGACACCACGAAGAGTGGGCAAGAGTTCCAGCAACTCAGCCTCCTTCGGACATGATGATTTTTCAGTGACCAACAGATCGAATATTGACAGATTGAGTAGTGAGGCCTTCCTTAGCACGACTGTTGCATTTGCCCACAAAAATTCATTGCTTGAGACCCTGACTCGTATTTCCATAACATTCGGGCCGATTACGAGGCGAGGATAGATGGCAAGACCATCAAAGCTGTCGTCGACGAGGCCGACCTTTGACACATTAGACAGAAGAGGGCCTGGAGAGGGTTTGCGTGACCAAATGATGGGGAGGACTTGTGCCTCAAGGTATCGAGAAGTTGGACGCAAGGCATCCTGACCGAAAATCCTGATTCTGTGGCAGTAAAAGTAAATTCTGTTGAAATCGGACGCGGTCAGATTCCTGATGATACTCTCGTCATGATTGGGTATGAAAAGATGCTTTTTCATCTTGAGATTGAATGTGGCTCACAAATTTGCCCTCATTCATAGCCCAGGCATTGGGTGGAAGACATTTGAATAGTGGAAGGATTGCCACTTGAGTATACCAAAGAATGTTCAAGGCGGGGTCTTGAAAAGCTTTGCAAGTCCTCGCGAGTCCTGCTAGCATCTTTGACTGGTGAGCATAGTGAGGCATAGTGGCGGAAGATGATGGAGAGGAGCTCCTCGATCTGTAAGCAGTGGTGCATGCTGTAACTACGCGGTTGTAGCAACTGGAACGGCGTCGTATGCGGATTATGTAGTAGACGCGCTCGCGTGATCGGATGTCGGGCCTATGAACCGTCACTGTTTGCGCCGGGCTATTCGTTTACCCAACCCGGAGTCCTACTCCTTGAATAAAATGATATGGTGATGCCTAAGCCTTCATTTCTCGTCGTCGTCTGATAATATTTAAATTCTTAACGTGCGAAGGTGAGTACTGCGAGTCTTTGCCAATGAGAACAACTCAAACTTTTCAGGAAGAGACGGCCGCATTCCATGATGCAGGCAGGTACCCCTGATAACGAAAACTTGACTCTCTGCTCCCCACGCCCATCGACAGGACTTGACCCAAATAAGGCAGTCATAACGAGATCGGCCAAACCGGATTACTGCCCTCCAAATCACGTCCTTATCAAAGTTGATAGGTTTGGGTTCTCGGCGAACAACATCACATACCAGTCGTTAGGTGAACACCCCCACTTCCGGTGTGTAGCTTCACTTGGAGATTGCTAGCATCAGCTCAGAGTGCCTCTCAGTTATTTTGACTTCCATCCCGCACCAGAAGCCGAAGGCGTTTCTCAGAAGTCCCATGGCCTTATTCCCGTGTGGGGCTTTGGAACGGTTGTGACCTCTACACATCCAAAAATACGCGAAGGGGAGCGTGTGTATGGCTATCTTGCCCCCACTCGATACCTCTTGGTTCCAGTATCACCCTCTGATGTAAACAAGCATGCGTTCTACGTCCCCCGCCCGCATCTGCCTGCCGGTATGTATGAGTCCAATAAGTTACTTAGATAATACGCTCATCGTTTCGTAGACCGTCGCCCGTATAACCAGCTCCTTCGTTGCGAGACTGACCCGCAGTATACGCCCACTCCATACGCAGAGGACCTTACCATGCTTTACCGTCCGCTTTTCTGGACATCGTACTGGTGCGAGGACTGGCTACATGCCTCAGAATACCGTGGTGGCGTTGATTCCATTCTCATTTCCTCTGCATCCTCGAAAACGGCTTTTTGCCTCGCCTACCTCATCAAAAAACGCATCTCCCGCAGCGAGCTGAATACCACCGTGAAGATTATTGGATTGACGTCAAAACGTAACGTTGGGTTCACCCAACGGTTAAATTTGTACGATGAGGTGCTTGATTACGATTCCTTCACTGCCTCCCAGGCAATGTCGCAAGGGAAGGATCGCAGATGGATTTACGCCGACGTGGCTGGAAACGATGATCTCAACAAACGTATCTGTGCCCACTTCGCATCGCCTTATGCCGGGAGGCTGGTTGCATGCATTTCCTTGGGGATGACGAACTTGACTCCTTCGTCTGAGTCTCCCATAGATTGGAAGAAGAACTCTTTTGATTCCTCGGTCTCTTCCGGGGATCTGACTGCTCCAACCTCGAACTTCTGGCCACAGTTTGAACAATTTTTTATGGTTGAATGGTTGAATGTTCGCAGACACCAACTGCCCATCGATGAGATCTTCACGCGGCAGAATCAAGCGTGGAAGGAACTATTGGCGGATTGCGCTGACTGGGTCCAGCTAGAACGTGTCAATGGGGCGGTGGCGGTGAAGTCAGCCTACAACCGACTCGCGAAAGAGGGCTTGGGACCTGACAAAGGGCTGATCTGGAGCATGTGGGACGAAGAGAGGACGTGGAATCTTTCAAGATTGTGAGGGCATAGATACATGTCGCAACGACCGACATCGTCACCGGCGTTGAAGTGTTTATTTTGAGGCTTCTTATAATCTGATTCGAAGTGCTTGGCTTGGTTTGAGGGCGAAACATCCAACATCACTTGCCAAAGGTTGGTAGTGAATTTGTGGGCGTAATACCGCCATCGAGCCATTGATGACACAAAAATTGTGTAGTCCTCCCATGTAAGCTCTTCCTATGAGAAAGAAACAAAAAAAAACGGCGGCCCAAATGGGAGTGGTCAAGTGACAGAGATGGACCATCGGGGAAAGATTCTGATCAATGGGGGTCATATGTGAAGCATCCACTTCTTGGAGAATACTGTCCAGTCGACGCGCCTTGGCTCCTAATTAATCAGAAGATTGTCAATATTACGACCATATCTTGACGGCTGATAGATTGATTAGTGATCGTGCAAATGGGTATACCGCAGAAATTGAACTGGTGAAATTAAGCTCAAAGCACAGGCCCAACCTTGCCTCACGAATCGGGTTCGTTGGGCTTTTGAACCTTCCTGGGTATATCTCGTGTCGAAATGGGGGACGCTGCTCGTTTCGGAGGTCTGATTGATATCTCTTCGTACGCTTGATGGGACGCATGGATCTCACATGGTATTTGCTCACCTGGTGTATTCCCAGGTGAATGCTCGTGAGGAAACCCGAGATAAGACGTTGGCGATTTCGCCAGGCCCGGGGAGGCTAGCTTCGAGGGCGGGGAAGGTAGTGGTACGGGTATGTGGACATTCAACTTGCCAGTGAAAGATCCTGGAGTCTCCAGGTCACTTTTTTTCGAAATTACTATCGGGGGCAGACGTTAGAAAACATGAACACCGAGTGAGAAGAAACATGTTACTATTTTTTCCCTCTCCAGATGGTTTTCCCAATTTCGCCGGGCCAATTTTCGCATTGCAATTCGGGCACAGCTTCGGGGACTCAATCCTGTCTCTCAGGGAAACAATTTGCTCCCCGAAAGACGCAACCTTATCGAGGATATTCTCCCTCTGCACTTCCTGCAATGCTTGCAACTGCGACTCCAAGTTCTGCACTACAGAGCGATTCCGCTCGAGCAGTTCTGCGACAAAATGGACGAAACTAATGGGTTGATTTTGAGGCTCATTGGGCCTTAAACCAGAGTTTATCTTGGCGTCTTCGATGATCTGAGCAACCATTTGAGCAACATCATCCCTAAACCCGATAACGCCATCCGCATAGACGAAGCCCATCTCTTCCAATGATAACTTCAGCCTCTCGTGTGAGTTTCTCAGGGTTTCAAGCTCTTGGTGACTTTCACTGTCAACTTTATGGGTAGCGAAGAGGGACTCAGCGCTTCTTTCAGCCATAAATTTGGCCTTAAGATTCGCAAAACGCGTCTCGCTCTCCTCGATCTCTTTACGGTGTGCGGCTTGTAGTTCTTTTTTTTCGTTCTCGAATATCGCAAGAATCATATCAGCACCCCTCTGGATAGCAGGGGATGGTCCGTTTTTGGCCTTTGGCACAGGCGAAGCGCTCCCCGGCATGAAATGTGGCGATAGAGTCGCGGAAACGGGGTTCAGAATGCCGTTGATGTCAGATGGTGATGAAGAACCTCAGCTGTTCGTAATAGTTACAGAGGCGAGTTAGCGAGCGAAAGATAGAGCCAAAGTTGGAGTGATATAAGTTTCTGCCTCCTGGCATGCGACTGTCAAAAAACATGATTGCTTACATAAATGTTCTCAAGTCGTGGGCTTCACATAAGTATAAAAGGACAAGGATAATAATGACTGCTGGGCAATTAATTAGCTACTACACAGGGATCAATCTAACCAGAAACCCCCTTTTTGCGTGGAACCCTGGGTTTCTTCTGCATTTGGTAGAAATCCCCCTTCCATCAGTCGATGGGTTATTTTGAGGAACCCCATGTCGGAGTTGAATTCCTAGATGCCGACGCGTGTCGCGCTCAAATTTAAATTGATCTTGGCTCCCCTGGTCATGATGAGAAGACAGCGCGACGAGTTGAGGCTGTTGAGCTCCATCACGCACATCCCTTGTCGCACACGTATCATCGCGCGATGCGACGCGCCTGCTCGACAAGTGGTTACCACGGTAAATAATATTGGTTCATGGTCTACACGATGCTGTAGTACAAGATGAGGGTTTGGTACTTACATAGATGTAGGAGAGCAGGAGTGGTTTACTAGGGATGTCACTGCTCCCTTCCATAGTCCCTTGCTACTTGAAAGGTTGCTGACCCCTGCCGCCAACTTGAACTTATGCATGACGCTGTGCCCATGCATGCGCATGTGGTGGACTTCAAATATTCTGATCTCCGCTTCTTGTGGAAACAAGGTTTCTACGCAAGCACTTCAGAAACCCTGGGTTGTTCAGGGGAAACCAGGGTTTCTGGATAGTTTAATCCACTACACAGCTTTGAAAGTCGCATGTAACAACGATTTAAAAAATAGCAGTGATAATTTAGGCAAGTACAGGGTTGTTCTCAGCAAAATACTCAGTCGAGTCAGCATTTTGAACGGCGAAGTCTGGGTTGCTTTGAGCGAGAGATTTACAAGCAGACTGGCCGTATACGTGGTCATCCGTTCCCCCGTTTCGCGTGAAGTGGGACGACTCGTGAACAATAGTTCCCCCCTGTTAGGTCTTTAGTTCAATATTTTATTCTGTTTAATAATTAGTACCTTGGAGTCTGTGCCAGTCAGAGGAGCGTTCCAGAAAGCACCGCAAAAGTAGATAGTGCCGAAGCTGCCCGTAAACGATCAGAACGGAGAAAGGGAGGAATTGCAGGTACGAACTTATCTGGGTAGACGTAAGCGTAAGTTCCTGAGTCGGCGCAGGTGCAATCAAACGTAAATGCGAGGAAGTTGCTGCTTGCGATGTTGGAGTAATGCGACGCAACGGTATCGTGGCGAGCCGTAGTGTACGTGCCAAACCAGGTGGTGTATCTCGAGGTCACTGACGTATGTGAGTTAGCGTACGACAACGCGTTTGTGGCATAGGTCTTGGCAGCGGCAGCAGCGGAGTTGAGCGCCGACTGTTGGGAAGATGAGCACCGGTTGAACGTCGTGCGTTTCAAGACTCTAGAAGGCGCAATGGCCAGCTGTCCCGAGAGACTGACAGAGTGAGCCTGGGTGTCCGCATAGATCGGCGTGATTTCATCGTTATCGCCAACGTTATAGAAGAGATTTTGGGCTTCAAAAGAGTAGGTACCCTCACCCGGAGACGTAAAGTTGTACGCTTCGGATACTGTAGAACAGTTGGTTAACTCGAGAAGGAAAGTCAAGATTGTCGGGAGCTCACAATCGTGTTCTATCCTGACCGACTGGCCAGGGGTGAGGACCGTAAAGGCTTTTGCGGCCGCGGCATTGTTCTGGACATATTTATATTTGATGCCAACGAACTGGGGGGATGCGCCGGCCTGGTCAACAATGGAGAAAGTGTGCGCTGGAAGCTTGGATAGGGCACTTCGAGGCTCATTTAAAAGCTTCAGAATTTTGTCGCCAGTGTTTGTGACCGTAGCAACGACTTTCAGGTTGGCGACTGTGTTGACGGAATCTGGACCTATTTTTCTGTATGTCAGCCACTTCGCTGTGAACGGGCTCATCTACGCCGCGTATACTAACCGGTAATTTCCAGCGATAGACTTTGCGCGGCAGACGCAGCGAGAGCTGATGCGACGAGAGCGAAAAGAAAGGAGCGGAGCGACGACGAAAACATGGCGACAGAGACAGTGCAAGTACTACGGACGACTCTTTAAAGAGCGGACAAGATTACCTGGCAGACGATCTGTGACCACGTCGGTTAAGAATGAAACCATGGTTGCGAGGAGGAATTCTGTTGATTTTTGGACCAGTTGAGATGGTGAAAGGAAAGATAAAAATAGACCGAATTCTATATAGGGATCACGCGCAAAGTACCACGCTTCCTACTCAGTAGCCTAGCAATGACTACTTTGAAATTGCCTCCCTATCCTTCGTCTCATGCTCTGAAAGCCTTGTCGCCATCCAAAAGAGCTTCTATCAACCAAGCAATTGCTTCTTCTCTTGCGGCCACGCTGGACCTGCCACCCCGAAAGCGCGACGAACCCTCTTCACGCGCCTTCCTTGCATCTTATGCAAACAATGTCGCCTTCAACACTTTACAAGATATCATCTGGGGGGATCCCACATCGGCACAGTCCAAGCTGTTATCTAAACACGAGCTTCTTATCAGAAAGCGATCCTTACTCCTCGCGGAGAAGATTGCCCCGTCAGGTTTGGACCTTCCCGTCCTCCTGGATTTGAGTATAGTTTATGGACGTACAAATCCTGTGCAACTTCACGCTGTCTTCACCGCGTCTCTTTACCTCTCTTCTTCCCCCATAGCGGACCTCGTTTCTACGCAGCTCATTCCCGCGTTTACCAGCCTTCTATCGCAGGAAAATCCCTCATCTCAAGGACTGTACGCACAAAGAAAAACTGCAGAATGTATATACACTTTTCTGCGGGTGGCGAAAGGCCGTGGATCAGGATCAGCTTCTCCCCTCGTGCTATCTTTTGCTAAAAGCAAACCTTTCGTCATCAACCTAGCAAAACTGTACAGTGCGGGGTTAGCAGCCACCGCTCAATCTTACGGAGGCCTGTCTGTCTTGGCAACAGGCATAGATGATAACAGGAGAGAACCAGATGATTGGGAGCGTATTTGGGTCGAGACTAAAGTGGCGCTTCTTGATTCATTCCACATTATCTTAGGGGCCCTCTTGGTTGATCTGGCATCCACTCATGGCGGCCCCGCACTAGCAGCCAAGGCGGAGTCAACATTTGACCTCATTTTCGCCCTTATCGACATTCCTCAGGCTCCTGCACCTTCCAACGGAGCCACAGTGCCCCCCATACCGTTCCTGAACATGTCTTTGCTAGGAGATTATCAGCACGCTTACTCTCTCTCGAGAACCCTTGCTGGTTCCCTTCGACGTGCACAGAAAGAGGATGATGCTAGGTTAGATTTCCTCGGTGGAACACTCCGATCTCTTGCGGGAGAGCCTGGCCAACCATCGGATCACGCTCAAGGGAGAAAAGAGCCAGGAGCACTCAAAATTCTGCTCCGCTCCTCCGGAATCCAACCAGGTATCGACAACCGAGGAAATCGTCCCGCAACTGCAACAGGTCCACCGACCGCCGTAAAGGGCAAAGCAAGGGCTGCTGAGACCCCATCCCAAGCCGACCTTGACATGGAGATTACGCAGGTTCTGGATATATTCCCAGATGTGTCACCCTCCTATGTGCGATATTTGCTTTTGCACGACAGATACAATGGGGACCCAGAGAAGGTTGTGGAGGCGCTGTTGGATGGGACGGCACCGCCCGAAGACGAGCTCACAATACAAGATCAAGCGGAGGACAGTCACCGGACTGCGGAGGAGTATCGCGTTAGTGAACGCAGAAATATATTCGATGACCACGAGATGGAAGTGACTCAACTGAGGGTAGGAAAGAAGGTCAGAGGGTAAGCCTTTTCATTTCTGGTCCCCGTCATATCAAACCTGATCATGCTTTAGCGAGGAAGTCCTGCGTGATCGAACTTTCATAGAACAGATGAAAGCCGATATTCTACGGCGAGCGGAAGCCATCTCCGACGAAGAGGAAGATGAAGAGGATCAAGATGAACCGTCACAAAGGACAAAGTGGGAGGGTAAGAAGGGCCTCAGTCCGCCAACCGACGAGGATGAGGATGATGTCGACCTTGCAAATGTTAAGATTACCGCTGACGGAGAAGCTTCTGGTGACGAGGAAGAAGACGAGGAGATAGACGGGGGTACGCCGCAAAATCCAGAAACGATTTTGGAACTTGCATACTTGCGAGACCCGAAGTTATTTGACCGGGATGCAACTACGCGAAGGAGCAAGGCAAGGTCAGACCTGAAGACCCAGACAGGTATATTTTTCAAGCTATCTCAGGCTCTCGGGCTGATCATAATTTCCGCCAGGATGGGAAGATGAACAAATCGAAGGCTGGAAAATTATGCTTGAAAAAAACGTGGGTACTTTGCGAATGACTGATATTCAAGGACTCATTCTGGAGAACACTGCAGCCGAGAAAGGACAAGATTTTACAGAAGCACGAATTTTCAGGAAATCGCTCCCAGGCAGCCGTTACAATTCAGAGTGGAGCAGGACCATCGGGCAACGGGGGAAGAGGCAGAGGAGGCGGGAGGAGAGGTGGAGGCGGTGGAGGCGATGGGAGGGGTGGCGGGAGAGGTGGAGGGCCAACCGGAGGAAGTGCACGAGAGCGCGCGTGGAAGGATAAAAACAAATCCAGCCGAGGGAATCATAACCGCAAACGTGGGCACGATAAGAAGATGGCACGGGCTGGGGCTGGTGTTCCCCCATGAACAGGGTTTGTGGAAAACAGGCTTTACCACTCATACCTAGGTACAAATAACGACCTGCACTGATATCTGCCACACTTTACAAGTAAATGACAGTAACTCTACCTGAGGACCGCCTCGGTGTAAGTGAATCATTGAATTGGCTTACCGTTCCTGTTTGTTCTTCGTTATATTATTGACTCATTTCTTTGGAAAATATTACTGTTACATTGGAATATATGACGAAGAACATGGGTCGGATCAGCTAAACATCTTGCCATAAAAACGGGAATCATGGATGAGTTCAATGGTGTCGTTGACAAGCTTGAGGTCTTGGTTATATTGCATCTTGAGTTTAACAACATTGTAGAGACAGAGACAACAAGCGTACCGAGATCTGGACCAAGGTTTATGCATGCGAGCATTTGAATCATCGTTGGTTCAACGACTTTGCCTATAATCTCAACGTAAGTTTCCGTAATATGTTCATTCTGAGAATGCAATCAGCCAACTGGCAAGTTGATCATGGATGCTACTCACCGGAAGGAGATGGACGTTAACCTCCCCTCCATCGCTCGCTTGCACGGTCGCACTATCGCCACTCAACTGAAGTGGAACACGGTCAAATCACGCCCAGGAGCTAGTCGAAAAGCCCAACAGACCTTTAGCACTTTACAAGGTAGACGGACGTGTTTGTTGAGAAATTTTGGCATGCGAGCTGAATTTACGCGTACTGAGAGTGCGTTGGGGTCATGATCAGAGGAGGACATGATGCTGTTGGGAGGACGAGATGGAGGACGCGAGAATTAGACGCGGCATCTTACCCACGTGACCAGCGACAACATGGGATACTTTACAAGTTTTTCAGAGTCCAGGTGTAACCAATGTAACGCGCCTGCGGGCGCAAAGTTGTTATAAGATTCAACTTGTAACTACAATGGCTGTGAAACAAAACCCACTACCAACGTAGCGGGCATATGATGGGTAAAATGCTGTCTTGTGGCCTTCGTCAGCCCCAGCACGTATCAGAATCAAGATCTCCCCTCGTATTTTTCCTCGTCTTGCAGCTAGAGCGGCCATCTACCAAGCCTTCCAGTTGGACCCAGCAAAATGTTCACACCTTCCTGGATTGCCGCACTGACGGGTCTCATGGGTGTCGAATCAAATACATGAGGACATGGTTGAGATAGTGGTTTTGGAGCTAGTTTGGGGTTTTCCAAGTCGCGTTCGTAGATAGACGTTTGCCGTGGAGATTCAGCCAGCTGGTCAAATGTTGGTTTATCAAATTTTCGGCGCGCAGTTTGCAAGCGTAAGATTATCTGTTCTCGGTTTTAACAAGTATGTTCACGAAGGCAGTAAAAAGTACCTGTTCATAAAATGCAATTTCCCCATCTAGATGTTCCGTTGTAATGGCACGAAAGTCTTCTATCTTCTGGGTATGGTAGGCTTCCATCTCCGCCATCGTCGTATTCAAGATGGTCTCGCAACGAGAAACCACTTCGTCGTCTTTCTATGTCGAGGAGAGGTAAGATTGTGCGCCAAAAATAAATTTCACTTACATGTCCAGCTGATATTGCTTTGTGATACCGGGAAAGTGCAGCCTTGTGAGTTGTCACCACGCCCTTTCCAGCCAAAGCCGTTTGCTCAAATGTATATCACCATGTAAAGGTAACGAACCTCGTAGATTGAGGAAGGGTGTGCCATGCTCTTCAAAGACTCATGGGTAGCTAATTGACTTCGACGGGCCTGCAATCGACGGAGTTGTTGAAATCAAATCATGGAACATCATACTCGAATGACGAACATGGTCATCATACAAGTCGGCAACATTTTGAAGCGTCTCCGAGGTCTTCTGCATTGCCTTGGTCAATTTTAAACAGCCTGCCATTTGAACTTCGTACAAAAATGCTTATAGTCGCTGTCAACGCACCTTGACACCCTTCACGCCAACACCAAGCACCTTCGCTGTTTATTAGTGATTTTGCCTTGGGAATGTAGTTCTCTTCGTCGACGCCGGTATTGGTAGGCGGCGACAATAATGGCCTGGCTGTGATAAGCGACAACAAGGAATACGAGAGGAGTCGTTCAGCTTTTGACATCTCTGTTTTGGCTAGTGAGTCTATATTCGAAATGCAACGAACATTGACGAACCGATTCTCGCATCCCGCACACGGCCAAATACAGCCCGCAAGCCTTGAACTCCCTTCCCAACAGCGTGTAGGTGGGTCTCAAAATTACTGCCCGCATCTTCGGCGTCTTCGGCATCCAGGTTAAAGGCTGGATGGTAGATTTGTGAATAAAATGCTGGCCCAGCTGGCGGCATCGATAGATGGGCGGGTAATCGATGATTCCACTCCTATTGATTCGGAAGTAAAGGGGTATGTCATATGAAGGGACGAATCTGACTAACGGTATCACTCTCGCAGGCCAGAAAAAAGGTCACAATTTCCGCGTATCGTGCGACGGGGTGCCTGACAATCTTATCGATGTATCTCTCCAGATCCCCTCTCCTGGCCTCGACGAAATCATCACTAAATCGGCCAGAGTATTGCTTTTCTGGCAAAGGTGGTAGCGCGATCCCAGGAAGTCGTCTTGTCAACGCTGTGTGGAGTACTACAAAATGAGAGAAGCGCCTTAGAACCGTAATGCGAGCCAGGGGAGAATCAACGGTTGCCGGGACAGTTTCGTTCTGGTCGTCGTCCCCTCTTCTTTCCTCAGCTTCAGGCTCATCTTCCCCAGGAGCGTGAAATATACTAGTCACGCTGTAGACAGTGTATGCACCTGACAGTAAGGACGTCCTCTTTGAAGGGGAGTGGACTAGAATGCGAAAAGGCGGTATCTTCTCTCTCCATGACGGGCCCACATCAATGAAATGCCGATCTGCTTCCCTCAGCCCATGACTGCTCAGTTTGTCAAAGTTCTCCTCTTCGATCGAAGCAATAGAGCCCTCTGGTATGTGGCCTGAAGCTGAAAGGGTTATATCTGGTGGTGATGTTGACCCCCTTAAGATAAATTCCTCAGCGCCGCTGGTTACATAGCTAGAAAATCTGTTGAAAGATTTGCCCCCAAGAAGACTCCGTCTAAAACTGGGGAACCACTCCCCTGTGTTCTGTGGATAGAGTGGCGGCTGCGAGAGCCGTGGCGAGCCATGAGGTGTGATGGAATCGCTCGAAGCCTCCCTTCGCTTGGAAGAGTCAGGGTCCAGGCTTGCAGATGTAAAAGTTGAGATAAACTTCAAGTGACAATGAGAAGTGACTTGATTAATGTAAGCCAGATAGCGCACCGTGTAATATGAGCGAGGCACCAGTCCAATTTCCCCTTCAACGTTCTGTACTAAACTCCAACCATCGCCAACGTCTTCTTTGACCACCTCAAATTGATCGCCAGCCTCAACGCTAAGTTCTCTGAACTCTGCTTTACCTTGAAACCTGTAGAGCGCACGAGCAGGACGCGTCTCTTCGAGGTCCCTACCGTCGAGCTCATCATCCGACAAAGATGTGTCGATCCCTGACTCCGAAAGATATTGCCTTTTCGAAGCATCTCTGCCACTTACACCCGGAGAAATGCCGACATCCAGATGTTCGGTCCATGCTGTTGACGTATTGAGGCCTGCGTCAAACTCAGATACTGGCCGTGCAATAGATGAAGGGAATTTTGATGATCGAGGAAGTGTTGCCATTGTCGAGTGTCCACAGTTTTATCTAACTCAAGAGGACCGTCAATTTCGTTCAAATAATTCAGTACCACTGAGATCTTGGTGATCGGGGAAAAGCAAAGTAGAAGTGGCAGACCAGGAAGGTACATTGCACGTCAACAAATGTCAACACTCAAGGAGGTGAACCTCATGATCAGTTCGCGTCGACACAGCGACACAACAATGCCCACCATAAGCGAAATAAATTTGAACAAGCCAACGGTTACAGTAGATAAGAAAATGAAAGGGGGTGTCGCTCAGAACGATGGGAACTTATACCTGGTCCTTGATGACTCTTTCTAGTCTTCTCAGGCTCTCACTAATCCAAGGCGCCATTACCGTTACAGTAGTCGACGTTGCCATGTGCCGGATTTCCCCACCACTGATCAAGTAAGTTAGCTCCGACTTTCACTATGAGAATGTCGTTCTTACCGTAGGGAACGGCTTCTGCACCCCAGACGCTCCAAACACGGCAAAAGACAGAATGAAAATCATGACTTGAGCACCACCATCTAGTGCACCGCCTAGAATGTAGTTATACTTCTTGTACCAGCCAGGATGGTATTTTCTTAGCCAAAGTTGGGAGACAAGTCCAACTATGATGGAAGAAAAGAGGGTCGAATTCACTCCAGAGGCTAACATTGATGAGAACTAACACAAAATATTAAACCAAAAAAGAGAAAATTATAGAACGGTATACATACCTGGTAGATGATGGGCAGAATTATAACATCAACTTTAACTCCTCCGATCCTGGGCCATCGCTGGGTACTTCCTAAGCATTCGATATCCGGTAAAAGTGACTCTATGTGCACATACCTTTGCAATAAGCCAATGGATAGTCGTTGCGGCCATACCAACAAGTAAGCTCATCGGGATTATAAAATAAGGTCCGTTGAATCCATAAAGCTCTTTAGCGAGTGACCACGTAACGGCCGCGCTGTTAAGACCCTGTGGAATCTGTCCACTCCAGACATTGGTACCAGTCGGACTGAGAAGGATGTCTCGCTGTGCGTCGACAACGGAAATCATGACCACTGCAGATAGAAGTTCAGTATGAGAGCTTCATTATTGAAGAGTCGTAAATTACCGTAATTAACGGCAGCACCTAAATCGAACGTCATCTCATGCCATTTATGAATAATAAGGAACCTGTTCACCTAATATCGTCCCCCAAACCTGAGTGATAAACATGACGCGGGGAGGAATTTTGAGGTATTGTCCCATCTTCAAGTCTCCGGCTAGATTGATGGAGGTAGCAATGACGTCGTGACTCCACATAGAAAACTTTGGGGCACGACTGAGAAAAAGTGTCTGGGATGTAATTTTGTTGTTGCTCACATAAAGATTTGCAACTGGCCGTCCTGGATTAATTGCGCCTGCAACCATTTTCATTAATTGGTTGGTAGCAATTCCATTTCCCATGCGTGCATAGAGCAGGGTAGAGAAGGGCTACAAGTTGCTTGAGAATGTAAAGGAGAGGTCTTTGAAGATGGTCAACATACCGTCACGAAGGCTCCTAGCATCAACGCGATGATATATGACCACCATGGCAGCGTAGTCTCGCCTTTGAAGACAACGATCAAGCCTGAATGGGTAAGGTGAACAAAGCTTTATGGGCACAATGAAGGCACCTACCAGCGAAGAAAGACAAAACTAGTAAAACTACATACCACCACCAAGGCGCTTCTTTGTATTTCTTCATTGCCTGGAAATGGGGATCTGGCTGACTCCCATTATACGCGAGCTTGAAAGAATCTTTTGCGTATGCGCCCCAAAACAAAACGACATGCGCAATTAGGCCGCCTATCTGGAAATCATGTGTTTGGTTTACACAGAAAGAAGGAAGAACTGGAAAAGGAAGCGTACAGCGAGGTTCTGCGTTAAATTTGACCACGCATTTGACCCAGTCAACGCTGGGAGCCCAATCTCTGCCAACGCAGTCTTGTTGAGTTGAAACTGCTCTCCAAAAACAGCAGACTGGTGGTAGATGGATCCATTAGAAGAGAAGATCGACGTAGACAGCATGGGAAAACTCCGAGACTTGATAAATTACCAGTTAGAGTGGGAGAGTGGGGAGGTAGACAATTCTAACCTACGTTCCAGGTGTTGGAATAATAGATACCCATGATCACGATATAACAAAAGAAATATCCGACCCATGAGTTGGCTAAAAAAAATCAGGGCCTGGTTAAACATCCACACAAGAGAGAGACAAAAAAACTGAATACCTTGCTGGATAAGTGGCAGGCTCATGTACCTAAGCTTCATGTCAAAATGCGAAATTGCAAAGCAAGAATGGCATATGCTTACCCAGAACCGATATACTGCCAATCAAAGGAGAAACTTAACAGGCCTAGCCCTTCGTTACCGTCCGATCCACCGAAGAGATTTGTAATGACGTCGACGGCTCCCTGCGGAGCTTTCTGAGTGGCGAGACAGACGACATTGAAGCCATTCAACAAAGGAAATATGTAGGCGGGGATGATTTCATAGACAAACATGCCGAAGAAAACAGACCAGAAAAGCTTGACACGCTTCAAGTTGGCGGTAGTGTCAAAATGCAAAGCTGCAGATAACCAATGAAGTTTGCCCAAATCAAATTAAACGCAACGGGATGGGCATCATACCTTGAAACACCGAGACTGTGGGTAAATTCTGTGGGCTACGATTCAACTTTTACAACAGTAGGCAGGGTGGCCTTACTTACAAACCAATAGACCATCTCAGAAGGGTAGACAGTCAAAGGACGTAGAAGGCCAACAATTCCATACCTGAAGGAATAGGTGAGTCGAGAAATGAGAATAAAAAGACCCCACTCACCCAAAGCAAGCTGTTGAAAACGTAGCGAGCACGGCGGTAGTGGCGTGGACATTGGTGTCATAATAAAGCTAAGAAATAAATCAGTCTTCATCAGCTTTTCATGACCATGTTCAGACGAACTCGTTGAACGGCGAAGTTCTGGACGGCGGAACTGCTGCTGGCCGCTGTAGATGCGACGAGAGAGGCAACTACGTGCTATTTTCTTTCAGTATAGTGCGGACGAAAGAACGCTTAGCATACCTCTTTGAGCGTGAAATCTCCTGGGTTGATAAAACCGATAATTGATGCCAATGCCTCAAACCTCGTCCCGACCACTAGACTGCGCCTTGGAAGGAGCTTGGCGTAACAATTTCCAACAGAATAAATGAGCAAAAGGAGGAAAACCGTCGAGACAGACATCTGCACTGGTTTAAACAAGTAAATCTACTCCAACACAATTAGCATCATGGACGGGGAAAAATGAACAAAAAAAGGCTTTGCCTGAGAAAGTGCTGCCCCAAGGCCAGCGAACACCGTTCCAATAACAATAGACCTAAACGTCAGCGCAGCATCGCCATCATCACGAATATCCACGGCGAAGCGAGACACATCGCGTCCAGTTGTGATGATTGGCTCCCCGTTCTTGTATTCGGCCTCGTCGTCGTTAAAAGTACCAGAAGATTTCTCGTCCGCTAATTCCAAGCTGCTAATGTCCATGGGCTTCTCTTCGACTTTCTCGGGCGGCGTTGTTGTTAGCTTTAGGTCGTTGACCTGGTCCGCCATGATGTTGGGTGGAGCGGGGGAGGCAAGGTCGAGGAATTGACGTTCGAAGACAATGGAACCCAATCCCTTATAAACCCCATAGCCATCAGGTAATGGAAGCCAAATTAACGCAGCCATGCGGGAAGCACTTCTGGGCTTCTCCTACCCCGATGTCATAATTGACAGCGTCCCTTCTTAGGGACGGTGCACCTAAGTTGGGATTCATTTAGTAAGTTCAACGTTCACACTGTCAAATTAGACGTTAGGAAGATGTAAAGCGCCATGCGATCTTTCACGCAAGTCACCACCTATGCGGTCATGATAAGATCGTCATAGGTGGTAAAGTAGCCAACCTGGCAAGATGTTGGTTGGGAGTTGAGTACTGAGTAGCAGCTGTGGACGAATGATTAGTGAAATAATCATTTAACGCCGAACCTTAGAAGTTGAGCCTCATCCTATAACGACCATACCCATGGGCTTCTGCTGACTGGGCTTATCTCGGATATATGGCGTGTGATGACGCCACGTCGGTGGACCAAGAAGAGCATGAGAGATGCGGGTAACGAGTTATCACAAGCATGGCCCACCCGATAAGCACGTCTTGTCGTCGCAGCGGTAATACGCCCGAAGGCGACTGGCATAAAAAAAAGAAGGATGACAATCAGCAAACTAACGAGCAGACGAGCGAACACAACCCTATGCTTTTTGTTTAGAGTAAAATAAAACAGAACACTAGTAAGTTTTAAACGACAAAGGGACCTATGACAATATAACCGAGGATTAATTCGTTTGAGCTCCCACAGCCTAAAAAGCAATTCAGTGAAACGCAAACATAGGTCAATCAGGAATACAAAGCTCACCAAGCGTTTCAAATGCTCCATGAAGACCTGCAAGCTGACATCATCGGTAAAAATGGCCTGGCCGGCGCCAGGCCCGGGTGTCGAGCCATACATAGTCGCTGACATGTGTGTCGTTGATGGATTGAGCTTAGATAGAAGGAAACGGGCTTGACTGCCGCCCTGGTCACAGACGATGTATCGAGGAATCGGGAACCGGTCCACAAGAAGGTCCTAGTTTATCAAGGTTAAGAATGGAAGTGGAGAAAAAAAATTGATGATAGTACCTGAGCGTCTGCCACCGGTAGCTCCAGCAGCTCCTTGAAATTCTCGTACCCTTCTTGATCTTGGTAACCTTGTTTCCGCCATTGCGCAACGAGCTCGCCATGAAAGATGAGGATATGGAAGAAAGTGTCAAGAAGGAGGACGACATCGTGTTTAATGGAAACACTGTCCAGAAGGACAGGTTGAGGAGGCGTGTCAAACGTATATGACATCAATGTTGGTTGAATCATGATCAGAGAATTGTTCACATCTTCCTCGTTCAAGATGTGCCTGTAAATCTATCGAGCTTCCAATCCCAGAGAAGTATTACCACAAAACTTACCTGTAAAACGCAGTTTCGTCGGGGCTGTTATTAAAGACTTGCAGGAACTGACTTCGCCGCAGATGGAACATGAACTGGGGATAAATGCTGAAGTTGTCAGTCAACCTAAAGCTAGTAGGATCCTCTTTTCTGTAATCGGCAAACTTCTGACATAAACGAATGAGCATGCGATCCAGCCATCGGAGGACATCTGGGGAGTCGTCAATCTCGGCTTTGAACACTGCAATCCTGGACATCAAAACGGCTGCCGCTTCTTGATCAAACGATGCCGCAATACTGGGCGAGCCTGCCTCTGCAAAATTGCGCGCGATAGTGGTGACACGTAATCTTTGTTGGCCAGATGAATGTTGATAGTGGGTCACGAATTGGATGAGCCCGCGTGAGCCTTGTTGAAGGGGCTGGCCGGCAGGGGTGACAACTTCGAAATAAACGGCGGTGGCAGTGTGGGGGTTGACGGCGTTAATTTTCCAGGCGGAGGTTTGACCGATACCAATCTCTGTCTCGCCTACACAAGCTGACTTCTTCCCAGCAGAGATGCCGTGACCGATCATACCAGACACCTTCAGTTCTTTTGTGGTCTGAAGAGACATCCTCAAAAAAAGCGTTGACAAAATGGACAATGAAAACACACCTGAACGTCGAATGTAGCGTTGAAACCCATGTGCAGATGTCCCTGGTCATCTTTGTTAAACATGCGCAAGAAACTTTGCTTGAAAATGGAGGTGGCGAAAGAGTCTGACAAGACAATTACACCATTCGTAGAGTTGGGAAGCGACTTCATCTCCAAAAGGCCGACCTGATCCAAACACCCAGCAAAGAGATCGATTGCATGCCCATTGTTGGAGGCACGTTTAGCTAGAGCCTCGTAGAACTGCAATACGGATCAGCACACAATTAGAAGCTAGATGTATAATAATATACCTTGATAGCACGTTTATAGTGCTTTACGCTATCTCTGTCGATGTCGTGATGGGATCTAATGGGTTCCTTTAGCTCGTTGCTGACAACCATTCCCGGACCCTCAGTTGCCGGACCACCAGCGAAGACGACAATGCGTGCTCCTGTGTTAGGGTAGGTAGTCTCCAGCAGCCCAACAGCAACACTAACGGCAACTCCTGTGCATCGCAGCGCGCGCTTGTCGTTGGCGACGGGCCAGGGGTCTCGTGTCAAGGACTCAAGAATACCGGTCAACTGAAACTCGCATTGCTGTACAGGCATCAGAAATCGGGCGGCCCCAAAGGATTGCTGGGGCATTGGTTGGCCTGGGCGAGGTGCTGCCCGGTTTTGGGATGTTAGACCGAGCATGTCCTGGATCTGCTTTGGCTGATATTCCTTTCCACCACGGAAGACGTATGACTTGCTACATTCGGCGTAACCAATTTCGTGAACTTGGGTCTATAACACTGTTGAGAACGGCGTGAACGAGTAATAATAATGGAATGCTGCGCACCATGGTTCCAAAGGTGATGAGTCCCACGAGCGCGTAAGGCGGAATGAGGCTCAAACTAACGACGATGGCATCACGCAAGGCTTTCAGGTCTTCTTCGTCCAAGCATGTGTCCACGACGAAGAGGAAAATGGGAGGGACCTGAACTGGGCGGGCGAGGGTGTATTCAATGGTGGTATATTTGGGTAGGAGCTCGGCGGGCAGATTGGTGTTGGAGATATCCTTGTAATGAGGTGGGAAAGCGTTCCGAGATAAGCAGAACGGACAAATCCAGAGCTTGCCACGGATATCAATTTGACTAGACAGAGAAGCCAGATGTGAGAAGTCGTAAGGCCAAGCAGGTATGAAAGTGTGGTTACCAGTAAGGATTAAGAATGGCGCGACACGGCGGCTTGCATGCGACTGGCTCGTACAATACCGGTGGTAAATCTTCTCTTATCTTGAGAGGGGTGTAGAGGGCCGAGATGGGAACAACTGTCCTGGTCGCCTCTATGCGTGATGACGGCCAGACGTTCCACGACAGTCGGACGCCTGAGTGTAGTGGTGAGTTCAGCGTCGAAATGCGAAAAGTTTTGACGCACCATCCCGCTCCTCGACATCTTCAAAGTTGAGCATGGAGAGGAATGTTTTCGCCGAGAATCAAGCACAGGTATCGCCCGCTGAATGAAGATGTCACTCCAAGCCACGTATGTAAACAACGCACAAATAAATACTTTGTCGTGGCACTCAAAAGCATTCAAGTTGTTGCTCAATATAGTCTCCTCCGAGGTAGTCGTGCACAATCTGGACTACACGTATGACCACGGACTGCGGCTGCGAAGTTGTTTTTTTATTTTGTTGAAATAATCTTATCTGATAACGATGATTTCCTTGGACTCAAACTGACTCGAGTGAAATGATACAATAATTCATTGCACGTTTTTCATTCCCGACGCGACTCTCACTGTTACTCTCACCTTGCTTTTCATCCAACGATGTACGACAGACGACCAAGCAACAAAAGTCTTTCAGAAAAAGAGGGGATACTTATACGTGCGAATAAATGTCAAGCAGTGCTGCGAGTCCAGAAAGAGGATTTGCGGAGTTTGGACTTTCCCACTTTTCCCCACCTTGTCACTCATTTCGCGCAGTGACCTAATTGCAACTTGATATATAACCTCGACGCTGCGTGGTTATTCCCAAATCCTATACCACCACCATCCACTGTCATTTGTCGTTCTTGTTGCCCGACTAGACGAAACTGGACCATACCACACATACAGCGCCAGTGATACTACAGTACCTTTCCCCTCGACGACGACCTCCGTAACCATGTCCGACAAAATGATCCCCGATCTTCTTCTTGCGCGCCAGGAGATGCTCGACAGACTTGAAGACCTGTCTATTAAAGGCTTTTTGGAAGCGTACAGTATCATTCTACTCCATCCTCCCTGCCCCTTGGGCTGACATTGCCCAGAGACGACTCTCCCTCATCAGGCACAGCATCACTACCAACACCTGAATCTGGTCACGCCGCGTTCGTGCCCCCAATAACTGTGGAGGAACATTCGTTGTACGTTGAATGAGCATTCTATCCTCTTATAACCTTACTCCGTCGGCAGCGATCCTCAAGTCTTGTGGTATGAGGACGATGATCAACAAATCAAAGCTCCAGGGGCCCCCCTTATGAAAGATTTGGACTCTTTCACAGAAGGGACGGGGCAAGGGAGTTTTGACTCCATCCCTGCTGCATCTACTGACGAACACGGGCAACCTATCTTCGTTCCTCATTCCTTCTTGTTGGCACTACTCCCGCCAAGCGACACCTTGGTGGAAACAATTGAAACGTGGCGTGAAAATGTCCTCGATGACACATCACGTCCCATCAAAAGACGTCGCTCTCGTTCCTTTGGGCGCGACAGCAACTCCGGACCAGAAAGACGGATTCGCCGCCGTACTCAGTCTCTGCCATCTTTTTGGGAACGGGACCCATCCATTATCATCGGAACTTCATATACGCGCAGCGAGCCAGACCCGCCTGATTAACCCAACCGGTTCCCAGCACCCTACAATCAATCCCAGTGCGGTATTTATATTCGTGGCAGCAGCCAATTGTGCGATGACCTGTCATGATCTATTCGGCTCTTGACTCTTCCACATTTGCACCCATGTTCCTCCCTGGAAGCGACACACAGTATGTCGCCCTACCGATATCCCTCCCAAGTGGAACGCCCATATCCGGGTTCTCAGACGAGCGGATTTTTTCCCACTATGATGTCCCTTTGCTTTGCGTTGCTTTCCTCAACAAGGACATGTATGCCAGAAACATACTTTCGAACTTTCTAGTACTTACCTCTGCATCTCCTTTCCATCTCCTTCCATCTTTTACCTCCTTAAACCACGGAGGACTACATATGTCCGCTGATAAGGAGGATATTACCCAGGTGTTCCGTATCCCTCGCATTCTATAGGATACGTGTAGAATTTCCTTGTATACCACCATACCACCGTTGTACCACCATAGGAGAATGACTCAGTTTTGGGGCGAAACCAAATAGCGCATAATAACGCGTCGACAGAAATCAACAACGACACGGATCGATCACGCGCTGATCGCAAGTTCAACTTCGTTTACCCGTGTGCATACCTCATGGTCAAATCCACCAGGGTCCTGGACGACCTGCAGGAGACTATCGCTGCGCTATTCGACCAAGCGCAATCATCTATCGCCAACCATAAGAAAAATTGTGTAACTCTGTACAAGCTCCATGTCAAGGCGGCAGCGATCACGAAGCCCTCGAAGGCTGGTGGGACTGGCGTCAAACCCATTGGAGAGCGGGCGTTTGGGGATGTGTTTATTGATATGATCAGTCGGATATTGCCAGTGAAGAAGGGATCGGCGACGGCAGATCGGATTGTGAAATATGTTGGGGCGTATGTTCAATTTATCAACGAGAAAGGCGCGTTCCTTTTTTTTTGGGCTGTTGATCGCCTCCTCGCTTTCTCCATTGCTGAAACGTCTTACACTCTGCAGTTTCTTTGGGCAAATCTAACTTGGCGTCGTCTTCTTCAGCTCAAGCGCCCGATTCGGCTGACGAGGAAGACAATTTCACAACACGATTTGTCGCCCGCCTATTACAATGGCTCATCCAAGGATTCGTTGCGAAGAATAAAAATATCCGATACCGCTGCATTCATTTTGTTGCTGAAATGATATTGCACATCGGAGAAGTGGAGTAAGTAGAATCGAGTCTGTTCCTTCGAACTATATTTGATTTCTCTATTCTCAGTGAGGATATGTATAGCATGCTCCGTGATAACTTGATGGACAGACTATCCGACAAGGAGCCGCTGATTCGGAGTCATGCAGTTGCTGCACTATCTAAACTTGTGGGCACTGAGGATCCGGACGAAGTCGAAGAAGGGGAAAAGTCCATTCTTGAGATACTTTTGGACGTCGTCTCAAGCGATTCCGCAGCGTGCGTTCCCAAGTTCACTCACCTAACCACACGTTCCATCTTACCTCGACGTATAGAGAAGTCCGCCGCACCGCCTTGTTGAATATTCCTCTATCTTCAGCCACGCTTGATGCCATCTTGAGTCGCACCCGGGATGTGGACCCTCTCACCCGCAAAATAGTATACGCTGGCGTTCTCCAGACAAGACTAAGTCATCCACGTCAGTTGACGATAGCTCAACGCGAACAAGTCGTCAAAGACGGACTCGGCGATAGAGAGCCCGGAGTTCGCGTGGCTGCTGGAAAGTTGGTAGCCAGCTGGTTTGATATTGTCCTTGCCGAAACGGATAAAGCGGAGGAGGCTACTTGGGAAGGAGACGATGGGGGTGTAATGAAGGGGTTGATTCGCTTCCTTGCACTGTTCGACGTGGTCGGGCCTGGGGAGACAATTGCCGTTGACGCGATGACGTCTATCTTCGTCACTAGACCCGATCTTCCCACCGTGTTTACCTTCCCTGGTGAGTGAAGAATACGATTGGGGCGGCCTTGCGCTAACAGCGTACTCTGCAGACGCATACTGGAAGAATCTCACACCAGAGTCAATTGTGCTTGCTCGCGTGTTTGTTGAGCACTGCATCAGCGTGAAAAATGAAACTCTTTTGGAAGCCGCGGCATTGCCTGTCGTCACGGCCTTTGCATTCCATATGCAGGAATCTTATAATCTGCTATTGGAAGCTCTTGAAGATCTCAATGAGGCGGACGAGGACGAAGTCCTGGAGGAGGAGCTCGCTAAGCGGGAAGCCATCCTGGGCGAGCTGTTAAGGGTGACTTTGAAGTTGGACTACGGGGATGAAATTGGCCGTAGGAAGGTGTTCACTGTCGTCAGTCAGTATTCTGATATTAATGGCCGCCATCGCTCAAGCTGACTCATTTATTTAACCTGGAATTAGAGGACATGCTAGGCCATCCGAAATTACCTCCAGGCTTGATTCAGAATTGCTTTGACGTCTTGAAAGAGATCATGCCTTCAGAGCGTGACCTTATCAGAATCGTTGTCGAGATCATCGTCGACCTGCGAGAAGGAGATGATGATGGTGAGGATGATGATAACCAAGTAGACGTAGGCCATCCCTCTTTTAACTTCTCCATTCCCCCCTCACCTTTCCCTTTACCCTTCTAAGCACGACGATCCTGACACTACACTGAGTACAATCAGGAAAGAGCGATCCCTCCGCCGGACGAAAGGCCGTGAAGAGATGTCGGCGGAGGAACGGATAGACGCAGATGCGAAAGACATTCGGTGTCTTCTGCTATGTATCGCTATGCTGGAGCGTGTCGATGGCGTAAGTATCTTCTGTTCGCCGAGAGAGCATATGTTGACCAAATCGCAAGTCTTTTGAAGACAATTCAACCCTAGAAGGAATTCTGGCGGATCTTATTATTCCTTCAGTGAAGAGGAAGGAGCTAGCCATGCGGGAGAAGGCTCTTATCAGCCTGGGTCTCTGTTGTCTCATCGCCAAGGTGTGCGTCACGCTCGTGTTCGAAGTTGTCCTGCTCAGACGTCGGACAGAATATGGCATTAAGTTCATTCCAACTCTTCGTCAGCCAAGCACAGAATGCATCAACTGAACTCAAGCTACAAGTTATACGAGTCATTTTTGACCTTCTTTTTATGTATGACCAAGATTTCTTTGGACACTCAGAGGATATCGTGCGTGTGTCTTCCATCATCGGCATCAGTAGGATTCAAACCAAAATATACAATTCAAGGCGAAACGTATTATCGACTTCTTACTGCAGACTCTTGAAGCTGAAGAATCCCCTGCCGTCCAAGTCATCTTGTGCACTGGATTTTGCAAGCTTCTTCTAGCCGGAATAATCACAGACCCTAATGTAAGCTGCTTAGCGGATCTCATTTTATACTCAACCTAAGGTTCGTTGTTAGGTTCTGACATGCCTAGCATTGATGTATGTGTCTCCGACGACCGTTGACAACCAGGAACTGCGGCAGTGTCTGTCATATTTCTTCCCCGTCTATGCCTACGCCTCCTCAGCAAATCAAAGCTATATCCAATCGGTACATATACGGTTGGTCACCCTTTCTGCCAATCTGACAGAAAATAGATCTTTATACCAGCATTCGATTTCGTTTCACGGACATACGATGAAATAGAAGAGGGTCAAGAGATGATATCACCATACCAATTTGGACTTTTGTTGATCGATTGGACCAATCCACAGAGGACAGCGGAGATGTATGACATTCCCTCGTTTTTTTCTATAAAGTTAGGTTGATATTCGTTGCGTCAACAGTGTTGCCAAAACCGGCAATCAAGAAGTGCATGTTGACTTGGCTGTTGACATTCTACTTGCGTTGTACGACGAAGAACGCTCAGGTCCGTTAATAACCCTGTCTACCGCCCCAAATGACCAACTGGCGATCCATAGTCGAGGACTATAAGGTCCTCTGCCAGCTACTCGGCCAGTTGCAGATTAATCCCGGGCTTGATCAGCGCTCTATACACAAATTGGACATTTTGATCTCTCACCATGAGCAGGTAAAATCTTTGCCTTCGTCTTCTTTGTTATGAACTCAACGCGCCTTTAGCAAACTCCATTCGAAAATGCTGCTGTCGGCAAGTTGTTTGGCCGTTTCAAGGACCGGTTCTCAAAATTATTCGCCGATGAATTAAGAGAAATCGATCCTACCCAATATCTGGACCAAGAATTTTGTGATCTCTACCAACAAATTGGGGTTGAGGTACCAGAAGCAGGCTCTCGCCAAGAGGAATCTGCGCCAGTCCGAACCGCTGCGCAAGAGGAGGAACCTAGGTTAGAATTTCTTTCAAACTGGCGCTTTTGAGCCTTACATTTTCCACAGTGAAGACGAACCAACTGTTGAAAGTCAGACAAAGTAAGTCCCTTTCTGCTTTGTGAAGGATGCGACCCTCACCTACCTAAGCTCTCCAGTGCCGCCATCCACCAAGTCAGCGCACAATACTACTCAACATAGGTCACCAGATCGTGCTGGGTATGTTGTAGTTTTCGATATTAGGCTGTTGACTAACCCTACGGTGTTAACCGATCCAGAGAACATTCAGAGCCTGATTTTTCGGACACTGCAGCGGAAATAGCGTCTCCTCCCCCACTCACACCAAAGAAAAGGAGAGGAGCCAAGTGAGTACGTTTGATAAGACCATGGTGATGGATCACGGGAATATTGCATTAGAAGAGTACACACTCCGGGTTCAGGGAAATTGAATTCTCCACTCAATCGAAAACGAACTCGAGTTAAGAGTCCTAGGTTCGCTCACCAGTCCTTCTTCCCTATGTAAAAAGCACTAAAGGTAGTCAGAACGACGAGAAAAAAACCGACGGTGGCTGAGAGCGATGCTGAGTCCGGAGGAACGCCTACACCAACGAAGTCGGTGCGTCCACTACGTTCGCGCAAGCCAACCCAGTCTATGCCTTCTGCAGACGAGTCATCGGACCCGGAGGGAAATACCGATGAGGACGAGGATGAGGATGAGGGCGGACCCTCCCTTTTGCACCGCGTACGCAAACCTCCTTTGGTCGCCGAAATTCCTTCATCGGACGATTTAGCTGGGTATTCGGACTAGCCTTCCAACCACTTTCTTGACAATTCTATCTTTATTATCTTTACTACCTACGTCTCTGTATCCACGTTGTTCCTCACATATTCGTATCATATATATGTATTTCTTGAGTATACGTTTCGTCAATCTGCAGTGGACGGGCGAATGTGACATGTGACCGGTGTTGACACCTGCTCTGATGTATTCTTCGCAAACTCCACATCGCACACCGTTACGGCGGGTATCGCAGGGCTCTCTCTTTGCTCTCTCTCGCTCTGGTGCTTACCCAGATGCTCCTCATGGCCTTGGATTTCTCGAACCAGCAATGTCCGAATTTGTCGACGAGACAGAGGCTCTGCAAACCAACATGGAAGGCATGAAGAACCTTAGCGATGCCCTTGGGACTTTTAATGAATCCTTTGCGAGTTGGCTATACGTCATGAATATGAACGCTCTGACGACTGATTGGCCCCAGGTGTGCTGCTCCTTTGAATCACGTCTTGATCGAGGAGCTCAGCCAGGGTCATGCATGTTGGTGGCATAGGCCCCAACGGACGCGTCGTATCTCTTAGCGAAGAGGCGCGCAGGTATGGGTGTAACTTGTCGAATCTCTCACAACTCATTTCAGCTTTATTTCAGAGGAAGAAGCTCTGGCCGCCATGGAAGCTCTCAAGGCTAAAACGGAGGCGATAAATCGCGAACGAGAGGCGCAGGTGTCAGCTGATAAGACAGCATTATCAGAAACCACCGAAGCCGATTTGACATATGCAGGCAATACAACCACTGCAACGGCTCTTTCATCAGGATCGGGTAACAAGTCAGGTGGAGCACCGAAGAAAAAAGGCGCCAAACCCAAGCTAACCGCCAAAGAGAAGAAGGAAAGAAGTGTGCGTGTTGGATCATTTCATTGCAAAAATATTTGCTTATTTTCGTTCAGATTGAGATAGAGAGGATTATATCCTGCCTGCCACTCGAATTTCGTGGTAGTGATCCAGTACGTTCTTTCGCTTACTCTTCCAAGACTCATCTTCATATGTCGACAGAATTTACGCCGCAACATGGAAGGTGTCATTGAAGGCTTAATGAACGCGCCTGGCAATACCGTGAAATGTCGGTTCTCTTCTACTACATTCATTCACAATAGATAGCTCAATCGTTTCATCTGTCAGTGACTGACCTGATCAAACCCCCAGACCTCAGTCAAGCCAGAGTCAACAAATGTCTAATTGCGCTTGTCAACAGAAAGGCTGTTCAGAAGGAGAACAACACGGTGCATTTCAATTTTTTTTTGCAACTCTACACAATCTAAGACGGTTGTTACAGGGCACGGTACTATACCACTGGCAAGGTATTCCGTAAATATATAGTCTCTGTAATCAGTTTCATCGTGTCTCACTTGAGGACTTATAACTACTTTTCGATTGTGTACTACATCCCCATGTCCGTAACCGTAACCTACGTCAAAGTCAATTGCCATTGTGGCAACGGCGCATTGCGCGTCGCCTTTCGTACCGATTCTCTGCCAATCTCCTGCACTCTCTGTCACTGCAACAAGTGTAGACATGTGACCGGGAAAATGGCCTTTTACGTCGTCCCAATCGTCGGCAAACCGTTGGACAGTGTCGCCGACCACGCGGCCAATCTTCAGCGTTTCACATCATATAAGCCAACGCCCACAGAAACCCGCTACTTCTGCCCTCTCTGTTCCGCACACCTGCTTGTTCGTTATACCAGTGGCCCACAACGTTGGGCTGTCTCTGGCGGTGCGCTTGACAGGGTAGATGGTATCATAAAAATCGACTCCCATACCTTTGTCGCTGACACTCTGGATGGTGGTCTGGCCAACATAATAAAGGAAATTGATGGAGTCAAGCTTCCCAGGTACTCCAAAGGTGTTGGTAGTGAGCTTGTACCAATGGGGTGGCGCTCCGAAAAGCTGTCCTCACCACAGGGCGAACTAACGGCATACTGTCACTGCGGAACAATAGGATTCAAGTTCAGTCGCCCGAGTGAGCTCTCCTATATTCCCCACGCGCCCTACCCCGACTTTATTTATCCAATGGACGTAACCCATTTGGCAAAGCTTCGGAATCCAACAGACGACAAGTGGTGGCTGCGAGAGTCAACCGTTCCGGGAGAGCCAGCCAAGTACTTGGGTGCTCACTGCGTATGTCACTATTGCAGGTTGGCTGGGGGATGCGACATCCAGAGCATCGCATTTGTCTCGCGAGCAAATATGCATGAAATTGGGACAAATGAAGTGGTCGACTACTTTCATGAAGAGAATCGGCAACCTGGACTCAAACAGTATCAATCCAGCCCCGGGCGGTATCGAGAGTATTGTGGAACGTGTGGTGCGTTTGTTGTTTGGTGGCATGCAGGTCGCCCAGACGTCGTGGACATATCAACTGGGTTGTTAGACCAAAAGGAGGATGGGGTACGCGCCGAGCACTGGATAGAATGGTTCAAAAATAGGGTTGCATTTCAAGAAAAAGCCGTCAATGTTTCCATTGCAAAAGGGCTCGTTGACGGTCTGAAGCAAGAGGTAGTAAAGTAGGATAAAGTATTACTTGTACCAATATGACCACACAACAATATTTTTCTCCTCTTTGTTTTCATACCGCCACTACCGCACTTTTAACTGCCCCAGTTCAGGAAATACTACCTGCTGTCGGCCCACTCTAGTGACGGCCTTAGGGCCTAGGATCGCACACACGGCTGATGGCCACCAAGGAGGACCAAGAGACACTTCGCCTTCTTGTCCAGCACGTCTCCAGGGCCTTCTACGAGGCAAAGTTCACGATCATTTTGGACCAGCTTGCACGCCATCCGGTGTAAGTATTTACACTGTGCTAGCAGCACACTTTTCGCATACTTCAATTTGTGTTACCTTGCCTGTTTGCCTAATTTTCGTTGACGTCTGACGCCTGACGATTGGTTGCTGTTGCGTAGCCTCAAAGACGATGATTTGGCAGGGAGAATGGGGCTCCAGCCAAAGGAGCTGAACAAGATCATCGCCGTATTGCACAATGACTGTTTGGTCAAAATGTAAGCTCTTCCTTTGTTCTCATGCTCACCTTCTTATCCTTGTCCAGATATCGGCAAAACGAGCTGAAGGAAGGTGCTCAGCGGTCAGTTGGGAAGCAATATTACTATATCGACTACGAACATTTTTGCAATGTTGTCAAGTGGCGAATTGCGACGATGCGACACAAAATTGATTCCTCGCTGCGCAATGTATCTTGATCGTTTCTTACTAAGTCGACGTTGACTCACAAACTACTGCAGGAACTTGATAACAAAGGTTACATTTGTACCCAATGCAAACAGTCCTACGCGCCCCTCGAAGTCGACAAGCTCATGGACTTCAATCTCGGCATCTTGATATGTGAGATCTGTCATGCAGAGGTGGTTGATAACGAGAATGCGGAGAGCGTACAAGGGAGCAAAGACAGGATGCAGCGGTTTAATCACCAAATGAGGTTTATCCGTGAGGGCCTGCAGAAAAGCGAGGCAATGGTCTTACCTGCGTGCGTCAAAGAATTTATCTTCGGGTTTTTTTTCCTATCTCTCATAATCACTGGCTACCAGATTTGACGTCGCAGCGTGGGTGAAGAACAACCCGAGCGACGCCGACAAACAAAAAGCAGCTCAGACGGGTTCAGACCTCAAGGTTGCCGGGTCAGATTCAAAGCAACAGGAAGATGCTGGGATTAGGGTTATGATGGCTATGGATAAAGATGAGATCACACGAAAGCATGAAAGGGATGCCGAAGCAGATTTGAAGAGGCAGCAGAATGCACTCCCAGCATGGCATTTGAGGAGTACGATTACCGGGGATCTGACGGCGCTTGGTGTGCAGGAGAATGCTCGAACGGAGGACAAGTTATCAAACGACGACATGCTGAGGGGTTTGGGCGTTGCTGGACGGCAGGTGCCACAGCAGCAAGTTGTTAACCTCGTGGAGGACGTCAAGCCAGTTATTAATCCAGAGTCGGATTGTACGTTACTGGCTCATCTCCAAGCTGACTCAACTCTTTATGATGTGTCCGCTTTTCAGTATATGACCAATATTACGCGTCGTTGGCGGCATCAGCGGCCCCATCCGCACAAGCGACCCCCACTGGTCTCAGTGCCCCTGGTAGTTCCGATTTTGGTGATTTCCCCAACGACGAAGAGGAAGATCGGAAACCGAATCTTGAGTACCTAGACTCACTCAACGACTATCGGAAACGGTCCCGTTCAAGAGAAGATGTGGGCTCGGTAAAAGTCAAGGTAGCAAAAATGGATGCGCTGCCGGTATATGACTATGGGATGGTCAATGGGTATACGCCGGATGGTGGGATTGAGATAGAGCAAGATGCGATCATGGTTGAGGAGATTCCACCGCCTTTTGAGGGCGAGGAAGACCCTATGGTTAATGGTTTGCCTTTCTGTTCTCTCCTATCTGCTATTCCTTTCGCTCACCATTATCTTCCAGTGAACGGTCTCCCGAAGCCATATTCGCAGGTCACGGAAGAAGACCATGATCTGATGACGCCAGATGAGTACACGGCGTTCTTTGAGATTTTACAGGCGCGTTCTTGAATATCCTTCGCCTGAATGTGGGGCGAAAGTGTTATCACGTGGTCATATGTGTAGATAGCGAGCTACATCGGCATAAGTCTACAGGATTATTTTAGAAATCTCCTTACTCCCGTGTGAATATAATTGGTAGCTTCAATACTAGACCGGAAGTTTGTAGCGGTTCCGACTAGCGCCCAATCTATGTGAAGAAGCAGATATGATCTGTGCGATGCAGCCACGTTAGTGCCGCTGGAGATAGATGGTATGCCGTTTGTGATCTCAGGATCATCCATATGCGATTTTGAGGCATACAAGGCATAAGTACCAGCACCTCACTCCGGTCCGAATGGCACTCCTTCTATCTGGGAGGGAGGGGGGAGTCAGACCCCTTTAGGGTCAAAATGGACACATTTCAGTTGTCTCCCAAGGTTATGGTGAAGTCTGAGAAGGGGGACCTGCTGTTAGGTTCAGCTCGCAGTGATGTATCAAAAACGTACCCTAGCAACTTCTTCCTTTAACGGCTCCAGGTCGGCGTAAACCATGTCAAGATACTCATTCTGACCAAGAACGTGCTCATGAACTAAGCGCAATCTTCGGTCAACCTCTAGAGCACCTTCTAGATTCCGAGCGATGATGAATCCGCGCATGAGGGAAATGTACATGATCAAATCAGGGGGAGGAAATATGTTGTCCTGTTCTTCCGTCGTCGCACTGCCCGCCGTCCCGTCATTGGTCTGTTTCCCAGACTGATTCTCCATTTGATCCAAAACGAAAAAAGCACGCTCTGGGTCGCCCAAGCGTGCATAAGTTCCTGCAAGCTCCGTAAAATGATATACGTTGGGCCGAAGGCCAAGACTCAGCATATTACTGATGATCTCAGCGCCTCTGCTGGCGCCTGATGCAAACATCAGTCGCTTTATGAATGGAGTGAACGCTCCGGACGATGTCGTGACCTTGACAGACGTAACCAATGGCAAACCATCAGGCTCAGCGGAGTGGTCACCAGCTGCCACTTGAAGAAGTCTGTGGTAGAGGCGCTCAACTGTAGCATCATCCGGCGCGATGTCGACAAGGGAATGCCAGATGAGATTGCAATGTTGGGCGGAAGGCCAGAGTTTTCCTCGAGGGAGGACAATACGATTTCCGTATTCGCATACCCGATGAGGAGGCGCCTCTTCTTCCTCAGTTGATACATGATCTGGGTCACTGAATTCAGCTTGTTGATGCTTCACCCGGTTGTAACATGTGAGGATATCGTCTCTTGGGACACCAGAGAGATAAAAATGGTCCACGAAGGTCTGAATAACAAGGCTGTGTTGCTTGAGTTTCCGGTAGTATAGCATTTCGGCCAATAGGAATGCAGAAGTGCTGGCGTAACTGGAACGAACGGATCTTCGTAGGAGCAACGCCAAGGCGCGGGACCTGCCTGTAAACCGATATTCTGCGAAGAAATTGACAATAGTGTATGGGTGGGGGATGCCAGTCTTAGAGGATAGACCATTCTTGAGATACCTCAAAGTCTCTGCGAGGTTGTCGCTGACATGTATGGGAGTTGGGAATGTTATGTCCGGCATCATTCCAGCATTTTCCAATGGATCGGCGAGTAAATCGCCACTGCTTACTTCTCTTATAGTCTGAAAGTCCCCAGAGGTGTGGTGTGGAGCAGGAATGGATGTAGACTCTTGATTACGGAGAGTCATGACAAGGGGTATATGTTGCTTAACCTTGAATTCCCTTGTTGTTCGAAGACCACGGAGAAGGACATCATATGTATATCTGGTAAGGCGGAAGGTACTATTGCGAGAATCTGGCAGCAATGCAACGGCCTCTTCCAGTCGCCTTGAAAATGCCAGGGTGCGCACAGCAATTCCGCGGACATTGGTGAATGTCTTCTTCACCATATATGGGGCGTCTTGTGGCCGGTGACCGTTCCAGTACGATCGATGTGCCTGCATCAAGTCATCCAAAAATTGGTGGCTCATCTCCGGAGATGCATATCGTATGATAAGGGGCACGGCGTGTATGCTAATCACGTCTGCGTATCCCTTGGAAGCAAGTATCAACGCCATGCTGGTGACGAGAGAAAGATTGGTAACGGGTGTTTGTAGAATAACACGACGCGCTTCCTCAAATTTACGAGGGGAAAAAGCGAGATGGGCAGGGGGTATAAGTGAAAACCAATCAGCAAAACGACTGACGGATGCTTCAGGAAGGCGTAGGGACGCCAAAGCTGCTTGCTCGTAAACGCGAGAAGGGGGGATAATGACACCAAGATCACGGAGTTCCCCAAACAAGGAGTATGCCTCTTCGTACCTGTGGTCGGTTACAAGCTGAGCAAGTGCGTGCGTGGAAGAGTATGCAGCCTGCTCCGCAGGTGCGTAAGTGATGTAGTCGGAATCGCGTTCTTCGAAAACTGACGGATCGTCAGCCACAGGTTCTGGTAAGACCCTCGGCAGGGTCGTTTTAACCAGCTCAAGGATGGAGAGTGGGAGAGGTTTGGATTCGACCATCACTGCGGTATAATCTTCCGATGCCTCTTCAAAGACAGAAGCCTGGCTTTCCGCGCCGACATGAAGTTTGCTTGGTGTGCTGCACTCGTTGGTAGAAGAGCAGGGATCTGAAAAGGAGAGAATAGCGTCTGCATGTCCAACATAGCGTTTTCCCAAGAGTTCAATGTGTCCAACTGTGTGTCGTCGCCTGGCGCTAGCGCGCAAAGTTACCTTTCGTACGAGATGGGGAAAGCCAACACAGACCCATGGCGAGTTCACCAGTGGCCGTGAGGCAGCAAGCATACGGAGCGTCGACGACGAGCTCGAATCGACCTGAAGGAAATATTTTGTCACAGTGGTCACAACTCTTAGCTTCAACCTCTACCAAGTGTGCCAAACCTATCCACTTGCTGCTCGCTGGTCGAGCTCTCCGCCTATACCCCAACATTACTATACTATATACACTACTGATATGACTCTGGTAACCGACAGCCCTCCTCGTGCTCCTCCTGTCAAGTACACTGCACCTCTTGGGACTCGCTGGGACAAGGAGAAAGCCGCAGCTGGCGGGGCTAGTGCCTTTGACTTGCCAACAGACCCAAAGAATATCGGTCCTTGGATCTTGGGCGAATGCGTTGGCAAAGGCGCTTCTGGGCGGGTTAAAATCGCTAAGCACAAAAGGACTGGACAACTCGCCGCCGTCAAGATCTTGCCTGTAGCTCCTCTGGTTAACTCTCGCGCTTCTCTCGCAACTCAAAAGGCAAAATCGGAAAAGTTACGGCTAGGTATCGACAGAGAAATTACAATGATGAAGCTTATGAACCATCCAAACATCATGCGCATTTACGATGTCTTTGAAGGCGACAAGGAGCTGTTTCTCGTTCTCGAATATGTGGAAGGCGGGGAACTTTTCGATTTTCTGGTCAATCGAGGTCGATTACCTCCGAACGAAGCACTCGAATATTTTCGACAAATTGTCTACGGTCTCAATTATGCCCACACTTTCTCCATCATTCACCGTGACTTGAAGCCTGAAAACATCTTGATCGCTTCGCTCACTCCGCCCTTGATCAAGATAGCGGACTGGGGTATGGCGGCTTTTGCCCCTCCGTCTCTTCAACTAGAAACTAGCTGCGGATCACCGCACTACGCCAGCCCTGAAATTGTCAATGGCGAAAAATATCAAGGAAATGCGACGGATATCTGGAGTTGCGGCGTCATTTTGTTCGCTCTATTGACTGGCAGGCTTCCTTTCGATGACAAGAACGTCCGGACTTTACTTTCCAAGGTCAAGAGTGGGAAATTCGACATGCCGACTTGGATCGATCCTTTGGCCAAGGACTTGCTCGAAAGGATGCTTGTGGTAGATGTCAAGAAGCGAATCACGGTATTTACGCATTTATTTATTGGCCTGGGTCACTACTAATGTATCTGCAGATCCCGGAAATCTTGTCGCATCCTTGGCTCCTCACACAGTCAGCTTCCTCCGTGTCTGGCCCGAGCACAAGCAATTTCCTTGTTCCTCTTATGCCTCCCTCTCCTAGTACTCTCGCGCGTCCAATTGCCTCGCCACACCTTATTGACCCAGAACTATTGTTGTCTTTACGAATCATATGGGGCCGCCATACCGATTCTCAAGGTTCATCCATCATACGTGATCTCTGCGCACCAGCTGGCCATGGCGTCCATGCAAAGGCTTTTTACTTTCTGCTCAACATGTACCGAGAAGAGACATCTCGGAACAGAATGGCAGAGGCCAACAATGAGGGTGGGCAGAAACAGTTAGATTCTGCTCTCGGGACTGTCAAGTTCAATCTCGGGCGGAAAACAGATCAAACTAGACTGGCTGATAGATTTAATGGTGGCCGTAACAGCGTCAACGCAGCTATCTCCCCAGCTCCTCCGTCACCTCGTCACCCTGGACTATTCGGGCCAATCCCTCCAGTAATGCATCGCGGTAAGACTGTCGTAGAGGGTGGTACGTCTCCAAGAATCAAGCTTGGCTCGCCAATTGGACCTCGCCCGCCGCCGCTTAGCATTCATGACGCTGACCGAGCCCAGCCCGATGTCCGGAGGACCCAGGCTCGAAAGAGAGAGACAGCCCCATTAGCTCGCCCTAAGGTATCAATGGGCCCTCGGCCTGCACCCGCAGGCCGAGGGAATACATACTCAAGTTTCGCTGAACGCCAAACTATTGAAGCTCTGCCAACCGGAACTCCTGTAAGTCTTCAGTCTGGAGCACCAATACACCGCCAAAAAATGAAGGCTTCATCATCAGCCGACCTTCCGGCGTTGCCTAGGGACGTTGATACGGATCAGGTGCTGTCTTCGTCTACTCAAGGCCGTTCTCCGAGCTCCAGGGAAGCAATGGCGGGTTCTATGGTTTCAACGACCCAAACACCAGCGTCATCGAGGCCCATTCCTAACGTAACAATGGGTCTGAATTTACCTCTCCTGACGGCACCCCAAACCGACGATCCACAACTCCAAAAAACGATGGACGAAATTACTAAGAGAGTTAACATCATTGTTCAGGCTGCTGCCCGATCTACGACCTTGACCAACGCAGGCGTTTCCAACCTCTCGACCAATGCTGACGAAGTTCAAATGTCAACTAGGAACGCCAATCCTCTCCCACTGTCTCAAAGGATCACCGAGCCGCGAGAAGTGGTTGACACTCACGTCGAGGCACAAGGCACCAATCCGCGCTCAGACAAGGAAAACCGAAATTCCGGAGAAGAGGGCTGGAGTTATGTTGACGTCTCGAACGAACAGTCAGGTCTGGGTCTTGGAGTCGGGGTATCGAGAGAGATGGGGAAAGAGCTTGTTAATATTGGAAATATTGGACCGGTTACATCGCCCGCGAAAAACAAGAAGGGAAAGGAAAAGAAGACCAGGCGTGAGTCGGATTTTATTTTAGAAAATACACTTTTGAGATACTGATTGTATTTTTTGCGCACAGCGCCCCCCATCGAATTACCTTCACTTCATCCGAAGAGGTCGACCATCTCAATGCTTGGCTCTCCTATCGCCCTTGCTTCAGCGGTTCATCCGACTGCGACTAATTCAAACAGGCTCCTCGCTTCCCCTGTCGTGGGGGAATTCAAGGGATGGTTTTCGAACCTTTTCAACTGGAAACTCCATCAGTCGACTGGGCAAGGAGGTGTTGTTTACTCTGTTTACGATCCAAACAGGACTAGGGAAGATGTCGTGAAGCTTCTCGAAACGCTTGGATTTCACATTATGAAATATCCTATGGAATACCCCTCTGATATTGACTTGTTAAACTGTTGTTTAGACCGCCAAATCACGGACCCTGCCAGTAATACAACCCTCAAGCCCCTGCGACTTCGGGTAGAAATCAGCACGGGGTGTGGTTTCAGTTCACAGCCCTCCTCTGCACCTACCGGAGACGAGAACCCTTACTTTAAACCATCTGTTCCACCGACTCACCCAATTTATCTCACCACGCCCACTTCGGCCACGATACCACGACTCAAATCAGCTATGATTGGAGGGAAAGGTTCTGCGGCTTACCCCGCTCCGTTGCCCAGCCCCATTGGATTTCCAAAGTGGGAATTGCCGCGTGGCTGTGCATGTGCGATTGCGTTGGTGCACGAGAAGGGGTCAATGTCGACCTTTAGAGCAGTCTGGCGCAAGGTGAAGGACATGTATGGGGATTCGCCAGCGCCGTACCCCTGCTTCAGTCCCGCGATGGCGACGACACCATTTGTTGAGCACCAACAACGATTCGCAGTTTGATATATAGAGTCAGGCCCCTTCTTCGTCTCTCTGTGCATTATTATTGTAACATACACTTATTCCAAAAAATTACTACCCCTCACTTGCCCCTCACCATGGCGATGATAAGGGCAGTGACACCTCAGCCGCGCGAGCACGGAGTAAACAATACCGTCGGCGGCAGCGTCATTAAATTATTATACGCTTGCACAACATTGCCAAAAATATGGGACTATGCTGCACTAGCTATGGGCGCACAATACTTGTGAAACGCCAGGGAGCCAGTTCACGGTAAATTTAGTCTAAGTTTAGTCTAAGTTTGGTCTAGGCCTTAGTTTGACAATTCATCCCTGCTTTCTTTGCTTATCTTCAGTCCCTTGTCGGACTAATCGGAACCATGTGCTTCTTTAAACTTGTAGACGGTATTTTTATTTTCCCAACTTGATTTATGTACGACGCCCAGAACCCCAGCAATGATGCACTCGTGCGCCATTCGAGCGAGTCCCATCTTATTCAACACAGAGTCGGATTGCGGTTAATCAAGAGGAGAAACTAGCCGAGTATTACTAACGCTAAAAGCGGTTGCATATATATACATGCGCTGCTTCGCGGTCGAGCGCGGAAAATTGAACGGAGCATCGCGTTGAATCTATCAACCGTTACGTCGAGCGTCCGACGACTTTTTTTTGATATATAACAGTAGCATCGGAAAGACGTTATTTTATTGCCTAAAAAGAAAGAGCAGGTATGTCAGCTGCCAGGATGACACCGCCAAGCGGCACACACGAGTCATGAAGAGTATAGCTGCTTGTAGCCTATGACTAGGATGAGAATGCCTGGGTCATGCGACATAGCCCTTGAGCAATACATGTCCACAACTTTTAGGGAATAAAATGAGTTGATCAATTGAACGACTACGAAAAAATAACCGCAAGGTGCCAAGGTCTGGGCGTGAGGAAGCTTTGAGCGCAAGGACCCTAAAAAAAACAAGCTCACGTCTCTTCGATGCCAAAAAATACACCAGCGTTGTCAGCTCAAGAAATGGGAACCGGGGCGAGAGTACCACCCTCCAAATTTTCATGAAACTCGAGGATCAGAATGCCGCGATTCGTAAGAATTTTGAAACGATCAGTGATAGGTGTGCGCAGGTGAGGTTATTGCAGCGGCCTTGTGGGGGACGGTGGGAATTCGGGTTCCGAAGCCAGAAAGAGGAATAACTGGCCGATGATTTATAGTACGAGGTCCATATATGGGGAATTTCTGCTCGGAAGAGTGTGCCCAAAGTGTCCTTCTGTTGTGTACTCCACTCATGTCGTGTATACTATCCGAAGGCCATGTTTTTAATCTGTGGGCACACTTTGCCAGACTCGAGGAAAAGAGACTCTAGACAATCAGAGTTGGCTTGAGCCCCTGGTTGGATTTTTTTTTCTATCACAGAAAAGTCGTCAAAATTGACCTCGGGTACCTGCCTTATTTCGAGGTTGGAGTACACCCGTGGCGCATTCACGATAAAGAAACAGATGAGAGAGAACGAATCTTGTTATATGAGCTCTCAATGATTTATTTGAGCGGGAGGGAATAAATATTAGAGTGGCCATTTGCGGACAAGGGTGTTGCAGTGGTTTTGTTGTTTGAAATTTCAGACCGTGGTTGCCCGATGTCACAATGGTTGGAACAAGGTTGGAACAATCAAGGGCGCTGTATCTAGCGCCGAGAAATGTGTGGCATCACAACAATTGCAGCACAGGATGATTGATCATCACCAGTGAGTGAAATACAGCGACATCTGTGTAACTTATGAGTATAATTTAAATCACCTACTGCGATGCAAAAGAGGCATCTATACCACTCACATTTGCTTTACAAAGGCCGTAAGGTCACCGATTCGGATCGATTGGTTTCGGGATCTTGCCTAGTAACCTTAGGCCGATACTGCCAGTAGAGCCCGTGTTAGAAAAACATATATGAGATGATAATTAATAAATCGGTTCAATACTCAGCGCTCAGCCTCTACTGAGTAGTGAACGGTTCCAGTTCTGAGTTTATATTCCTTCAAATGGACTCAACACCGCTAAAAGCGGAAAGGCACCAAGTCAAGGATATATAAGCTCCAAAAAACTCCGTAGGTATCCCCTGTGACCAGTTGATATACAACAGTGTGGGAGTCCCAAGTCGCCAGAATGGAGTCAACTTCTATAACCAAAAATACATTGTTGGATGGAATCGATACCTTCACAAGGGGCCGATAGGCGCTTGAAGTTCCGCAGTGTAAGTGACTCCAAGTGACTACAAATTGCAGGCTTGTTTCCTAGTTTTTTTAATGGTATTTGAGGACTTGGAGCAAAGCTAAAGGCGAGAATAAAGGAGAATGGCGCTGAACGGAGATAGATTGTCGATACATGGATCGATCGGTTAGGAAAACCTCGGAAGGTTCCCTGATAGGCTGATATGCACGTGTGGGGACAACGCGTAAGGCTGTTGTTTGTTGATGCTTACAGTTGTGCCGTAAAAGTCCAACAAGCCCTTCCAACCCACGACTTTGCTCCACCACCCTCTCCCATATAAAACCCTTCTTGTTGTCTTCCCCTTCCATGGCCATTCTTTTTACTCCACATACCCGTGCTATACACCCTGCGAAACGTATGCGGCGTTCCGCCACAGCCGTAATGGCAGGCACTTTTGATATCCGCCCGCCTAGAGACGCTTTGACAAGCTTGTTGAATGGTGTTGGACCATACAAAGAGGTCGAAAGAGACGAGGAGGAGAGGAAGTTGAGGAAAAAAGAGAAGAAAGAACGTGATAGAGAGAGGAAACGGGCAAAGGTGGCTGCAAAAGCACGACAGAAGGAGTTAATTGGGGGAGGAAGCGCGACAACAGACGGCAAGCTGGCCAGCACGAGTTCTATTCCGCAGCCGCAGCCGCCTGCCGCCAGCACCTCCTCGTTTTGGCGCGCAAGGCCAACCATTCATATTCCGGCGATGCAGCGATCGGTGTCGGTCACACCCTCACCTGCAAACTCGCCCTTGCCATTGCTCGACACACCAGGCTCGACTCCAGGGCCATCTATCTCTTCGAGCACATCGCGCACATCGTCCAAAAGACCACATACGCCTGATGATGATGAAGACCTTGGCACAGAGGCCACTCTCTCTGCACCGCCAAGGGCTCAACATCGGAGAAAACGTGTTGCGACGAAGAAAGGGTGGAAGGGATGGGTGGAGGGCTCCCCGCCGCCATCAGAAAAATTGATCAACTTAGACGCTGTTCCAGTCCTTCAGGAACGGCGAACGCGTAGTGGGAAAAATTTCGATGCCATCGGTGTTGGCAAGGAGGGATGGGTCTGATTGTGAGTGTCATACTGTATGACCTAACCGTTCGTTTTTATTGATTTTTGGTATTACAGTAGGATACCCGTCAAGAGGACAGCCGGCGTTATCCATAGATTTTTAGGCGATTCCTCTCGTCGCCGTTGTCGTTGTCGTCGTCGTTGCAAGGATGGAACACACCCCAGATATCCGCACCGATTATCTCCTTGTCATCGCGTGCTCCTTACGTCGCTGGTGTCTCCAGTTATTTTCTACTTCTCTATGTCCTCGTTCATCGCGTTGTATCTGTTTTTTTTTTTGCAAGCTGATCTGTAGTCTTCTTGCCTTAGCTTTCTCTATCAACATAAAGTATCTGTGTTCTAGTTTACAATTTTTTTCCACCTTGCTCCATCCTGTGTAAATGCTCTAAGAGTGCCTACCCATTGTAGCTTTCCGTTCGGCTTGGTCTACTCAAGTCTGAAGGGCTTGGAATATAATGCAAGCCATTTTTTGAAAGAGTTATGTAATGCTTATCGACAGCCTCTGGAAATAATAGAGCGTAAAGTATCGTTGACGTCCAAGTTGATTGCAAGTTGACGTCCTCAAGGCATTTCTCATTCTACCCGTGTTTCCCCTGCGTGGCATTTCATCGCTCAATATTGCTGGTGCACATTGCGTATCTGCTCCACTTAGAGTTTTCCTGGGAAAGAAGAACGCTCCAGCATAGCACCAGGACAACACTCAACAATTCTTGCAAGCCATGGCGTTGCTGCACATCCCCGCACCGATACTTCCCATCGCGCCCTCATGGTTTCCCGGACACATGATGAAGTTCACGCGGATGCTGCCAGCATTACTTACACGAACAGACGTCGTTCTTGAAATAAGAGACTCGCGTCTGCCCTTGACAAGTATAAACAGGTCCCTGGAAGGTGTGTGCTCTTTTCCTGCGTCTCCTTCGGAGTGTGCTATTACCTACATGTGGCATTCATACTCTGCATTGACGGGGTTCTTCAGTTCTTTGTTGTGGTGCACCGGCACTCTCAGCCACTTGCCCAAGGCAGGTGACTGACTGAACATCATTCCCCCACTTTGTATCGACGTTCTTCTCACTTCGTTGCCAATTTAGGCGCACTTCGGAAGTGGAGATTAGAGCGTGGATGGGACCCAAACAATCCAACACGCCGCATAATAGCTGCTGAAGCCTGTGAGCACATTGTGGTCCTGAACAAGCGCGATCTTGTTCCTGAATGGGGCACCGAGGTAAAGCTTCTTCTCCTTCGATATCGAAAAGCCTCGTCTAAAACGCATTTTCTTCTCTTGAGCCATTCCGTCTGGCGATGGCGAAGAAGTTTCCTCATCAGCGTTTACTCTTCGCGTCGTGGCAACGACCGCGGGATATCAGAAATTTGAGCGAGATCCTAGTAAGTATGTTATATCTTTTTCAGTCCAGCGCAGATGGTCGCCCATGGTATTACTCCAGACTAACCACTTCACCATTAGACATCGCGAAGCAACATCCACATGCTATGGAGCTAAACGTACTCGTAATTGGAATGCCGAATGTCGGTAAATCAACTCTATTGAATGCCCTTCGCCACATGGGGATCAAAGGCCGTGCGTATAGACTGTTTGACTGTCCGTGCTACAATTGATACGTTTATGATGTAGGAACACCAAAAGCATTCAAGACCTCTGTAAATCCGGGAATGACACAAGCTCTCTCGACACGGCTGAAGCTATCCTTGGATCCCCTCGTTTATGCCTACGATACCCCAGGGGTTATGTTACCCTTCCTGGGACGCGGGGCAGAAGGTGCAGAGAGAGGTGTTAAACTTGCTTTGATAGGTACGTAAACGCTCAACCCACCCCTCCCTTTGTCACGGTGATCAGTAGGTCTCGTGGACTCTTGAATTCTCATTGATCTGATTGATGTAACAGCGGGGATTAAAGAAGGCATGTATGACATGCAAACACTGGCAGCATATCTGTTGTACAGACTAAACGTTCTAAATCCCATTGGTAAGTCACTTCTTCCACAACATCGTTAGCGTTCAGAACTTAAATGTGCACCATCCAATTTAGCACCAGCTTATCTACATCTTCTACCGCCTGGTTCTCAACCTACCTTTGACTTGGAAGATTTCTTGACTAACCTTGCTCAGAGGATGGGTATGATTACGAGAGGAGCTGAGGTAGATCTAGCGCGAGCTGCTGTTTACTTTGTACGCTGGTGGCGTGAGGAGGGCGGGCTCTTGTCTGCTTCTTCGGCATTCAACATTGGTGTCAACACCAACACCAACTCATCGGCAACATCTCCCCAGATTACCACGGCTCCAGGACAGTTTTTCTCTACGCAAGGCTGGGGATTTGATTTCCAGTGGGATCTACAGCCCCAAGAGGTGACTTCTCTGCAGGGAGGTATGGACCCGAGTACACTGGTGCAGGACAAGATGGAAAGATGCATTCAAGATTACGTGGAGATGACGGACAGGCAAGAGTCAGAGGAGAATAACCTCAGTCAGACGCAGGTGAAGAAGAGACAGGTGTTTGAGGAGAAGTTGAAAAGGCGCATGAAGCGCGAGAGGCGGTGACACGGTCTCTCCATTTGGCCAAGAAAGTCCACCACTTCTCTCTAATCGTCACTAACAAATATACTTAACAGTGTATATTGGAGAATATAATGATACAATCAACGAGTAGTATACAGACATAAGGTTGGAGAACAGAGTTTTGTAAGCAAGGGAAAAAGGGACAGGTATCAGAAGTCCAAGTAATCTCGGCCAGCGCCTGACCAGGCGCCTCCAGTCCCTCCCGTGCCACCATATGGGTCTTCTCCCGGCATGCCTCCCACCCCTACACCGGTACCCTCTACGTCCTTGAAGGAGAATTCTCGGTTGAACTTGGTCTCCAGCGACGACATGGTTCCAATGAGTTTCGTACATGCTTGATGCAATATGGCTTGAGGTGTTATCGTTCCGTCCGTTTGGATCTTGATGAGAAAGTAGGGGTGAAGGGGGTGGGGAACTTTGTACCCCGCAAAGAGGATCTGTGGCATTGACAGAAGCTGACTAGAACAACAGGTAAGATGAAGACACGCTAGAAGACAAAAAGGCAGCGTACGCTCGGAGCATATTGCCAAGGGTATGATCCTGTTTAACGATTTTGATAGTAGCGGCGTTGGGAATCTTCGTGTCCTCTGTTATTTCCACTCTGGATTATTATCCACCACGTTTGAACCTTTTGCGGTGTTTGCTATGGCAGAGATGGAACGCACGGCTTTTCGCCATCTTCAAGAACGTAGAGCTCGTAACGATTAGGTGCGTTCATGTCTGTTAGAAGTATGGTTAGTTTATGGCTTGGAGAGAGGAATAATGTTGAGAATGGTTCAGCAAAAAAAAGTGCGATCATAAACATGTTCACCGACAATAAATATTGGCTTGAAGCCCATCATTCCATAGGATGAAAAGAAATAGAGCACTCACGGTTTGTTTTTTGGTGACAGCGACAAGGACTGAACAAGAAAAGCAAAAGATGCGACAAAAGTTTACCACACCTTATTTGGTGTTGTTGACAAAGTGGCACCCACACAGACAGAACCGTAAAGTGTCCATTGGCCCTCCGAATCTCAACACCTCCTCAAGGTTAGTCTTCCGTCTCTATGCCCCTCCCATGCACCCATATTCTGTGATATGGAGTTCTGGACCTTCCATTTCCATGTCGTTTTGCGAAGAAAAGTGGAATTTGAGGTTGGATGGGATAGGATGGCTTTGGATGGCGTCTATGGGTCAACCGTTTGCAAACAGAACGCTAACGTTTAAAAAATACAGAAACCATGCCATCCCGGTTCTCCAAGACTCGCAAGCACCGCGGCCACGTATCGGCCGGTCACGGACGTGTAGGAAAGCACCGTAAACATCCAGGTGGTCGTGGTCTTGCTGGTGGTCAGCACCACCACCGGTACGCCTTGGTTCTCTCTTACGGAGATGATGCGTACTGATCTCTTTATTGCGTTTTAGAACCAACTTCGATAAGTACCATCCTGGTTACTTTGGAAAGGTCGGTATGCGCCATTTCCATCTCACGCGCAATCAATATTGGCGCCCGATCATCAACGTCGACAAGCTCTGGAGTCTTGTACCTGAAGAGGAGAAGAAGGGCTTGACTGAGGATTCTGAAGTCGTGCCAGTTATTGACACCCTGAGATTTGGGTATGGAAAGGTGTTGGGCAATGGACAGTACGTTCCGATAAACGATGATGGAATGAACTTTATAGCTGATTGAACCTCTAGGCTACCACAACGTCCTTTCATCGTAAAAGCGCGTTTCGTTTCAGCAAAAGCAGAGTATGTGGATTTACTAATATCTTGGATTCTTTTTAAACCTTGTGTCATAGGGCCAAAATCAAGGAGGCTGGCGGTGTTGTATCATTGATTGCATGAACTTGTCTGCAGCACTATTCCATTACTTTTTTTCCATCTATGAACGTATGCGAATACAGCACTATGCCTTGAAATGAGTGTCTCCGCAGTTGTAACCGAGGTTGCTGATAGTGAGATCACGTGAGAAGATGACAATCGTCATAGCCTCGAAGATAGCTGTTGTCCCCTTATTTAAAGAACAGTTGATGTCCATCACCTCCCACTCCAATCGAATGTCCCTCGTCGTCTAGTCCAAGTCGTTCTCCACGGCGCTTACCATTTCACAACGACCAGCCGCACAAACCAGCCGTACTATTTCTCTCTTGCCTCCCACGCACAGAAACAATTCACATGAGCCACCAACCTACTGCTGCGGGGGGCGCTCCAGTCGTGCAACTCGACCACCTTTTATCGCCAAACACTGCTGATCCTACCAACGCTCCGAACAATGTCAAGGACAAAAAGTCACAGGATCCCCTCTTCGGTCCAAACATTGGCTCTGTCAATGCTGGGCCTGCATGGACGTCGACGATGGACAAGAAAATTGTAACAGATGAACTGACGCCGGACATCGTCAATGGGTGGATCGAAAAGAGCAAGGAGGTGAGTATTGACTGATTAGTTATAATCATCATCAAATTTCCTGTCTCCTCCTAGTCATCCTATTGCTTCGAGACACCATTATTAACCAGTCTTTCAGTCTTCACAGCCGACAACGACTTTACAGGCGCTGGTGAACCTCAAGCGGCCAACACTGCGTCTATCTCCCCTATCTTCCGTCGCAGAAGATTCTGCGACTCCTACCCCAGGTGAACCGTATCACCAGCATCACCACGGCCTCGAGTTTGAATATGATTGCGACGCACCGAAGTGCGGTATATATGTTCACGTTTACCTTCCCAAAGCCCACCCAGATGCACCACCCGCACCCCCACATCACCCCTTTTCGAGACTGCTCGTATTCGAATCGGTCGTCGAGGGCGGGTTTGCAAGCCACCTGACATTAGATGATGGCGCCCTTCTTGAGCTGGGGCGGTTTGAACATATACCGGCTGCTTCAACATCTTCCGATGCAACCGGCGCGTCTACTGCTCCGGCTGACGCCCTCCCAGGCACCAAGCCGACAAACGATGATCACCCGAGCGATTTATCAGCCAACCCGGCCGCTTCATCTGAAGTAGGCACAACCGGTCGACAGAATCGTCGTCGGTTTTCTCGTTTCCACTTTCGCAGGCGATCCCTGAACCGCAGTATCTCGGGGCCAGCTTTGGCCGTTGTTGACGCTGAACCTGCTGCGCAAGAGACAAAGAACAAGAATGGGAAAGATGGCGAAAATGAAGGCGTTAAAGTGACCATCCGATTGGCGGCACTTGATGAGCAAGCGACCGAGCTTGCCTCCCCCAATGAACAAATTACGTATCTGCACATCGTTCGTCTTGGAGCCAAGCCTGCTGACGCAGAGGAAGGCACTGAGGATACAAGGCCTTGGGTCGTCAAAGTTGTGAAGCGCGAAGCTACCGTGGGTTTTCGTTTTGCGCACTGGGCAGGTGATGCATGCTGATTCTTGCTTGTTAGATCGGCCCACACACTTTCCACCTGCACGAGATTTTTGGATTGACATCCGCGGCTAACCACGCTGCTACGCCTGTAACACCGTCATCACCTACACACACATATCCTCCTATAGACCATGCACAAGGCGCAGACGAAGACAGCCCACAGTCGGAGTGCCTCCTCTGCCTTTCATCCCCACGGGAAGTCGTGCTTCTCCCTTGCCGTCATCTTGTTGCGTGCAAGGACTGCGCACTTAACATGGTGGAATTTGGAGCTGGCGGAAATATTACGCAGGGAGTGGCGGAGCCTGCGGTCCCCGCTGTTGCTGGCGAGACCGGTGCCCCTGCGACGCCTGGGGCCCCTGCTACTCCTCCAGCCAATCAGAGAAGGAAGAGGAAGGCGAAAGGGTGGTTTTGTCCCATTTGTCGACAACGTACTCTCTTCTCTTTGCGTGATTTTTACATCCAGAATCTGATTTATTTATTTTTTAGCCTATACGTCACTCCTACGAATTACCACGGCGCCTCCACCGCCATTGGAGGATAAAGGTGACTCTGAGACGGAAGACGAAGCGCCCCCTGCTGAGCCTGAGACTGCAGAGACGCCGACGACGGAAGTCCGGAGTGGAGGTTTGCTTGGAGGATCTTTGCGACCTGGGTTCTTGAGGGGCTTGAGTCTTTCGAGAAATCCGCAACAGACGGTCAGACCTGATATTGAAAGTACTGCTGGATTGGGGAGGGTTGGAGTGTGAACAGACACACTCCCCCGTACTTGTTTTCTTCTTCCTTCCTATTTGATTTTGGAGTCTTTTGTCTGACGATTTATATTTGTACGATTAGGAGGGTGGATGGTGTAGTTTTTCCTTTGAACTCCAGTTCCTCAGCGGCTTGTACCCTATATCCTGGCTTTGCTATGTTATTTATATCTCGTTTTCAACGCGTCATATTTTGCCCAGCTATATTTGTTTTTTCTACAATCGTAATGCATCGAGGTATCACTGCGTACCTGGTCCTATCTTGTGATCATGTCGGCGGTTAAATTTATAAATTGTTCGGCAGGAGGAATGTAGTACAGGTTGAAGATAAAGCACAGTTGGCAGCTGGTACGTACGCAATAGGTAGAGAGAGTCTCCTCTTTTCTTGACTCCGAAGTGACGTACATCGGGGGAGCGATCGGTGGATCTATACCCAAATAGGACTAAGCATCCCTTCATGTGTCCTTAAAACCGTCAATCCGTTCGTTTGTCTTCCCTCGTCGCTCCTTCGGTTCCCCCCCTCTGCTGCCTCTTAAACAATGTACGTCCTTGTTGTCTCGTTCTCTTCGCGTCGCTGATTTTCACAGGTCGGACACTTCGTCCGCCAAGAGCGCGTCCACGGCGACCTTCGTCACAGCGCTTGTCTTCAACGCAGCTGTCTTTGGCATCGAGCTCGTCATCTTCACTCTCTTACGACCTTACTTCAAGGCGATTTATGAACCACTCACTTATACCCCACCACCATCGTGCGTTTCGTCATTCTTCCTCTTTCCCTCCTTATCTAACTTTTTTTCAACTAGTAAACGCGCACAACCCCTATCCAACAGCCTTTTATCATGGCCTATCGCCGTCTTCAAAGCGGACTACCGCGGTATCATTCGTGCCAATGGGCTCGATGCATATTTCTTTGTCCGCTTCCTGCGCATGATGGTCAAAGTCTTGTTACCCATCTGGATTATCTCATGGATCGTCCTCTTCCCCGTTACTGCGGTCAATAGCAGCGTTTCAGGAAAGGATAGCCTTGATAAACTTAGCTATGGAAATGTGGCGAATGATATACAAGTTCGTTATGCCGCTCACTTGATTTTGGTTTATATCTTCACTTGTAAGGCCCGTTTCTTGTCACTTCAACTCCGCTGAACACCTTTTTTAGTTTGGATCTTTTATAATATCAAAAACGAGATGAAACATTTCCTTATTACGCGTCAACAACACCTTATCGAAACCGAACATGCTAAATCAGTGCAAGCTAATACCATTCTCATAACTGGAATACCCGCGAAATACCTGTCTCAAGACGCGCTTTACAAACTATACAATGGATTACCAGGAGGAGTGAAACGAATTTGGATTAACCGGCAAGTACTGTATCTGTTCTCGATCCCTTCTGTTATTAAATTAAGTCTAGGAATCTCAAGGATTTACCTGACATCTATGACCGTCGCCTCGCAGCATGCAGTAAACTTGAATCAGCTGAAACGGCCTTGCTGCGAACTGCTGCGAAGCTGCGTCTTAAAGACGAAAAGGCGAATGGACCCAAGAGCGAGAAGAGTCAAGAAGCGAATATCGAAGAGGCGCCGACTGCGCAAGCTATCGAAGTTCCAGTCGGAGACCGTCCCCAACATCGTCTTGGTTCCATTCCATTCATCGGAAAAAAGGTTGATACGATCGAGTGGGCTCGTCAGGAGATAGCGGAATGCACTCGGTTATTGGACGAAGGCCGCGCACGCATTCGGGAGGCAGACGAGGCACATGCTCCTCATGATGACGACGACCTTTTCAGTGCATCGTCGGTTGATGATGAAGGAAATCCTCGGGTGCGTCAGAAAAAGGGCGAGCATGGTATCAAAGAAATTGGACATGCAGTCAAGGGCGCTGGGCAAACAGTAAAGCATACTGGCGAGGCCGTCAAGGGCAGAGTAATAGGCTCAGGCGGGGCGGGGGAATACCCGCCTATGAACAGCGCATTCATCACGTTTAGGAAACAGATTTCGGCACATTTGGCGGTTCAGGTTCTGGCTCACCACGAGCCTTACCGGATGAGTAAGTTTTCCGTCGTGACTTTCATTTTGTATGAACTCTAATTTTATTTTTTCATGTAATAGGCGACCGTTACGTTGAAGTCTCCCCCGAAGACGTAATCTGGGCCAACTTGGGCATGAATCCTTACGAGCAAAAGGTTGTTTCATTTTCTGTTTTTCTTTTCCCATGACTAAAGAATTAATACCCCTTGCAGATTCGGGTCGCCATCAGCTACGCAGCTACTGCAGCACTCATTATCTTTTGGACCATCCCTGGTTTGTTCCATACTTCCCTCCACGCAGAATTTGATTACCAATCGCCGTTTTGACTAGTTGGATTTGTCGCTGTGATCTCCAACATCTATACCGTCTGCGCCAAAGCCGTTTTCCTAAGTTGGATCTGTAAACTCCCGAAGGTTGTCGTTGGCATTATTTCTGTGCGTCTCCCTCTCTTTGCACCGCGCCCAGCGGAAGCTGAACATACGCCAGGGCATTCTCCCACCAGTCCTCTTGGCAGTCCTGATGATGCTTCTTCCCATCATCCTGCGCCTCCTCGCTCGCTTCGAGGGTATACCCAAACGCACCGGATTGGAACTTTCGCTGATGACCAGATTTTTCATCTTCCAAGTCGTCGTAGGTCTTTGATAAATGTTGCTGAAGCCTTGATATAACGGGATGACATTTTCAGCACTCATTTTTGGTTGTCACCATTGGCTCTGGTATTGTGGCGTCCCTCACTGGCATTCTGAACAATCCAACGAGTGTACCAACGATCTTGGCGCAACAGTTACCTCAGGCTTCTACATTCTTTTTGACGTGAGTATTCACATCTATCTCGCCGTTCTTGATGGTTGAATGTCGTTTAGATATATTATTCTCCAAGGTCTCTCGGGCGTCGCTGGAGGGTTCCTGCAGATCGTACCGCTTTTAATCTACTACGTCAAGCTGTTCATACTCGGTAGCACTCCCCGCTCGGTCTACGACATCAAGTATGGTGCAAGGAACGTTGCTTGGGGAACTACATTCCCTGGCGTAACGCTGCTTGTCGTGATCAGTTCGGTTTTCCCCTCCATATGCGGCAAATATATGACTGAATCTCTTCCATAGCCCTAGGATACTCCATCATTTCGCCCGTTATAAACGGTCTTGCTTTTGCAACATTCTTCCTCTTCTATATGCTGTACAAGTATATCTTTTTGTGGGTTTACCAGCAAGACCTCAAGAGCGACACTGGTGGATTGTTTTTCCCTAAAGCAATTCAACACGTGTTCGTGGGCATGTATGTGCAGCAGCTTTGCCTGTGTGCGTTGTTTTTCCTCGCCCAAGATGATAAGAAGAAGGCAAGCGCTGTTCCAGAAGGCGCTCTCATGGTTGTCCTGATTGTCATCACGGTAAGTTTCCTCTTATGAATGAAGAACAGAGTTTGATTGACCACCTTATCAGGCTGGATTCAATATCATCATCAATCAATCATATGATCGCCTCTTGTGTGCACTCCCTCTGAGTCTGCAAGACAAGACGTACACTGCACAAGGTGACGAGGGAGAGGAAGAACACGAGGGACAGGAAGAACCCATTCCCTCGAGGACGCCGCAGGAACTTGAAGCGGGTGGTCCTCAGGACCACGACAAGCTTGCGAAACAGGGATTGATTTCGGAGAGCCCAGCAATCGAGGAGAAAAAGCGTGCGGAACTTGAAAAGAAGATTCAAACAGAAGAAGATTATGGCTTCGCGCACCCCGCTGCTTCGAGACCCCAGAGGACTATTTGGCTTCCGAGAGACGATCATGGCTTGGTGACGGAGGAGCAGCGTGCTTGTGCTGAGGCTGGCGTGGATGTGAGTGACAAGAATGCACAAATGGATGCGAAGGGCAAGGTCGATATTGTTGGTGGGCCGCCGGATTTAGTGGGCGAGATATAGTTTTGGAAGGAACATGGGATTTTGAACAGTAACCCAGCAGTTGGCCTAATTTTTTTTCTATTTCCCTTTTTATACCCCCGCCGTCAGAGAAATAACTCTATGCGAACCTGTCTTTATCACGAATTTACAATCTATGATACATTTTTGAAGTGAACTAGTTAGTAACTTCCTCTATTTTTCTCCCTTACAGGAATGTACGGAACATTTACCCTTCATGGCGATTGGCTTTTCCGCTAAAGTTGTTGAAGGGCTTGTGCTGTGATTGAGTCTCTTTTTTTTTTTTTTTCATAAGCCTGGTGGCCTACTGCCATTCCATCCATCTTGAACGGGATGATGTGCACAGTGCTTATATGAGTGATACAACACATTGATGTGAAGAAAGACGCAAACATTGCATTGACAGCAATGCGGTGATATATATACGTACTATGAGGTAGGTGAATCCAAGTGGAACTGACTAGCAGGGGAGGTTCAAAAAATTGCTAAGATGTTCAAGTCTTGTAGATACGGAGTAGTCGTTGTTCTGTGACTATCCGTGTTCGACAGAGGGGGCATTCGCGAGAGCTCGCCATGACCATATCAGAGCACCCTCTACACATCGCCAAGTGTCTTACAAGAAAACATTAATCCATGAACAAACGAGACACAAGACAAACCACCTACCCGCAGTCTACAATCGCAATGTTTGCTTCGTCATCTTGACAAACGACGCACAGTCCAGTACGTTCCAACGCAGACGCCATCTTTTGCGTTATGGAAGGTGAAGGGGTTCTTGGAGGAGGCGGAGAGGAATTACTTCCTGAGGTTTTCTCGCCATGGTGATGCGCTGACCGACTCGAACTGGAGTTTCTGCTTGGCGAAGAACTTCGATCACTATGGCTTTCGCGTTCCCTACGCTCTCTGGCCCTCTCCCCCTCCTCCATCCTCTCAACCTCCCTCTGCACCCTTTCCATCTCTTCCATCTCTTCTGCCAATCTCTGCCTCTCACGTTCCCCTTTTTCGGCACCCACCAGCGTTAGCACCTTTTGCACCAGATCACTCTTTTCCAGAACTTGACCCGGGTTCACATGGTTGGTATTCAAAACGGATTTAAGGTTACCAATGCTGAGGGATCCGATGCGCTCGGAGGGCATGGTCAGCAGGTCTTCAAGTGTTGGAGGAGCTGTTGGAACGGGTGCCTCTCGTGGGCGTGGAGGTGGCGGTGGTGGTGTTGAACGAGACGACGACGACGCCGTTGGCGGTGCGTTACGCTGGGAATCAGGCGCTGTTCGTGGTCGGTAGGGATATCCTTGTTGCGGGTGCTGCTGTGGCTGAGGACGTGAGGCATGCGGAGGCACTGGTGGCGGTCCTGCATTGTGGAAGGGGTTGTTGGCGTAATGCGGGTTATATCCAGGCGGGTAACCTTGCCCGGGATATCCTGTGTTCTGTGGAGGTGGCCGAGGTTGGAATTGGGGAGGAGGGGGTTGCTGGTGCTGCGGCCCTCCCGGATACGTTGAATGTGGCGGAGGCGGTGGGTAAGGCGGAGGATTATATTGCTGTTGCTGTGGGCGCGATGGTGGTGGTGGCGGTGGTCCCGCAAAAGGATTGCTCTGGCGGGGAGGTGGTCCATCCGGAGCGAGGTCTGGCCGAGGGAACTCGTGTACTTGGTTAGCGGGTGGTGGTCGTGGTCGTGGTGGGGTTGCGGTTTCACCTGAACCACCTGTTCGAGAAAAGAGCCCTCGAGGACGGCTTGTCGTCTTGTCTGGAACTGAATACTTCCTGTAGAAATTCTAAAAAGCTAGTTAGGATTTGAAAGAGGAGCAAGTCGTTTGGTAAGACCTCATTCTCTGATGGCAGGCAACCATTTTGCTGTGCTCACAGTCAGTGGAAATGACCGTATAGTTGCATCCATGTAACGTACCCGTATGGCGAGGATACCATCGATAAGATCATCCTTCTCGACAGCGCGATCTATCTTGATATTATACACATTCACATATTTCTTCAGCTTAGCCAAAGTCAGGGATTTGAGATAAGTTCGACCGCCCGCGGTAACTGTCGCACACAAACATTTCATTGATTTTGACGAAACACCAAATGTCGGCCGCTTACTCGTTAAATACTCTATGCAGAATGCGCAAACGCTCATAGCATCATATCCTGTATCATGGCCCAAGCGAGGCATCAGAGCGTGGAAGTCTGAGCAACTATGACAATATGAATAGCCTAAAGCGCACATTTATACAACGATTCTGGATGATGGTTCATCGGACTCACCGCAATGATTACACTTTCTCGGTCTAGTGAAGATGAGGTTGAACTCCTTGTTACATTTTCTACACGCTTCTGGCTGAGTGTCCTCGAATGAAGCAGGCAAAGGACCGCTCAAGAGCGGTAGTCCACGACCGTCGGCCATTATTATCAAAGAGATGGAGTTGTCGTGATTCTATGGCTTATAAGCTTGAGCGCCGAGTAGGCATGTACCAATAACACGTTGTCATCACAATTGCATTTGTCAGCTGGACACAGGACCAACACTGCACAGGAGATATACAATGCTGTTGTAGTTATTAGACTGTAGTATAAGTAGCAGCAGATAGCGATGCAGTGATGGAAATATTTAACTTAGAGGCACTTCAGGAACTGTTGTCCAAACTTGATTTGTATTCTGATCAAAGCATTGATATACCTGAACCACACTCCAGTTCTCCAGGTTCCCGTCTGTCAGATCCAAACATTCTGCAAACGCATAGTAAGCATCTAGGCTAGCCTTCGACAAGCTAAGGTATGCGACTGTAACGAACCTTTACCAGCTGGTTCGCTTGTGCTCAACTCAATATGATCACCATTTGTGTAATTCCAAGATTGAGCAGCTCGACCATTGGAACACTGCCAAATTTTCATTTGTGCTCCGTTCTGTGGACCTAAGTGCCTATAATCAGCCGTGCTGCCAGTGGAAGGGGGTACGATGGGACGGATAGACACCTGAACCTGCATCCAGACAATATGCGGTACCAGCAGCCTGAAGGCTAGTGCTCGTTCCCCGTACGATGGTCCATTGTTGTGCCGGAGTGCCGTTGCAGTCGTATCTAACGTTTCATGGTTTGTAAATTCAACTGATCGAGGGGGAGTAACGATACATTTGCACAAAGGTACCGTTTGCGAAATTTGCTCCGCGAACGTCCAAGCATTTGTCCTGGTTTCCGTTAGGGTGTATTTCCACGGGATTTGCAGACGATCCTGGATATCCGTCTGAGGCTGTCGGGCAGAATCTGGGTGAAAGCTGGATTTAATTGAAAGAAACGGGAATGTTAAACGCTACTGACGTTACTCTGAAAGCAAAGTTGTTGCGACATGCGTAGAATGGCAGAGTAGGGGCAGATTGATCGGTGAAATTAGGCAAGGTCAGGGGAGGTGCTCCGTAAGTGACGGCATTCCGGCATTTGTTGGAGGTGCAAGTTGCCGTGCCACAGAGACCGCCTTCCTTCAAAAACATTAGTTAAGGAAAGACTTCAGGTTGCTGAAAATCTCACAGGAGCACTGAAAGGTGCAATGGATACGCCAACGTTGAAGTCGTTTCCCAAGTCACGAATAATATAATAAATGTTGTCCTGCCAGCAATTAGTTGAATCGCTAGGTCACCTAGAAAACGACATGCAACGAACATTGAATACAGCTCTTGTCATACCTGGACCCGCTGCATTACTCCCATTCAATACGGAGTTTGTGTAGATTTCGCCACTCCAATTGGATGGCTTAGACTCCGTCAGATAACGTCCAGTATGAAGAAGTCCCGAGTCATCGTTGCCAAAGAATACCCGAATCGGTATCGGGCAACGGCTAACCACTGTGAAAGTCCGAGACGTGGCGGCAGAAACAATGCTGACTAGAAAACAAAGCGCGACTAGCATGGATTCAAGTATGAAGCTAAAGAGTAGCTATAGCTTTGAGCGCCCGGCGCATCGGAAGTTTGCCGAAATGACTCAAAAGAGTCAAGGCTGAGGTCTCAGGTGGGTCGTCATTGGCGGCGCCTCGTGGGAGCCTCCAAGTTTCCGGAAATTTGTAGTATGCTGACGCCTTTTTTGTGTCATACTGGAATTTTTGTGGGTCCAGGATGCACTTTGCTGGTAGTGCTTGACTGGGTTGAATTGGCGTTGAATATTTGGTCAACGCAGACATACCAGGCCGGCCTTGATTTTCCTTTCCCCCACAGTCGAACTCCATTTTTTTTGGCTCCAGTCTCTCTTACCCTCAGCATTATCATAATGTAGTCGCATTCCTCCAAATTTTCAAGAAACAATGTGAGGTTGACATTTATCGAAGGTTATACATCCTTATGCATCCTCTTTCTGTCAAACAGTCTCCTCGTGCGTGCTGCGACTCGTCGAGTCATAGTTCTTGCGTCTGCACGTGTCATCCATGGAAAGGGTTCAAGAAACTCCGTAGCTTTCGGTCTCCACTCAAAGCTATCAAATTATCGACATCATGCTCACTGTAACCTTTGTACGCCTTCTTCAACCCTCTTAATTGAAAATTCTCCAAGCTGAAGCTTAGAGTTTAGATTAGGCATGGGGAGAGTGAAGATAACTTGGTATGCGTCTGAGATGCAATGAGGGAGGCAGAATCCATCTAATAATGACCCACAGAGAGACGTCTGGGCTGGTTGGAAAGACGCCTCGCTTTCAGACCTAGGTATGATTAGTCTTCCAAGTTGCAAAAAACGCTGACATTGATGTCTTCTAGGGAAAAGAGTTCGTTTTCATGGTTCTTGGCCTGACGGCTATCTAACCTGCGAAATGTAGCAAGCCCAAGCTCTCGGCCAGTCTTTCTCCAGCACTCAGATAACCCACATCTATACCTCGCCTCTCCTCCGTGCGCACGCAACAGCCCAATCCGTTTTAAACTTACAGTCCGAGCCCAAGCCCTCCTTCACTGTCTCGCCGAATCTGCGAGAGCAGCACTTTGGCATTGCGGAAGGCAATAAATGGGTCATTAGAGCACCCAATGATACGCCCGTCGAAGAACTTTGGGCGCAGAAGATTTTCCCCGTCCAACAATCTCGTCAAGACAAGTTTCCAGAAGGAGAAAGCCTGGATGATTTGGCGCGCAGAGCGGAAGTGGCGGTCAGGGAGTGCATATTGCCTCACGTTGAAACCGACAGTGTGCACGTAGCGATTGCGAGCCATGGACTTTGTATCAGTGAGATGGTGGCAGCCTTGTTGAGGCTCGACCCAGGATCGAGAAGAGATATATCGTATGCGGGACTTTTGAATACTGCTTGGACGAGAGTTGAGGTGCAGTCAAGGGTGGGTCACCTGTTGTATCTTGACTCCTGATCACTAACTATAATTTCATCCACTAATAGGATGGACATGTTGAAGGTATACATTCCCTCAATCCGGCTCCCCTCCAGGTGAGGGTCACGCATGTCAACAATAAGGATCATCTCTCTTCGGTGGTCAGTCAGTTCGTTGAGCGTCAAACCATGAACTAATAAATCATTGCAATAGGCGAAAGAACCTATATCGCTCCATCAAGGCGATGATGGGGCGCAGGCAGAGGCTCGCGCTTTCTTTGGTGGAAACTTAGCCGCAAGTGACGCTGAGAAGGTAGCGGCATAAGATCGAAAAAACCGTCTTATTCTGCAGGCCAGATATATGTAGATAATACCTTGAATATACGCGGATGGAGAAAAATAAGCAGTCGTCTCGCCATACGATGTAGAGATAAAAGTAAATGTACACAACTGAAACCAATCACTCCCCTCAAGGACCACCGGAAACATTCTCGAATTGCGCAGAGTAATGCGGTTCTTTAGGCTTTCTTAAATGCCGAGGGGGTCCTTGGGGACGCTTTGGGTACGCCCAACCTGACGCAGACCTGCTTCTGCGGTGTTCCAACATCTTCCTCCCGATACCCAAGGGCACACTGTCGTCGTGAAGAATACGGTCGTTAACACTGGCGTTTCTGACGACTAACTTTTGAGGAGCGCTGTGAGCCCGCGTGTGGTCGTGACTCGGGGAAGAAACCAGTAGGGCGGGGGCGTCTTGTTCAGAGGGGGATGTGGGCATCGTGAAGAACTCCTTGGGGGACAGTAAAGGACTGGTATTTACTGGTGGCATACGGTCTGTCGGCTTGGCGGATGGTTGATTAGCACACGCGAGAATCATCGCATCAGAGAGAGCGCCAGGGCCGTCCTCAGTAGGGGGGCGTTTTGGACGAGGAGGGGCGCCAGGTGGTGCCTTGTTATAAGCCGCAAGAGCAGCCTTGTATTGCGCCAAATTTGGAGCCGCTGGAGCTGGGACAGAGTTGTAAGGAGCTCCAGATGTCAAGACGGGGACATCATAACACGAGCGAGAGGATGAGCGCCGAGACGAAGACGAAGAGTATTTGGAATCCGGAGAGGCAGGTGAGGTGTCTAGTGTCCTTGGCATACCCCAGAGATCAGCTGAGTGGCCAGATAAGCCCTTCTCGTCCGCTTCAGGTAGAACAGGGGAGACGGGAAGAACACGCATCCAGGAAGGCGTTCGAACTTTCTTGGGCCGCTTAGGAGGTTGCTCGCGACGCCAAAGCCTGCTGACACAGGGATGCATGATAATGAAGGTTAACAAAGCAATGAGAGCGATGCCTCCAAGAGCGCCCCCTAAAACGGCGACCTTCTCCAATGGATGAGACGCAGGCTTTTTGGGAGTCGGGGTGGCTGACGGCTCAGAGATTGGAGTTTCAGTTTCAGCGGGCACATCATCAGACGAAGAGAGCACGACAAGACCGCCACTTGGAATTGTGGGTTCTGAAGGAGCTTCCGTTGCGGTCGTTTGTTGGCCCTCTTGAGTGGTCGTTTGTTGGTCCACTTGGGTGGTCGCTGGTTGATTCGCTTGCGAGGTCGTCGTTGGTTGAGGCGGTGGAGCCACAGGAGGAGACGTTGCCTTGGGTCCCTTCACAGTCATAACTCGAAAAACTTGAGATACGGGTGCCAAGTGATGTCCTTTGCCTGCCTGCGCTTTGGTGGTGGGGATGGTTGCCTCAAAGGGATTATATAATGTCGTGACTGCAGCATTGCGAGTTACTTGGCGTATTTCATGTGTAAAATCTGTATGCCTGATAGCCCCTTCACCAGGTTTGGTATGGACAAGAGCGTGTTGGACTTGAGCAGTTTCAAGAGAAGCCGGAGCAGCGAAAGAAAGACCAATAGAGAGAAGAACCAAAGAGAGGATGCGCCGAAGTCGAGACGACATTGCGGCGACTTGTAGACTTAGTAAAGAACGTGGTGCAGCGTGAGCTTAGATGCGGAAGAGAGACAAGAGTGCCGGTCTGGTGCAAGGACATTTTGCAACCCTTATAACGGAAAGTAACCGGAGGCTGACGCTGTTTCGCCCTCCGATGCTAACGAGTACAAACAATGAAGTCCAGCATCAGGCGGCCCGTGGCCCGTGTCGATTGCAGGTGCAGAGGAATTCTTGATCGCAGGCGCGAATGTGGAGTTGTGGACACTGGACGGTGGGGGTGTACTGTGTCATTACATAACGGAATTGGTGAGGAGTACGGATGTTCAAAACCGAACGAGCTTCGTGTTCATCTAGTTTAGCGCATTGGCTTGGTTACACGCCTTTATATTATACGTGCATTACATGTTGGAATAGAAAAAATAGTTCGAGCAAAAGTCAGCAATGACATTTACAAAATTGCAGCTTCTACATGACACAAATGTTTACATCGCTTGTTCAACGCAACGAAAGAAAGGGACCTCTAACGCAATTGATCCAACATATCAAGATCATGTTGCTTCTCCATGATTGAATACGGGTGAACACCCTCAGGCCAATCAATTCCTTCTTGATTCAAGGTCACCGGGTAGCGTCCTTCACCCGCTTTTTTGCACCAATCGAAGTCAATGATCATCGCCTTTTCTTTTTTGGTTGTGATCAAAATATTCGGTAAGCGTAGATCGCCAAATACTAGGTCGGCTGAATGGAGGACCTCAAGAGCACGTTTGACCTGGCCAAATTGTTCTTCAGAGAGCGAGTGTGTGGGAGAGGTTGCAACAACGAAGTCCATGATGATCATATACCGCCCCCCGTACGTTTGTTCATTGTCGTGCTCAGTTCTGGCATAGTGCAAGGCGGGTGCAAGCTGATGTTCAGCAAAGAGACGGTGAGCTGCCGCATTGTACATGGGCACAAACTTGACCACGTAAGACCGTCCGGGTCGATTATTTCTCTTCACTTTGTAAACGAGTTTGTCTGCACGGTCTTCTGCAAGCCGCTCAATGTATGTGAAAGTCTGCCCCTGAAAGCCCCGGAAGAACGGAAAGCCATCGGGACGAAAACCCGCATCATTGGACAAGGAGTCGTAGTACTCGCGTAGCTTAGAAATAGATATCCGTAGGGCGGCAAAAAGTCGCGACACAGAACGCAATCGGTCATCATTGTAGACATCCCCTCCGAGCCATAGATATTCCGTTAACGGTTGCATAATTACTCGATCCACATAAACAGCACCGAGCACACATAGCCACGGCCCTGCGATCTCTAGAATGAAGCTGGGGCAGTACGATATGGCCTTTAGGTAATCCTCTAGTAAGAGTGTAGCGCTGTAGATTGGGATGTCTCGGCAAAATTGGTTTTGCTACTTACGTTTTGCATCGGCCCAGTATTTGCAGTAGGATAAGCCGCCTTGGTTATATGGGTCGGCGCTGCCCGTTCCAATTTCATTTTTACCTCGCGCAAAACTAGATATGCAGTGTAGGGACCTCTTGAATGAATAATGACGCCATCACTGAGGACACCAGATGCTGAGACCCCAATAAAGTAGGCACCGAGAAGCATCAGCAAATGTTTGTCGATAGCGTCAATCCGTTTATTTTTATTGTCGTATATGTGTGCGCTTGCTTCGAAAAGTTTTCGGACGGATGAATAAGTCTCAGCGTCTATGAAAATTGACTCATCATCTTTAGCGGCTTGAAATGAATCAAAGATGGGGTGGAACAAGCCGATAGGGGGTCCGAAGTTATGACAGGGACGGCCGTTGAGAACTGGGCGTTTCTGTTGCTCCTTCAGAAAGGCTGGCATCGCTGCGGCCGAGGAAGGAGCAAGAGCGATCCTTGCTATTTCAACGTCCTCTTCTTGGTCTATGGTTTCGTTAGTTAACAGGGAATAATGGTCACAAATGCTGTGAACATGCCTCGGCTGAACGTAAGACGCTTCGCGCTGCTGCCTTCCTCTTCAGACCGTCGCCTCTTCTGACCCGAAGGCATTGGCATCGTCACGAGCAACAATTCTAACTTCTTGAGATTGAGGCTTGAAAGCTTCATTGTCGGGTTCTTCAACATTTGTGCATTGTCGCCGTCGACCAACTGGATAGGGGCCAGTAAATCCTCCCCAGCGGATATCGCCATGTCCGGCTTCGTGTGGATATTAGATCCATCAGGACGTAGACTCTCTAAAGCACACCTTCCAAACGCACAGTTCGCTTGCGGCAAAATGATTGAGGACAGGCTCCACCCCCTTCTCTTCAAGTGGTCGACAGTGTCGATTGAACGTATAAGGACGGGAAAGTCTTCAGCTCCATAGAGCGTGTTCTCGTGATTGATGAGTCGGCACCAAACGGTATCCATTGTGATGGCGGTGACAAGAAACTAGAATGAAGGAAAAGGGTCCCGCGACGCGGTTGCTTGTATCTGTTTGGTAATTGTGACCTTGAAGGTAATTTTACACAAGTGCAAACAATGAAGTCCAACGCGCCGCAGTCGGCATTTATAGCACAGAAGTCCATGCACTTCATTCTCAAAACATGTCTGTCGATCCATACCATGCCGTGCAGCAGGAGATTCAGACGTCGCTGCAAACCGCTGCCCAATTGAGGTCCTCTTACCTCCGCATACGAAATATGGCCTCAGAAGACAGCGAGGAGTTGATGTGGGCGCGAAACGAAGTGAGTTCTTTTTTACGTACGTGTGTTCATTAATGAGGATGCTAACTATGATCTCTTTCTAGCTGAAAGCTACGTTAGCTGCGCTCGAGGCGGACCTTGAGGATTTGGAGGAGAGTGTAAAGTGCGTTCAGTCCAAGCAACGCTCAGACGCCATTTAACTGTGACCTAGAATTGTGGAGTCCACTGATGCGCGAATGTTTGGTCTTGACGATGCGGAGGTTCAGACGCGACGCCAGTACGTGGGACATGTGCGGAAAGAAATCGAGGTGGGTTTTACCTTCTTACCAATGTCCAGTTTTCGAACCATACGGTATGGGGGCTTTCTTAACGGCTAATTATCTCCCTCCTATGCAAGTCTAGAGTATGAGAACAGAATTGACTGCCTCGTCCCTGTCAATACCTCGACAGCGTCAAACCTCGGATTCCACACAACGCGATAAACCTGGTTCTCCGTTCTCTGACCAATATGGAGACGATCATCAAGCTGAATGGGCACGAGAAGAACAACAGGTCTGTTATAGCGTTCATAGTTTTGGTTTCTCTGACCGAATTTCCTTTAGATGATGATACGAGAACAAGATAACACAATGGACTCAATAGCTGGCACGCTCAACACCCTCGCCCAACAAGCTAGTCTGATGGGACAAGAAATTGGCCAGCACAATGAGTGCGTACTGGATTTCTGTGACCGATCACTTACTGAACTTCCAATTAGAATGCTTGACGATCTTGAGCAAAACGTTGACAAGACCGACACCAAGTTAAGCGATGCAATGCGGCGACTCCGCAAGTTCCTGAGAGATTCTGAGGAAAGGGGGAGCGGTTGGTGTATCGTTATTTTGATATTGGTATTAATGGCTCTTCTGCTCGCTGTTATACTGGTATAACATATAGACATGGTTCCTCGGATTGGTTTCTCTTTCAATCCACTAATAAACCTTCCTAAACTATTTACAGCCTTATGTACATTACGCTATTACGCCTTACGAGTATGCTTCGAGTTTACGGAGAGTTCCTCCGGGAACAATCAAGCTACTATGCTCAAAAGAGAGACGACAAACATCACTCTTCCTCTGGATCTGACCAACCCCCCTCAATCACTTCCCGCAACAACACTCTCGCGTAGGGGTCTGCATCAAGATCAATCCCCTCTTTCGTCGCAGCTTCCTCGAACTCTTCGATCAACTTCTGCGGGTCGGGCATTGCGTTCTCATACTCCCAAGTACACTGATTTATTGGGTAGCTGTGAGGCAGCGTCAGCCTGTAATGCGGACAACTGATAGGAAAAATACTTGCCCGTCCCACTTGACCAACCACTTCGATAGTCGACCATGTCCACCTGTCATAATTATTTTCCTCCCGACAATGCCAGCCACAAAGTATTCATCTGCAGGTGCTTCACGGTGATCGCAATCTGGCCGTCCACAGAAAGTCGCTTCTGTATCCCCCTCGCGTTTTTCTGCAACCATAAACAATCAAATACTATAGCACGTCACCTTTAACGAGACTTACGAGAACTATCAAATTGAGATTTCGTAAATGAGGGCTCAGATAAGGAAAGAATGAAGACAGACCTTCCATTGGCGTCACAAGGAGGACAAAAGAACATTTCTGTAGGATTGAGCCTCGAGTCCGTTGGGGTGATGCCGACGCAGCCGTAGTGGAACCAGGCGAAGCATCTTCATCAGTGTTAGACATAAAACCGGTAGGAAAGGTCATCAAAAAACACCTACAAGTCGCATTTGATGAACTATTCAGGTCCAGAGATAAATCAGGTAAGGAACAGAGGCGAGGAACAATTAGAGAATGCGAACCTTGCGATGAAACCCATTGTCACCCAACTCATTTAATGCTGGCCACTTAACCTTCCGTTTCCCCCTCCGGGGCCTCGCTGAACGTTGCTCTGAAGCGGAAGGCGACCTATCCCTCTCCACCACTCCATCTAACCTTTTCTTTTTCGGCTTCTGTTCCTGCTTCACCGTCCCAAGAGATGCAGTAGAACCATCTTTCTTCACCCTCTTCCCCTTCTCCTTCATCGACAACCTGTCCTTGGCGCGCTTCAGCGGCGGCTCCTCATCCTCATTGTCCACCATCACTTTTCTTTTCTTTCTCACTACCTTGGTAGCGGCGGCGCTATCTCCCGGCTTGGACAAAAGTGCCTTCAGGTTTATCACAATCCTCCCAGGCTCAATCTTCTTTTTCGTAGGCGTGATCTTGCGTTTTTTGACTGGAACGATCTCCGCATCGTCGCTGTCGTCGTAACGGGGTTTGAATCCACGAGCGCGAAGGCTACTGTCGCTTTCTTCATCAGTCAGCGGCGACAGCGACTCGGCAAAGCTTCTTGAAGGCGAATGATGGCTCTCGCTCTTTACTTCCGGCTGAAGTTCTGGGGAAGAAGATATATACATGGCCTCTCGAGATGTATGAGGTGGTTTGGGTGGAACATGTATCTGGCGAGGTTTTTCAGGACTTGCAGCGGTAACTTGAGAATCTTGCGCAGGAGGTGAGGAAGTAACGGAAGGGAATCGAGGAGGGGAGTGGCTGGTTTGAGGAGGTTGTGCTGTTGAAGCGACGTTGCGAATCTTGCTGGTAGGATGGAGAGATGAAGGAGTTGGAGGGGGAGATTGGCTACTAGACCCATGATGTGGAGGATGCTGCTCTGTTTCGTCATCCAGAGCAGAAACGTCCGGTCCGCCTCCCCGCTCTGGCGAAGACTCGAATTCTGGCGTGGGTAAAGCAAACAGGTTGTTGGCGTTCTCCTCGTCGCTTTTGTGGTCTTGCCCCTCTATTTCAAACCCATTCACAAGATTCTTCTCATTGCCATGCTCGTCCTGCTGAGTCCTATCAATACCATGGTCTCCTGCTCCAGCTCGGGGTTCGTATTCTTGCTGAGACTCTATCGGAGGAGGGGAGCAGCTCGAAGCTATCACAACCTCTTCCTCGTCCTCCTCCTCGTTGTTCGGAACACTGCTTAGGGATGAGGATGAGTAGGCAAAGTGCAAAGATTGGGGAGTTATGGTCATTGATGGCCTTTCATTCGATGGTCTATCCGCAAAACTACGGCCAACTTTATTTGGACTACAAAAAGACGAGCTCGACGACGTTCCTCCAGGGGGGACCGGGAGGGCAGTATGTCCACGGGGAGTTGACTGCTGCGACGCCCACGCCCACGGAGATGATGGTGGCGGGGACGGGAGACGGAGAGAAGGTTGTTGAGATAGCGCAGCTCTCTGTGTATGGGGTACTGGAGTATTGGGTATTGGAGTAGGAGTCGGAGATGCCAGAACTAGTTCTGAAACTACTTGTTCATCTTCAACCGAAGATGAGAGCTGGGGTGTCCTTGTTGAAGTAGAAGGGGAGGAGCAAGAAGATCGTTGTGCAAGCGAGGCGTGATTAGAGCTCATGTATTCCGGTTTTATTGGTGACGACTTTCGTTTGGGCGTCGAAGATAAAGGTTGGGATGTCCTTGGTGAAGAAAAAGAAGGGGATCGTTGAGCAAGATGGCTGAAATCAGGGCTGGGCAATGATAGCGAGTACTTTTGTTTGGGAGTCGAATTTGGACTTCTCGTTGGTGGTTCATGGTATGCAGGAGAACGATCGAGGCTCTGGGGTATATCTGACGATGGAAAAATCAGTGATGTTGATGGTGCAGGGTGGTGGTTGGCTGTAATCGCAATTTCTGACGCTGTAGAAGAGGAACTGCGCTCCTCCTTATCCTCATTGTCAATTTCTGCCTGATCCTTTTCATCCAATAACTGCTGGTCCCGATCTACCATCTGTTCGTCTTCGTCTTCCGTAATATCAACTTTATTCGCATCCTCCTCATTGTCTCCCAAACCTGGTGACATCGAATCCGCAGGGGAATGCATCGACGGGTGGGCAGGTGGAGCAGGAGACGCCTCAAGCTGATGCGCAGTTGTATTGCTAGGCTCCAAACATTCCCGATCCCCAAGTGTCTGCAGCCTCAGCGAAGCAATCGTCCCCTCCTCTGGAACATCAGCCGACGATTTGCTGTGGGCAATCGGGCTAGGATGAAATACCACTGGATAGATTTTCTTCGGAGCTATTTGAGTTTTAGAAAGGAGATAGACATAGAAAAAGGAAATATGAAACGCACTTGACGTTGGGATCGCTTGGTCTGCGGAAGAGGTGGTCTGTGACCAGTTGGCCGGGGAAAAGTCTTGGGAATTATTGGAGCGAGAATTAGCTTCACAACTTTGTGTCCTTGAGCCAGATGAGAGTGGCGAGCGTCGACGAGAAGGCTCAACAGGCGGAATGTTGTCCCGACTCGAGTACAAATCCAGAGTAATGTTTCGCGGAGACTTATCATTAAAAGCCTGCACTTGTTTCGTCAAATCAAACATGGTTGTGTCTCCCACTGAAAGAAAAAAAATGAGCTAGGATCGAAGAACTTTGCAAAAATCATACACACCTACGGTCATGTTGTCTGAGGAGCATCGAGTACAAAGTGATGATGCTTGTAACCCTCATTAGCGAAGTAAGAGGAAAGCAAAAGCGCGACCGTACTTTCAACGGCTGTGAACTGTCGTGGTGTAGATGGGCCGGGAGAAGATAGATCGATTATTGTCGAGGCATTCGCGTAAGCCTTTTTCCTGGGACTGACCCCCATTTCGTGGCGAACTGGGGGGGCGGGAACGGAGGCGGCAACAGCGTCTGGAACTAAAATTCTATTGTCGGAAAGGGATGGGCAGAGCAACAGAAAAAATACTCACAATTAGCCTCTGGATCTCGAGCTCTCTCCAGAAGCTCCCCGACAGAAAAATCCAGGGCATCCAGCCGTCCCATGATGGAGAAATTGGGGTTATTGTCAGCGCTTCGCCCAATTGTTTTCTCGAGCCTCTTCAAAAACTCAACCAAATCCCTGTGAACGGCGAGTTTAGCCTCTAATATTTTCGCTTGCCGCGCCTCGACGATTTTGGCCTCCTCCCTCTCTGCGAGTAGGAGATCGATCTTGGCATCAAGGCGTTTGTAGTTATCATCCTGTTTTTGCATGCGTGGGTCAATCCTGTCATAAAACCGTCTAATAACGTTTATAACATCGTCGCTATTTGCCTGTGGTGCTGGTTGTGTATGTGGATATGCAACCGCTGGTAGCTGATATTGTTGGATGTGGAATTGAGGCTGCTGAAGATGTTGAGACTGTTGTTGAACTTGTTGCTGCCGTTGTTGCTGTAACAGAAGAATCTGCGCTTGGTGATGGCGTTGGGAGTCCTCGAGTGTTAGTGGCGTCGGTGCTGCATTGCGAGTTACAGACGCTGAAGTCGATTGTGCTGAAGACCGTATTGCTGACCGCGCGTTTCTGGCTCTATAATGGCCGACAGAAGATGGGGTGTTAGCCATTGCGGCGAGGAGAAACGACGAGCGAGAGACTCTGAAGTTTCAAAGACACGGTAATTTATTATTGGACAATAAATATGCCCGAAATTCCCAGGGCATTACACACAACGCGTACATAGAGTTACATAGCCGCAAATATTGGCTCTGTCTCTCACCTCGGCATGGAACTCCCTAGTACATTCGTCTTCCAATGTACTTCCACGCTCTCCTCACCTTTTGTGTTCAGGTATACCCCTTCAACCATTGTTCGATCAGAAACAAATTTGTATCGTTGGCGCAGGCCCAGTAGGCTTGGCCGCTCTAAAGGTTGTTCTCGACGCCCCTCAGTTCAAAGCGGGTTTGTGGAAACCAACAGTTTTTGAAGCAAGACAGAACGTAGGTGGTATATGGTACGCATAATGCCACTACAGAGCTTTTGGGCCTTATCAACAACCAGGCTTCCAGCATCTGCAGACGATCCTGGATATGAGGACTTTTCTCCAACCACACCCCTATATGACTGCCTTACCACAAACCTTGCCCACCCATCCATGGCATACACGGATTTTGCCTTCCCTCCCTCGACTCCATTATTCCCACCCGCGTCAACTGTACTCACATACCTCAACTCATATGCTGATCACTTTCATCTCCGCCCATATATCCACCACAATACCACCGTAACAAACATAGAATATCAATCCCCAAAATGGATTGTCCAGACGGGTCCACCAGCACCCTCCTCTCCTGCTAAATTCGATCTAGTCATCATCTGCAATGGCCATTACAAAGTCCCGCGATACCCCGATATCCCAGGGCTCGGAGCGTGGCTCGATGCACGTAAAGCAACTCACTCCGCATGGTACCGAAACCCTTCGTCCACGCTTGGGAGCACTCTCCTTGTCGTTGGTGGTGGGCCAAGCGGACAGGACATCTGTAATGAATTGCGCTTATCAGGACGCACCGTTTTCCAATCCGTGTCCTCTCCAGAAGGCTTGGGACCTCACGCCCGCGGACAATTATCCCAGTTAAATGACCCTTCGAAAGGCGAAGTAACTTTCTCTGATGGTTCCACCCTATCAAACATCGACCACTGCATCTTCGCTACGGGCTATGAATTCTCCTTTCCCTTCTTTCCCCCCCACGTCCTCCAACCATCCGTGTCAGATCCCATACCGCCATTACCAACAACTCTTCACAACTCGACATACAACGTATTTCCTCTCGCAAAACACATCTTTCCTCTCCAAACTGCGTTCCCACCGACATCTCTCGCGTTTCTGGGACTCTTAATTAGAGTCGCCCCATTCCCACTAGTCGAAGCACAAGCCAAAGCCGTATTGGCCGCCTTCTCCAACCCAGAGAAACTCGATCAACTCAGTGAGGCAGTTGACGTCATGAATCGGTACCAAGAACTACGCACACGCCTCTGGGACAGCAATTCCGCGTCAGGGAATGAGGAGATACAAATCTCCAAATTGTGGCACAGGTTTGAACCGCTAGAGCAATTTGAGTATCGGGATCAGATGTGCGCGTTTGCTGGTGATGAAACGCGGGTTGAGAGCTGGGAGGTGGAGATATATTTGAAGAAGAATCTGTTGAGAAAGGTGTGGAATGCCCTTGTGAAAACTGGGGAAGCGGAACAGTGCATCAGAGGTGTCGGCAAGGGCGGTAAATCTGAGTGGGTCGAGCTCATGAAATGGATGGTCAAGAAGGGAGAGGAGGAGGATTTGGAGGGAAAGGCGAGGTTGTGATCGAAAGCGCTCAGTAACCTTCGAGGCCCAGGCTGAGAGTCGCTTGTGAAAGCCCAGGTTGACACTTATACCAGCAGATCAGCATTTTATTTTCATTCGAGTGCAAGTGCTACAATGCACACAAATTTTGGTGTAGACAAAGACTTTTCAAAGGTTGGCAGGGAACTTTGCGTTAGAACAAATACATTTCCATGATGTTATTCATTTCACAGAGAGAGTAAAGGTGTCAAACACATCCATCATAGCTCGACGTGAGCAGGGGTATGCACATGAGCCGTCGCTGTCCCTTCAGTTTGCACTGTGTCCGTTGTATGGTGGGCAGCTAGGTCCGTTTTTGTAGGTATCAGAGAGGAGACAACATTTAAAGTTTCGGATGGCAATAGAGTCGGTGTTGAATGTACATGTGAAGAGGGCGTCGACGACGCAGCGGATGCCGCCAGCGACAGACTTGACATGACAGTAGCGATAACTTGCGTTGCCAATCCATCCTCCGACTTCAGCAGTGCCTCGTCACCACTAAAGTCTGGTATAAAACTTGTCCACCACAAAGCCATCCTCAACCCTCGATCCACAAAGCGCTGTTTCAAAATGAACATGACGAGGAGGAGAAAGAACATAAATGTAGATATAATTATAACCCGGTCAAGCCAGTCAGATTTTTCAAGAGCGGTGACGAGGTGCTTGGAGGTGATCATGAAGCTGGAGAGTTTACTGTGTTGAGATGAGGTCGCGTGGAGGGAAGCTGAGGATCAGTGTATACGAACTGGCACACTCCCAAAATCGGGTGAGCGACACATAGGGCAAGAGAGCGACACACCCGTGTGTCCATCCCTTTCAGGTGTGTCGCACATTGAATGTGCGACACACCCAAGCGATGCGTTTGCCATGGCTGAGTTCAGTTCTTTTTGTTTTTTTCGGTAAATGGCAGCATAGTGTGTATTCCTTATCTACAAGAAAAACATTTATATGGAAAGATATACCTACTATGTAGAAGTAGAAAGAAAGGAGCGAGGGACACCACCTCTCCCTTTCAATAACCCATTGCTAATGTAAAGGTGATCCCCACACCTATCCAAGCTGCATACCCTCTCCCCAATACTCCCCGGACTGATAGCGAACATTGTCGGTGCATCTGATTGTTGGCAGGCATTGCTGGTGCCCATGTCGTGTCTCGCTTCATGGACGTGGACGCGGTGGGGGTACTCGCGTTTGGGCTGGGGTTCATGTTTGGTTCGCCGTCGCATTTGTGCTGCGTTTGGATGGGGATTTCTGATCGTCGTGGCGCCCGTGGCTGTTTGTCGAGAAACGTGCCAATGGGTGCCCATGGGTGCCCATGGCCGTTCGTCGTGGCGGGCCCTCGTGACCGTTTATCGATCGTGGTGATAGGCCCTCGTGGCCGTTCGTCGATCGTGGTTGTGGGCGGTCGTAGCCCTTCATCGATGCTGGTGGTGGGCCCTCGTCAATCGTGGTGATGGGCCCTCGTCGATGCTGGTGGTAGGCCCGGAGACGTTGGTGAGCCCTCGTCGTCGTCCGTCGATCCTTGTGGCGGGTCCTCGTGGCCAATCGTGGTAGGTGCTCGTCGTGGGGGTTGGGAGAAGAGAGGGTAGTGACGTGTGACATTGCGTTCGTCACCTCAGCCAATTGCGTTGCCCGTCCTCTCAACCTCGACACAGTGTCGAGGATGAGGTTTATCGGGAGTGTGCCGCTGTACGTATATCCTCGGCCAAGAGCGACGATGTTTCAAACGTTATTCGCCGATTTCAGGACCTTGTTGACGCGCATGCAAAAACTAGACAATGACTACAAGCGCCTTCAAGCCAAGATAGGCCAAGATCGATCTCCTACTCGCGGATAGGGAGGCCAAAATCATTGAGGAGCGGCAAGCAAAAATTACAGAGGCTAAACTCGCTGTACACAAGGATTTGGTTGAGTTTTTGAGGAGGCTTGAGAAAATAATTGGGCATAGCGCTGACAATAACCCCGGTTTTTCCATCATGGGACGGCTGGATTTTCAGTAGGGGAGTTGCTAGAGAGAGCTCGAGATCCAGAGGCTAATGGTGAATGTTTTATATCTCTCTACCCATCCCACTCTGATAATAAAATTTTAGTTCCAGACGTTGTTCCCGTCTCCGTTCCCGCCCCCCCAGTTCACCTTGAAATGGCGGTCGGTCCCAGGAGAAATGCTTACGTGAATGCCTCAACAATAACTGATCTTTGTTCTCTTTCTCCAGGCCCGTCTACACCACGGCAGTTCGCAGCCATTGAAAGTACGGACGTGCTTTCGTTTCCTCGTACTTCGGTAATGAGGTTACAGTCATTGTCACTTTGCACTCGGTGCTCCTCAGACATCAACACCATAGATATGTATGATTTTTGGAAAGTTCTTTGATTGTGGCTCAGTTTTTTTTCCAGTGGGAGACACAACCTTTGATTTAACGAAACAAGCCCAGACATTCAGTGATAAGTCTCCGCGATACATTACTTCTGATTTGAACATCGAGACGGGACGACCTTCCGTCTGTTGAGTCTTCTCCAATACTCGCCACTCTCATCTGGCTCAAGGACTCAAAGCTGTAAAGCTCATTCTCATTCTCATGATTGCCAAGACTTTTCCCCGCTCGATTGGTCACAAATCACCTCTTCCATATCAGACCCAGCGATTTCAACGGTCAAGTGTGTTTCATATTTCCCTTTTCTATGCGTCTCTCCATTCTAATAAAAGTCAAATAGCTAGTCTATCCACATATATTCAATTCTACCCCAATTGCCCTCAGCAAATCGTGCGTTGATGTTCTAGAGGAGGGAATGTTTGCGTCGCTGAAGCTGCAGACGCTTGGGGATCCGGTGTGTTTGGAGCCTAGCAATTTGAGCGGGCATCAGCTTGAGGTGTCTTCTTCTCCCCGGCCGACCTGTCGATGCATTCCCCTGTAAGTTCGAGGTTGCTGCCACCCTGTTCTGGAGGCAATGAAGAGGATGCGAATAACGTTGAGGTTGAGGAAGACGAAAAGAGGAACTTCATCCTTCTACTTACAGCGTCAGGAATTGCTATTACAGCCAACCACCCTGCACCATCAGCATCACTGATTTGCCCATCGCCACATATACCCCGATCCGTGATAGATCCTTCTTCTGCATCACATGAATTACCAACGGTCCAAATTCGACTCCCAAACAAAAGTATTCGCCATCATTGCCGGACTCCTAATTTTAACTCAAAAAAGCCTCTTCTTTTTCTTCACCTTCGACCCCCAAACGAAAGTCCTCACCAGTAAAACCAGAATACACAAGCTCTAATTCATGCACAACGAACCTCCTGCCCCTCCCCTTCTGCTTCAACAAGGACACCTCAGCTCTCATCTTCCGTTGAAGATGAACAAGTTGTTCCAGAGCTGATCTTGGCATCTCCGGTTCCTACTTCAATACCCAATACCCTGGGAAGTCCGCTATCTCAGCAAGTTGCTCCACGTCTCCCGTCCCCGCCACCATCATCTCCGTGAGCGTGGGCGTCGCAGAACTCAACCCTCGTGGACTTACTTCCCTCTCAATTCCGCCTACAAGAACTTCGTCGCGTTCAGGTGGGCCGTAGTTTCGCGGAAAGACCATCGAATGAAGGGCCATCGATGAGCTCAACGCCCCGACTTTTGCAGTTTGCCTATTCATCCTCATCCCTATGCAGTATTCCGAACGACGAGGACGAGGACGAGGAAGAGGCTGTGATAACTTCGAGCTGCTCCCCTCTCATAGTCTCAGCAAGAATACGACTCCCGAGTTGAAGAAGGAGATCATGGTTTTGGTAGGATTCAGCAGGGCGAGCATAGCGCGGAGAAGAATTGTTTGAATGAGCTTGAAATGGAGGGACAAGACTAAGGATGGGACGAGGAGAACGTCAACAACCTGTTTGCTTCACCCACGCCAGAATTTGACGCTTCTCTAGAGCAGGGAGGGGGCCGGACGTTTCTGTTCTGTATGACGACAGACCAGCATCTTCCGCATCATAGGTCTATCAGTCAATCTTCCCTTCCAACTCCTTCATCTTTTCATCCAACCAGCAAGATTTGGAACGTCGCCCAACAGCACAACCTTGTCAGTCAAGTAACTTTTCTCTTCGAATCCCCTCCGTTGCTTCTCCACTTCCTCCTCATGCTTCTCAACGTACCACTGCAAGTTCCGAAAAATCTCGCCAGATACATGTTACACCCAAACCACCTCATATATCTCAAGAGGCTATATATACATCTTCCCCCAAACCTCAGCCGGAAGTAAAGGATGAGAGCCATCATTGGCTTTGCCTTACTCAGTCGCTGTCGCAGCTAATTGATGAAGAAGGCGATAGCAGCATTCGCGCCCGTGGATTTGAAGCCCGTTACGATAGCGACGATGCGGAGATCGTTCCGGTTCAAAAACGCAAGATCACCGCAGGTCACTCTGAAGCTATGAAAAAAAAGATTGAGCTTAGAGGGACTGTGAAGACACTTCTGTCCAAGCCACGAGATAGCGCCGCCGCTAACAAGGTAGTGAGAAAGAAAAGAAAAGTGACGGTGGACAATGAGGATGAGGAGCCGCCGCTGAAGCGCGCCAAGGACAGGTTGACGATGAAAAGAAGGGGAAGGGGGCGAAGAAAGATTGTTCTACTGCATCTCACGTTGAAGCAAGAACAAAAGCCGAAGAAGAAAAGGGTAGGTGGAGTCGATGGATAGGGCTTGGTCGCCTTCTGCTTCAGGGCAACGAGGTCCCGGAGGGGGAAACGGAGGGTTAGGCGGCCAGCAATGAATGAGCTCTTATTGTTCCCCGCGTCTGTTCCTCATCTGATTCATCTCTGGACCTGATTAGTTCATCAAATGCGACTTGTAGGTGTTTCTTGACGACGTTTCATACTCGTTTTATGTCTAACATTAATGAAGATGCTTCGCCTGGTTCACTACGGCTGCGTCGGCATCACTCTAACGGACACAAGGCTCAATCCTACAGAAATGTTCTTTTGTCCTCCTTGTGACACCAATGGAAGGTCCTTCCTCATCCTTTTCTTATCTGAGCCCTCATTCACAAAATCTTGCTTGATAGTTCTCGCAAGTCTCGTTAATGGTGACTTGCTATGGTCTTTGATTGTTTATGATTGCCAAGGAAACCCGCCGGGGATCTTGAAACGACTTTCCGTGGACAGCCAGATTGCGATCACGGAGCACCTGCAAATGAATACTTTGTGGTTGACATTGTTGGGAGGAAAATAATTATGACAGGTGGACATGGTCGGCTATCGAAATGGTTGGTCAAGTGGGACAGGCAAGTACTTTTCATACTACTTGTCCGCATTGCAGGCTGACGCTGCCTCACAGTTACCCGATAAATCAGTGTGCTTGGGTGTATGAGAATGCAATGGCCGACCCGCAGAAATTGATCGAAGAAGTAGAGGAGGCTGCCACGAAGGAGGGGATTGATCTTACCCGAGAATGTTGTTGTGGGAAGTGATTGAGGGGGGTTGGTCACATCGATTTTTGAGCAGGTCTTGTCATTATGAACTCTCCGTAAATTTGAAGCATATTTGTAAGGGTAATGTAAGGTTGTAAGTAAATAGTTTAGGGATGAAAGTAACGACGCTCAGTGTGTGACTCTTGTGTGACTCACCTTCAATTGCTCCTTCGTGAACTAACCGCAATCTTGGCTAGGAACCGCAGCCCAACCAATACAGCGATGCCTGAACAGAGCGCCAGCTACTATGAAGGCCGAATCATGGCTATGTCTAAGTTGTTGAACAAGGTCTCTCGGCAGGCCGCACTTTCCTCCCCAGGACCTGCTGAAACAGCAGAGTCTCAGGCATATTATCACATTTCGACGCTCCTGACCCGAGGCTCCGATGACGGCGGATATGCACGGAATGTAATCGCTGTCACTGGCGTCCAACGGCTGGTAGACGCAGCTGCTTCCGAACCTGACTCGGACAAGGCGCCTATACTCGCTTCCGAACTCGACTTGAACAAGTCGCCTGCACTCCCATCCTCACCCGACATTGACACTAGCCTTGTCAAGATCCACATCACTATTTCTCAAAACCAATCCCTTCAAACATCTCCCGACCACACTATTGTACGTATAGAGCCTTCGCAAACCCCACTTTCCACAACTCTTGGAACCATGTACGTCATATTGTTTGTTTGAAGCACGGCGTGCCATTGCTAAAGTCCCCACTAAATCCATCTAGAAACCACAATACAAAAGTCTCCCTGGAGAAGCATGCTGCTGACATCTTCGGGGCACTTATTTCAACCTCGAAACTCCATCGAACCACAGACAGCAAGGAATACAATAAAATGAGTTACCTTTCCCTCTCATTGATTATCGAGCGATCTTTCCCAAAAATACAAAAGAGAGTAGAATCATTGCGATTTCTGTTCAAGCCAGAAATTTTGGAGATGTTGATCAAAGAGGACCTGGAGCTATCCGGAGATCTTGTGGTCATTCCACCAAAGCAGGTTCGGGTATGCCATACAGCTGAACACTGTTATGTCGAAGTTGGTGCCTGGGTGGAAGCCACTTTTGCATCTAGCAATGTTCCGTGCGAAAACCGTGATGGTACCCTCTATTTCCTCTTCCACAGCAGCTCAGCAACCCAATGGATCCGAGCCCTCATCTCAGTCTATCGCTCTGTCAAGGCCTCAACACAGAAGTGCCCAAGCAATGATTCAGAGTGGCATGATCTTTACACCCAGCTGGCGCAGCTGCACCGCATCGTTTATGTCCTTGGCTCCTACTACGATGCCATCCTGACCCTTCCAGGCTTGGTCAAATTTCTCAAGGATAACGTCAATGTAGGATATGCAATCAATGATATACGTAACCACACTAATGATATACGTAAGCACCTTTTTGCAAGGATGGTTTTGGATTAACCTATCTGTGCATGCAGATGATGACAATGAGTCTGATGACAGATCCGATGCCCTCTCTGACATCGGTGTTGATGACCATGAAGATGCTGGAAAATTTTTGATGCGATATTTCCGTGCAATCGTGGCTTGGAATCAGGCCTATGCATGGCTAGACTCTTCCAAACTCTTCAGGTCATTGAAAGGGATTATGTCCTTAAACATTGTCAAGATGCAGGTTCCAAGTGAGAAGTGCCAAGCAGTTACATCAACCAGTGCTTTGTTGGATGAGTTCACCGATGACCCAGTTATCCGAGAAAGTCTCCAGGATTTGGAAAGGTTTGGTGGCAAATTCACCGGGGTGATTCATGCAGAAGCCACATTAATGGCATTTATCAAAGAAGCCTCCTGTACAGCAACTGAGTTACCCTCAAGCTTTGTTGATATCCTCAAGGTTGTTCTCCATTTTTTTTAAATTGTGGTATTTGCTGATGATCACTCATGTGCAGGATGCCAACAAGATCGGTGTGGCCAAAAAATGTTGCTGGTTATGCAAAGAGCTCGGCGAAGCAATGGGACAGAATAACCAAACATTCAGCCTACCTGGAACAAGTGGTCTTGTTTTTTCATGGGCACCTCCCACGGGCCTGGATATAGCCGTGCTACAACAGCTCGAGGACAGATTGAAAAACAGACTCTTCAAGTATCTTGAGAAGTATGCAAAGCAAGCTTTGGAACAAGTGCAGAGCCATCAGTTGTCACCTACCACCTCTGTTACGGACATCACTTTGCCAGGCCATCCAATCACCAAGGAAATAGGATTGGGGTGGAGGCATGAGCACAGCTAGTGTGGTTGTAGGTGTAGAGCTCATGACATAGAATTGGTTGTATAAGTACCACCGCTTCACAATAACGAATGTCGAACCATATACCGCTCGTCACTTCATTGAGATCCCCCGGTAATCAACAGTAATGATCCTGATGGCCTCGTGACTTCCCCCTTCTTGGGACGGTGTTTCCGTTGCGGCTCTTCTGTAGCCAAAAGAGACCATGCATCCCCATCCACACCCTGAATCCCAGTGAAAATCGACCCTAAAAAATGGCCAAATGGATCGGTGGAGCCCGATCTGAACAGGGGAGATGGCCGGAAATTGGCAAATATATCGATTTGATCCGGAGAAACCCGATCTGCACAGGGTCAATTTTCACTGGGCCTGAATGTGTGCAATCAACTTTGTCCACCAAAAAGTGATCCTCAACCCTCGATCCACGACGCGCTAATTCAGAATCATATTGACGACGAGGAGAAATAATATAAATGCAGATATGATTATAACGCAGTCAAGCCCGTGAGATTCCTCAAGGCGGTGACGAGGTGCTTAGAGGTGGTCATGTAGCTGGAGAGTTGATCGTGTTGAGACGAGGTTGTGCGGAGGGAAGCTGCCGATGATTCAAGCATTTGATTGGAAAGGACGGAGAGATCCATTTCATTCTGCATTACCGCAATAGTACGGAGCGCGTCTGTCATGTCCGCGTTAGCTCTTATGAGAGCGTCTTCATTGTACTACGGCAAATGCTCTTCAGATAATGAAAACCATAGAAGAAAGAAAGATTAGCTAACGCTCACCCAAATTTTTCAAAACTGGAATTAGGAGTATGGCCGCTGTTGTTGACCTCTGAGACGGGGCCCATCAGCCAGCCCAGGCACTTCTATGTTCGGACCCGTATTCAGGCCCTGAAACGCTGACTCCAGGAAACTCGTATACCTGCGTCCTTGGAGCTTCTTTGCGAGATCCTTGCTGCGACTCCGCTGGTTCGACGTTGATCTGCGGACCCGAGATGTTGATCTGCGGACCAAAGTCGTTGCTTCCACTTGGCCCAGAATCAATGTTGATCGTGGGTATAGATGGGAGAGCTGTAGAGATCCTGAGCGAAGCGACATTGTTGGTAACCCATCATGCCGTTTTCCATGGTGATCCTCTCCACTTTGTTCGATCGTTGGCATAAGTATCCGCCGTTATCTCCCCACCACCAATGGGAGCAGGAGATTCGATGTTTACTGAACGTGGAGGAGCTGGCGTCTGCGGCTGATTCCGAGTAGGATATGGGCCGAGACTTTGTGGCTTCGATTGTATGCTGAAAGACGGCTGGGTATCATGTCGCTGTCGTGGTTGTACGCTCTAGGTATGATCGACGTTAGACGACCCATACATCTGGCTTTCCGGCCTTCGCTCCCTCGCTGATGGCTCTGATTGTTGCTGTTGTTTGGAGGGCATTGAATACAAGGATCGTCTCCGCTGGAGCTGCTCACCCGCACTGCTCAGAGGAGCGTCGTGACGCGGCCGCCCTTGTGGCTGTGGCAATGCCCTTCTCTGGCTTAACGCAGCAGAAGCAGATGCAGCAGGCGAAGGACAGCGAAGTATAGTGGAAGATGGGCGAGGAGGTGAATTGTTCAAGTCGATATTCCTCAGGTTTTTACGGGATGAATGGCGGTACGTCCACGAAATTCAGGACCAGAGCTTAATGCTATTGTAGACGTAGAGGCGCCATTAGGTCGAGGGTCGAAATAGCCTCCTTCTAGAACCAGCACCAGGAGTGCCTCCACAGGTGTACGTGGAAGTACCAGAAGGTTGGTAGGCCAGTTCCCACCACTCCCATTACTAGAATTTGGGGATCGGTCTCCGTTGCTAACCTTGAATGAAGCGAACATCTTTCGTTCATCTTTCGTCAACGAAATCCCGAATGGGAACTTTTTTCACCTTCCTCCGGATGAAATCATCCTCTCTCCCACCAACATCACACACCATAGGAGAAGACCTATCCCACGACCGTGTCTGGGTTCCAAGCTCGCTCGCGAAAGTCTTCGTCACTATAACGCCTACCAGGCCCTAATCGACGCTGTGGCATATTGCGAATGCCCCATTAGGGGCTAGGTCCCTCCCTCCGTATTTCTTGAGGCCAGTCCAGATCTCGAGATGGTGCAGATTTCGTGGGAGATCGTCTTCTTGGTGCGTCCAGCTCGTCGTAGTATTCCAATCCTCTATCCCCCTCGGAATAAGAAAGTTCATGCCGGTAGGCGGGTCAAAGGACCACCTGTCGATCTTCAGTATATGTATACCTCCGTTGATCCCGATCTGAAGGCTGTCTTCTCCGGTCTCTGTCTTTGTATCTCCCCTCCCAAAGCCGGCCCTCCGAAGCCCGCTCGACTTCTGGAGCAGGCAGTTTCGTCTTCTTTGGCTTTGTAGCCTTTCTTTCTACTAGGTTCTTTTGCGTATTCTTTATGAGGCTCGATGTATTCATTGCGCAAGCGTCCCTTAGCTGGAGGAGGATCTCGAGCTCTGCCTCCCCGTCCAGAGTAGTCATCACTACTGTAGTCTGAGCCTTCATACTTGTGAGCTCATTCTACATCCGTTTCTTCTTCGTCATCATCGCCATCATCATCTTCATCGCAATCGCTGCCATCTGAATTGACATCTTCTGTGTTGCACTTGCTCTATGTCACCCAAACATGCGCTGTTGCTAAAGTGGTGGTTGGGGAGCCACAGGTTGGCGATAATGAAACTGCTGTGATGGCGGTTGACGTTGACCGGGAGAGTCCTGAAGATATGGCAACAGGGACTTCGACTCCTTACCCTTCTCAGCGGACTTCCCTTTCCCTTGAGGCGCAGCACCTGGGTTAGCTTTAGTCGGCGTAGCCTGAGCGGTTGGCTGAGCCGGTTTCGGATGAGGTTCTGCTACCATACCAGCAGCATACCCTAACACAGGCGCCGGGTAGTCTGGAATAGTGCGTTTCTAAACTTCTTTCGCGGTGAACTTGATTCAGCAGAGGTTGAAGCAGGAGTTCTTGCTGCGATCGTGGGCTTGCCATTGGGAGGCGCGGAGTTGGAAGAAGTCCATTTCATGGGTGGGGGTTCTCCTTTGTTGGGCTGCTCGAGGCTGAGGTAGGCTTTCACAGGGCTGGTGTTCGCCTTGGTGCAGAGAGCGTAGATTAATGCCTTAGTTGTAACCTTCACTATAATCGAAATGTGCGGATCATAAAGTTGGCCATCTGTAAGCACTGGTATACTTAGTCTAGAGAAATATGAGTGGGTTTCGAAAGGATGATCTCAAACAACGAACCCGGGAGTCATCGTGAAGACTATAGACCGACATCAGAAGGCCAGTTCACGAATAAAGTCTCGTTGGAGATATAGGTCGCCATCGGTTGGATTATGTACCCGATGTCCACTCCAAGTTTCGGTCTAAATACATTACAGTAAGGCAAACGAAAAACCAGAATGCAAACAAAACTTTCAGTTTAGCATTCCGCTCCCACCTATCGAATTCTGTACTTGACACCGCAGTCAACTTTCTTGGCAGCGCTACTTCCGGATTGTATCTAAAAAGAAAAAAAGACCCGGGATCTAATCCGATCTGTATAACCCAATAGTCGAACACTGCCCAGGACATGGTGTTGACTGGGTTTGCGTGGGCTGCAAAAGTGTGGAAGGAAGCTGACTCCACTGCAGCACTTTCCGCCTTGGTAGGCTCTAATATTTGAAGTGATCTCCAGTTGAGCGGCGTGAAGGGGAAACACTTGCGTAATTGGGAAAGGCGTCAGAATCTCGGGTGCGGGAAGATTCCTTATCAACGTCATCTTTGCCACGAGAAAGCTTTGATGACTTGAAGAGACGCCCAAACTTGCCGAGAATTTGGAGGAGAAAGAGATGAAGTCTGACTCCAAAGGCAGATGATATGAAGATGTTCGTTGTGCAGGCGAGGCGTGATTAGAACTCATGTATTCCGGTTTTATTGGTGAGGACTTTCGTTTGGGAGTCGAAGTTGAAGGCTGGGATGTCCTCGGTGAAGAAAAAGAAGGGGGTCGTTGAGCAAGATTAGGGCTGGTGTAGTCCGGCAATGATGGCGAATGCTTTTGTTTGGGGGTCGAATTTGGACTTCTCGTTGGTGGTTCATGGTATGCAGGAGAACGATCGAGTATATTTGACGATGGGCAAATCACTGATGTTGATGGTGGAGGGTAGTTGGCTGTAATCGCAATATCTGACGCTGTAGAAGAGGAACTGTGCTCCTCCTTATCCTCATTGTCAATTTCTGCCTGATCCCTCTCATCCAGTAACTGCTGGTCCCGATCTACCATCTGTTTGTCTTCGTCTTCCTTAACCTCAAATTTATTTGCATCCTCCTCATTGTCTTTCAAACCTGGTGACATCGAATCCGCAGGGGAATGCATCGACGGGTGGGCAGGTGGAGGAGGAGACGCCTCAAGCTGATGCGCGGTTGTATTGCTAGGCTCCAAACATTCCCGATCCCCAAGTGTCTGCAGCCTCAGCGAAGCAATCGTCCCCTCCTCTGGAACATCAGCGGACGATTTGCTGTGGGCAATCGGGCTAGGATGAAATACCAGTGGATACACTTTCTTCGGAGCTATTTGAGTTTTAGAAAGGAGATAGACATAGAAAAAGGAAATATGAAACGCACTTGACGTTGGGATCGCTTGGTCTGCGGAAGAGGTGGTCTGTGACCAGTTGGCCGGGGAAAAGTCTTGGGAATTATTGGAGCGAGAATTAGCTTCACAACTTTGTGTCCTTGAGCCAGATGAGAGTGGCGAGCGTCGACGAGAAGGCTCAACAGGCGGAATGTTGTCCCGACTCGAGTACAAATCCAGAGTAATGTTTCGCGGAGACTTATCATTAAAAGCCTGCACTTGTTTCGTCAAATCAAACATGGTTGTGTCTCCCACTGAAAGAAAAAAAATGAGCTAGGATCGAAGAACTTTGCAAAAATCATACACACCTACGGTCATGTTGTCTGAGGAGCATCGAGTACAAAGTGATGATGCTTGTAACCCTCATTAGCGAAGTAAGAGGAAAGCAAAAGCACGACCGTACTTTCAACGGCTGTGAACTGTCGTGGTGTAGATGGGCCGGGAGAAGATAGATCGATTATTGTCGAGGCATTCGCGTAAGCCTTTTTCCTGGGACTGACCCCCATTTCGAGGCGAACTGGGGGGGCGGGAACGGAGGCGGCAACAGCGTCTGGAACTAAAATTCTATTGTCGGAAAGGGATGG